CCTCCTGGACCTCCCATTGGGCGAGTCAGGATGCTAATTCGCCGGGATGAGGGCTGTCTGGCCGAAGCTTGTTCGAGATGATGGACGATGGGCGGATTCTGGTGTCTCCAGAATGGTGGTGCCCGTGGTGGCTCTTCAAACTTCACAGCGCCTTCCTTGGCGCTGGTCGAGCACCAACACACACAACACACAAACACGACTTGCATGTGCGCGGGAGGGTTTGAAGGGAGTCTCTGTCCGTCGGACGACGCAGCTAGAAGCGCCCTGCAGGTGCTTGGCTGCCTTATTTGCGCGCGTTCTTGGAGACGTGAAGAAACCGGGAAATCAACAAGCTGCTAGGCTAGTACTAGCTGCGTTAGGAAAGCAATGGTCGACGGGACGGGCTTTTGCTTGAAAGTTGGCAAGAGGAAGCGCAGGACTAGCTAGAAGACTGTTGTTGAGATGCTGCGAGTCTTATTTTCGGCGCTACTCTAGCTGCAACGCAACGCAGCGCCAGAGACGTCTAGACGCCTTTTCTTGGTGGTGTTACTCTGGTCTGGCAATGACGGGGCCACTTTCAATCTGGCAGAAGCAGCGAGCTGCGCTTTTGCTGTGGCTATAGCATTGGCGACACATGGAGGATCCAACGGGCTGAGCTCCACGAGCTACACAAACTGCCAAAGATCAAACAGCTAGCCCCCAAGCAGCCGTTGCTGTGCTATGCGTTAGAAGGGCAGGGTAGGGCAGGGCATGGCTTTGGTGCTCCATCGTCCGTCCGAAGTGGTGGCCGTATGACATGGAGCATCGAGGAAGCAGAGGTTCATGTGCGTTCTTCTGATGTCGTTCCGGTGGAGGAGTACTCCGGGATGGCCTGGTGAGGGCTGCTGTAGAGGAAACGGATTGCAGCCGAGGGGGTTACGGGTAACGGGTGTACCTGATGCTGTAAGACGAGGATTGCTGGTCCTGTCGTTCGGACTGAGCGCTGGGGAAAATGGGGGATCCTCTTGAGGGCTGAGGGAAGCAGAAGAAAATGTCTCATTTTGATCGATCTCTGAGCACGCAAGAACCAGGCGACGGCCCCAGCGGGAATGCATTTGGGGAAGACGTCGAGTCAAGGCCCGGCGTTTTGGATGATATTGTCATGGGGGTGCCGTGCCAGGCGCGCAGCCGGTGCCAGAGGCATATGAATATGGCGGCTATTATTCCTTTCGGCAAGAGCCGGGCTTGCACAGCAAATGTTAGCAGGTATCAAAATACCCAAAACAAGCTGTGGACAAGCTGAATGTCTGCGAATAGCAACATTGTGGAGGAAACAAAGACAGACGAGTGTGGGGGGTGCTTTACTCTAGGCCAGACCCGAGTCACTTGACCGGACACACGCAGGGCTCGAAGAAGAGGGAGAATGGCTGGGGATTCGGAATGATGATTGGAAGGTCGAATGAGACTGGGAGATGTTGTAAGAAAACAGAGAGGTCTGAGCTGGTTGGCAGTGGCACCGGGCCAGATTGGAGTCGAGATGAGATGAGATGAGACAGGGCGAGAATGGTGCCAAGAGAAACGGACTGGCTGCCTCACGAGGACAACAGCACTGCTGCAGGTCGACGGGAAGGGGGTGTGAGGTGCCATTGACCAGTGACCAAGCTGGCATTGAGCAGATGGCATGGCATGGCATGGTGCTGCTGACTGCGACTCTGCGACTTGGACTGAGCGTAGCGTTATTTGTTGGTGGTGGTTGATTTTGTTTGGAGATTGTGGTTCCAAAATCAATCAGCGGTGACCCGTGGTCAGACCAAGATAATATGAGAGTGGCATGTCACTCGGAGCTCACCCGCTAACAGCTGGAGCTTCTAGCTAGGGCAGTGGCAGGGCAGGGCGAAGGACGGATCCCGCGCGCCGTCATCTCGCTCGGTTCTTGGCTTCGGTCCGTCACCGTCAGATCCTCTAGCAGGCGAGAAAGATTTGAGAAAGGCGAGATTCATCATTCATCATTCATCACTCACCGCATGTGGATTCCAAGGGGTCTTCTTTTACGTTGCGCTGATTCGGAATCGACCATTGGAAGGCTGGGGATTGGTCACCTTTCGGGTCTGAGGTGAAGCCCATTAGGTGAATGAGGAAAGGGCTACGGAATGACGGAGTGCCGCGGTACGTACCGGCAATTGCCCGGGATGGAGGCGGTGATGGACCTTGGCCTTCCCTTCGCGGCTTGCCTTTCCCGGACGGTTTCCCTTCCAGAAAGTGAGAGGAGACAGTCTACAGAGCACGGGCCAGGCTCTCTCACAGTGGGAGTTGCTAGGTGCCGTTGGCTCCGTTTTCGGCTCGAAGCTTAGGTTTCCTTGGCGCGGTACCCGAGGCAAGGCGCCAAAGTGCCGCAGATTGCCGCATGTCGGAGGGAATCTTGGAGGTCGCTCAGCCGTGCGCCTCTGGGGCGGATCTCACCAATCTACGGCTTTAAATGACTGCCTGCGCACTCATCACACTGTGTGGAGACCCGCCAAACTCCGATCCATCCCCACTTCAAACTGCTCCATTTTTCCCGCCCTTGGTCCCTCGGCCGCCGTCCTTCGCTTGCTGGCCTTTTCTTTTCCTTTTCCCGCCTAGCCGCCTTTCTTTCCATCATTCAATTGGGGAAAGGTGAGAAAGTCTTGCTTAACGGAGGGGGTCCCTGCGAGCCCTGAGAGACAAGGTCCCTTGCTAGCCGCCTCTTTTTTTTTTTTTTTCCTTGGGGGACCCCACTGACAACTTGACACTGAGATTCCTCCCCAATCCGTGCCATCCCCGGCGACATACGGGAGAAGACGCGAGAGAAAAATTCGAACAAAGCCAAATCCCCACGGGAAAAAAACGAAGGAGGGAAAAAATAGACGAGAAAATTTGCAGAAATTGGGGGCACCAAACAGACGGCTAGTAATTGTTGACTGAGCATCCGTAAAGCTGGGGGCCCAGGCCAACACGAGGTTGAAGGGCAGTAAAAAAAAAAGGGTTTAATCAATGAAGAAAAAAGCCGCAATAAAACCCTACGCGCACTTTGAGCTTGCATTGCATCTGCAGCGTAGCTCGCTGCTCCTCTCCCGTTGTTGTTGCTGCTGTTGCTGGTTGTTTGACAGCGACAGCCTTAGGTTTGCTGCAGTGCCTCCTTCGCCAAGATTGCTCAAATACCTTGAATTGCCAAGCCAAGCAACTCTCTCGCCCTTCTCTCACAGTCTCACTGCCTGTGAAGGTCTGAGGTTGAGTCTGAGCCTGAGCCTGAGCCTGAGCCTCTATTTTTCTTTTTTTCACCTGCCACCCGCGCCTACCCACCTGGCATCGACATCGACATCGGCGACTTACGCCCGCCCTGCTGGTTCCCGTCCCTTGTCCTGTCCCATCTGTCCTGCTTTTTTCCTGCAGAAACACACAAAGGGAGGACCCCCAAAAAACCACCTTACACCAGACACACCAATCGCACTCTATTCTGTTCGCTGTTTCCCCCTTCGACCCTTCGACACCCCCGTCCGTCTGTCCGCCTGACCAACGAAGACGCTGCGGAAGAAAGGCATCAGAAACACTGGACGACCTAGTCTACTGCAGTGTACGGATACCAAGACCAAGACGACGACGACGACTGCTGCGTTATCCGCATCCCGCGTCCTCTTACGGCATAACGCCCACATACCCGCCCGCTCATCAAATCAACCTTCCATCAATCAATCAACCTGCAATCACTCGGCATTCGCCCACTCATTCTCCTCTTCTCAGTCCACGTCTTTCCCTTGCTGGATTGCTTGGACACACAATCCATCAGTCAGACACCACCAAAGACCAGAGCAGTCTGTTAGTCAACTGCTGCCACACCCACCCACCGCCTTTGACACACACCTTACACCACGCAACACACCCACCCGACCAGACCACGCTTTCCGAAGCAACGGCACCACCCATCGAGGCGGTAAACCATTTTGCGGCTTGTCCTCGCCAGGCCCTAAGAACAAAAGAAAAAAAGCTGGCCGACTGACCTCCGCTAGTCGCGGCCTCTATCCGTACCCGTCGCCACTCCCACCTCCTTCAACTGGACCCTCTCTGTCACGTCCTGGCCCCCGTCAGGTCTCCCCGGCAAATACATATCGATCTGCCCCTACCTCGCGGTCGCCCTACCAATACTCCCAGACTCTCGCTCTCACTCCCTTCTGTTCTGCTTCTGCTCTCTCGTCCGACCAGAAAAAGAGCAAAAGAGCCCAAGCCCTCAGCCTCCGAGAATCCTGAATTCATCCCACGTTCATCCCCGAACACGCCAAGAATAACCCGGAACCTGTTAAACTTCTTCCAACCCGTCCCGAGCCTCTATCCCGGCGCACAGCACTTTACTGCCTACCGCCCGCTGCCCGTTTATCCTCCCATATTTCCTCTCCCGCACGCCCAACCCATTCCTGAGTGAATTCACTCTACCTTTCCCTGCGCCACGCTAGGCTCGACGTCATCTGCTCGCCCACAACACAGTCATCCCGGTGTCTTAGCAGCCACGCCCTCGCCCGCCCTTTCATCTGGGATCAACACTCCGATTCAGTTATTCTTGTACACCCAGGACCCTGAATCGACCTGTTCGCATCCCACCACTACGCCTCACATTGAGGCAACGCCCGGTCGTCCTATAATCTCCCTCGACTGCCACTACTACTTCAGAATAACATCCGCTCGACAATGTTCGTTTTGTTCTTATAGCCTCACGGTCCCTAGGGACACGACTTGGTCAGCAGTAATTGTCTTAGACGACGACTTTAGCTGCACGTCCTCTTGAGGACAACCGCTATACAACAACCAAAACAACAAAACATCACTCTACCCTGACGAGCCGCTTGTTCGCAAGCTATTATCTACTATCGAGCTATCACTGTTATCTTCTTACGAAGTCGACCTTCGACCGGTTACGCCTGCTAGAAGCATCGTTGAACGACTTGGCCTGGATTACCACCCTTCGCCACATTTCGAGCCGAGAGCCCGATTTATCCCTGTTATCAACGCTGGACCGACATCACTCATCCACAATGACGCACAGCACAACACACGACGCCGCGACGTCAAACGTCCTGGCCTGGTCAACACATTGCGCGAACATGCCAGCCATGGTAGAAGACGAGACCGCCGACGTTGACGAGCCCCCGGATATGCGGGTGCCCGTCTCCCCCATGAGCAACATGTTCAAGCGGAATCCGATCCGTCGCACTACCCTCGACCACAACTCCTCCCTCCTTACCAAGGCTCTCCACAGCCCTTCCGAGGACGAAGAGCCCGAAGCCCGCCCGGGAATGTCCTTCTTCGCTCGACGCCGCTCCATGGCCAGCAACATCAGCCTCGCCTCCACCGCCGACTTGACGAGCGACACCGGCCTTACCAGCCCTTCTCGCGCCAACACCCCCAGCCCTCCCATTCCTGAGATGCGCTTCTTGCACCTCAACGATGAGCCTCGCAAGCTCGCCTTGCAAGCTGCTCCTCGTCCTCAGGAGCCCGCTGCGGAGGCCCCCAAGAAGCGATGCATCCAGTTCGCCTGCGCCGCCAAGCCCAAGCCTACTGAGATCATCCAGGCCCAGCCCATGGTGAAGGCACCTTCTGCCCAGGAGCCTCAGCGCAGGCCCTGCATCAAGTTTGCCTGCCCTGTCCCTCAGCGCCCTGCCTCCACCCAGAACACGCCTCCTCAGCGTATGGAGATGGCCGCTGCTCGCCTCCAGCCTCCTTCCTTCAAGGAGAGCTCCCCCGCCACGGTCCGCAAGGCGCGCTCGCGATCCCCGCGACCTACGCTAGCGCCTCCCCGCTCCGTCGCCGCCATCAAGTCTCCCACTGGAAAGAAGTACATCACCGCCGACGACAGCGACCTGCAGAACGAGTCTTCTCACTTCCACGAGTTTGCTAGTGACGTTCCCCGCGAGGATGATTGGATTCGCCAGGCATTCAACCAACAGGGACGCCGCATCACTGTCGACGACACTTTGCAGAAGGAGAACGCCATCCGCAAGCTCGCTATCGAGGCGGAAGAAGAGGCCGAGCAGGAGGAGGAAGACGACCTGGCGACCGCTATCGATGATGACGAGGAGAACGATGCCGACGACCAGGACGACGACGAAGAGGAGCAGGAGGATGACGAGGACGACGAAGATGATGATGAGGATGAGGACGAGGATGACGACGAGGACGATAACTCCGATGGCTACAAGACTGACGAGGAAACTGGATTCGCTGACTCCGACGAGGAGGACGATGAAGACGATGACCTCCGCCTGTGGACTCCCGGTCGCTCTGCCATCCAGAACATTGACACTACTCCTCTGGCTCGTCGCCCTTCTCTTCCCGAGCAGCTCTCCGACTCTTCCATCGCTTCCCGCACCAGCCTTCGCGCTCGCCGCATCAAGACTCATCGCATGAAGATACGCCCTGGTACTCCTGAGCTCCCGGACAGCACCGACTTTGTCTGCGGTACACTCGACGAGGACCGCCCCATGGAGGATGCTTACATCTCTTGCTTGGCCGCTCGCAGACGCGAAAAGCTTCAGGTCATCCCCCAGGACATCGATCCTAGCTTCCCTGCCTCGGACCCCGAGGATGAGGGTGAGGAGGAAATCTACAACCCTGTCCACCACAGCAGTGACGACGAGATGTTCCTCCACGGAAAGATGGATGACCTGCACCACGGTCAGGACAGGAGAAGGGGCCGCAAGAAGTCGGAGCACGCTTCCCCGAAGCGTTTCCGCTCCCCGCCTCCCATGAAGCGCCGCGCCTCTCCTGCTCCCAAGGCTCGTGGCCGCTCCCCCCGTCGTCTCTTCGATGGTCCTTCTCCCCGCCGCCTCCGGACTCCCCCTCCTCCTCAAATGTTGAGATCCCCTCCTGCCTCACCCCGCAACGTCCGGGGTGCCATCACCTTCAAGACTTTGGCCTCTCGCCCGGGCCTTACTGTTACCAAGTCTCTCCCTCGACCTCCCTCCATGTTCCCTCAGATGGCCAAGGGACGTCGATCCAAGGCCCCTGCCAACGACATCCACGTCCGTGGCGCTATTGACATTGTCAAGGGCCTGGAGAGAAAGCGACAACGTCGCAAGGAGAAGTTTTACCAAAAATACTGCAACCGCGCTCGTAAGGGACAGATTCCTGAGCGCAAGCCACAGCGCGGACTCGGCTGTGAGCGTATGAGAGAACTAGGTCTGCTCATGGCCGGCAAGATCGAGCAGGGCAACTACGTTCTCTCTGTCTGATTACAGACAAACTTTCTAGCATTGGGCGGGGTTTTCTATTTGCATTTACAACATGGCAAGACCAGATATGTTTTGCTCGGCGTCTTCTAGCATTGGGTGGTGCATGGTTGGAGTGGGATTCATGACATATATGAAACTATTTCTTGTCCTATGGACGGTACATACCTTTTTACACTTGAGCCAACCCGATGAACGGGGCTCGGTACATTTCTTTCGCTTCATATTTTTTATCATCTATCGTTTGGAGTCCAGCGGCACTGGACGGAGCACGAATACCCCTGGAATAGCGTGTCTGAAGGCTTGTATGGTTGTTGAGCGAACACATAGCATTAGGGAGCCTGATCAACTGCATTCCTGCGATATATCGCAGACCTCCAATACTTTTTGTCTTCATGAGTTGAGTGATTTGAATGATCTTTCCGTAACGTGTCATGATGCCGAGAAGAGTCACGCCGCAGCAACTCGCTCTATCAAGGTTGTTGCAAATTAACTTGATGGTGTTTTTTGAGTTAGATGCTGGTCTGGATAGCTTCACGATCCGGTTCTTTGAAGAGTCGGAAAGGCAACGTGTAAGTGGCGATGATACCGCAACGTGTTCAATACGGACAGGCTATAAGATGACTATGTTGTTGGCCAAAATGTTCAGTCCAAAACTCCTCCATTCACTCAACAGCCTTTCAAATACCAACTTAACTTTCTTCAAAAGAGTGAGTTTTGTTGTGACGCACCAACACTTTACCTCGTGGTTGACACAGCGGACTGCGTAGTATCTCCGATAGTGGCAGCCCAACATATAAGGCATACACCTCACACACCTCAGCATCAGCACCGACCATCAGCAACCCGACAGCACAGCACATCTGAGGTACCTTACCTGAGCAATAGCACTCCACTCCACCTGCTGATAGCCCAGTCCAGCCAGCACTTCTCACTGAGCACCGTTCGCCGCCTCGTCTTGGGAGCAAAAGTCCGGACAACGAAACCACTCCGACCTCAACCTATCCATCTGCTCCACCGCATCCACGAACCAACCTCACATACGGACAATACCCTCGATCTTTCGTCGTCAAGATGTGGATTATTAATTGGTGTACGGACTCAACCCTTTGCTCCCTCCCGTCTGCCTCGAGCTGCAGCTGCGCGATCTCGCCGCCGCAGTCTCTGGGCCAAGCATTCATCCCTGGTCGAACGGCAATGAGCTGACTTGTGTCGTATCGTAGTCTACGACGTCCTCTCCAGCCTCGGCCTGCTCAACAAGCACGCCAAGTTGCTCTTCCTCGGTCTCGACAATGCCGGCAAGACGACCCTGCTGCACATGTTGAAGGTACGATAGAGCCTCCGATCCACCCCCAAACCCAGACCGCATACATGCCACCTCTCCCGCCCGCCGCCCGCCGGTTGCGCCGATACTGGAATCCGTGAGGATGCGATGCCACGAAAGAACCCGCAGCTGACGTTCGGACTAGAACGACCGCGTTGCCATCCTTCAGCCTACTCTTCACCCTAGTGAGTGACCTCCCTGTTCCCAACAAAGTCGACGCTGCGACGGGAAGCCGTGCGCACGTGTCCTCGAACCGTGGCTAACCACGCTTTTGCGTCCACAGCCTCCGAGGAGCTCGCCATCGGCAACGTTCGATTCACGACCTTCGATCTCGGCGGTCACCAGCAGGCTCGCCGCCTGTGGAAGGACTACTTCCCCGAAGTCAACGGCATCGTCTTCCTCGTCGACGCCAAGGACCACGAGCGCTTCGCCGAGTCCAAGGCCGAGCTCGACGCCCTCCTGTCCATGGAGGAGCTGGCCAAGGTCCCCTTCGTGATCCTCGGCAACAAGATCGACCACCCCGACGCCATTTCCGAGGAGGAGCTGCGTCACCAGCTCGGCTTGTACCAGACGACCGGTAAGGGCAAGGTGCCTTTGGAGGGTATCCGGCCGATCGAGGTCTTCATGTGCTCGGTCGTCCTTAGACAAGGTGAGTTGGACTTATTCGGTGATACGCATGAGGGCCAGAATGTTAACAATTGTGGACAGGCTACGGCGATGGTATCAGGTGGCTGTCTCAGTACGTCTAAGCATGGGACCGACTGCTCTGGGGAGAGCTGTTCGGACGGTGTTTACGGCGGAAACGGAGCATTCACGGGCGACTGGCAACAATGGTGGAATCATAGGAAACGTCCGTACGGGAACGAGATCGTGCTGCCACGTCTACGATGCTCCGGTTAGAGATCTCAAGGGGGCCGAGTGCTCGTCCTCTGCCCCTTTCAAACCTGATATCCTAGGGGGGTTGAAAGTGCGTAACAGGACTGACTTGCTACCTGGGGAGGGTCGTTTACGGAGAAAGAAGTGGACGGCCCGGATTCAATGCTCAGATTTTGGGCGGGCAGTCAGTCAGTCAGTCGAACACGAGGCAGTATGTACGCTTTGCTAGGCTAGAATATCCTTGGGGCCCGGGGACTTGGAATCTGGTTATTGTGTGTTTCAATCGTTAGCCTGCTATGGTAGTTCTGCATCATCAACAACAACAACATCATCATCATCACCAATGTCAGCCTCGGGAGGGGACAGACTTCCTGAGCTTTACTATGTGCACACCTGGAACCCAACGACGTAATGCCCAGGCCGACCCTCCCGCAAGGCCACTGTGCCGCTCTGCCACGGTGATCCCAGCGGAGTGGTGATGCAACCGAGGCCACCGTGTCAGCAGCAGCAGCAGCCTTCTAGGTTTCGTGCGAATACGTAAGTGTGGCATTTTTAACATTCGCAAGCCACAGTTAGGTAGCCAAGGTTCTTCGCGTACTACCAGTGAACATCAAGTTTATTCATTGACCAAAAGGTAGACCGGCCAAAAAAAGGTCAGCACGGCCTCCGCTCAGCCTCGGTTGATCATCGTCGTTCCCGCCGCCCTGCCCGTCACACGTCGATCTGAGCTCATACATTCCCCCGAGTAGGTGGACCAACCATCATCGGGCGTGGTCAGCAAGAGTGAGTGGTTAGGTAACATTTCCAGAGGATTCCGGAGAGGCGGGAAGGGGTCCAATTTTGCCGAGGAGGGGTCCTGAGAGGGGAGGGCGATCCATCATCGTCGCCACCGCACTGCTGTGCCTGTCTTGTCTCCTGGTACGGATACGCCAGCAACTTGAGATCGCATCGGTGAACTCGGTTGGTAATGCTTCCGCAGAGACGACTCGGGGTCTAAATTGCATTACTCGTTGGTCATGTTACGTAAGGCTTCAATTAACATGTGCTTGTCATTCACTCCCTCCTGAGACCCTGCGGTGCAGGTGCTGCAGTGTTTGGCAGATAACTGCTCGGAAAAGCGAACAGATGGTCCATCGGCTGGAGTAACCTTTCCGTCTCCCGCTAAAGTGGTTTTCTTTTCCATTCAGAGGTGCACTTATCACCCACCTACGCAGGTGCACTGAAGAACGGGTTCATCAGCGGACAATCTGCTCCAATCCAACCAGTGGAGTGAGGGAGAAAACCCACTGGGCGTGAAGAAACTACTGGGGAAACTCGGGAAACACTCACACGCTGCAGCGAGACCCCCAGAGGACAGAGAAAGCCTCCACCCGCCCCCCAACGAAATCCAATTCGAGCCATTGCCGACGTCATCCGACCCTGGCATCACGGGCGCATTCCCTAAGGAAGGGAGGCGCGCGATTCTCTTCCTACGGCGTAGGTATTACTTTGTACGACACCACCACACCTAGTAATCCGAACAAACCACCCTCCGAATCAAGACAGTCAGCTTGCTCAACTTACCCAACAAACGCACCGAAATCACCCGTTGTCGAGGCTGATTACCGCTTACATCCAAAGAATTCGTCTCACGTACGGCAACTGCCACACCACTTCCGTTGGAGAAGCCGTTTCGTGATTGACTTTCTTCATCGCGTCTCCCTTTTTTTTCTTGTGTCTCTGCTGTTCATCCTTTTTTTTAGACTTTCTGTCTGCAATATCATGCGCCTAGACGCGTTGAACACATCAGCCTGCAGACATGGCTGAACATCACCGAGAACAACGCGAGCACCACCACAGGGTCACCTTCGCCCCGACCGGTCCGTCCAGCAGCAACAACTACAACACCGACAGCTACGGCTTCCCGCCCGAGTCCTTCGGCAGCGAGGACCTCCCCGACTTCGACACGCAGTTCCTCAGCGATGCCGACCTGGAGGCCTTCGTACAGGCGCTGCACGCACCCGACCCCTTGCAGTCTCCCGCCGACGAGACGACCTCCCTGCGGTCCCCCGGGCTGAGGAGCAACTCGTCGCTCGACATCTCGAAGCGCGGGAGCATCTACGAGGATGAGAAGGATAAGGATGACCCGCAGGCCGTGGCGGCCGCGGCCGCGGCCGCCGCGGGAGATGTGGCCGCGCCCGTGTCGAACGGCAACGGACACGCGAGCCAGCCTAATATGTTCATCACCGCGCAGAACGACTGGGCGCCGGTGAACCAGAAGATTCCGAAGCGGGGGTCGAAGAGGAGGAGGAACCGGGCCAAGGGCGCCGCGGAGGCCCTCCTCGGCACGAGGACGAAGGACGAGACGAGGGAGGGGATATTCTACATCCTCCTGAAGTGGCCGATGCTCTTCTTCGTCGGCGCCTGGCTTGCCGGCCTGGCGCTGACGTACCTCTACACGAGGTTGTACATCTGGGTCTACGAGCACTTCGTCACCTGGCGGGGCACGAGAGAGAGGCTGAGGAGGAGCATGCGGCGGACGAACAACTACCGCGACTGGGTCGTCGCGGCCAAGGAGCTGGACAGCTATCTGGACCGACAGCGGTGGAAGGAGGAGAACGACTTCGCGTACTACGATGCCAAGACGGTGAAGAGGGTTTGGGAGCAGATGAGGAAGTGTCGGCAGAGGGCCGAGGCTCAGGAGAACGGGGAGGGAGACGAGAAGGGTGCTAAGGCTGTCGAGGAGCTCCATGCCCTCTTGTCGGCTTGTGTGAAGAGCAACTTTGTGGGAGTCGAGAACCCAAGATTGTACAGCCAGACATATTACGGGACCAAGAACCTGGTGCAGAACTTTGTCGATGAGGGTAAGTTGGTATGCTGTCACTTTCAGGCGTTGATGCTAATGCCCCATAGTTGAGAGAAGCATCAAGTTCATCCTGAGCACGAAGCAACTCACCATCGAGGAGAAAAGGGGTATCTTTAAGGGGATGCATGCCAACTACGGTCGGACAGCCCTTTGTCTGTCCGGCGGTGCGGCGTTTGCGTATTACCACTTTGGCGTCATCAAGGCCCTCCTCGAAGCGGACCTCCTCCCGGACGTCATCACCGGAACGAGTGGCGGCGCTCTCGTCGCCGCGCTCGTGGCCACCCGCACCAACGACGAGCTCAAGAAGCTACTCGTACCGGCGCTTGCTGGTAAAATCACGGCTTGTCGCGAGAGCTTCATGACTTGGATCCCTCGGTGGTGGAAGACGGGAGCGAGGTTCGACTCTGTTGACTGGGCGAGGCAGTGCAGCTGGTGGACTCGCGGCTCGATGACGTTCCGCGAGGCGTACGAGAGGACTGGGAGGATTCTAAACGTCTCTTGCGTGCCTGCTGACCCGCACTCGCCGACCATTTTGTGCAACTACCTGACTTCCCCCGACTGCGTCATCTGGTCTGCCGTCCTCGCGTCGGCTGCCGTACCGGGTATCCTGAATCCCGTGGTGCTGATGATGAAGCAGCGCGACGGGACGCTGGTGCCGTATTCGTTCGGACACAAGTGGAAGGACGGCAGCCTACGGACGGACATCCCCATCAAGGCGCTCAACCTCCACTTCAACGTCAACTTCACCATCGTGAGCCAGGTCAACCCGCACATCAACCTCTTCTTCTTCTCGTCGCGCGGCAGCGTGGGCCACCCGGTCACGCACCGCAAGGGCAAGGGCTGGCGCGGCGGCTACGTCATGTCGGCGGTCGAGCACTACCTCAAGCTCGACATGACCAAGTGGCTCAAGTTCATCCGGCACGCCGAGCTCCTCCCGCGCCCGCTGGGCCAGGACTGGAGCCAGCTGTTCCTGCAGCAGTTCTCGGGCACCATCACCGTGTGGCCCAAGACCGTGCCGTCCGACTTCTACCACATCCTCTCGGACCCGGACCCGCCGCGGCTCGCGCGCATGATCCACGAGGGCCAGCAGCGCGGGTTCCCGATCCTCAAGTTCGTGAGTAATCGGTTGAAGGTGGAGCGGGTCATCGAGCAGGGCAGGAGGGAGACGAGGCCGTGGATCCGGAGGGGCAGCATCGAGACGATTCTCAGCGAGGACGATCTGCGGAGTCTGTTGATTACGGGCGGCGGGACGGATGACGGGGAGGATACGACGGACGCGGAGGGGGAGACGTTGTTGGAGAATGAGGAGGCTGTTGTTGACGGGGACGAGGAGGAGGAGGAGGAGGAGGAGGAGGTGGTGTTTGAGAAGGATAGATTGTTGAATTAGGGGGGGGTGTGAGCATAGCTTGGCGTTGTGTTTGCATATCTTTTAAAAGATTTGGATTACTCTGGATGGTTGTGGTATGTGGTGAGTGGTGAGCGTGTGCGTGTTTAAGCCTTTGAATATGATGTTTTTGACGGTCAGGACCATACCAAGTCCCAGATTCGCCGTAATTCAGGAGTTAATAAATAGACATCGTCTTCCCGGGTTTCTAGTGGGACAGCAACAGTCAGTTGTTGTTCTTCGAGACACGATCCGAGCGCGAAGAACAGGATTATGGTGTCTCGGTCATCTCTGTGGCCATCTCCTTACTCTCAAGGGGGAACTATTGTAGAGTAGAGTTTTCAAGTCATGGACAACATCTCTGTAGTTCCTCGTAGGTCTTGGGGTATTTTGGGGGGTATTACGGAGTCTCGTGAGGGGAGTGTGGGAGGACTCTGGGAAATGGGGGCGGTGTAGATGGGTGAATCCGGACTTCGAGTTTGGGTCCTTGAATCACGCAAGCGAATTAACAGAAATGAGTGGCACAGTCACCGACTATGCTGAGTAGTTCTGAAACTGTAGGGTTGTTCCTATGTTTAAGTAGGGGGGGAGACGTCTGGGTAATCATCACAATGGGAAAATATAAAACAGAGTGAGGGAAAAGAGATGATGTGGGCCACACAGGATGTCTCTCGTTCCTCAGAGTTTTTGATGTGAAGGCCTCCTGAAATGCTGAACCGCAGTGTGTTGAAGAACATCGTCTTAACGTCGTTGATCTTCAGGTACTTCTGTTCCGTCTCGAACCCCTACAGCTCATGAGGTTCGTATACTTCCGCGACAGAAAAGAAGAAGGATGGGGGATGTGTGAGGCGCCACGAGGTGGGAGTAGGAGTGTTTGGTCTGTGGGAATTCATGGGCTAAACTCATCGTGAAGAGCCTTTGAAGCCCGCTGTATTCTGATTTGTGCGTCGAACACCTGCGGCACAGCCTGTGTTTGGTGTTCCGAATTCTCGTAAGACGGTGCTTTTGTGTGTTTTATAATGCCTGGATGGCGGGTTGGTATTTTATCATGGGTCTCGCTGGTACGTTTAGGGATGGAGAGATGTGCTTTGGGGTTTATAAGTATCTAGCACCTTGGGAGGCATGTAAGTACGACAGTCATGTAGAGTCTTCGTAGGTAGGCTCTTTCGAAGCTTGTTACCTTACTTGTTCTCTTCTGGAAGCTTGAAGTAGCTTGGAGGTGAGAGGTATGTCTTTCGGTCAGGCTGCCGACTACTTTTGTGATTATGCTTATCCTGTGGTTTAAACGACGGATAGAAGGGATGTAGAATGGTGTTTGTGTCAACGTTCATGGGTTGGCGGTGAGGTTTGGGCCGGAACCGACGGGATGGGTTCATGGTATAGGCCGGTGCGCCCGAGATAGTACGTAACTACTTTCATGGCAAGAACACCCGATCCCCGCCGATCTGTGCTGGAGGGAGAGAGATATGGAGACGTTGGAGATGAAAGGGTACTTATACCTGGAACATGACCTGTGTGCTTTTGTGTGAAGTCAACTTTCTGGCGTGTCAAAAAGTTGTAAGCTGCCGGTGGGATTCTGACGTTTGGCTGTTTAGGAGGTCGACTTGGAAATGGTAGTATATATTGAGCGTCGTGGAACATTCGATTGGAATAGTGGCCAATCGTGTCGAGGAAACTGACGAGTCTTCTACCGCACATGACAGGGAGTCGACAAGTATGAAGCACGAAGTTTCATCTGCTCGAAGGCATGGGCACGTCTTCAACAAACTCTGTGAGGTGCTTGACGAACCGCGATCCGCGGCACTTCTCGTCATCTTCTTCCTTGGTCGAGATGTATTGTGTATGCATATACGAAAGGGAATGCGACAACAAGTGGCTCCGGGGTAAGAGGAAGTGAAGCCGATGGTCTGGTTCAGGGTTATTTTGAGATTTGATTGGTCAGAAAGTCACGATCCAACCGTCTTTCTATTCTCGCTTTGTTTGGATCAAGAGATTTTGAAACGGGACAGTACTTATATATTTACGTACGTGATCGGTGTTGCTGGAGTTGGGATGATGCAGCTGTGAGAAGGCGAGTGGTGGCCTGGTTGACACATGAGAGTAGGTGTATATATGACACCGTACTTCGCTAGAAGAATGATACACCGCAGCTGCCAATGTCGCCTTCTCGAGTCTTCTCTTGGTTCCTCTCTTGCTTGAGATGACCGTAGAGTATGAGACAAGATCGCATGGCTTTGGCCGAGGAAGCTTTTTCGCAGGTCATTAGGTCTCGCCGTAGATGTGTATTCACGAACGAATACGTGTAGACCAGAGTTGAAGGACATAAGTTATCATTGCACAATTGGTTTATTGGCTTGTTCGAGGCGGCTGAAGGTGAGTCATCCTGTTCTTTTGCGCATGCTTGAGAAGGTTCAAAAACGAAGCCATGCTCAAAATGTCCTCGCAGAAGCGCTGGCCTCGTGGCTGGCAGGCGATCTATACATGCTTGAGAACATCTGAACAAATGGAAGGAAAGCTCGCCGAGTCCTGAGGCCGGGTCTTTCGGTGAGTTGTGACACAGAAGAGGTATATATTGACTCAAACCACTTACCTCATATTTTTGAAGACAGCAGCACCCAGGTTGGGAATAGTCTGTGCTGTGTTTTTGGAATCTTGAAAAGAGAAATGATAAGGTGATCATTATGAATGGTAAGACAATAAATGAACTTCGGAGTTGCCACGAGTGAGTTGAGAAGTCGGTATCCTCCCTCCTCCCGGTTCTTGATGTATTCGGTATACTTTATAAGTTTCGGGCTGAGGAGGAGAACAGGGTCGTTCCGGGCAACGTGGGCTGGTTATGTTGTAGTCGAGACGATGACAGCTTAATTGACAAACTGAAGAGGGTAATCGTCCACGGTTCTCGAATTGCCTGGTCATCTCGCTTGGCGTAGGAGAGATTTATACTCTCAGAATGGACGAAACATTACTATGATTTACTGTGAGTACAGACCGCATGCATGGCCACATGAGGGCGCCCGAGTCCCGCGTCTGAGGATGTAGTGTTTCGCTGCCCCGGCGCTCTTACATTGAATTGCAGTTCTGATGCAAACCGAAAGTTGTTGGTGTGAGTTTTCTCCATAATACCAGGGCATAGACGCAATAGATGCGAACAAATCGTTGAAAAGTGGAAGCTTGAGACTTATGTATGCCCGTTGAGTGGCTTGGTGCAACGTTGAAAGGTGGTTGGCTAGAGTACAGTCCTCAACGGTTATCTTTTCTTGCGACTATCCGTACTTCTTGTCACCTCTATGCCTATCCTTGCTGCTGTTAGCTCTAGTACTGCGCTTGTTGTCCTTGCTGCTATTGCCTCTAGTACTGTGCTTGTTGTCCTTGCTGTTGTTAGCTCTAGTGCTGTGCTTGTTATCCGTCATCATCGCTCAAGTATTCGACCAGGAAAAAATCGTGGAGTAGTGTATTCGCTCGATTCGAGTATTGAGGCTTCACCAGTACATGGCCAACAACAGTTATTCTTAGATGCAACTGGGCCGAATGACGGCGAGTCGGGTACCTGGAGGAAATGACCGGGACCCAAGATAGGAGGGTGGGCCGCTCGGAGCTAGCCAACAAGCTCAAAACGGCCAGGTACAACAAATAAGGTCCTTGTCGGGGTCGGGGGGAAGGACAGATAATCCATTTGCCGGATCTGAGGCGAAAGCAGCCAGGTAAGAGCCATCGGTGGGGCGCATCAGGCGCACTGACTGGACACTGAGCCGTAACCCCCCTGTCTCTGGAAACTACCACTGCAGTAAGGTATTTCGAGGCCACGATTGTCAAAAGAAAGTGACTGACTGCAGTGACCCGACACAGGACACAGGACACAGCACCAACCCGAGCCACAGAGCTGCTTGCTGTTCTTTCTCACCCTTTCCGTCTTCTTCTTATTTTCATTTACACAACCAGTCTTGTCCTGTATTGACACGACCACTTCTCCGTGCCGGCTACGCCGCTCGTTCCTTTACCAATTCCATCCTTCGCGACACTCTCTTTGACGTGGCATCTTCGGCGCAACATCACCATACTGCTGCTGCCCCAATCCCGTCCTCACCCACGCATTCCAGAGCTCTCGAGCTCGCCACATCGTCAACATGAGTTCCGACTACTCGTATGACGCCGAGGCGCAATTCTACCCATTCTTCATCCTCGCCATTAGCAGCATCATCACGCTGCCCCTCGGCTACACACTCGTCTTCCCCTCCAAGGACATCGAAGCGAAAGCCCCGCGCATTCAGAGCGACTACAAGCCCGAACATGCCGACTTGATCGAAAGACAGCGCAAGGCGCACCAGAAGAAACAGCGCCGCATCGTGCGCGTCATCTTCGTCATCCTCGGCTTGGCCCTCATGGCTGGCATGGTCTACCTCATCCTCCACGTTCAGACCGTGACACCCAAGATCTGGAACCCCTACGACATCCTCGGCATTTCCGACGTATGTCTTCCTGCCCGTCGCACCTTGCTTCGTGTACTGACCATCCTTTAGTCTGCCGATGAGAGGCAAATCAAGAAAGTCTACAGAAAGCTCTCCCAAAGACTGCACCCCGACAAGGTCAAGCCCGACCCGGCCAAGAACGAGACCATCGAATCCCTCAACGCCGCCTACGTCGAGATTTCAAAGGCATACCAGGCGCTCACCGACGAGGACGTCCGCAACAACTACATTCAATATGGCCACCCCGACGGAAAGCAGAGCTTCAGCATCGGTATTGCGCTCCCCAAGTTCATGGTCTCCGACGGCAACGGCAAGTATGTCGTTCTTGCCTACACTCTGCTTCTCGGTGTTCTCCTGCCGTACCTGGTCGGTTCCTGGTGGTACGGCACTCAGCGCATGTCCAAGGACGGCGTGCTCATGGAGAGCGCCAACAACCTGTTCCGCGCTTACGACGACAACGTTGACGAGGGTGGTGTCATTACTGCTCTCAGCAGCGGTAAGGAGTTCGAGGCTGTTCTCAAGGGCGACAAGGCCGAGTCTGGTCTTTCCAAGCTCGAGTCCAAGCTCCTCGCCAACGCTGAGAAGGCGGGTCTCTCCCAGAAGGACAAGCAGGCTCTCGAGGACCTCGACAGTGGTGTGCGCCGCAAGGCTCTTGCGCTTCTGTGGTCCTACATTGGTCGCATCGAGCTCGAAGATGATGCCCTGAACAGCGCCAAGTACGAAGTTGCCCCCATCGCCCACGCCCTCACCAAGTCTTTCTCCGCCATCGCCCAGGCTTACGGCAGCACCGGCCCCATTCTGGCCGCCTACTCAACCAGCCAGCACCTCATCCAGGCTCTGCCTCCCAAGTCCTCTCCTCTTCTTCAGCTTCCTCACTTCACCCAGGACATTGTCCGCGCCGTTGAGGGCGGCGACGAGAAGGTTCACGTCTCTCTCCAGCAGTTCATGGATCTTCCCGACAACCTCCGCAGAAACCTCACAGTTCGCAACGGTCTCCTCACTGAGGATCAGTACAAGTCAGCGGTCAGCGTCGCTCGTCAGCTCCCCCAACTTCGCGTTGCCAAGGCCTTCTTCAAGGTCACCGGCGAGCGCTTCATCATTCCCTCCTCTCTCGTCACCCTGGTCGTCAAGGGCCGCATCGTCCCTCCTGGAAGCGAAAACGTACCCGAAATCAACGAATTGGATCTGGAAGACATTGACCCGGCGGAAGACGACCTCGAGGCCTTCCTGGGCCGCAAGAAGACTACCAAGGGTCCTGACGGCAAGCCTACTCCCGTTGACGACAAGCCGATTCTGCCTCCTCTCGCCCACGCCCCCTACTTCGCCCGCGACCACGCCCCCAAGTGGTATGTCTTCTTGACCGACTCTAAGCAAGGCAAGATGGCTGTTCCTCCCTTCACCTTCACCCAGTTCGACCAGCCCATCTTTGGCGAGGACGGCAAGCCCACTTTCAACATGCAGACCCTCAAGGCCCAATTCGCCGCGCCTCCCCAGGCCGGTCACTACACTTTTGTCATGCACGTCGTGTGCGACAGCTACGTTGGCTTCGATACCAAGATGGAGGTAACCTTGGTAGTGGAGGAAGCCAACAAGGCTGCCGAAATGGTCGCCGAGGACGAGATTAGCGAACCTGATGAGGGTAAGTCAAACTTGATGACCCCGCCAGAAGTGCAAGCACTAACAGGACAACCAGACTCGATAGCTGGCCAGATGCAAGCCCTCAAGGGCGGAAGCGTACCGGGCGCCACCAAGCCCCGCAGGAAAGCGGCCGAAGAGGACTCGGACGAGGAGAGCGGCACCGATGACGACATTGAAGACGACACAAGCGAGACAAACACGGATACCGAGGACGAGTCATAGAGGACCTCTTCCGTGTAGGATTTGTACGAGGAGGCGCAAGAGTTTCTATAAAGAAAAGAGAAAAAGATCAGGGAGGAAGTGAGTGGTTAGGACTCGCAAAACAAATATACCCCAAGTCACAACAATGAACAAACACCCACACATGTGGCTGGGCTTGACGCTCGGCGGTTCTCGTCCACGGCGTTGGAGCATCGGAGAGAGAGAAGTATAATTGGGGGGGGGTCATGTACGGGGGAGAGACAGAGCGTGTCGTCAGCGTTTTGACATGGTCTTGTGTGCATATGGTGCTCGGCGCCTTACCAAGCGTACATAGATAACCGGCGTTGTTCAGGTAGTTTCGTTGTGTTTGGGGACACATCATTACTGGGTTTCTTGATTAATTCACACGCAAAGTTTTCAACGGTCCTTCACACACTCAGTGACACACCGGTGAAGATCGGTCGCTTGAAAATGCTGTCATCATATTGCGTCCAGTAGTACGCCTCGATGTACATGACCAAACAAAACAGCCGCCCACGATTGACTTGGGTTTAGGAGGAACGCCGTTATCGCCACCTCCTGGAAATGCAACAAAAAACACACACAATCATGTACAATGAATCCCTCCTCCTTCACATCTGAATATCTGCTTGCCCCATCCCAAGCAACCGGGTATTTGTTTGTAGGAAGAAAGTGCTGCGCCACAGCTCCCGACGCCGCCATCCCCCGGAACAGAAGAAACTCACTCCTCTTACTCACTAAGCGCCTGGAGCGCCTGCGTCAGGGGGACGACGCGCAGACTGCGACCGCGCTTGAGGGGGCTGGAGCTCCCGCTGCGCTGGGGCATGATGGTGGGGCTGGCCTCGTCGCGCCACTTGCGGAAGACGCTCTTGAGGTCCTTGGGGATGCCCTCGAGCACGACGGTGGAGATGGGGATGAAGGGACGGTCCTCCATGCCGCTGGCGAGGATGGCGTACTCCTGGGCGAAGTCGAGGGCGATGCGGAATGAGCTGTACTGGCTCTGGGCGAACTTGCCGACGATGATGTACATCTCGAAGAAGGCGTCTAGGACGTAGATTCCGTGCGGGTCCAGGTCTGTTTGCGTGAATGGAGAAATCTCGACGACCTGGTCGGGGTATGTTAGTCGAAGCATTGTGTAGTGGTGGAGAGATGCATCTTACCTGCTTCTTCGAAGCCGCATCAGACCGGAACAGCCTCTGGCAGTACTTGTCGTAGTTCGGCTTCAAACGCCAGTGGTCCGCGGAATGGGGCTTCGAGCCACCGTTGAAGATGTCCCAGAAGCTATCGGGCTCACTGCCATCATCGATTTCGATGAGCTCGCCCGTCAAGGTCAAGTCCATACCAATGAGACGGGCGCAGCTCTGCTCATCCACATCGCTACCCTTACCCTTCCACAGGTAGCACTTGCCTGAGGTTGCGATCAAGAACGGGAAGCCTGAGCAGAGGCTTGCCGAAGAGAAGTCGACCTCGTCGAAAACGAAGGTAGTCTGGCCAAGAATGCGACGCCCACAGAGCATACTAGGTGCCAGGGAATCGTACTTGGTGCTGGTGCCTCGGCGAGTGATAAGCATGCCGCCGAGTGCCAAGATGAACTCAGGAGTCTCTCTGCCCTGGCGCATCCTCACCACCTCGCCGCGAAGAGATCTAGCTTCCCGGTTCACGAACAAGATAGCATCTTCAACTGTAGCATCCGGAACCTCGTCACCAGCCCAGAAGTACACCTCCGTCGCCTTCCATCCAGCATCATTGGTGAAGGTGGAGGCACAGATGTACATCTCGCGTTCAAACAAAATACGCTCGTTATGCGCAGGGACGGGAATCTTCTTTCCATCACCGGTAATCTGGAAAAGTCGAGCACCTTGGCCCTGAATATTGCGAACACGGGGCTTGTTCATCAAGACCTCGGCGGTGTCAACTCGATATTCCCTTTGTGGTCGCGGCGTGCCGAAGAAGTCATCCAACATGGTTGACACATCCGGTCCCTCCTTGGTTGGAGATCGCATCGGCGAAGCTACAGGTGTTGGAGACGAAGGTTTCGGTGGCAGCGGCAAAGGTCTAGCTGCGGCCTTCGGGGTGACAGTCCTCTCAACAGGAGGTGCTGCGGGCTCAAAACGCGACTTCGACTCAATGGGAGGCGAACTCAACGGCGACCTGACGGGCGACTTCATGGGAGGTGGCGACTTCACTTGAGGAGGAGACTGTGATACAGACCCTCCAAACATGGCGGTGGCGTTCTTGACAGAGACTACAGGGTCGCTGTCAACCTTGTCGTTGGACATCATCTTCTGGGGGGAACTGGGTCTTGAGAGTCTGAGAGGCGCCACATGAGGACTGTACTCGTTGGGTGGCGGGGATCGAATAGGAGAGCGAACTGGAGACCTCGGCCTGGGCTCAGGCAAGGGTCGGCCGAAGGTCTTGACAGGTGCCGGCTCTTCGCGAGATTCCGAAAACGACTTCTTCGGGGAGCTGGGTACGGGTTCTGGTAGAGGCCGCCCAAATGTCTTGACTGGAGAGGCATCCTCGATCTGTTGCGGTGCTGGGCTCGGGGGCTTCTCAAAGACCGGCTTGGACTGGATGCTTGGTGTTGAAACGGGACTTGGCTTCGTCGGGCTCTCCTTCTTAGGGCTATCCAGCTTAGGACTGTCCATCTTAGGGCTCTCCCTTTTAGGGCTCTCCGGCTTGGGGCTGTCCAGCTTGGGACCGTCCATCTTGGGGCTGTCCGGCTTTGGGCTCTCCTTTCTTGGGCTTTCCCGCTTCGGGCTCTCGGCTCTCTGAGGACTCTCGGGCTTGGGACTTGTCGGGTTGTTCTCGTCCAAGAACCTTGACATCCTCTTCATGTCCAACTTCTTAGGTGACGTAGGCTGAGAAACCGGCTCGACCGGCTTCTCTTCTTGAAGTTTAATAGGAGAAGACTGCAACTTCATCGTAGGAGATCGAGTCCTGCGGGTCGGTACAGGGTCTGCGTCCTTCGGACTAAAAGTTGGCTTCTCAGCTGACTTCTCGGCCGGCTTCTCGGCAGGCTGTTCGATATCCTCCGCGGGCTTCCCAATATTCTTCAGAGGGGCTGGCCTGTTCTTGAGGGCAGCTTGAGCCGCCACTTGAGCATGAATTGACGACGGCGCCTCTTTCTGGACACTCTTCTGGGGCTCTTCAACAACAGCAGGTGGCTCTTCCTTGAGAGGTGATGTCGCGGCTGGGCTGGGCTTCGATTCGGGCGGAGGAGAAGAGGTAGTCGTGCCCTTAGTAGGAGCCTTTCTCTTGGGACCGCGAGCACGGCCCTTGGTCATATGCGTCAACTGCGGACCAGGGCCAGTGGGCTCCGAAGCACCGGAGCTTTGCGACTTTTCGGCATCCTTTCCTCCGTTCGGGGCCATAGACGGTGGGCCGCGGGCTAGAAGACCGGCAAGCGCGGGGTTGAAACGGTTGGCCAACCCGCCGGCTGAGGCGCGCCCTTGCAGACGAGCAGGCGCACTCGCCTCTTTCTGGAGACCCGGAGACGTAACCGACTCAGTTGGTGACTTGACGGATCCAGTAGGAGATTTGACCGAGGAAGCTCCCTCGTTAAGCTCATCCTTGGGTCCTTGAGATATCGATTTCGGCCGCCCACTCACAGACTTACGATGTTCGATGGTGTAGTCGGACGTCGGCCTAGAAGAAAGCGATTTGCTAAACTCGGCTTTCTTCAACAAGGCCTCGGGGACCGGGTTCTCAGCAGCGTTTGATTTGCTGCGAGCTATGCCTCTTCCTTGTTCTTGGGCAGCCTTGAAGTCTTCCTTTTTCTTCAAGATAGCGTCCTTGAACTCATCTTTGCGCTCGCTCGGCTTCGGGCCACCAGTCAAATTCAAGCCTGCCTTGCCACGCAGTATGTTGCCCTTGAGTTCGTCTGGGGCAACGTAGTTTTGTGTTTTAGTGCGACGCAAGTTACCGAAAACGTTTGCCAGCTCATTTGGTTGTTCTTTGGAACCCCCCGCGTCACCAGAAGCGTTTCGAGCCTTGAGATTCGCACGGAAATCCTTCTTCGGCGGCGTCTCGGGCTTGACTTTGGCAACGGCCGGGCTGTCGCTGACTGATGATCGCTTCGGAGCCTCTCCTGCTCCAGCCTCTCCTTCGGTCTTGGCGTCATTTGTTGGGCTCTTCATACTGCGGAAGCTGCCTCCGCTGATGCTACCGCTTGGTTTATGCGATGACTCGGTTGGCGGTGCAAAAATACCTTTAAGTCCACTAACAGAAGGCTTGGCGTTGTGTCCACCCATTGGTGACGATCGCATCAGTCCACCGATGTTGACCTCGTGCTTCTGAGATGATACGGATCCAGTTCGGCCAAGATCAACACTTCCGCTGGCAGCCTTCTGGGCTTTTGCTTTGTTAAGTTCAACCATCCACGCAGGCTGATTCGTCGTGGGTGGAGGCTTGGGCTTCGGGGACTCGGGCTTGTTCAGCGCAGTCTCCAGCCAGCTAGCCTTTGTCGGGCTCCATCGTCGGCTATCCATGGTTTTTGAAGGGCTCGATGGTGGCGTCATCTTCTCGTCGTCCTCTTCGGCAGACGGCTTTGGCTCTGGTGCAGCAGACGCAGTAGCAGATGCTTTCGGGGTAGTCTCAACGTCGTCTTCGTCCTCCATCGCACCGTGACGAGAAGCTGGGCGGGACGCGTGGCGGGACGCAGGACGAGATGCAGGGCGAGAGCGGGAACGAGCCCTGCCGGTGCTGGTGGGGGTAGATGCGCCATCACGAATGACCATGCTCTGCGGCCGCGATCGGGACTCCCCCGTCTTGTGAGAAACAACAGAGTCGACGCGTGCGAGTCCAGCAGGCGACGTCACGCTCCATCTCTTCACGCTGTCAGACCTCTTCATCATGGCACTCTGAACAAATCCGCCCATGCCCTTTGTCGGCGAGACGGGTCTGTTTGGTGACATACGGCCCGATCCCGAAGACAGGACGGACGCCCGCCGTGCGGGGTTCTCATTCTCGGAAGATATTTCTGCGGGAGGGTCGAGTCTCTGCGCGCCGGTAAGCGAAAGTGGCGATCCAAGTGACTTGGTAGGGCTCGTCTGCTCTGCTGCGAGGTCTGTCGAGGAGCTACGGCTCATGCCGGGGAGCTGATGGCGCATGGCCGACATGTCGGCGGTATCAGTGTCCTCTACTTGACTCTTGCGACTCGCTGCTGACGCAACACTGGCTCTATCGGCTGTCTGGCGGAACCACGAAGGGTCCTTGGATCCCAATGCCTGGGCAATTTGGTCTTTGGAGAATGTCTGCTCGGTAGCGGAGGCCGGGTCGGAGGTCGGGTTGGGCGACGTCCTGGCTGCGTTCTCAGCGGCGACAACAGACAAGGGACGGCTCTTGGATCGATCCGAGTGCTGTGAATTGGGTCGTCTCTGCCAGGACAACGGCCGGGCTCCTTGTACGCTGCCGGTAGGAGAGGTGACGCTCGTTCGCTTGGTATCGGTATCGAAGGGGGATTCGTTCTCTTTGGTGGGGGAAGTGGAGGAGAAGCTGTCCATAGCCTCAGAAGCCGTAATGCCGCGAGAGCGAGGGCTTCCGGTATGCTCAAGACCAGGCGAAGAGAGCCTTAGATCATCGGAGAGCTGTGTCGTGTTGCGTTGAGACGAGGGTGGTGGGGTATTGGCCGGGGATGACTTCTGAGGGGAAATCGATCGGGCGCGTTCTGCCAACGTTGTCAGAGGCGGGGGTGATGCAATTCTGGCGATCACGACGACGACGAGGAGCGCAGGGGAGGGGGGAAAAAAACAATAGACAGGGTAGAAGCGGATGCACAGAAAACGTGTAGATAATTTTTCTGCAGGGCGCAGGGAAACAATGGACGAAGGACGTGTGTGGTTGTGTGCGTGTGCCTTCTGCAGTGCCGTGGGTTGGTGTCAAGGCGTCGAGGCGTCGCCGCGTCCTGACCAGTGCGGCGGCGGCACCGTCAATAGCTCGGCTTTTTGGTCGATGGCAACCTGAACCTGAAGACAGCGCGGCACCGAGCACTCGCACGAGGATAGTCACGACGTGGAGTAGGATTTGTGCCTTGGCCTAGTTGGGAAAAGAAAGCTTATGAAAAAAACAGGCGAGACACACAGGTGGAAATAGAACAACAACAGACCGTAAGATAAGTGAGGGAGAGCCGCGTGAGATGAGGCGTAGGGGCAATGGAAGTGAGGGACGGGATGGTGAGTACAGTACGGGAGGGCTGAGAGACAACAGAACAGACGGAAACACACGTACCGGCACGGCGAGCCTGGCGTTCCCTCTTCTCCTGTTGGATTTTCTCGTCGAGTTCGCGCTGACGGGCGTCGTCCTCTTCGGTGCGGCGGGCATTCATCTCCTTGACATCTTGCAAAAACTTGGAGACGTCGTCCATGGCTTGTTCCGACATGTCGAGTTGAGAGACAGAGTCATGACACGATTGCGGTGGGGGAAGAATGGAAACAGGTGGCTCTGTATGCGCAGGTAGCTCCCCGGGAGAGAGGACTCTGTATTCCGTGGCAAGGCGAACAAGCGTGGCTTGAAGTGCTTCGGTTGGAGAAGGATATGTTGTCTATTTTTTCCTGCTGTGCTCCTCTCGGGGACGGGATGAGGTAGGTAAGGTAGGCAGATAGGCAAGTAGCGGGACGGGTGCGGTACGAGAAGGTGAGGTACTTCGTCACCACATCGAATCTGGGATGGGACGGGATGGGATGGACGCCGCTTGAGGAGCTAGAGCTGCGCGAAAGCAAGGTACCGGGCGCGGCAGGGTGCACCAGTGCTGGATATTCCGAGGGTTTGGCGGTTGGCGGATGCGTGGTGAGGCTAATGTCTTAGGTAATGCGATAAATGCAGCAATGCGGCCTCGATGGATGGCGGCAGTAAGAGTAAGATACGGGACCTGCGTTTGTTGTTTGGTCTGGCAGAGAGGCACGGAAATACAGCAGCAAATGAGAAGCTGACGGCAGAGTTGAAGGAAGCAGGTTTTTTAGCATGGCAACGAAAGATGCGAACAAGAGTTGCATCCAATCTGACCTTCCTCTTTGCTGCCTTGGGCCCCCAAGTTGCACCGTACCTGACGACAACTTGCCCAGCGTCCAATCATCAATTCAGGAACAGAGAAGCCGACCCAGGCCTGGGCCTCAGACTGACCTGGTGAGGTACCATCAGGCACAGGTGACAGCAGCCGCATAGAGTCGTTGGAACAGACTTCGGGCCCATGCTCCGTGTGATTTCTTTCAAAGTCGGGTCGGACGCTATATGTATCAACAATTTCACTGAAATTGGTTTTTGAATCAATTGCACAAATTTCGTTTCCGAAATGTGCAACTAGCCGTCTCACCTGCGGCTTCTTTGGCTGCAGAAGAAGATCAGCTCAGTCAGCCTAATAGTTTGCAGCCACGGATTGATTTGATTGTTGGCGAAAAAAACAACAACAACAACAGCACAAAGAACCTGAGCTCGTAATCGGTACGTACCTTCCTTGCTCGACGTTCAATCCTAAGGCCAAGACGCCCTGACCACCAGCTTCTCCACACTCGAAGCCCCTGTCTCACATTGGATATCGCTCCAGCTCGCACCTGAGATCCCTTGACTTTGGGCCGCACCAAATTTCGACATTCAAGCATCTCACTGGCTAGCGGATCGTTTCAATCACGTCGTTTCAAACCATGATTTTTCGAAGGGATGTCCTGGCATTCAACGGGGGTCGCCAATTTCTCTGATGCAATGACTTTGAATGTGAACAATACTACCTATATACCTACACTCGACAAACACTGAACATTAACACCTTATCAGGTGCTTCTGCGCTCTACGCTGGGCAGCAGAACCCACAACATCGCATTTACTCCATCCTGCCATCCTTGGTTCCATCTGCATTGCTTCCTTCTTGGGCATCATCGGACCAGCGGGGTCTGAGGCGCAATGGTAAGCACGAAGACGCAGTAAACCAACTTTCTCCATCCAAAAGGGGCTCTTCATCCTCAGCCTCAGCATATATCGGCTTCTGATATTGATCATCTCCTTTGCACCGGCGTGGGCTTGTTCTCCTCGACACCCGGGTCACCCATCTTTCTGCCACCCGTTACACGACGTCGATCCCGACCACCGAACCACCACAGACCTTCGGATCTGGTTCTCCCTGGGGCCGCCCTTCCAGAACACCCTGAGACGCTCTGCCTTCCCTCTTTCGACATGGCCAAGTTCATGCACTCTGTTCTCCAGCGTACCCCGGTTTGCAACGGCGCGTCCGGGAGCTAGTAAATTCAACAACAGCTAGGACATCCTCGCGTGTTGCCAGGTGCAAAAATCTGCTTTCCTCTTCGCGTGGTGGTATGTCAGGCTGCCAAAGCATGGCTCTTCTAGTACAGAAACAGCCTCTTCTTTGCATCTTCCACAACCCATGCCAGGCCCTCCTTGAGATTGGCACCTGTCATCGCACTACACCGCAGGATATGCCAGCGATGTGTCCTGATTGATTCTAGTTGCAACCCCTGGGAAAACGTCAGCGCCTACTCGCAGACCTTGGGTTCTTCAAGACCGACCTCGAGTATTTCCCGCTCATCCATGCAGCCGTTCACGTCGGTTTTGTTGGCAAACACCAGGAGGCTAGCTCCGGATAGTCGCTGCCATCACAGTCAGCCTCGCACAAAAGGAGGGGTCTGCGCTCGACGGACCTCTTCTTGCAACAGGCCATGCAGCTCCTCCTTGCAGTCCTGGATTCTTAGCCGATCCGTGGCGTCGACCACCCAAATCAGCGCATCTGTCTTCTCGAAATAGTTGCGCCAGTACGAGCGCAACGTCTTCTGCCCACCCACGTCCCCTGCGTCGGTCAGAGAGGAATACAGCCGCATCGGAGTATCCACTCACAGATGTTTAGTTTATATCTGTCCCATGTCAGTTGCTGTCGCTTGATTGAGAGAGAGAAGTGCCCACGTACCCGTCGTAGTCGATGGTCTTGATGATGAAGCCCAGAGTTGGGCTCACCGTGTTCACATCCTCGCCCATGATCTTTTTGACTATTGTTGTCTTTCCCGCATTGTCGAGACCCCTGAGCAGCCTGTCAGCGGGACGATACGAGCGGTTGCGTGTTGTAGACTGACAGCATCAGTATACGCATCTCCTTATCCTTGAGACGGGCTTTGCGCAAGATCGACAACATTTCGATGCTGAGTTCAATATAGCTTAGCTGTTTTGGGGAAGGTTAAACGATTCCTGTTGTTCAAAATTTCGATTGCTTGTTGCAGAGCTGCACTTTGCGTTGTCTAAGCGGCTGGTGCAAGTTGCCCATGTTCAGCATGCTGCCTGACTGGGCCAGGTCGAGCACGTGACACCTACTGCATGCGATGTCGGTCTAGCTCGGTGAGCTCTCCAGATGGGCTCCTCACCGACCACACCGAGCCTGTCAATACCACGACCATTTAACCTCACCCCAAGGAGGTCTTAATGCCGTTCATGTCTCCTTCATGAATTTGGAACTTAGTTCAAATTGGCTGTATCCTACTCTTTCCCAAGATCCTCAGATAGAACCGAATGGGTAAGGTCGAGGATTAGTCGTAGGAGGGTTTCAACTCTTAAAGACCAATTCCACATAGAGATCAGATGTCCCTTGTCTAGACGCAGAAATGGATATTGCAAGAAATTCTCAGAGGTAAACTTCATACTTTGCCTTCTCAGAAATAAAGAAAAAGAAGTCTGAGATGGGTTTCCTTAAGGAGACAGAATAGGACGGAAGGTGCTAGTTAAAATGCACCTGCCTTCTTAGATACCTACCCAGAGTCGCTCCTGCCTCTAGTTGAGCCAAATTCAAAGCCCACTCAGCATCCTGACAGCCTAGCCAGCTGTCTTTGTACGTTCACTTTGAAAAATCTTGACTTCGGCCACACTTCCCCCTGGACCTCAAGGACCTTCCAGGCTGCAAGCCTACAGGCCATCCCGCCATCTCCAAGTTGTTTTGCAACGCAAGGATCACAATCGGTTGATGTGGTTGTGCGGTCTTTGAGTACTCACTACTATCCAAATCTTTGAGACAGGCTGGTAAGTACAAACAATAGGCATCATTTAGGGTGTGCAGCCCTTTGTGAGAACCAAATACTGATTAAGCCTGCAAACAGACGATTATTCTTCTTCCACACGCTCTTGGAGGCAGCCTTTCCTCGATCGCAGGAGAAGACCACAATGGACGACAGACAAGACCACGACTATGACGACAAAGACCATCTAGCAAGAGATCCACCCTTTGGCCGTGCCTCTCGCCGATTCGGCAGCCCTTACCCTCATACCATCACCAGTTCTCCTTCTCAAGACAGCAACGTCCACCATAGCACCCCCTCCTCTCCCCCGCAAGTCATGGTCGAACGAAGCGTCAACATCCAGACCCAACCTCATCTTGCTCCATCCCCCGGCAAGAACTCTCCCAGGCCCAGCGGTCCCATCAAGCGGCCCTCCATTCGCTGGGATAAGCAACTTCCCGTTCCAGACCGAAAACGTACTGCATCTGTCGGGTTTAACGCTCCCCCCACCGCCTCGGCATCAGACGCTTCTGTACATACCAACGATCAACTTCACGAAGCCTTCCAGCCGGTTCAGATATCCGAGGACAAAATGGACTCCACTGGATCTTCCCGCCAGCCTACGGCGTTCGGTCGACCCTCTGCACCCATGACTCGACCCTACCGCCAGAACGACGAGGTCGAGAACATCGCAGACGATGACCTACAGTCAGAAAGAGGATCGTCTTGGGAAGTCAGCGTCAACGGAGATGGAGCTTCTGATGATGAATGCGAACCGATTCGCGTCAAAAACAATGACAACAGCCTCTTTCTCCCGCCCAGCCCTTGCATCGCGGAGTGGTTCGACAGTATTCGCAACGAGGCCATTCTTTCGTTTTCCGTGGACATTTCAAAGGTCCCCGATGATTCGGAAGTCAATCCGGAAACCGGCAAAATCAAAGACAAAGAGCCCTACCCTGCGTCTTATGTGGACTTCGAAGAAGAGCAATCGATGAACAAAATCCTGCGTCACCATCGTCTTCACAAGACCAGCAACTGGCTGATTTTTCGAGAGCTAGAGTCCCGCGAGAGGGAGAAGGAGAGGCGAAAGCAGAGAAGAAAGGAACAGGAGCGCTCCAGAGCGAAAGTCGACAATTCTCGGCAGCGTGCTCTAGTGCGCACAACCAACAAGCAGCCAACGACTGTCTTTAAGGATGGTCCGCTTAGTGACTGCGTTCTCCGCCCTGCACTGCTCAGCGACGCAAGAGGTTGCGCAGATATCTACAACCTCGCCGTCGAGACCAACGCAACTGTTCCAGGCACCAATTCAGTGTCTATTCATAAGTTCGAGTCTTTCCTCAACGACTGCAAGAGAGAGAAGCTTCCATCTGTGGTTGCTGCTGTACAGAGAGCCGACTTGACCGATGTGAGAAACTGGCCCTCCACTGATGCCTACCGCCAGTACATGAAGTGGAGGCAAACACAGCCAAAGGGAGACGAGTCCTTCGACACCAAAATTTACGGATTCGCCTTTTTGGAACCCTACGAGAAGGGTCCCGCCTTTGGAACGGGCGCGGCTACGGAGACCGTCAAAGCTGTCGTCTTCGTTCACCCAGAGCATCGTCGAAACGGGATCGGAAGTGCTCTGCTTCACCGACTCCTCACTCAAACTTCGTTCATGTACCATGGCGATGTTCGATATGAGTGGATCGACCCTGCTGCCGTTGAGGACTCCTTCTACGTTCCTTACTTCCGGCCTATTCACCGTAGGTTTTCCAGCACTTTCTACACCTTCGTTGAAAACCACCGAGCTAACCTAGATTCCAAGGTATTGTGTTGCATGGCATGGTCGGGGGAGAGGGCACGGAGCTCCAGTGGATGGACAAATTCATGAAGTCGTTCCAGTTCGACAAGGCCGGACACCTCAACCAGATCTACAAGGTGACTAAACCACATGGAATTGACTGGTACGATCAAGTCATCTGGGTTCACTGGGCCAACAAGATCAACACTGGACAGACGTTCTACGCGGGGGACGAGTCGGAGTGCTCTTACGACTACCCTGGAAAAGCGCAGTCGCCCGTTCTCCCGCCTCAGAAACTTCTGGAGTATCCGAACGGTCCTGACTGTGAGAGCGACGGGGCTTACTCTTACTGAGAGTCGTGATGTTGGAAAACATTGATGAAGTCAATTGATGACGAAACTGCTGCCATGCTAAGCTGCTTTGATGGTAAGTTGCTCATCTGCACTGGCCACAGACGAGGATCGCTAACCCTCAAAATTTTAGGCACTCCAAATCCACATCCAGTTGCGTTTGAGCTCTGAAAAAGAAGTCAAGGATGTTCGGACACCAACGATGGATTCCATAATGGAGGGGGGCCGGCCACTGGATCGATTCCTTTGTCTGCGGAGACGAGGAGCACGCACTCAACCGACCAGTACCAGGACCGTTTTCTTCATCGTACCCCTTCTCTGGGACTCACTTTCTTTGTTGCTCGGAAATTAATATCATTGTTTGTCAAAGTATAGCATGTATCTCGGAAGCGAGCCCGAGACCTCATCCGTGGGAAGGATGGATCGGAAAATTGGCGTGGAAGAATTTGCTGAGAACAGGTTATGAAAAGACCGTCATTGTCGCACTTGCTGGACCCAAACAATGGGAGAAGAACACGAACGAAATTTCATCCACAAGAGGGACTACCTCTTGAGAGTTGATGGTCACTTAGCATCGGCTAGTTATGGACAGGTAGACAAATCTCGTCTTTGAAAGAACATCGAGGTGATGCTTGTCGGTTCCTAAAGCGACAACCGACTTACATCTTGCAGAAAACCGTTCGTACTCAAAGCAAACAGAACAAAAGGCACCAGTGAACCTACCGATACTCACCAATCTCCCAAACAGAAATCCAAAACCAGACCATCCAAGTATTTCCCCCGAAACTTACCAAGAATACCTACCTCCGCGTCGACCCAGACGCAACAGTCGTAGCATCATCGTCGTAAACATCTCGTCCTCCCCTCATAAGGTCCACGACCCCCCGATACAAATCGCTCTGAACGGGCTGGAGCCCGGCTTCTTCTTCCGAGTAGACCGACGACGTCCACGACGACGTGCTGGCCCGTCTCGACCGTCCCGCGGTTGAGTGGTGCGAGACTGAAGGCGCGGTGCTCGGAGCTGTTCTACTGCTGCTTCTCGGGTGGTCTGGCTCTCTTGTCGAGGGTGCCCTGCTGCCATTGGTGCGCGTGCTCGAGGCTGTTCTACTGCTGCTGCTGCTCGTACTTTCTGGTTCTCTTGTCGAGGGCGGTACCCGGCTGCTGTTGTGGCGCGTGCTCGGGGCTCTGCTGCTGCTGCTTCTTCCTCGGCCGTTTCCGGGTACCTCGCGACGACCGGAGTCGTTCAAGCTCAGGGCAGCAAACCTCGTCTGCCACGCATCTCGCGCCGTGGCGGCGGCCTCGCTCACATCCTCCTGAGGCCGAGTCCTACCAGCAGCCGGTGCCGTCGAAGGCCTGCTGTTGGCTGCTGCTGCTGCTGCTGCTGCTGCTGCTGTTGTGGGTTCACGTGTCACGGGATTATTCACGGGACGGGGAGGGGGAGAACTCACTGCATCGCTTGCGCGGGAGCTGGGACGGTTAGTACGGCTGGTGGTGGTGTTAGACCGGTGGTGGTCCGTTGAACTTGCCGGCCTGTTTCTGCTGCTGCTGCTGTTTTGGCGGTGGACGTCGTTGGAGCCGCCGCTGGCCGCCGCTAGCTCTTGGAGCTGCGAGCGGGCGCGGGATTCTCGATGGGCCATTGACGGCGGGATGGAGGAGCTGGAGGGGGCAGTGGATGGGGGCGGCTGGGGGCGGAGGTCGCCGCCGAGGGTCTCGATGCGGACGGCGCTGAGCCTGGATTGCTCTTCTTTGCGAGGCGCGCTGCTCGGGCGAGATCTGGATGACGGCCTGGATTGCTCTTCTCGGCGAGGCGTGCTGCTCGGACGAGATCTGGATGACGGCCTGGAACTGGCGGTTTCGGATTCGGCGGGCTGGGTTCTCGATGAGCTGGCGGGTTCGGGGCGCGGCTCCGCTGGGCGCCTGCGCTGGCTTCGACTTGGCGTGGACTCTCTTCGCGGAGCGTCCCTGGCAGTCGACGTGCTACGCTCAGGTGTCTGTGATGTGTCTCTCGCCAATGTGCGGGTTTCGCTTACCTGAGTCCTGGAGGGAGCGCCCGATATGCGGAAGGCAGGGTGCACCGAGGCGCTGTCGAAACCCTGGCCGCTGCTCAGCGCGGCCTGACGCTCATAAAAGCTGTTCATCTGCTCCGTCCAGGCCGGGGTCCCTACGTTAGCATCATCAGCACCATCATCTGTATTGTAGCGATCATCTGTATGGTGTTCGTGTTCGTCATCGAAGGGATTCGTATGTCTGCTGCTGGGCGTTTCGGGTATGCATGAGGAGGGGCTCATAGGGCGCTGGTTCGATGTGTTTGGGACGTGCTGGCCAAAACGAGTGCTGGCGATCGTGTCGGAGGGTGTCGATGATGAGTTTCCAGATTTCGGGGCCCAAGCACTCTTGGGTGGAAGCGGCACATTTGAATCGTCCTTGTGCTTTGCCTTGGAATACGGGACGCTCTTCCCGGCCTGTCGATATGCCTCTCGTCTCTGATGGCGTCTGACACCGATCTCGTGGCGGATCCGCCGAAGGTCCTCGGCCAACACCGCGCTCTTGACTTTGAGATCAACAACTATTTGATCACCGGCTTTCTGCTCAAAAGCGTCTATCCATGCGTCCACGACCTTGAGAAAGATGGGGGTAGCGTTTTCGGCACGGGAAAGCAAATGAGCGCGGAGGTCGACAAGCAAACGGGTATCCCCGCCGACGACGGCACATATACACGCCTCGCACTGCGATTCCACCTTCTCCATCATCACGGGAGGGTATTTGTACAACTGCTCGAAGAATTGGCGGTCCATCCACAGAGCCTGAATGCTGGTGATACGGCAGACCAGTTCTTGGAAAGAGGGGTCCTTGGCGAGGTCGGAGTTGTTCCTCATGATCCGGCGCAGGCGTTCGAACTTGTCCGTCACCTCGGAGACAAGCAGTTCAAAGAGAGCGCGAACACGCCAGGGGTTCAGAGACTTGTGCGCTGTACAGAGCACCGCCGCGTCGGGAACGAAGGGGAGCGACTGCTTTACGCTCACCTTCATCAGGCCTCGCGTCACCAAGTCCATCATGTTCAGAGAGTCGGACTTCGGACGGAGCAAGACGCTCGGCAAATCGCGCAGCCGTGTCTCTTGCTCCTCGAGCCATTTTTGAGAGGGACGAGCGATGCTGTCGTCTGCTGGGAGGGAAAGATAGAGTGCGAGTCTCTTGAGACTGCCATAGGTCAGCTCGTTGATAAGTTGGTTGGACATTGCTGCGATGCTTCAGATTTCTGCCGAGATAGCGGGTTCAATGGACGATTGAAAGGTGGTGGCGGGATAATGGTATCTTGATATTTTCGTGTGTCTGTTGAGTATGATGAATTCTTGTGCCAAAGTCGAGCGACGAGAGAGCTCTTTCTATATTGGCGGCGACATAGTCATGTCGCAGGCGACAGAAACAACTCATTCTGGCTAGATATCTCCTTCTTTGAACGGATTCGATCACTGACAATGACGTTTCTTTCGAGACCCACGCTGAGCGAGGAGAGAAAGCGCATTGCGACAAGCACAACACCCATGAGTTACAGTAGAACAAAACGGCCGTATCGTTAGTCTTTGTTGTATGTATGAGAGCCTTGTGTTGATACATTGCGAGCAATAATTGTACAAAGGTACACTGCGGCCGAAGCCAAAAGATGCACCCTCGCTGCAAGGTTGTCGTAAGTTGCTCAGACTGCTGGAATTCTCAAACTTAGTTCGTTGCAACTGGGTCACGTGTGCAATCTAGCGAAGGTGTCGGACTGCACTCAAGTGATGTTTTTCTTTTCGAGAAACGATTCATGCAAACGAAGGATGGACCCCTAAAAATGCGTAAGCAACAAACTCTAAGGGGAACGGAAACCGTCTTGCACTTACAACACCATACCGTACAGTCTACGGAGCGCTGCCCATAATGTTCCGTGCAATCGAAGTGGGACCAACGAAATGACAAGCCATACAAGCTCGCCGTGGCTAGGAGAATCGCTCTATTGGGCCTGGCGATAAGGCACGCTCTCTCAATGAGACATCTCTACTAAGCAACGTCTGTTCCGCGCACGGATTGATCGTATCTGGTTTACTCAATCGCGTTGCTGCGAGTTCCCTATCCAACCCAAAGAATAAAACCCCATCGTCCTACGTTCCATCAAGCCTGCTACCAGAGGCGGAACGGACCGGCCTCATGAGAAGCCTATGCCAATAAAATCAAGTTGCAAGAGCGCCATGTCCCTGGTCCTTCCCACATCGTACAGACCTGATATCAAACCGGACAACTCCCATATCATGCTCGACTTTGTTCGTTATAGACGTAAGGGTTTGAAAGTAATGGCTCAGTATAGCTAAGGAAAATCATGTGTGTGTCCTGTGAGACTCTTCGGATCTCATCCGCTCCAGCCGAATCTTGGCAGCCTCAGTACCATCGTCTGGCGTCGCCGGCTCCTTAAACCAGGGGTGCTGCAACGCTTGCTTCGCCGTGATGCGTTGTGAAGGATCGTAAACGAAAATCTTCCTGAGAAGGTCCAAGAAGTTCTTGAAGTAGGTCGTGTTCGAAGGGATAATATCCTGGTCCATGTTAGCCAACCGTTTTCGTAGCGTGACTGGGAGATCCAACCTCGAGGCGCTTCATGGCCTTTACAAATCTTTTGGATGCGCGTGTTGTCTCTGCAGTGGGATAGTCGAGCTTGAGCCGCTTGAAGTACCTTGAAGTTCAGTGTTAGTATAGAATCACCTCGTCAGACAACGCAGGCACTTACTTGGAGGCCGGGTTTCCGCCGCTTCTTGTGGCCATCTTATTGACAGCCTGAACAAGCGTAGAGTCAATCCTGTGGCCAACAACCATCTCCATCATTGCCAGATGCTCGAGATTATCGTGTGTCTGGAAGAGGGCATCGCCGGTGAAGAATTCCACGAGGATACAGCCAATGCTCCAAATGTCGCAAGGGAATGACCAACCAAGCCCCAGGATGATCTCTGGCGCCCTGTAGTGCCGAGTAGATACCACGGAGCTGTGGTACTCATCTTGGAAGGTGGCCGAGCCGAAGTCAATCAATCGAATCTCGGTGTCGAGCAAGACTCGGCGCTGGGTCGCGTTGCGGTTGACAGTCTGGGATGACGAGGGTATCTTTCGGTTGTAGGTGAATGTCTGGTAAGCACTGTCGCAAAGCAGGATGTTTTCCGGCTTCAAATCCGTGTGGATGAGGTTGAGATCGTGGAGGACTGGATACATGTTAGTGCACGCAACAAATTGCGGCGGGAATGCAGAATAAACTTACAGGCCACGCTGGTGAAGAGTTGACGAGCAAAACTTTGGATTTGGCTGTTAGGGAAAGGGACAAATTGATTGCTCTTCAGGAAATCGAAAACGCTCTGTCCAAGGAGGTCCATGACGATGCAGATGTGGCCCCTGTAGTCGAAACAGTCCTTCAAGTGGATACAACGATTGCGGTTCTCGCTGTCGTTTTGTCTGAGTGTTTCCAAGACCTTGAGCTCTATTCTCGAGGCATCTCGGTACTTTTGCACCGAGCGAATGATTTTGATGGCGACTGCTTTGTTTCTTCTGCGGTCTCGAGCCTGAACGACTTTACCGAAAGTGCCCTGACCAAGCAGTTTTACCATTTGGTCTACGATGATGTTAGCGCAGTACTTGAACAATTAGGATGAGGCACCTTACATCTGTCGGTCAAGTCGGCATCAGGGACAACAATGTAATGCCCATCATCGTCGTCGACCTTGGCGTTCTTGTTGTAGACGTGCTGGTGATAAATTAGCCGGATTACTCGACGAGGAGGTTAGGGGCGGTACGCACATCATGAACGACCTTAACGTTCACTTCTGGCGCCTTCTTGGGAGGGAAAGGAGGAGGCTTGTACGTCGGGAAGGGATCTGCGAGTTCGACTTCTCGCTTCTTTGCCTCTTGAGCGATCTGCTGTCGAGTTCGCTTCCGCTTCTGACCCGGCTGTGCGTCATAGTAGTCCTGACCGTTGGCAGAAAGGGATGTGGGAGCGGTTGTGTGAACCCCGGAGCTCGTCGTCCGATCGCTAGAAATGGTGGATCCGTTGGGAGTGCCGTTCTGGCGAGGAGTGCTTGTGTGAGAGCCGGCGTACTTGTTGTGGTAGACCGGATCGTACGGGGGCTCATCGTCTCGCTTTCTCTTTTTGGGGACGGGACGGGTGCTCGATGCACCATTGGTGGTGATGCCATTGGCAGTGCCGTTGGACACGACCCTTACACCGTTGCCGGTTGCTTTGCCTTGTTCGGGCTCGGGTGTGTCGTCAATGACGATGACTTCCCTGGGCAGGCCGTTCTCATAGAATTTGTTCCAATCGGGGCCCTTCGATCGTCTTCGCTTGCGACCGGAGGAGGACTGGGAAGACTGGGCATGAGAGGCAGGCATTGCAGTGACCGAGTAATTCGCGTCCGGACTCGAAGCGTCGTGGATGATCCTCGAAGTGGCAGACGAGGCTGAAAGGCCTAGGCCATTTGAACCGGCGTGACTTGCAGACGAAGAAGTCGCGTATGGCACGCTCGAGTGGTTCGAATAGGCGGGAGGCAATCTCGTCGTCGCCGTGGACGAAGAAGTGGGGAGGATTGGGTTCGCTGGCTGACGGTAGGAAGAGCCGGTGGCGGTTGACGCTTGGTACGACTGGTGTGAGTAAGGATAATGGGGATGATGGTAATGGGAGTGAGGAGGTAATGTCGCTGTAGCCGTGGTCGGTGTCGACATGATTCTCCTCGTCTAGGCCCGTTGTCGTGAGGTCACTGAGGGAGAAGGAGCGATGGGCGAAAGAAAGAAGGTTGACGGTCGAGGGAAGGCAAGACGGCGGGTGGTGTTTCGCACGCAGTGCCCTCTCTGTTGCCGACGGGTGTATGTTGGTGCTGGGCGCTGGGTGCTTGGTACGTGCCCAGTAGTGCTGGGGGGGGACTCTCTCAAATCCAAACAGTGGAGGCGTTCGGCTGGCCCAAGGCAATTTTGGGGGGAGGACAAGAGGACGGGAAGAGAGGGAGAAATGGCACCTCAGTGTCCAGCGTTCATCAGAGTGCCCTCGCTGTGTGCGTGTGTGTGTGCCCGCGTGTGGCTCTTGGGGTTTCTTGGGGTAGGGGTGCTGAACCAGCAGTAAAGGTAGTCAAGGACTGACTGAATGCTGGATGCTGGGTAGAAAGCACCGTTCTGGGTCGGCGTCTGCGTCTGCGTCTGCGTCTGCTGCGGCACCGCTAAACTCGAAAAGGCTTCAAGGGTCTTCGGCGTGGGTTTCCCGAGTCGTGCACAACCTGTGGCTGGTACGTTGCGTTCGGTCTGGGATCGTTGAAGAGGTAGCGTTGAGGTTTCGGGTCAGTCGAACGGGTTGGTTTCGTTGGAGAAAGCGACGTGCTACATCGAAGCAAGCAAAATATGCTGTCGTCGAAAACTGCGAGAAACAGATGTGGAGGGAGGGAGAAGGGAGGAGGAGGAGCTGAGAGAAAAACAAGCCGTCGGTGGTCGTTGTGTTCAAAAGTGACGAGGTTCCGAGGGATGACGGCTGGGTTGCTGGCTCGTCGGTGGGAGTTGGTGGAGGGCCCTCACAGTGGATGGGAGGCGACCAATGTGGGGAATTTGGGACTTGGTAAGGTACACAGAGGCCTGTAGTGTGAGAGCGAGCGAGGGCGACCAAGGCTTGGGCGTGGTGGGCGTGGTGGGCGTGTGCGTGGGCGTTGTCGTTGGCGTGGACGACGGGACGCGGTTGTAGGGTGTGTATGTCCGTGGAAGTGGAAGTGGAATTGGAAGTTGACGAAGGGGGGAGGGTGAACGTGAGTACTTTGCAGTTGCGGTGTTTTTGGTGCAATCGAGGCGTACCGTATCTTTTGGCGTCGAGGTGCGTACTATTGCTACCTACCTATTGCTATTGAAAGCAGACCAGAAAGAAAGCCCGAGGAACAAGATTCCGTTATTTTGAGGGGTCCAGTTAAGCCCACTCCAAAGTCCCAAGACGGTATATAATGGACGGTCACGACAAGGAAGATACGTGATAATTAGAGACTTGTCGAGTCGAAGTCATGGCATAAAATCACGTCTCACCATATGACTGAGGTTGCTATTTCTCCTTGGTGCACTCAGCACTCACTACCTGAGGCACTTGTGACTTCTCACTTTAAGACGTTAGTTTGGCCTGAGGAGTCGAGGCGAAGCGAAGTGCAAGGCACGGGCGATGCAACCTGGACAGAAACCGGAAGGCGCTGAGAGCGGCGTTCCTTACATAAGGCAGGTACTTTCTTTTGGCTGCATGTTGACGTCTCGACAGAGGTATATGGTCCGGGCGTCGGGGCAGAAGTTTCCTGACATCGTGCAGTGCAGTGCAGTGCAGGACGGACGGTAGAGGCGAGGCATTGAGGAACTCAAGATTCAAGGACACCTCATGTCCATCATTGACGTGAGCGCTGATATGAGGGGCTTCTCAGTGTGATTCGGTCATTTACAGACGCAATGGGACCCATAAGATACGACTCCAGCTCCCTGATGTGAGGGCTAAGCGAGCGTCGGGGATATGGTTCTAACTTCTCTCACTCCCAAATTACTAGAGGTGCAGCCGGGTATCATGAGGATGAGGATGAGATGGTACCTTTCGGAGAGTGTTTTGGGTGCCTTCGAGGGAAGTCTTTCCGTGCTTTAGCCTCCCCTCCACTGTAGATCCGGCGGGGACCAGGGCCTGTCAGTGATGTGAACTTGCCTGGGTGCCCTTCATTTTCGGTCTCTATTCCCTGGATCCGTACCCGGGGTCTTTCCTTTTTGAAGCCGTCGTGTTTCCCACCGTTTTCGTGGGTTCGAGTTTCGACATCCGTCGTCTTTGTACAGGTGAGGAACTCGGAAGACATGGACCAGAGAACCGTGGCATGGCAGCCGCGCTAAGGCAGCAATCAAAGAAACCAACTGCCTCCAGCTTACCTCAGTACGGATACCTATCCCAGCCGTACCGGGAAGGAAGGAGGAAGGAAGCGGCACATATTCGTACTCGTCCTGTCCGTATGGCCGGATTTCGCGCTGGTGGCGGCTGGTGGAGCAGTGTTCTTAAACAACGCACACTGTGTTTTACTCGTTCCCGTGCCTATCTGTACCGTGCGAATAAAGCTCATCTGTATCACACTCAATTCCCGTCTCCACAAACGGCCATCATCCACCGTCTCCTCGAACCGGACGTCACCGCAACGCGCTTTCCTTTTCCATACCCGAAAACACACCACCAGTCAAAGCCAGAACCGCCTCTCCATCATCAGTCTTTGCCCGTTCCGCGCTGTGAGCATAAGGCAGCCGATTCCCACCGCGACAGCGACAGCCTGGCCTTCAGCCCTCAGGACGCGAAGCATGCCTCTTGTCAACCAAGATGTCTCAATCTTGACCCGACGCCTGAGCTAGCGCGTCGACCGTCACGGTCACCACCTCTAAATGGTTCACCGTCCCCAGCGCCAGTAACGTCCCCAGCATCGTGGAGACCTGGGCCGGATGACTTCGCCCAAGAACGACCAAAAGTCTCGTCACGCTCGTGAAATCAAGACATGCTGCCTGCAAGTCTCTTCCGTTTCTCCTTCCTCCTCACCCACTTTACGCACTCTGCGGGTCGCTTGGAGTCCGTCCTCCACCGCGGCCTTACATCTGCCAATCTTCCTCCACGACAATTATCCAGAAGGGCTTAGCGTCCCGCCGGCCTGGACACTCGCCTCTTCCGAAGTCACGTCGCGCCTTGTCTGCACGCACTCCAACGACTCGACTCGACGCCTGCACAGATCACTTTGCCTAATGCCTGCATGCACTACACTACTACGGATATTGGTGTGAACCATCTCACGCTGGACTTACCGACAAAAAACTACTATCCAGTCAACTTCAGGCTTGCTATATGCTCTGGCCTGGCCTGGCCTGGTCTGGTCCAAACATAACTGAATTCAGTGATTCACGGAACAAGATGGATGGATGGATGAACGGAACATTGAATGGACGGCTGGGTCCCTGCCAACCGACCCCGGTACTACTCCACGCAAGGCAGCCAGAGCAGAGCCAACCGTACTGCTTACAAAAGAGCGCCTCCAACCGCTTCTCTGCTGCGCAAACCCACCCCAGTCATTATCTGTTGAGCTGATCCGAAATACCATGTCCGTCAAATACGTCAGAAGGGTCGAGGAAAAACACTTGCGATGGGGCTACGGATGGAACCCCGAAGTCTTGCAAACTCTACACTACGGATCCCGATTGCCATCTACGCGAGAAGATTCTTGATGCCTTTTCGGTGCGCTGGCGCTTCTTGCTGGCCATGCCTGCTTGCCCTTGTTTTGCCCTCTCGCTTCACTGCCTCGTGGCAGTTCGGGGCACCGCTGGCTGTCGGGGTTGCAATCCAAACACGCCCCAAAGCATGATCCACACATTCCACGCAGTCGGCCAAGATCTGATCGCAACGAAAAAGCTAAAGAAACACGGCTTGTTACCAACAAGACGGTCGTCAGCGGAAAGATCCAGTACTGGTCCCAGAGAAAGACATGTTTGAAAGCATACCGTACGCCGTCGAACCGCACACAAATATTCTACGTCCTACGAATACGTTCACCCGTCTGTGCTCTGTTCTCGTCGCCGTCCTCTCTCCGGCAGCTTCCTGGTGCCGTGCACGCACATATCGTCTCCTCAAGCACATCCTAGCGTCTAGATCCTTGCCTCCCGTCCAGAGATGCGCCAATGACGCCCTGGGACAACCAGAAACCTTCAACCGTGACCGGCCAACCACAGACGCAGCTCATAACGGGGAGAAGAGGAAGGGCAACGGCCATCACGACCATCAACAACTGGAAAAGACGAAGGTGGTGATCTCAGAATCAGCCAAAACTGCTGCCAGAGGAGGCTCTGCAGTTTCCTCTCATAGGACAAAGCGATAGGCAGCGGTTATCCGTACGGGTCCACACAGTTACCAGCCAGCTCATCCCTCGGTCTCAACCAACATGGCGCTGCAGAAGTCACAATTCTCACCACCTCAAATCCCCACTGCAGGACGTCACGACCTCTCCTCTTCAACGCAATTGAACTGCATCAACGTACCTGGAATCTTTCCTTTGCTTTCCTGCCTGTCTGTTGTGCTCACCACAAACAAATGGCATTGAGGGGAGATGGTCCACTATCACGGTGACATTTCTTCACGGCCTCTGCAAAGTGTCCCTATTCGGTACGTGGCGTAAAGTGCCTGCATGACTCCATGACATTGAATCCGTGGCAACCGAGACCAGACAAGCATCAGCCTAGATACGGTGCCTCGCGGCGAAACATTGGTGATGGGAAGCCCAGCACCTGCCTATATTTCCCCTCATTAACAACGGAAGTACAGCTGGGATCGCTTGTTAGTTGTTTCTGTCAACATTGACGCTCACGGGCAACGGAGCATTACACCCGATATACGAACGCCGGCGAACCTGTTCAACGTGGGCTCGAGGCACGAAATTCTTCGTTCTGGGCCCCTGCTTCATCCCAGGCTGAGGACGACGATGCCATCTGCCACCCCAACTGACGGCTGTGAAGTTTCAGCTCTTCAAGCGTAAACAAGCCGCCGGATCACTCAGCTTTCTCGCCTGTTTCTCCCCGCTACCGACCCCATGCTTATGTCACTCTGTCTCCCGCATGGCTCCTTGAAGACTTGACATCCTGGTTGTATCGCCAGTCAGCTCTCGAGTCCGTCCGAAAAAACAACCTCGATTATTGCACCCGGCAGCCAACATATGTATCAGTCTCGGATTGAACCTTGTCTTCCACCAACAACCCGTCACCAGGATCCAAATTAAGAAGCCCCCAGGGCGGGACAGAAAACGCAGAATCGCCCTAGAAAAAGGTTAAAATGCGAGACCGCGGCCAATGATGCCAATCAACGCAAAAAGTCTCTTTGTTGCTGAGGCTTGACTAGCAGTCGAAGCTCCTATGCTGGCTTTTCAACTCGACCATGGACTCAGATCATTTTCACCGCACAGGCAGCTGGCGCAACGACGTCCTCGAAATAGCCTTGGGACAAAACGGGCCGCCATGGGAACGGACTAGAAGGGCGGAAGACGCCTCGTGAGATACCGTCACATCGCGGACGGTGCCATTGGGACCTACTTCTTCCGCCAGGCGCTTCAAGCCTCAACAACCCATAACCCCGCAAACCCCTCCTCGTCTCTCTTGGCCCGGTGGCGATTCCCTAGCCAAGCGCAGCATCCCAAGCTGACCCGATGTGGTGTGCCGGTGGCACCAATCGCCGCCCATCGGTATGATTTGTTGACGTTACAATCTCATGGAAGCGGAGCCGTCGTCACGGCATATGGTTACCCGTCGGCCAGTATTTCGTAGGTCATTCATCGCAAAAGAAGTCGTCTGAACATACAGAGACACACACACATAATCGTCGTCAGCAACAGCAACGACAACCTCCGACTGCCCACCGGCAGCTGAAACGGCTTACACTGGCATACCTGTGTTTGCGGCATGTCGAAGCTTACCTCGGGCTTTCTCTGAGGCTGCTTGGTTGACTGTGGCTGCGGAGGACGCCCGACTGCGCCATTCCACCGCGCCGTCACTACTCGGCGAATCCTACGCCGTCCCAAGCCTCTGGCACCTCGCCTCACTCTCGAACCCGAACCTAACTCTGCGAATGCGATAACACCACGAAACACTCCTCGAGATTCACGACGCCCTCCGCTGATTCCCAGCCAGCTTGCCAAGAACGGCTGACTTGCGATCAAATCATTACGGCTTTCTATAGGGTCCTCTACCTAGTGTAACCATGAGTCTCTAAGCAGGCTACATAGCCGACATGTGCGTCTCTGGCTAGAACGTCTAGATGACGAAGGCCTCATCAGCGGCCGCACCCTTTGTGCAGCCTGATCTCTCAGCCCGTTGACCACGGAGCGAAGCCGGACACTATCGGCGGGGCCTCCGTGCCAAGCAGAAACCTGGGGGCGTGAAACGCTTTTCACATCCGATCTGACACCGGATTTGCAGTCCCATATTGCGCGCGTCCGGGGACGGCCAGACATCAAAGAGCATCAGAAAATCGCTCGGCAAGAACTTCCCGTCCGGCCCCCTTTCTATGATTTGCGATGAACGGCCGGGTCCCCCTTGAGCTTTGCTCGCTTTTTCGTGACTTCACAATGTCTATCCCAGCTGCATAGCAAGTAGTCTATATACCCCTATTGAACACCACCATGCCGTTCTCGCCGCCGCGGCCGTGGAACTCGGGCTCGAGCTTGTCGGCGCTGATGCTCTCCTTCTGAGGGAAGACAGCTAGGGCAAGCGGGAGCACGGCGTAGCTCGTCACCAGAATGAGACCGAGGTTGATGGGGACAGTCAGACGAGGGCGCTGCTTCAGCCACTCTGTCTTTTGCAGACGGACCAGAACCAGGGGCGGGATAACCATGATCGGGGTGGAGTTGAACACACGGCTGGCAGCTGTCTCACCGACGGCGATGGTAGCCGCCTTCTTGCTGCGGCCCAGGGACTGGACCTGGGTGTCGCCGCCCTCCTTCTCCCTCTTCTTGAGCTCTTCTTCCGACAGGACGGGGAACACGTCGATGCCCTTGCGGATCTCCTCGCCGCGCATGAGCAGGACGTTGAGAGCACCGGCGGAGGCGACGGCGGCGAAGGGGACGAGGCGGGTCAGGGTCGTGCGGGATGCCGGGGAGAGGGAGCGGAGGCGGGGGACGAGCTTGTTGAGACCGACGGCGACACCGCAGGACACTGAGACGGCCATGGCGTAGGACTCGCCGAGCTTGCGCCAAGTTAGCGGGGAGGATTTGTTCGCGTTTGCCGAGTTGATGGCGACGTTGAGGGACTGGTTGACGACCTGCCAGGCGACCGTTCCTGCCGTCTTTGGAATATGTCAGAGACCGGCCGAGGGTCGTGTACGGTTGCGGGGGAGGGGGAACACTGACGCCGAGTCCGGGCTGGAGCATGCCGGCCGTGACGACCAAGTTGGTGAGCACGAAAGCGGACATGCGGAAGGGGAGCGTGACCGGTTCGCCGGTGTCTGGACGGGCGCGCGCCGCGGTGTTAGTCGAGAGCGCAACGAGCCCGCTCGGGGTTGTTTGGGAAGATCATGGGCTCGTCGCACCTGGGTGGAGGGTCGAGTCGACGACCTTCTTGGCCTTCCAGAGGTCGGGCGTCATTGTCGGGATCTTTCCTTGCTTGTAATCGGTGAGGAGGGACTTGGCTTGCTCGAGACCGGTGCTGCCAACGAGGAGGGTGCTGTGCGGTGGGTGGGTGCCATGTTAGCTGTGATCTAATCTCGCGCGCGCGCATGAGGGCATCGCGACTTCGTCCCCGCGGAGTCGCAGCGCAAAAAGCAAAAGAGATCTCGTACCTCGGGTCCGTCAGGCCCATGTTGTGTCGCACGCGACCCCAGTACGTGCTGAGATCATACTGGGAGGCGGGCAGCTCGCGGCTGCCGGGGAGGGAGGCCGACATGGTGGTGTTGAAGTCTCTCGATATTCCTGAATCACAAACAAAAACGAAGTTGAGAAGAGGAAGGCACCGCACGATCTTCCCCAATTGAGTGGGGGGTAGAGGATAAGGGACACAACGACGGGAGCGATGCCGACGTGGTAGCACGGCGTGCCGAGGAGGGGGGAGGCGGGGAGGTTCGCTGGCGGTGGGTGATGTTGACGTTTTGGAGAAAAGGCGTGGAAGGCGTTTTTGACGGCCGGAAAATGGGTATCGTCGGATGTGCTCCCGATCTCGGTGGAGGTGTGGTCATTCTTCCCATTCTGCTGCTGGCGGGCAAGGTAGGGGTCCTTTTGGGGTACCTTGCCCGTAGATAAGCGTTTGCGGCGGCTGGTGACGGGTGGGAGGGGCCGGTATCTGCGGTTGGCTGCGGTTGTGATCAGAATCGTGACCGTCCAGTAGTCTCTCCGTAGGCATCTTGGGACTCGAGCTTGAATGAGGAGTGCTGCAATGGTCAAACACAAAGAGCCGTCAACAGTTTTACGAAAAAATAGATCACATTGGACTTCTTGACTGAGAATCATTAGAGGACAAAAAAAATATCGGAGTGAATAAAGGATGCAAAAAGAATTGCCGGTCCTGTCTGTGGAAGATGCAAAAGAATCGACCTACCTAGGGATCGAACCTAGAATCTTCAGAGTATGACTTGGAAGCAGCCGAAATCTGACGCGATGCCATTTCGCCAGCAGGCCAATGCTGGTTGATGATTTTTGGACAAACTTTGAGGCTTATGTAGCGCTCGCTTTTGTGGGGAAGAGGTGGGGTGTTTTCCTGGGAGCTGCCGCCCAGTTAAGCTGGATCAACTCTGTTCTGTCACCTCTCATCGTTTCTAGAGAGAAATTGAATGCCTATTCTCTCTATGTCTCTCTTATTCATTCGAAAGTTGAGGGAGATCAGGCGTTCTGAAGTTGTTGTGGATTTCCGATTGTGAGCCTGGGAGCTGTAGCTGGCTGCACACAAGTACGCTAGGTACTTTCTCGTGTCCCCATCTCTTCGCTCAGCTGCGCATTTGCGCGTTTACTTATGCTTGTTTCCCTCCCTTTCTAGAGAATGAGATCACTTGTGCAACCATGTGATTTGGTCTCGGAACAGTCCGTCCACGCCTTGGGATCCAACCAGATACACGCAGGCTACCAGCCCAATTCACCCAAGCGAGGCAACCCGATGCAGGCGACGACGTGGAATGGAACATGTCGCAAAGTGCATTATCTCTACCGAATCTGGGGCAAATAATCCCTAAGTTATAAACGTTTGCTTCATTTCTCTCCAATGATGTCTGCCGCCTGCAGAGCCAAAGCGTACATGGCAACTTGCAAATTGGCCGAGATGGAGTGCGGGAAGACAGACGAATCCGCAACGAAGAGACCCTCGACACCCTTAACACTGAGATTGGTATCGACCACCTTACCCATCGCGGCAGTACCGCTGGGATGAAAGCAGGATCTGCGTTCGCTGTCAGCTTGTCGGGACGTTGATAACGTGCTCTGAAATAAGAAAAACTCACCCTGCAACTTGACGAGCGCGGGCGCTGAAAGCCTCGTCGGTAGAGTTTACGGTAAGCGGTGCGTCGGCTGCGAGCTCCCCATCGAGAATATCACGACCCACGGGCGTCAAAGTGCTTCCGAGAAGCTTAGTGTCAAACTTGAGTGCCTCGCGGGCGGCGTATCTGTCGACCGCCGTGCTCAAGTACTTGGGATCAATCAACGGGTAGTCGCTGATGTTGACGGATGATATGCCCACTGAACCGCGTGAAGTGTCGATGAGGACGATGGACAGCATCAGGATGGCGGACTCGTCGGTTGATGCACCGTTGTATTGCAAGGAGTGGGATACATGAGCGCGGTCCTGGCGCAAGAGGGGATGGTCTGGGCCCGGCTCGGCGCCTTCGTCTTCGGCGATGGCTGCTGCGAGACCTTCCTTGGGGAGAGTGGTGGTGGCGATGAAGTCTATCTTGTTGCCGAGTCCGTACTGAGGCTCCTTGAAAAGGGGGTTGTCGGACTCGTAGGCCCAGCCCTCAGACGGGTTCTTGACTTTCCACGCGGTGGCCATGAGAATGTGGTCGTGTAAGTTCTGGCCAACCTCGGGCTGATCCAGCTTAACTTCAATTTCGTGCTCCTTGAGGATGCCGGCAGGGCCAATGCCGGAGAGCATGAGAAGATGAGGGGTTCGGTATGCGCCGGCGGTGAGGATTGTCTTGCGGCCAAAGTATTCCGTTCCATTCTGGAGACGGATGCCCTTGGCCGTCACAGCAGTGCCATTCCGAGTCTTATCGATCAGGATGCGCTCAACCATGGTGTTAGTCACCACAGTCACACCATCCAAGGGAAAAGCTTCGGAAGACAGCTGCCTGCGACCTTCGGCTCTGTTCTCCTGGAGATCGCCGTACCCGATAGGGTTCCCGGCATTCGCATCCAGTTGGGGAAGAGCGTGGACGCCGAGGGCCTCGTAAGATTCGGCCAGCTTCTCGCGCATTGGGAACTGGCGGTGCATCGGAGTGACGCCCTGGACGATCATGGAGCCATCGGCACCATGCTGGGAGGGGTTGATGCTGGTGTTGAAGAACTTCTCCGTTTGTCTCATGTAGGAAAGCTGTCCTTCGTAGCTCCAACGATCGTCGCCAACTTCTTCGGCCCACAAGTCGTAGTCAACGGTGTGACCGCGAACCCAGGCGGCTGTCTCCATGATTAGCAAAGAAACTTCAGCAGAGATTCTAGACTCACCTCCGTTGATGGCTGTTCCTCCTCCTAGGGCTTTGCCGGCAGGAGAAGCGATGGACCGGTTATCCACGTTGACTTGAGGGATCGACGTGTAACCCCAATCGAGATCGCTCCCAGCACCAGTGCTAGTGTTCGGGTAGGCGATTGAATCGAGGCCATTGACGTTGGGGCCAGCCTCAACAAGGAGGATTTTCAAAGAAGGATCCTTATGGAGGAGACGGTTGGAGATGACGGAGCCAGCGAGGCCACCGCCGACGACAATGATGTCCCACAACGACATATTACGGAGCCTCGAGAGGTTTGCCAGAGTGGCTTGGTGAGAACCACGTGTTTCGAAAGAACAGTGTCCGACGCACAACTTCTTATAGAACTTGGCCCGAGTAGCCCTTGTGCCGGTGATAATGCATGTCGAGCCGCTTTAGCCCGAGCCCATCAGACAGAATACCGTGACCGGCGTTGTATCGGAATTGAACGGTTCTGCAGCTAGGGAACCATGTCAGAGATGCAATTCTGAAGTCCAAACAACAGACGGTAAGAGGTCGTGGAGAGAAAAGAAGTGGGTTATGGGCTCGTTGGTAAATGTGTTGGAAGTACGTTGGTGGCGAGACGAGAAGCGCCTGCTGCACGATTAGATGAGATACCCGCACCGGTAGACCGGGCTGCGGGCCCGGAGAGGCCCGGATCCGGACTACCTTCCGAAAACATGATGGTTGTACCGGGGAATCGACCGGACTGGCAACCAAATCGACCGCGCCGAGATCTCGGACCCCGGTCTGTGCCTCTGCTGTGCCACTTCGCCGCGTCCTTCTTGGCAGAACTCATGCAGACTTCCCCTCTTTATGTGGTCGTGAATATAGTAGTTACCGCCATCTTTTGGGCCAGCCTAACTTATCGTTGGTTGGCGGAGAATCTGGAGGAGGCAGAGTCGTATTCAACGACGAGACGTTAAGGTTCGAGAGACGGCGAAGTTATCACTGCCAGCATCGCTAACATTATTTTCGTCAGAGAGGCGAGGAGCGAGAAACAATTTTTCATCATGTGTCTTGATTTTGTCGACATTGACATCTTAGGGGTATTAGTACATCTAGTCATGATTCGCGTGTCTGTCCAGTACACTTGCGACTTTTTGAATAAAAGCTGGCCCTTCCTTGCCCGAATTTTGAGCGTTAGGGACCGTTGCGTTTCTGTAAGTTTTCCTCCTTTTCACTCCCTCACTGTCGACTTGACCACAACCTCGGATTTCACCCAAATGTTTTGGTCCACGCTCCTTCCCGACCCCTTTGACCATCCTCGGTTGTGTCCTTCGCGAGTCTGGCTTTTCTTCAGTTCCGGTCCCAGAATCGATTCAACGCTGTTGTTGTCGTGGCCATATCCTTTTCCGTTCGACCGCTCGGTGCCGCTTGTCTCGTAACCACTTCGCTCGCCAGAAAACCCTAAAAACGGTTCCGGGGTTTTAAGGCCAACTCGGACAGTGTAGTCGGTACCTCCGATCGTTCTCATCATGAATGATCCGGTCATGTCTCTCGTGTACGGGCCGCGGGTGGGTTTGCTGCCGTTTCGAGACGTCCACAGATCGAGCCAGCTCTTGAATAGGGGGCGACAAACGGGGATGCCAATGCACACCTGGAGATTTTGAGGTGAACACAGGTTTCCTTGCGGGATATGGAAGCTACTCACCAAAGTTGTCGCCAGTTCTGCCGCATGCCAGACGATAAGGCCGACAGTATCCTCTACAATGTGGTTGGATTCATCAGCAATCCTTCTTCGCTATAACATGTAGCGAATGGTCTCGCGCTGCGCTGTGTCTCCGTAACTTACTGGTGAAGTTCGCACTGCTTAAGTTCTTCAATTCCAAGGCCCGCTGGATTCCGCAAGCTCCGGCACTGAATGACGGTTAGCTCCCATCGAGGACGACTTATGATGCGACACATCCGTTGTAGATGAGTCACATGGCGGTGACGTACATGACTCCCAGACTCATACTGATATTGATGAGGAGCTTCTCCCTTCTCGGCATCTGAAGCTTCCAAAGCAAAACCCATGGCGTCACGGCATACCAGAAGTCGACCACCACACTCCATACTCCGGCCGCTGTCGATATCGGCCCGGGGTCGATCGGGCATGTGCCGTCCGGAAGGAGCCTGTTCCACAGAAACTCGATCGGTGTGCAGGAGAACCAGAAAACGAAGAGTGATACGACGACCAGAACACCGAGAACGACGACTGGGAAGATAATGATGAATTGATGTAAACGGGAGGTGACGAGACGCAGAAGGAATAATGCTAAAGACGTCTTTGAGACAACCGTGCCGACGACGAGGATGGTTTGGCCGATGGCTTCGTACAAGATGGCGCGGGATATGTCGTATGATGTCTCGAGTTCGCTGATGTTTCTGCCGAAGCCATAGAAGGACGCTATCGTGAGCATGACATCGTATGCGATAAAGAGAACCTAAGGGAGGCCAGAGTTAGATCACTTGCGTCCCAGATAACCGCTAATGCTTGCTTCACATTGACAGGATAAAGACATTGGAATTACTCACGAATGCGAAGTTGAAGAAATGGTCGTCCATGCCGTATGCCTGGAGTACCCTCAACCGCGTCCAAAGACGCAGGATGACGAAGCAGAGAGCCATGGCAGTCAAGCCCCAGAGGACGCCCAGCGCCATGGGCGCATCGCCGCCTGGTCCGATCATCGTCTCTGTGGTGTTGACCTCAGATGGGGACTGGACAGAGAAGAGAGGAGAGAAGAGAGGTCGATCCCAGATCCAGGTTAGGCGCAGACGTCAGTTAAAGCTCCGTGGTTCATCTGGCCATCCCTACACCTCCACGAGTCAATCTCGACGGGAAACAGGAGACTAGTGGTACTGGATCTGGGGAAGGGCAATGAAGGCCAGACTTGTACTCCATCCAATCGACAGATTCACGGAGCCGCTGCGAGGAATACGGCTTGGCAGGCCCATCGAGCCTTCATATCTGAGAATCCACAACCGGCCGGTGACATTCCTTGACAGGTCGATCACTAACCAGAACAGGGCGCCCCGAAGCCGTTTCTGCGGCTGACCCTGGGCCGGCTCAAACGGAGGGATGAGGGGATCGTCACCTGTGCAGGGATGACCATCTCACCGTATCCACTGGAGGTCAAAGCACGCACGCGGCAGTGAGGGTTGACCAAGATTTCGAGAAGACTGGCCCGTCTTCCATGGTGTTGGCAGCGGGTCGGGGTTGATTTTCTTCAACGGTCTTCAGCGCGTTATTTCGTCAATTTTCCCCTTCTGGCCGCATACAGAAAGGGGTTCCATCTTCTGCGTCCGGCTCTATCCCAGAAGATTCGGTCTCTTGACCCAGGAACACACTTATGGAAGCTTTGGTGCAGCAGAAATCTTCAGATAAATCTGGATAAATCTGCGCCAAAATGGGCCGATCTGTTAGTCGCATCATTTTGAGTTTGAACTCAATCTTCTGCCACTTTGAAGCGGAAAAACAAATGCGTTTCCAATACGCGTCTCAAGGCATGGAGCATTTCGCCAAGCACGTTCAGGTTGCCGACTATTCATAGAGCATTGCTAGTTGTCTCCAAAAAGAGCCGATGGTGTGACATCGTCTTTCGAATCTCTCCGTAGTTTGTCTTACCGAACGGAGATAGATCCCTAGATAGTTACGGTTCGTTAGACGGCTTTGAATCGGCTTTCTCATCCAATCATGAGTACTCGATATGTTGTGCTCTGCGAGGTCCGAGAGCCGGTGTCCGGGCCGTTGCCGTGTTTCCTGGAGCCCCTGCAGGTGCTCGGGCTGGCTAACGCCCATCCCCCATCTGTCTGCCAAAGGTCGAGTTTGGTGCTGACCATCCCAGCATAAAGCTGGAATCTTTTCTGAGCATCTGATAAGCTGCCATTTATGGCCGAATTCATGCTTCACCCAAAAACTGCTGGTTTACTTGTCAAGATCTGAAGGGAATGCCTCACCCCAGTTGGATTCACGGAGAAAGCCCTTCGGGATCCAGTTTCCACATGATGCATCGCTGACCGCATATTACGGAGCAGAGTGGATTCTGAAATCCCATTGCCAGGGCGACTCGTCAACTGGACGAATAAGAGCAATTCTCGTGTCGAACGAAGGAGAATCCGGTTACTTTTCCGACGAAGAGAGATGAGTAAAATGTTGTTCAAATCCTTCGGTTCTGAGGGCTTCCCATCTAGCTTCAATGCCACTATGCCACGCCAGAGACATCGTGATGGGCACGTATGGCCGTTGATACGGCATCGCGATAACCGACTAAGAAAGTCTGAACCATTGCCACCGAGTCAATGCCAGCGCAAATTTATCACCACGAAAACGTCACTAAACCTGTACTTCTTTTGCTATGTACAATGGTAGGCAATATCTTCCTGTCTTCACACATGCACAGAAGCATTCACAACTTTTCAAAAAGTTCTTCGTCAAAAGGCGAGTCAGTGCTCGCGTCCCCCAACATTTTGCCTGTTCTCCCACCTGGCCATCGCGTGTCATGGTGGTACTGAGCCCACCGGCCGCCTGGCACCCCTGACTTTCGAAGCCCTGTGATGTTATTTCGGATGTTTTCACCAGTTTCGCGGCATGGCCCACACCAGGTTGAAGTTGCCTCATCTTTCATGACTAGAAACGTTGCTTCGATGTCACCCTCTTACCAGCCTGACGTTTTCCACGTCTCCATCTGAACTGTACGTGTGACGTCGGCTACAGTGAAAGTTTTCTCATGTTCTGCGACGGATGAGTGGAGGAAACGTCAGTTCAAGCCCTTATCCGAATGCGAACTACGGGGTCCGCACTTGGCGAGTGTCCGAAGCGAGAAAAGCATAGTGATACGACTTGAAATGGAACTGCGCAACTTGGGTTTAGGCGATTCACATACGGCTTCGAATGGGTTACCATCGTTCAAGTTATGACAGATGATATTGCCCTGGAATCAACAACAAACAGGAGGGAATGAAGAGAATCATAACGGAAACAGCATCAGTAAGGATGACAATGATAACAATACCAATATCAGCAATATCAGCAATACCAGCAATACCAGCAATACCAGCAATACCAGCAATACCAGCAATACCAGCAATACCAGCAATACCAGCAATACCAGCAATACCAGCAATACCCGCAATACCAGCAATACCAGCAGAGACAGCAGTACCAGCAGAGACAGCAATCCCCGCATTCTCAGTAACGTAGAGCGATAACGGGGTTATAAGTATGTGGGATCATGAACGGCTGATAAAGTCCGGCTCAAAGTTGGGAGAACACAGCCAATTCAGACGACGTGGCTGCTCATCATAAGTTTATCCAATGGAAAAGAGAGTTCTCTCACGCGGAGAAGGACACTGGTTCCTTCGCAAGCTGTGGCTTGGCGTAAGCAAGGAGCTTCTGCCGTCGCACGTGAGCTCAAGTTTTCGTTGGCTCACGTATCGTTTGAAAGCGAAGTGAGACAGAACTGATGGATGAGGGTCTAGACTAATATTCCAAGCAAAATAAAGCATTGAAACCGGGAACCGCTTACCTTCCCGAACAGGAACTCCTGGCTGCATGACCTGATGTGGGCGAGGACCCGGAGACAAGCGGCTTGGCCGATGACATGAACGAAGGATTCCGGTAGTGTGATGATTTATGAGCTAGTTAAGTAAGTAAACACTTAGATTGGACGACATCTTATTGCTCACGGAAAACTCGGGCAGACGGACTACCGGCATCTCCATGACGACCCAGGTTTATAAGTAGGCGAAGCGAAGAGCTCAATTCCAGAACCGTAACAGGTCGACTCTGAAGACCCGACATATTTAGCAATGGCATCTACGACCGTCATTACGGACGATATGATCGCCTTGCTCCAAGATGAGCAGGGAGACAGCAGCAATCCTTCACCCGTTGAGCTCCTCTTGCCCGGATCCAACAGCTACGTAGAGCACCGTAAACTTCGTGACGGTGCCTTAGGGTTTGAGCACATTCACCCCGCGGCCATCGCCGTGCCGCGAGACGCCTCCGAGGTGGCACGCCTGATTCGGTGGGTGAAGTCCGTGGGCCTCAAGTTCACCATCCGCGGAGGAGGAAACGACTTCTGGGCACGGAGTATTGCACATGATGCTCTCATGATCGACATGCGCGACATCAACACTGTCAAGGTTGCAGAAGATCGCCAGACTGCCGTCATAGGTGGCGGAATCATCGCCAAAGATGTCATTCTTAAGCTCGGTGAAGTCGGCCTCATGACGCCAACCGGTACGACCTGGATTATAGGATATGCAGGTTGGATGTCAAACGGCGGATACGGGCCTAGTACCCATCTATACGGTATGGGTATCGAGCAAGTAGTCGGCGCAGAGTTGGTGAATTCGCAGGGTGAGCAGGTTGTCGCGGACGAGGAGATGCTTGAGGGCATCCGCGGCGTATGTGGCCATCTTGGCGTGATCACAAGTCTGACGGTGAAGGTATACCCCAAGTATGATGTAAGTCAGTTGCCCTATGAAATCTGGCTCACTGCTGACCTGTGAACAAAATAGCCACTTGGTGGTATCCTCGCCTACGAATGCAGCGACATCAGACGTACCCTCCAGGCATACTTCAAGGCATCTCCCACTCTCCCGATGCCCAAAGAGCTGACAATTCACCACTTCGTCAGTTTTCAACCTCAGCTCGGAGTGACATTCAGCATTTTCCGGACTTGGTCGGGTCCGGATGCGAAGAAGGGCAGGGAAGTGCTGCAAACCTGGAAAGACAACACTCCGCCGCTGCTTATGGCTACCGTAGAGGAACTGCCGGACAAATTGAGGCAGCAGAAGATGCCAACGCCATGTCCTCTGGGAGGTGGCCAACGTAACTGCTTCCTCTCCCGCCTCCCTACAGATGAAGCTGCCGATGAGCTTGCTGCGACTATTCTCGACGCCGCTGAGACGATGCCAAAGACAATGGGTCCCAACATTGCATGGAGCGGGATGACGAGCATCGACCCGGACAAGATGCCGCCTAATTGCTTCGTGGACTGGAGTCACTCCTACTTCTCGTGCTCGTATCAGTATCCATCCGAAGGATATGCCGAAGAGATAGATATCTGGAGTAAATCCCTGATTGGAAGGCTTCGTTCACTGGGGAAGGACTCAGTCCACGACCGAGGCTACCCGGCCACCAACAAGCCAGGGGACAACACCGCGGAGGAAATGTACGGAGAGAAGTGGTCCCGGGTGAAGGAGCTGAAGATGAAGTACGATCCAGACAATGTTTTTGACCATGCGTATCCCGAGATTGAGCTCTGAACAAACACTGGTTTGGGCGGGCCTAAAGAAAAAGGCCTTCGAAGTGAAGAAGACAGGGTTTTACCTCTCAAGTACATACACGAACTTAAACAGTTACAGTGCTGACAACATACAATCGTACATCCAATTAACATAGACTAGGCCGGCTCTTGCAACTTGCTCAAGCGTGCGACGCCAGTTCCTTCTCGGTCCAATCCCACAACTTCTCAGCGAGTTCATCATCCTTCGCAAGCTTCGAATCCTTGCCTGTCACTCCAACAGGCCAGTAGAACACACCAGTCTTTGCGTCCGGACTGACGGCGGCCCAGAGTTGGTTCTTCGCGCCCTCATTGACAGACTTTGTGATCAGCCACAGCGCACCGTAGATCAAGGGCTTGAAAAGGGGCCAGCTGGCCATCAGTTGATTCCCAAGGTTCGTGCTGACGGCTCCGGGGTGGACGGAAATGCACCGCAATTCCGGATATCTCTTGGCAAGAGCCCGACTGTGGTGGATATTGGCGAGTTTCGAGGCGCCGTAGCGTTCCCAGGTGCCGTTCGCAGCCATGTCGGTCTTGAGCTGTTCGAAGTTGTATACGTCCCTCGGTGGCCAGGCTTCGGCGGCCGATGAGAGGGAAATAATGCGCACATCCTTGTCCTTGTCGGACTTGGCTGTCTTCTGAAGTGTGGGGAGGAGAAGCTTGGTGAAGAGGGCGTGGCCCATGTGGTTGGTACCGAATTGGACCTCATAGCCCTCTTTTGTGAGCCCGGCGGGCCATGCCATAATGCCAGCATTGTTGATGAGGAGGTGTAACCTTTCCTCCTTGGAGAGGAACTCTTTAGCGGCACGCTTGACGCTCTCAAAGGACGCCAGATCGAGTTCCAGGAAGGTGATAGGAGCCGCATTGGGAACTTCCTTCTTGATATCATCAATAGCAGCCAGCGCCTTGGACTTGCTTCGAGCTGCGAGGTAGATGTGGGCTGGGTTGCGCTTGCTGAGCTGCGTGATCGTTTCCTTGCCGAGGCCAATGTTGCCGCCGGTGACGATGATGACCTTGCCCGAAAGGTCAGGGATGTCCTTGTTAGAGTCAAAGCGCACCATTTTGAGAGTTGCGGAAGAACAATTGAAGACGGTGATGATAGTATGCTACAACAGTCCGGCTGGCGGTTTTATATCACGGTTTTTGAAGCGGTAAAGGTGCAGATTTACAAGAATTGTTGAGTAAACGCAAATGAACAGGCGACGACTCATGACGCAATCCACGAATTAGACAATTAAGCGGGGACTAATGAAACCCGCACCCCGAAAGTTTGAAGCTCGGACGATGAGCATATGGAGATACGTGGGTTCATGACCTAAGTCCGACGGGGGACATGCGGAGATGGTGGGTCCCGCTCGGCAGTTCGTAAGGGCCCCCACATCCGGCGCCTCCCGGCCCTCTGCCGGTTGGGTCGGCCAATGAAGTTGGCACAAATCCGGCGGAGGGTCGGGGGACACCTTAGTCAAACTCTTGATAATTTTCAGCCGAACACGTACGCAGCCCATTCAAGGGCAACTAAAGGTCAGGTTATCGACATTGACATCCCACCGTTTTTCCTCGGCCGAGGAGCATTTTCGGTGGGTATCGCCGAGACGTGGTTGACGAAGATCGGACCTTTGTTACCGTGGACCCCTATTCCGCGTTTTTGTCCTGTGCTGGGTGTAAGGCTTCAAAATTGTCATCATAAGTTTCACGTCCAAAGCATTATTGTTATGAGAATCTGCGAGGCAAAGCAGGTCTATTTCTTTTGGTAGATATTATGTGTTGCTCTCGTAAAACTGATAATTCGAGCCCTATTTCTTCGAGCTAAAATTCCGGTCGATAGGTTGAATGATAATTCTGCGGTAGCTTGTCAACGCCGGGGACCCATTGTCTTGGACCTCGAGTATCAAATGCAGAGGAAGGCCTCGCTCGAGAGGAATCTTCTCCCTAAAAATCAAACAAGACTTTTCCGCTGGCGCAATGTGAACATCCACCTTGCTTCCATCCTCGTTGACAGGCTTGATCTCGATGTCGGAGACCTCAAGACCGTGATACGTCTGCAGAGAGCTGGGTTCGCGGTATTGGTACCACTTGTAGCTCAGTTTATCGCCGTCAGGGTCGTAGCTTTCAGACGCATCAAACGAGACAACACCGCCGGCATCGGCCTCGACATGAATCGGTGTCAGGCCAAGGTCGCCGTTCACTGACAGGACAGGGTGGTGGTTGACTTTGCTGAAATCAGACGTCAGTGTCCACTGCATTCGCGCGGCGAAATCGTCTTGGAAAGTGTTTCTCCACCGCCAGATGGTCGCTTGGTTTGATCTGTGCGTTTTGCCGTCCACGCCAGTCACGGCGTCGATAGCATCGGCGAAATGACCTCTTGCGGGCAAGCCCTTTGAACTGACGTTGGCGGGAATGTAGCGACCTCCCCAAGATCCGTAGGAAGGCTCTTCCGGAACGCCGAGACCGTTTTGGATGAGGTAAAGGAAGGTAGGCGTGTCTCCCTCGATGATGAACTCGAAATTCGGGTAGGCCGCTCCCAAGGGGCCGATTTGAACGTTTTCTTTGACCCATTCGTGCGTCACTTTTGAGCCGTCTGGTCCTCCCACGTCGCCTGAACAAGGCGCAGAAATACCGGTCCAAGCAGCACATTGGTACTGGTTCCAACCATGTACGGAGCAAATGTAGAAGATTTCGGGCCACTGCTGACGGATCCAGGCGCCGCAATCATCTTGGTCCGAGATGGTGTAAACACGCAGTTTCTGGCGCAGCGCAGCAGCATCTGGGCGATCGCGGATCTTGTGCAGGACTTCAGCGAGGACGTTAACGCCACCCCAAACGAGAACCCAAAGAGGATCGGTGTCGGGTGCAGTCAATCGCTGGAGAAGGAGCTCGCCGCCTTCGCTGAGGGGGATGTCATCGCCGATCGCTTCCATGCCGTAAACCTAGCGGTACAGAGTGGTGAGCGAGCTTGTATGATGCCGTGGAGTAGGCACTACTTACGGGAGGACCTGACTTGATGAGGTCCCGTACGCTCTGCGCAGATGGGTAGGGAGAACCGGGAGGCGCATGAGCATTGAGATTGTCAACCACCTTCTCATAGGCGTTCACGATCTCGTGAAGGTTCTGCGGCGCGACTTTGTTCTTGAGCCATGTGGACGTCACGGCGACGACTCCCTCCGTACGAAATTGGTTAGAGTAGGTCAGGTAGCGACAGAAAGACTCCGCATCGTCGGGTTCGTTGGTGATGTCTGTCAAGATGAAGACTCTTGGTTTCGAAGGGAATTGGGTGAGGCTTTCCGCGCCTCTGGTTGTTGATGAAGCCATTGATGCTAGACTTTGGTGACGATCTCTCGGGAATGAGCGTTGGTCGGGTACTGTCGGATGTGATTGGGGATTTGACTCGAACTCTGGTCTGGTGACTGAGCCGATTGATGTTTTGGGCGTAGGTCTGTATTAAGGTCAAGTTCGTCGCAACCGCTCTTCAGACTTCATGAAGGAGGTGAAATGACGGTTTACGCGCTCGTTTAAAAGCGTCAAACTCTAAAACTCGGCGGATCACAGAGTGTCCCGTTCATCAGCTTGTTATCGTCCGAAGAGGCAGTTGGAGGCTCTGAAGAACATTCAGCGGAGGGTTGGCGAGGGGTAAAACCAAGGATGTGGGTTGCAAAATACGGGGAAACCAAGTTAGCACCTGATTCAACCAATCCTTCTTAACCGAATTAGGCAATTTGAGCCACTCACGAACCCCTCACCCCACGATTGATCCATCCTGAATGCGGAGTTGAGAGCCTCTCAGTTCCAGTTTTGTCAACGGTCATGCCTTGGTAGCGTCTTGGTTATTCCCTGTCAAAGTGCCACCTCCGCATAAATCTTGACACCCCACGGGGACATTAGCGACGGTAGATGGCAGTGGGCGGTTCCCTCGAACCGGACGTCTGGGTCATTTCCCCAGACTGGCCCCCAGACTGCTCGGATATACACTCCGAGGCAAGTCGAGAACATTGCCTTGATTGCAACTCTGCATTGTGTATTAAAGCCACTTGCAACCCTCATCTCATGTCCACAACCTCTCTGCTGCACTCGCTTGGCATCAATCATATCTCCATTGTAATTGTGTTTGGTTTTGGTGATCGCCATTCACAATGGCTCCCTACAATGACGGCTACGAAGCCGAAAAGGTCGACTCTCATAAGCACGTCGAAGTGAGCGCGGACTCTCAACTTGCTCATGCCGCCGACCACGAGGATCACGAAACCGGTATCCTCAAGTCCTTTATCAAATACCCATGGGCGTCAGCGTGGTGTGTTTACGCCTGTTGGACCGTCATCCTTCTTTCGTTCGACACTCAAGCAGCGAGTGCCGTTGTGGGAATCCCAGAGTTTCGCAAGGACTTCGGGTACGAGTACAACGGGGACTATGTTCTTCATGCAGTATGGCAATCTGCCTTCAACGGTGCTCCGGTTGCTTCGTAAGTCTAATGTGACGTCGAGACACTTGACTGCTTGTATGCTTACTCTTCTGCTCAGGGCAGTCATCTCCTCAATCGCCTCAGCTGAACTTGCCGACTTTATCGGACGAAAGAAGGTTCTCGCCCTCGCCCTGATCATATCGTTCATCGCAGTTGCCATCGAGTTCATCGCTACGACAAACGCTGTCTTCTTCTTGGGCAAGCTTCTCAATGGTGTCATGGTTGGTGCTGTCGGTACCGTCATGGTCAGCTACATTGGCGAGGTAATTCAGGTTTCCTGTTCCCAACATTGAGTTGCCAGTTGACTAACTCTTTGCTATGAAGATTACCCCCTTGGCTCTTCGAGGAATCTTTACTTGCGGTGTTGGTGTAGCCTACGGTGTTGGTCCGTTGGTTGCGTTCATCGTCATCAACTACACCGGACAGGTTGAGTCTCGCTGGGCATACCGCACTGTGTTTTGCTGCCAGTTCGGCTTCGCGGGCGTCGCGGCTATCTTGTGGCCTTTCATGCCTGAGTAAGAATCTTTCAATTCCTGTTATGATTACAGTTACTGACAATGCTCAAGGTCTCCCTGGTGGCTCGTCTCCAAAGGCAAGAAGGAGCAGGCCCTCAAGAGTCTCAGCAGACTCGGCCACACTGGCGATGAGGGCAAAGCAAAGCTTGCCCTCATCGAACTTACTCTCGACGAAGTCCGCAAGGAGACCCAAGGCGTGACCTACCTTGAATGCTTCAAGAAGTCCAACTTGCGCCGCACCATCATCAGCATCATGCCCTTAATGATCCAAGCCTTTTCTGGTATCTCATTTGTCGCAGGGTATGACAACTCGTCTCCACCCTAGCAAGACTTTACTGATTCGCCCTCTCAGATACTTCACTTACTACCTTCAACTGGCCGGCTACTCAACCTCCATGAGCTACCAGCTTCAGATCGCTCAACCGGTTCTGTCCATCGTCGGCAACCTGATGGCTGCTGCTGTTGTTGACAGAGTTGGCCGAAGGAACCTCACATTTTACGGCTTAGCTATCCTCACAGCCTTCTTGCTCATCACTGGAGGCCTCGGAACCGGCACCAGCCAGCCCATGGTCAAAGGCACTGTAGCCTTCATCCTCATCTACAGCTGGTGGTATAACGTATCGATCGGGTCAACCGCCTTCTCCCTCCTCGCCGAAACATCGACATCTCGCCTGCGTGTCAAGACTGTTGCCATCGGCTATGCCTCGCAGAATTCCATCAACGTCATGTGGCAGTTTGTTATTCCGTACATGGTGAGAAAGATGAGAACAAAAGCACAAACTTGAAACCTCTGCTAACTCCATACGAAGTTCAACCCAGACAAGGCCAACTTGGGCGCCAAAATCGCCTTCATCTTCGGCGGCTTGTGCTTCTTCTCTCTGCTGTATCTCTGGTACTTCCAACCTGAGACGGGAGGTAGATCTTACGCAGAACTGGATGAGATGTTCTCAAAGGGGGTGCCGGCTCGCAAATTCAAGACGTACAAGACCACGGTACAGCAGCAGAACGAGTCTGCGGCGTTTGGAATGACGCGATGAGACGAATGATGGAAAGCGTGTTTAAAACATCGCCAAAAGCGAAAAGACTTTGAGTGTCTGGTAATAGCTCCAAAGAGCGTGGGACGAAACCAAGATAACTGCATGGTCTCAGGCACATGGTTTGAAATAAAAGTTTGCATGCGCCATGAAATGTTCGGTACACAATGTTTTATTATTGATCAGTCTGAGGCTGTAAGACAACCGACAATCTCAAGTACTAATACTAAGTTTATTTGCTTGTCTCTCAGAGACACAGTGTCCAATCCTCAATTTCTGAATCCGATCGTCGAGCCGTCCGAGCTTCTGAGCAGTACGAGCCGATATTGGCTCAGAAGACCACCCTAGATAGCAGGAGGGGGAGGGGCCTGCTGGTTGGCGGGAGGGTGAGGGGGAGGCTGCTGGTTGTTCTTCACAGCGCGAGCCCTGTTAGGCTTGGGAGGCGGAGGAGTGTTGCCGTTGGCGGGAGGAGGAGGAGGCTGCTGGTTGGGGTTGACAGCCCTAGCCTGGTTAGACTTGGGAGGAGGCGGGTCGTTGTTGTTCGCCGGGGGAGGGGGAGGCTGCTGGTTCGGGTTGACAGCTCTGGCCTGGTTGGGCTTGGGAGGAGGAGTGTTGCCGTTCGCAGGAGGCGGGGGAGGCTGCTGGTTGGGGTTGACAGCACGCTTGCCGTTTGGCTTGGGAGGGGGAGGAGTGTTGCCGTTAGCGGGAGGAGGAGGAGGCTGCTGGTTTGGGTTCACGGCTCTGGCCTGGTTCGGCTTAGGAGGAGGAGGAGTCTGTCCGTTGGCGGGAGGAGGAGGCGGCTGCTGGTTCGGGCTGACAGCTCTGGCCTGGTTAGGCTTGGGAGGAGGAGGGTTGCCGTTGGCAGGGGGCGGGGGAGGCTGCTCGTTGGGGTTGAGAGCACGAGCTCCGTTCGGCTTGGGAGGAGGAGTGTTGCCGTTCGCAGGAGGCGGGGGAGGCTGCTGGTTGGGGTTCACGGCTCTGGCCTGGTTCGGCTTAGGAGGAGGCGGGTTGCCGTTGGCGGGAGGAGGAGGAGGTTGCTGGTTGGGGTTGACAGCTCTGGCGAAGTTGCCGTTGTTGCCTCCGGCTCCGGCTCCAGCTCCAGCTCCGGCCGTGTTAGCCCCGTTGCCGGCAGCGTTACGGCCGGCACCGGCGGCTCCTCCATTCGCATTGTTGGCACCGTTGTTAGCGGTGTTGGCATTGTTGGCATTTCCGTTGTTGTTGGGAGGAGGGGGCTGCTGCTGGTTGTTGCCGTTGTTGTTATTGTTGTTGTTGTTGGGAGGAGGAGGAGCCTGGTTGTTGTTGGTGTTGCCGTTCTGGCCGTTGTTGGCATTGTTGTTGCCTGCATTGCCTGCATTGCCGGTGTTGCCTGTGTTGCCGTTGGCGCCTCCGAAGCCACCACCGTTACCACCTCCGACGGCACCAGCGCCGCCTTGGGGCATGGGAGCTGAGGAACAAGCAAGTCAGTTTCTTATTCAGGCAACTATGCTCAGAGACCTTTTGAAGTCCTAGTCTCTGTTGGCTGTGGAGCTACTTACCAGTCAAGGCATTGCCGGTAAGAAGGGCGATAGCAAGAACGGTGAGAGTAGAGTAACGCATTTTGAATGGACACTAAAGATTGTCTTGAAGAAACGTTGAGAAATGTGAGAAATGTTCAAGTGAGGGTATCGTCTAAGAATCGAATGTTCGAAAATATGACTAAAGTTAAGAGGTGCACAGCACAAGATATGAATGAAGAGGTAGAAGAAAGCAGAGAACTGTTGATGTTGTTGCGAATGATGAGGAAAGAAGAACTGCTTTGGTCGAGCTCAAGCTAGGTCTTTATAGTTGAATGTTGACCAGTTCGTTACTCCATTCCAAAAGGGGGATCTCCAAATCCATCCCCAGTTACTGCTCAAGTTCGGGTTGCCTTGCCACTCAACTGACGTTTCTCGAAGATCTCGACCAGCCTCCAGACATGTCTACGCGTTCAGCATCTGAACTTCGACAGCATCACGACATCGCCATCAGGCATCTTGCAACATCGGGAGTTTAGATGGCATGTCGTTGCCCGCCGACCTCAAACGAGCTTTGACATGCCTTCGATGGGACGACCCAAGCTCGATCGGACGATTGCGAAGCTTGAATTAGGTAAAAGCAACCAGAAAGAAGACTAGTTCTTCTCCAGCCTCACGATAAACCCCTGCAAAGCGGCTCTGCGCCTCAAATCATGGCTGAGTCCATCGAGGGCGCTGGCTCGACGGGTAGGCGGGAGAGCCTTGTGGGGTACGGGAGCTTGTTTTGGGAACCCTGCGTGTTCGGAGAAAAAGCGCCAAACGATGCATACTAGGAGTCGTGTCACGGAAAGCTGGGGGTTTCCAGCTCTGACGTTGCCTTGTAGATTCGCAATCCTCTTTGGACCCCACATGTCCATGTTTCGACTTCCGATGTGACAGCCGGGACTGATTGCGCGGCCCGATCTACACGTGATGTGGGAGATCCCGGGGTCGATGTCGGATTCCGGCAAATCCTGACATTTTTAGAGCCTCCTTTTCTGTTCAGCTGAAAAACTTCAGACCGTGATGCATGGATTGAGGTTCGGCTTTCAAAACATCTAGAACCCTTCGTGGAAGTCCTGCTGGGTGAGCTGACAATCAGGGGCCCGAGTTTTGGGAGGCTTAGTCACTGCATTGAGCAGCTACACCGCCATCGTCAGCTGTGATGACGACTGAATAAGCCCCGTAGCTATACAGAGAATGATATCGGGGAAAGCTTGGCTTGACGTTGACGGAACGTGGGAGGCATCGTGAGGTCCGTGTAGCCGAAGGTGGCTGCGGCCGTGCTTGGGTAAGACGGCAGATATTGGGGCTACGAAAACAAGCATCCCACTAGAACAAGACTTACGCTTAAGTTTACATTCAAAATATCTCCATTCTGTAAATTAAATTATATTAAATTGAAGTTGAAGCTTTTGGTGGAAGTAAGCATGATTTGGCTGCCATACTTCACTGAAGAGTTCTCCACCCATGTGAATGGGGGAAACAGCACGCCAAAGGCAACGTCATGTCAACAAACTTGCGAGGACCAAAGACCGCAGAACTCTTTTAGAATGAAGAATCTAAACTTGGAAACCAGCTGGTTCATACAGCTGCTGTTTAGCTGCATTAGTCGCTTCGTTTCAATGCTACCCTACCTTACTCAACGTACAACAAGACTGCTGCTACAATGGGTCTAAGCGTGGGGCGAGTTGCTGTAAGTCATCACTGGCATTTACAGTCCTCCACGGTCATCTTCTCCTTGCGACTCCTTCTTGCTACCTCTTTGCCTACCTCTGTGCCTACCTCTATGCCTATCCTCTCTGCTACCCTCTCTGCTATCCTCTCTGCTATCCTCTCTGCTATCCTCTCTGCTATCCTCTCTGCTATCCTCTCTGCTATCCTCTCTGCTATTAGCTCTGCTATCCTCTCTGCTATTAGCTCTGCTATTAGCTCTAGTGCTGCGCTTATTATCCCTCATCACTGCGTGAGTATTCGACTAGGAATAATAGCTGTGGCGTAGCGTATATTTGAGGCCGCACAGAATCTCATGTCAACGTCGTAGATGTGATGCAAAGTTGACATGATTTGTTTCAACAGAAAGAACGAATGTCATTGCGCCGCTGAGAGGCATCAAAAGAACCAACTCGATCCAGTTCCGCACGAGAATGCGTATATATCTAGTCGAACAGACTAGACGTGAAAAAGCACATCTTTCTGGGCATTCCTGAGATTTTCCTGCGCCCAGTAAGGCCATCCACGCGCTCCAGCCGCCCGTGAGTACTGCTTCGGTACAAAAACCTGCCCACTACGTCCACACATGATCTGCTCGAAGATTCGGTCCACCACATGCTCAGGCTCAAGAATCACTGCTTTGAACTTCCCTGATCTGTGAACTTTCTCGATCAAAGCCGTACGAATATAAGTCGGGTGAATGATACTGTTCCCGCCACCAAGCTCGTCAGTCTCTTTTCGTGAGATTTGATTGATTCCCGGAGACTTCCTTACCTCGTCCGCACTCTTCGTGCGTGATATCGGTGCCGAAGCTCTTGGACTAGGCCTTCATGTAGCGCCAACGCGCCGACCTTGGTGCACGAGTAGTCCACGTTCTGTACGCCTGTGACGAAGCTGGCCATGCTCGCGATCGTGACGACGTGTCCGTGGTTCTTTTTGATCATCGAAGGGAGGAATTCCTTGATAAGAAGGAAATGCGCGATGATATTTACGTCAAAGACGTGGCGGATTTGCTCTTCTGTCTCGTCCAGAATTGTAGCGATTTTCATGACACCGGCGTTGTTCACCAGAACAGTCGGGTCGCCGTGGTCTTGCCGAATCTGCTCCGCAACTTCCTTGATGGACCTTGAGCTGGTGATGTCTGCTTGGTAGAAATACGCGTTGGATGCTCAACGAATTGTCAGCTGAGTAGCTTTCAAACTTTGACTACGGGCGTTGAAGAACTTCGTGTAGGAAAGGGGGTGAACGACATGATTAAAAGACTCATCAACCCTCATCTATACCGAGAGAAGCTGAGTGATCACACAGAGTGGACGTAAACTGAGAAAGAAACAGAATACTCACGCAATGGACTTCTTGGAGGTACCACATCAAGGCTGATGACTTTGATGCAGTTTTTCGCAAGCTTGCGTACAAGCATGTCTCCCAAGTCACCGGAACCGCCGGTGACCAACACCAACTCCCGCCGCCAGTCGTAGTTATCCCAAGTGAAGTTGTTCAGCACGGCGGCTCCCAACAGACTGCTCGTCTTCTTCATGGCTGCCCAACCCAGCATCAGTGCCAGGGCATACCTGGCCCACCCATTGCGAGAAAATGACTGCGAAAGCTTGGACAACTTCAAGCTGCGAAGCAGATCGGGAATTCGGCCGGTTACACCGGAAGGGGCCAAGTTGAGTAAAGTCGACATACTGCTGTACGAAGAAGCCTGTCCAGCGATCAGAAAGCAATCCAAACAGCAGCCTGAAAGCGCGATGAAAGGTATTGGAAACAACTATTGACACCCGATGTTGGTGGGGTCAATGGAGGGACGGCATTCACATTGTCAGAGACCGAGCGTCGTCCCAAGTCTGCATCTTCCCCGCAATATGCAGCCATTAAGCTTTCACCAGAGCGACGTCAGACGATGATACTCCGCACTACAAGCCGAGGTCTGCCTCACAGAGATTTGTCTCGGAAGTACACTACTCGTCGTTCAACGTCTGGATGAAGCGTTGATGACCTCATGGGCAACGGCAGTCACTGTTCACCTCTGTCTATATTCATTCAAGTTCACGATCGTTCAAAAGCTGTAAGACGTGGCGCCAACCGCCTTATTTTGGATCACTCATCGACGAATTAATGCGTGAAGAGAGTTTCTGTTTCATTCGGGAAACGTTTCGCCGAGATGGGTTACACCATTGAAGATCGGTTCATTCGGTCGAGCCGGAACAGCTTGAAAATCGCCATCTCAATCTACAAACCAGATGGGCTGAGGCGGCCCGTCCCAACAATCGTAATGGGCCACGGCATCGGCGCCATCAAAGCCGCAGGTCTGTCTCCTTTCGCCAGCGCCTTTACGTACGAGGGCTACGTTGCCGTCACGTTCGATTACATCGGCTTCGGAGAGAGCGAGGGCACTCCGCGAAACATCCTCAACGTACAGCACGAGCTGCAAGACTTTAGAGATGTGATCAAGTGGGTTCGAGAACCCGACCAAGCAGACTGGGTCGATTCGGCACGCATCGTCGCCTGGGGCAGCAGCTTTGGCGGGATGCACGTTACGGCGCTGATGAGCGAAGACCACGATCTCGCTGCGGGGATCTCTCAGTGCCCTCTGGTGGACGGTCCTGCGGGTGTTTTGCAGATGCCGCTTACTCGGTCGTTGACGCTGGCAGCCACGGCGACATTAGATATCGTTGGTTGGCTTTTGGGAGCCAAGGAGCCGCAGTACGTCAAGCTGGTCAGCGACGGATCTTCTACAGCGGTCATGGCCTCGCAAGAGGTTGTTGAGGGGTGGGCCAGGTTAGCACCGGAGCATGGAGAAGACTGGCCGAACATGATTGCCGGGAGGTCTTTGTTGAGCATAATGTTGTCACGACCGCTGCAGCAAGTTCGCAAAAGTACTCGACCGTACCTAATTGTTTTACCAACCTGGGATCATGAGGCTTCCTTGGATGCGGCCGAGGAGTGCGTCAGGCGGGCGCCTCTGGGAGAGGCATTGAGGGTTGAGGGTGGACATTTTGATTTATACAAGGGAGGCAAGTCGTTTGAGAAGAATGTGGAAGGGCAAAAGCAGTTCTTGAGGCGTGTACTCGAGAAATGAGAAATGAGAAAACACATTGGCTGCACTCATTTGGCTTCGCAAGATGAGTTGTATGGGGCTTCTTCCTGTTGGAAACCAACGGAAAAGTTTCATTACTATCTTCCCGGTGTTGTCCAGCTATCGCACTGGCTGGAGCTGTGAGAGTAAACGGGAGAAGAAACATCGACATTTTGGCGTTGGTTGCGAAGAATGTCCAGACTCTTGCGAACTTTCAGAGATTCCAAAGGAAAACATTCAAGAATACGCTCAACATGATCAAGCAAGCCCTCCAAGTCCCCCACGTTCCGGCAGACGGGCGTCAAGGCGGGGACCGATTTCACTTGAAGCAAGATTAGGTAGGCGGCCAGCAAGAGTTGTGTATCGCACCAGCTACGGTAAGATCGCTCCAGTTTGCTGCTCTGAGAGTTGCCCCAGATGTAGGAAAACTGGACGAAAAGAGCTGCGCTTTCGATGCAATCCTTGCAAGACTCGAGGATCCAAGGTTCCTGATCCGATCGAATGGTCGTGTTGTCGGGTGGTCGAACGGTGTACTCGATGTCCTTGTGGAGGAAGAAGTACAACACGGGGCGATGTAGAAGAAAAGAGCAAGCAAAGTAACGCAGTGCGACTTCTCTCTAGATGCCTGTTAAAGTTTGACTTGAAGGAGATGCAGGGCACTGCTTACAGTACGAAGAGGCATGGAAGAAGCATTCATGCTGAAGGCGGTGGAGTCTCGTACGAATCGTTGATGTAGAGGTTGGGATTGAAACCAGTTTCGAAGATCTGATGAAAGGTTACAGACCAAATGAGCCAGTTCGTGAGGTTGCGCGTAAGCCTTGCTGGAACTGTAAAGATGTTGCAGAACGTTGTTGAGATGGCTTCGGAGCCATGAGTGGCTCTCGAGAGGGTCTAGGACCGAGTACTCGTAACTCTTGCCAAGTATCTCGAATGTTCGGTCTGATGGCATACCATCAATCTCCGTGAGGATGTCACTATAGATGTGAACTTGAGTAGGTATGATCATAGGATCTCAACCACAGTCTGTTACCTTTCGAGAATGAAATGAAGCTTATAAAAGAGCCTGCCGAGACTGGAATGATAGAGTGAGCAGAACAGTTTTGAGATTCGGGAGTTGGCAAAAGCAGTTACGTACTATTCATCACCATTTCTCAGCGAAAAGGTGCGCATCACTGGGTCGATTGACTGAAGTAGGCCCAGTGCGTGGAGGGGCCTCGCCCAGAAATACACCAGGCAGTACGCTGTGAGTAAGGACAGTGATATCCTGTCCGCAGTCGAGTTCGATAGTAATATCCACTGATTCTGGAGCACGGTAGCGAAACAAAACTCGGACAGATCCGTCAGGTGCTCCGGACGTAAGTGCAGTCGATTCTCGTCGGCCAATCTCAAAGCAATGGAAACAACTAGCAAGGTTGAGTTTGATAGCTGTTTAAGGTCAACTGGAACAGTTTCCAAGGAGTCCATGTTCATTCCCAATATGTCCCGTAGGGTAGAAAGTAAGTACTGGCACTGTAAAGTCGGACAGCGATGCAGTAGCTCAGCGATGAAGACAGGCAATAAGGTCGTTGAGTTGTCGTAGAGATCTTCGAGCGCTCTAGATATTTGCCAAAACGCCAATGTAGATGATGGGGTTTTTGAAGAATCAGATCGGATAAGACATGGGTCTAGCTGATCCGTTTCAAAGAGGTAGTCCGCGGCCGATGTGCCAGGGAGCGTAAAGTTGAGTCGGACTTTCGGCCAGTATATAAGCATCTTGAAGCCTGCAGCGGTGTGGAATTCAGGAGCTTTGATTAGGACTGACTGCCGATGCTCCGTCGAGTTGGTGTCAGAGGGTGTGGCTCCATGTCTCTTTGCCGCACGATGGTCGTGAGCTGTGGTCTGCTCAAGTAGCTTGACGCGTGTTTCAACATCTGCCAGGCGGGATAGGACAGACGTATCACTGTTTTCTTCAGCACTTTATCTCGCCTATGTTTTGCCTTCGACTTGCGATTGAGGCCGGATGTCTTTGCTTACGTTTCAAGGCTAGTTGGTGTCGGTCTATACGTGCACTCGCGACCCGAATGTCGACAGTGACTGCATATTGGACGGATTCCGTCGCACCGTGATTTCCTGTGACGGCAAGTATCACAGGCCAGATTGGTCTTGGGCGTCGGGGCCATCCTCGCAATAAAAATGAAAGTAGTCGAATATCATGATTGTAGATGATAGCAATAGTTGTCGATGAAAAGCGAATGCGAGATGTAAGGAGGGGAACGTGAACTTACCTTCCGGTGGAATATCGGCTAACACCACATGCAGTCGTTGCGGAGGGATGAGGGGGCACGCGACTCAAACTCATTCGGAGTGACAAACAAACCTTCTACTCCAAGCATGAAGAATCCGATTTCGTACGTCACCTGGAACCATACAGCAATGCTTGCGTTCGAAACAACTCATGTTTAGCTTATCATCATGACGATGCCGATGATACTAGAGCCTTCGAGCTGACCACTGTCTCTGATACTTGAATGACCGACTTGCCATGTCCAGCAGCGTCCACGTCCGCAAACCGATGCGTCTCCCATTTACGGACCGGAACCTCTTCAACGAAAAACCTCTCAAGCTCGAGGTTGCTTCGTCCGGTAGTTTCGCCCACGCAGAACCAGATGTATGTTAATGTGATAGTTGTTGTGCCGGCGTACACAAACCCGAGCATCGGGCCCAACTTTGCGTCGTAGTACAAGTAGGGGGAAACGAAAGCGATGACCCACACTGTCAGAAAGAAACAGATAATCGAACATGCCATGATTTTGTTCCTGTTTTTGCCAACGGCCATCTCAGAAGCAATGGTGAAAGCCAAAGGCCCCAGTGAGAAGTTGAAGCAGACGATGACGATGTAGGAGAAGACGACGATGGCGGCACTAATACCGGCCGAAAACGGGGTTCGTGTCGAGCCTAGCCCTCCAACGACAACAAGAGCACTGAGAATTCCGACCGTGCAGCTCAGCAGGGTTTTGCGGCGCGAAATTCGGTTGCCAAGTATGACCGAGACGGCGACAGAAATGACTTGAAGGGTGTTCGTTATGAGTGAGATGGTGAAGGCCTCTTTTATGCCAATCGATTGCGCAAATACTACGCCGTATGAGTAGAAGAACTGAATGCCGTTGATCTGCTGTGCAACCATAGCGCCGGATGAGAAAATGAGTTTCCGGCGCTCCGTGGGGTCCCGTATGAGTGAGATCCAGCTGGACTCTGCCGCATCGGCGGTCTCTCGTTGCACTGCGTCGTTCAATACCCGGACGTCGTATGCAGGGTTGTAGTTCGGTCGGCTTCTGTTGATCTTTCTCAGAGCGGTTTCGGCATTGGACAAGCGTCCTTTCGTCGCATACCACGTTGGGCTCTCTGGTGTAAAAGGCAGGGCTATTATCATCAATCCAGGAAGAAGAATGAGCAAGCCCATCGGAATCAGGTATGCGTTCCGGTTCGGAATGGCTGCGGTGCCTTGAGTGATGCCCGAGCCGACAAGCTGAGAGCAAGACTGCATGAATTGAAACATCATGAGTGCCGGGCCCCGAACAGCTAACGGAGCGACTTCGCCAATGTAGAGAAGACAAGTTACTGTGAATTGTCCAACGCCGAGGCCAATGAGTATTCGACCAAGAACAATCAGACCTTCGATGCCGTGCGCAGTGAGCTGAACGATTGCTCCGGCGATGATACAGAAAGAGGCGAGATAGAATACGGCTTTGCGGCCCCAGCGATCGTTTATCGGGGCGGCGAAGAGAGCTCCCAAGAGTTCGCCGACGTAGATGATTGAGGCCGTTAGCGACATGAAAGATGTAGTCAGGGCTTTGCGATTGTCGCCATCAGTCGTAGTGCCGTAATCATCGATGAATGGGCGCATGCCCAGGAGGCCGGTGTAATAAATCTGATCGTAGCCGTAGCAGAGGGCGCCGAAAGTTGAGACACCACAGTAGGCTAAAGCCCAAGCGTTGGACCGCCAGTCAATGTCGAATATAGCCATGGTGAGGAGATGCGAATTTGAGACCCGAGACTCGAATGAATGATGACGGGCACTCTTTCAATGAAGGCAAATGATTCAATCCATCACACTGATGAATTCTGAGGAGATGAATTTGGCAGCTGACATCTTTCATAGCCTGGAATGGTGAACCTCTGAAGAAAACTTATCACGACAACTGAAACTCAGCGGAGGTGATTTACCCAGAAACAATACCATGTCCTCAGGAATCAAGAGGCGTGGAAGAGGGAAATTTACCCTAAAGTTACTTCCCTAATATTTTGATAGCTACCTCGCTAAATTTGACTTTCCTGAAGCATTTGAGCAGAACTCGGCTTGGAACAGAATACCGCATGGATGCCCTGGCTAGTACCAAGCTTCGGGGGAGCCTCCGGCGGAGCGTCCCGATGTCGATCCCCCGCATTCTGAGTCGTACACCACTTCAGTTTGCGGAGCAACATGGCCGGTGCCCAAACACCTCTAAACACACGAGATGATCTAGGTATCTGAAGTGCCAATGAATTGAGTATGCGTTCATGAATATTGAAGCTGCGGTAGGCGTCGCCTCCGATTTTGCCAGTCCTGCCATCGATAGAATCATAATGGCTGAGACCACGGGAACTGACAGCGTCTCATACATCACCCATCAAAGAGGACGAGAAAGATTTGCTGATCTTAACTCAGACATCATCCGATGCAACGTTTCCGAAGAACCGAGGGAATCACCAACTCAAGCTGGCTCTTCACAATACCTATTCTGCAGCCCAAAACTATTCCAGTTGGGTGTCAACCTCACCGCCAATACGAACTTCTTACCGTCCCATCTACACCAACTTCAACTCATGTCGCCCGTGGCATAATTTATCAAGATAAATTCTTAGGGTCTATTCCTGAGTGTTGATTACTGAACACAACATGTCTCTGACGCTTGACGAAGCCTCAATCTGAGACGCGGAGACTGGGATTTGAAGAGAGGATGAGGAGAAACGGGGATGTTCACTCTCCAGGAAGATTGATGTGCATACAGCACAGTGGCCGTCATCAAGGCGCTGTTGGAGAACTTCCGCGGACACATCATGGCTGACTTCAGCTGTATCGATCAGACGAGGCGACATACTTCATCAACCAAAGAGGGACAGAACCTGGATGCTGGAGAACGTTTGGTCAATGGGCAAACACAGCTTGCCGCCCCTCCACTTGAGATCCCTGGATCGCTGCTCGATCAAGCTTTGATGACAGCACTTTAGTGGGCTCGCATTGCGAGCGGGTGCGCTTGCGCATGATAAACGACACTTTTGGATGATTTCAAGAATTTGCGATCTGCGCCTTGGTATGATCAACACATGCTGATGTAACGTCATGCAAAGACCTCTCTCCGCCATTCCTCCTTTCTTTCGGAGCATCCCCCGACGGAGCTATTCCGATATTTTGGCCCAAGCCGCATCTCCGAGATCAAACGAGATCTACTCTACAGGCTACCCCCACGTCTTCAAATAGCCCCCGCGACAGTAGTCGTAGAAGCATTTGTCCTATACTCGGGCTGTGAGCTGACTGCTCTATATAAGTCAAATGGATGCCCGAAGCTCTCGCATCCTTTTTCGATTGATCGTCTTATGACCTCTTAAGTAGTTTTAAGATGTCTTACATCGTGGGCCTGAACAGCGGCTCATCTTTTGATGGCGTTGATGTTGTTCTCTGCCAGATCAGTATCGCGGAGGATGGACACCCTTCCCGACCTCAATATGTAGATGGCCTTACCGTGGACTGGCCACCAGAACTATCGCCACTCATCCTCCGAGCCTTCAACAACGACCTGACCATCTTCGAGATGACGCGCCTGAACTACGCCGCCGGCGCGCTCTACGCCGAAGCCGCCAATGGCCTCATCCAGAAGAACAACCTGAAGCCACAAGATATCGACGTCATCGGCTACGATGGCCAGACCATCTACCAAGAGCCCCCAGACCGGGTCAAAGAACGCGAGTACGTCCAGAGCGGCAACAAGAGCCTCGTCGACCGCTGGCTCAAAGGCGGCTACCCGTGCGGGTTCTTCATCGCCGAGTCCGGCGTCGTCGCCGCCCTGACGGACGTCGACACCGTCACCCAGTTCCGACCTATCGATCACGCCCTCGGAGGATCCGCCGCGCCGCTGATGCAGTATCTCGACTTCGTCGCGTTTCGGAACGACGGCCCCACGGTCACGCTCAACATCGGCGGGATAGCCAACTTGCAACTTGCGGATGCGGACCGCAGCAAGATGATGGCGTTCGATACGGGTCCTGGGAACGTCATGATGGATCACGTCTGCAAAGCTCGCACGGGACTGGGCTACGACAAGGATGGACAGCTCGCGGCGCAGGGTCAGATCATTCCCGGTCTACTTGAAGATCTGCTAAAGCACGACTTCTTCAAACGGAAGCCGCCGAGGTCTGCGTGGCGGCTTGACTTCGGCGCTGCCTACGCGGATGCCGTCCTCGAGAAATATGCTACCGAGTCCACGGAGGATCTGCTCGCGACTTTGACGCGGTTTACCGTGGTATCGATATCGAACAGCCTGGCGGACTTCATCCTTCCACGAGCCAAGGTGTCGCGAGTCGTGGCTTCCGGGGGCGGGACGCGGAATGCGACGTTGATGAGAGACCTGGGGAAGGAAGTTGCTCGTCACGGGCCGGAGCTAGTGACCAGCGACGAGTATGGGATGCCCTCCGCCTACAAGGAAGCCATCAAGTTCGCGACCCTGGCGTTCGCCAACAAACGGAGTCTTGCAAATAACATCCCGGCTGCTGGGGGCGCTGTCAAGTTTGCCTCTCTTGGTAAGCTCAGCCTGGCACCTCGGAAAGCTAAGAACGCGGAGCCAGTCATTGGGAGAAATGAGAGAGTTTTGGGTCTGGTGTCCCACCATTCGGTCTCATCGTAGTTACTTGATAGTCGCTTTCATCATCGAGTTGATACCACTTGATTCCGAAGCTTGATACTTTTGAGCATATGCCGCCAAAAAGCCCAGCAAACAAAAGCTCTATGAAACGAGTCTTGCATCATGTATTTTTTTTCGAACGTGTGAAGCGACGAGGTCAAAAGTAGTTCAACCATCCAGTATGGCTCAAAAGCTGAGCGAATGAGTTGCGATGAGCCGTCAGGGGAGCGGTATTGAAATAGTCCATAGACTTCTATTACTATGATTATGCGATGAGATGTCTATCTAGTATGAGTTGAATGAGGCTCCTGTAGCCGCCGTGATAAATACTCTAAATGATGCCAAAAATAACTCCTCGCAATGCTGAACGTGTCATGACGTAGACACGTGTGCCTCCGGGTATCATCATCTATCCCACCATCTAAACATACTTTTTTTGGTAACCGTGATCTGTAGAGGAAAAAATGTCGTCGCATCAAAGACGCTTAGGCCTGCTGCTTGCGAGCGGCCTCATCATCTTCGGCGCGGAGCTCGCCCTGCACCGTGCGCTCGTCATCAGACATGACGCCGGCGGAGTGGGCGCGCTCGCGCTCGTTCTTCTCCTCCTCGGCCATGGCCTCGTCCTCGGTGGTCTCCTCGTGGGTCTTGCGCATGCGCTCCAAGACGGCGGCGGCCTCGGCGGCGTACGAGCACTTGGCGCGGATGATGTGACCGTACTTGTAGAAGAGGAAGGGGAAGGGGAGGCAGGCGAGGGCGAGGAAGGCGGGGATGGAGGAGGCCCAGTGGATGCCGAGGTTCTCGTACATCTGGGTGGTGAAGAGGGGGAACGCGGCGCCGAAGAGGGAACGCAAGACGGAGTTGGCGGCCAGGACGGATGCGGCGAAGACGACGTAGGAGTCAATGAGGTAGTTGAGCAGACTCAGGAAGACGAGGACGAGGCCGGCGGCGAAGAATCCGGAGGCGATGATCGAGACGACCCAGTGGATCTCGGGACCGTTGGTCCAGGCGAACCAGAAAAGACCAATGGGCAGGAGGCAGGCGCCGACCATGGATGGAGGGAGTCTAGCTTCGGGGGGAGCAAAACCGCCGTGGGCCTTGGAGACCTTGATGTAGCGTCGGCTGTCGAAACCGGTGTAGATGACGGCAAAGATCATACCAACGGCAACACCCAGGAAGGCGAGACCGCCAACACCAGGAGACCAGCCACGGCCACGCTGAAAGACGATCGGGAAGGCGGCGAAGAGCATGTACAAAGTACCGTATACAATTGCCATATAGATGGCGGTCAGAAGAACGATGGGCTCCTTGAAAAGAAGGATCCAAGGGCGGGACAGGGCGACCTTGAATTGCTGGCCGATGGTCTTGCGGCCCTGGTGAGCCTCGTACTTGGAGACGTACTGCTTGCCGGTGATTTTTTCAAGCTTCTCGGCACGGCGACGGAGAAGGACGGGGGCGTAAGTCTCGGGGACGGTGAAGGTCACGATGATGAGAATGACACCGGTGAAGATGGCCATGAGGCCCTCAATCCAGCGCCAACCCTCAGCGACACCAAGAAAGCCACCAACGATGGGGCCTACATAATTCCATTGTTAGTCAAAAATTTCGTCTCACAAAGCGGTGGAAGTGATTATGAAGAAGGTGAAATGTCTCGAGGGGTGCCCGGCGTAGGCGACTGGGATACCGGACGCCGGCGAAGTGGAGCACGGACCTCCGCCAGGACCCACCAGCTGCCCGTTCCGGCCGCTCGGCCGCGCCAGGTCCCGGAGCCGCAAGACCGGCTCCGTATTGGCAAGTATACCAACACAGGGCTTTCATGGTTTGGGGGACCAGGCCGCAGGACCATATTTCTGGCTCCGCATAGGCAAATACACCAGTACAGGGGTTTCATGGGTTGAGATGAACGAGATTCGACGTACCTATCGAAGGACCCAAGAACGGGGCTGCAGCAAAGATAGCAGTGGCCAAGCCACGCTGCTCGGCGTTGAACATATCGGCAATAACACCGCCAGCGTTAGTCAGGGGCGAAGAGCCGAAGGCACCGGCGAAGAACCGGAGGACGATGAGCGTCTCGATGTTCTGAGCACCAGCGGCTCCGGCGTTGAAGGCAGTGAGACAGATGTAAGTGCCGATGAACAAGAACTGACGGCCGAAGATTTCTGATAGCGGAGCCCAGGCTAGGGGACCGCAAGCGAAGCCTACTACGAAAAGAGAGACTCCAAGGATGCCAATCTCAGTAGAAACACCAAAAGTGCGAATAACCTCAGCGATGCCGCCAGAGTAGGCGGTGCTGACGAAGGCAACCGCGAGGGTCGCGATTGCCTGGAGAATGGTAAAGGTCCACTTTTTCCACATGGGAAAGGTCTGTGGGTTATGGGCATCTTCGGGAAGGAAGTCGACAACGAAAGGCGACTCGGGCGTACCCTCACCGGGGTACTTTCGTTCCAGCACGGCCGGTGTGACGCCGGCCTGGTCGAAGAGGACGTGGAAGTAGTTGGCCTTGTTGACGGGCTTCTGGGCCTCGATATCGGCCTCGGTCACGGTCATCGAGGACGATGAAGACTGAGGCGCTGACGCCATTGTGATGGGAGTGTTTGTTGTGATCGAACTCGTGGTATCCTCGTGGTGGTAAGGCGGACCCGCGGTGGGTGGCCTGATAAGCTTATATCGTAGCGGATGTCAGACTGGACTGTGCTTTCGTTGACGATCGTCGACGCTCGAGGTCGAGACTGATGTTCCGGGTCGGGGATGATGAGCAGGAGATCTGAGGCGAGATCTGAATCCCGGAGAACTGGGACGGCGCATGTTCTATATACTGCGCCAGGCCGGGTGGCCGCAGTGGAGATTTCTAATGCGAATTCCATGCCCTTCACCCTTTGTCGGTGCCCGTATCACAACAGATTCTCCATCGGGGCGGACTGGCAGGGGGTGTGTGATGGGAAGAGATCCACCGGTCATGGTGTAAGCCCACCCGGACGGGATGGCTTCCGCGTGCACAATTCTTTGGCGCAGCACTCTGCATCCGTGGTAGTCCATGACTCCATGACCACGGAGGGTCGGGGTGGCTTTCCGGGGACAACATGGCCGAAGGGTTTATCTCCGGGTCGGGCGCAGTCGATGCCTCACTGGTGTCGCGGGCTAGTGCAAGCGGCACGTCGTGTAAGCGTCGCAGATTTGGTAGATTTCAAAGCAATTCATCCCGTGAGAAGCGTCCGAAAGGTGCAGCATCGTCTGGGCGTGCTTGGATGAATAGGCATTGCAACCCTGAAACTTTTTGAAGACGGGATTGAGAGTTGAGATTGATGTGATGCCAAGGATCAATTGCAGGAACACTACAGAGTGCCCCATACCAAGATAGACTCTTTTCAAGCTGCGATGGCAGATACCCTCCTCTTGAGAACAGGACGAACGGGATTGCATAACTCGGCTCTCAGTTATGCAGGCTTACGGCAGGTGGGGCCTTATGGTCGGCTCTCCGTCCAAATCGGATACGTACCTGCTTATGCATCGGCGGAATGACGTGTGGGCTAGGCGGAAGGACCCTCAACAACGGTCACACCGGGCTCTATCGACCGAAAACAACGTGGTCAAGGGCTATTTTAGCGGCTCAAAGCTCGCTTGCAGAGCCCCACAAGCCGGGATGTCGGCGGGTCGACCCTCCGTGCCGAGGTCGATTTGACGCCTTTTTTCGTTTTTCATGTCCCAACTCCAACGGAATTGGTCGACTTCCAACCCCCGTATCGTATCCCCTTTTCTCAGGTTGACAGGTACGGCCATTTCTAATTACAAAGCCAGAATGGGATTTGAGACGACCGTTCGGACTTTGTCCAGTTCATCCCTAACAACGGACGCGCACGCGCTCGTAATCGGATGGTGCGAGGAGGCCGACCGACTAAATATGTCTGGTCTGAATCATATTCCAAGGATAGAGAAAGCCTGGCGACCGGCCCACCAACATACGAGGCCGCAAACAGTCAGATTGCATGGCCGACTTCACCCACGGAGCGGATGAACTGAGAGCAAGGGGCTTATCGTCTGTTGAGGACTTGGTATCTCCGGGCTGCCTGATCTGGATACATGTTCAGGATCTCATGCTTGACGATAAGAGATGATGCACGTTGAGCGCAACCATTCACCAACCAACAAACCATAGCATGCCGTTTTGGGAGCAGATTGGCATGCATCGAAAGAGGTCTCGTCTCGGAGCATCGGCCGCGACCCTCGCGAATATCAATGCTAGCGCGCGAAGCAGACCGGACGTCCCCTCGATTAGAATCGCTCACACACGGCGATTACATTCGCGACCTACTAGTCTTCTAGCGTCGGTGTATGGAATGTCTCTCGCTCGGCATTTTCGTCATCGAAAGAACCTCTACGAATCCGTCTCTGACCCAACGATCAACAACGCTCTCCATTCGGAGCCGGTCCACCTTCGGGACCGATTCGAATTTCGTTCTTTTCGGGCCTGATCGAAGTGTCCAGCTGGCAGATCACCGGCGACCGCGGCCCAGGGAGGCCCCCTGCTTCACCCTGTCAGACTTGGCTCCCAAGCCGTCGGCTCTTGAGTCTTGGAGGGAAAATCTCTTAAAATTGTGCTTGTTTGCCCTGGTTCAATTTGCCTGGACCGCGCCGCCGTGCCAACTTCCGCACCTGGTCAGCCCATAAATTCTGGATCCCGTCCATGGGTTCTGGAATCCCCATTCGACGATGGCCGAGGTTGATGGCTTTTTCATTAGAAAATCGACTCCACTGTTTGCTTATCAACTTTTTTTTTCCTCACTGTTTGTCCTGTTCTTTACCTCGGCCAGACCAAGCCCTACTTGGGAAAAGTCGAGGACTTGGCGCGGCGGACTTTTTTGTTTGGTATTTACGGCGATTGCAGGCGCACACTTCTTCGCGGAACGGAGCCGTTTGCAATCCTTCCGGCATGGGTTTATCGGCCTTTGACCGAACTTATTACGAAGCCACGTTTCGATGTGCCTCGGCTGCCGCAGTTGTGGCTTGCTGCCCAGCCCGAAAAGAATAAATAGACTCGGCTTCAATGTCACCCTGCTAAAAATCCCATGCAAGTGGATGCGACCACAACCGGATTCAAACTAAACGACGATCGATGAAAATGAGCTTAAAGCAGATAAGTCGACACGTTCTAGAATGGATGGACCGCGTCCGAGCAAGCCGTCCGTGCGACTCTTATTGCGGGAAATATTGACTTCTCTTTGGCTTTTTTTTCACTTCCCTGGAATCTTTTTATGTACTTTTCGTGCAGATGAGATGAGAAAACGCAAGTGCAGGATCCATTGACGCCGTAGTCTATCATCCCTCCCCTCCCTTCCGCATCATCACCATGAGCCTCATAAAACTCAGCAGTCTCGTCCCTTCCGCGCGTCCGCCAGACGTATCCCGCCTCGACTTCTGAAGTGCCTCATGTAATCCGAGTTGGGCCCCGCGGCGCGCCGGCTCCGGTCCGCCAGCACGAGCCCCTCGGCGAATCTGGTCATCTCGTTGAGGCTGGCCCCGAACAGCTTCATCAACTCCGGCCACGCGTCAAAGTGCTCCGCCGAGTCGACCTTGATCTCGACCAGACGGAGCTGGTTTCCCGTGGAGATGATGGGGAGGAGGTGCTGCAGCAAAGAAGTCTTCAGGTCTTGCCTCTCCTTCTCCAACAGATCTGTTCGTGACGTCAGCTTCGAAGATTCTCAGATATGAGCAAGTGCTCTCATCTAAACTCACAACACAACCGCAGCCCAAACTCAATGTCGACGACGTCTTCCGCGTCCACGAGCTGGATGAACGGCACCGTGTGATTCCAAACCAGCATCCTCGTAACCTTCTCAAAAGCCTTGCTCTCATTGAGCAACCCCGCCGCCAGACCCAACCGCCACAGGTCGCCGACGGTCAGATGCTCGATCGACGGCTCGTGGTACAGAAGCATCGTCTGCGACGCATATTTCAGAGCGTCCACGAGGTCGTACTTGTCAGCGACGACCGCGACCTCCAGGACGGAATCCGCCGCCGCGATCTGACACACGCGCGAGTTCTGGTGGTGCAGGATGTTCAGGATGAGCTCCATGATCTCCGGGTCCTCGTCGGGCAGGTTGATCTTGACGGGCTCCCCGCCCCTGTCGAGCAGCTTCTGGCCCTCCCTGAAGCGCGACGACAGCATCGCGTTGAACACTCTCGAGGCGCGCTTGAGGATGAGCGAGTCCACGCGCAGCTCCGCCGTCTCCTCGCCCAGCCCGACGACGAGGATCACGTCGCCGTCCGGCACGACGGGGACGCCGCTGTGCTGGTTGCGCGACCACATCCGCGCCGCGAAGCTGGCGGGCGAGCGCACCTCGAAGAACTTTTCCGACGAGGTCGTCGTCGTCGTCGTCGTTACCATGTTGGGCTTGTCGATGGTCATTTCTTTGCTCAGCGGGTCCATGTCTTTGTTGACGCCGATGTGTTTCTGCGGCGATGATGAGCTGCGACGGTTTCGTCTGCAACAAGGCGATTTTTTTTTTACCTGGCCAGGACCCCTCTCAGTCTGCTGCAAGGCTGAGGATGGGGTTTGCGTGTTCGCTGTCCTTAAACATCGCCACCGTTTAGGCTTTTCCCCTCCCTTCAAACGCGGCGGTATCCCCTCTCCCAGCTCCAAGAGTCAGTCACGTCCTTTTTCGGTTGGGTTCTTACTGTGGCCAGCTCCTCCGCATCCTACGAGCTGCCGGGAAGACCCAGGTCCCTCGGGCTCGGATGAGACGCCAGGCGCGAGCAAGAATCTCTTGGTGGTGTTTCCCCCGACTCAGCTGGTGCGGACCGCAACGTTTGGGAAGCGCAGGCGGGGGATCGGAAGGATTGAGGGGGCCAATGTCGTCAGGGCCGAGGCTTGTTTCGCGTGAGGATCGACGGGAAGGTGTCGGAGCGGTGGCCGGGTTGCCCCAGCCGTTCGTGGGCCGGATTCGGGATGACGACGGTTTTTGCGGGACGAAGATTGGCCGTTTCTGGTGTGGTCCGTCTGCCCTGCCCCTCGTCCATGTGCGAGGACCGACGTAAACTTTGCCAGTGCATTCAGCTCGCTCCTCGATCGGAGGAGGAGGCTTTGGTTTGATCTTGCCCCGGATTTCTGACCGTTTCGGGTCGACGGTCGACAGCTGTCAATTGCCGTGGCTTATCGCGGCGGTGGTTCTGAGGGAGCAGGACAGGGAAGAGGAGGAGATGGTGGCTCGAGCTTGGTCGGAGTGTTTGAACCTTATCTATAGTCTGAAGTCAGGCTTACTTGGACTACTGCGTCGGTAGTTGAACCCAGAAGGATGTTTTCAGTCTGTTATCTGGCTCGTGGGGATCCTCGCGACACTTGAAGTCCTCCACGATGACGTTGAGCTAGGGCCTCTTGCGAGATTCGGCGAACGCAGCATAAAACTCAATTGAAGATAAATCCTCTACCCCGAGAACAATCAAAGACTGTGCGTCTGTGCAGGGACAGATCAGCTCTTCATTCAACTACCTCTCTAACGATCTGCTACTACTAGTGTATCTATTGTTGTTGTTACTCGTATTGTTATCATTGTTTCCGTTATCGTTGCTATCTCTACTGTCGTTCTTGTTTCTATTGTTGTCGTCCTTATCTCTATCGTCGTTGCTGTTGTCTCTATTGTCGTCGTCGTTCTCTCTGTTGTCGCTGTCGCTGTCTCTGTCGTCCTTGATTTATTCATGTTGGTCTGTATCCTTGACGGACGTTATGTATAAGGAGAGGGTAGGAACGGAAAGGTAAGGACTATCGAACCGAATGGGTCGCTGCTCCGCATTATGGACTTGGACTTCAACACATTTTCTACGTTCTTACACAGATACTTAATAAAAGAAACCAGAGACTGTCAACTAAAAGTGCATAGAGCAGGGAGGAAAGATGCAACGCACGCAACTTTAGTGCATTGATAAGTGGGATTGTGAGCAACACTCGGCATGAAGCTGAGAACGAATTAACAGCTTCACAGCTCATCCCTCTCCCTTCCTCCAATCTTAATCTTCAACCCCGGAATATTCTTCACCTTCAAATTATGCCTCCCCACGATCCTCACATTCCCACCACCACCTCCGGTATCCTCCGCAGCCGGCTCTTGCCCCGGCGGCGTCCATGCCTTCACACGCCCCTGCCACACATCCAGCCCCCAGCTCTGCAGCTCCCCCGGCGTGAACCCACGCCCCTTCGGGTACGGGTATATCCGCCCGTTGGACACCTGGTGGACCGCGCCGGCCGGCCATCCGTCCCTCGCGGGGTCGAGGCCGAGCTTGGCGGGGAGGTCCGGGAAGTAGGCCGGGTCAGCGGTGACGCAGGTCAGGGAGGCGTATTGCTTCTTTGCGAAGGAGTGGAGTTGGGAGCGCAGCGTGGCGCGGGTTGAGGGGTCGGGGTGGAAGATGTAGACCATTGGCCAAGCGCGCTTTCCGGCTGTCAGTCTTTTTTTTTTCATATTTTGTGGTGGGAGGGATTATGTGACGTACGTCGAGTAAATGTTGACGATTCGCGACAGAGAGTTCCGAAATAACAGGCCGCGAGGTCTCGAGGATCCAGGACTTGAGGCCCTCGGCACCCGAGGTCCAGGTGTGCGCGCTCTCGTCGTCGCGCTTGTGACAGACTACTTTTGCATCTCCTCCAAGATCCTCCACGATGCCGAAGGTGAACTCGGTCCAGTGCGTCTCCGCGACGGCCTCGAAGGCCTCGCGGAGGTTCGACTCCGAGGGGGGGAAGTTGGCGATGCAGACGAAGGAGTCGATGGTTTTGAAGGATTCTGCTTCTTCTGGTGTGAGTTTGGTGGGGATGTGGGAGGATCTTGAGGCGCGGGAGATGAAGTGGAGCATGCTAAGTGAATGTCAGTAATAGAGGGTATAATATAATCATCGCAAGCGAAGTACGCATGTTGGAACTCACTCGTCGCTAGTCCGGGGACCGTTGTACTCGGCAACCGGCGTCTGGTCGCGGTAGAGTTTGATGGCGGGGTAGCCGAGATTATCTGGGCATCTTGTGTCGTCGGGACAGGAGTCTATCCATTCCATCGGGAAATCAGTCGCGGACGACCTGACGGCAGCCCATTCTGGCTCTAAGGCTTTGGCGACCTCGGTTGATGGCTGGGAGTGCCCGTGAGTCAGCGGTTGGGTTCGGGGCGAAGGATGAAGGTTAAGGTAGAGTTGATCCCGCGAGGATTACCGTGACGTCTGTGATGGAAGGTCAGAATTGTGTGATGAGAAAGTTTGGATGAACTCACATGCGACTAGCTTGAGGGTGGGAAGACCGATGTCGGGTTCTGCTCGCAGCGGGGCCTGGTCTTGGGACTGCGCGTTTGCGAATTGAACGAGTAAGGGCAGCCAGGAACTGAACTGGGTCATCCTGTGAGTCAGCATCATGACTTTATGTCATGTCAAAAGAGACGCGAAGGTGTTGAGGATGGGAAGTGAGGTTTTCTGGATGGGAACATGGTGGGATGTCGTTTACAACCCCTGTCGATGTTCAGACAGGGGTGTTCCTCCTGAAGCAGGGGGAACGCGGTCTGGACCACATCGCATGAAACGTCACTTATTGCCAAGTCGGGATGTGAAGACCTCTCTATCATTCGCTACTTGTAAAGTCAACTTACTAGTCAACCAATCCAGATTGGTTCATCCTGGCGGCAGATGCTGCTGTTGGTGATGTCGAGAAGACAGGAAAGAAAAAACAATCAGAAGGAGGCAAGAGAAAGGTATTTATACCAACAAGAATTAGAACATTGTATGACAATATGACAACAAAGGCGCTGTTGGCCTGTTGAGGGGAGTTGCTGTGTCCTATGACTAAGTCCATAGAGCGATGTGATCAATCCAACAGGTAGTTATACATTCGTAAAGGCTTTGTTGCCATGACAAGAGAAGCGCGGGGTGAATTCTGACGAGTGTAGCCCTGAGAGCAGTACCCGTGGAGGAAGAACAAGATAGTGAATAAACAAAAGGCTTAAACAGGAGGGAGGGGAAACGCTCCAAGGGTCAAGCCAACAACAGTTGACGCCCGGAAATCTTGCAGACCAGGCCAGAGCTGTTCCCGAAGCTCAAAAGGCATCATGTATGTGTGACCGTTCTCATCCGCCTCGTTCTGGTCCACCACCTCAATCTCCTGTCCATTCTGGGAGCGAATCTTCTTGATGCCACAGAAGCGTTTGAGTTCGTGCCAGAGTTCAATGGTGGATTGGTTCTGCTGTCTTCTGAAGTGCAGATGGGTTCGGAGGAAGGCAGCAGCTATGCTCTTGGCAACCCTCTCCGCAAGCGTATCGTTGGGGCCTGACATGGCCCTGAGATCAAGACCTTCAGGGGAGGCAAGAAGCGCGTTGGTCCACGAGAGATCGACCACGGTATTGAGGGAAGCTAAAGCGTGGCCACGGGCGCGTTCCAGCTCAACTATAGTAAAATGTCAGTGGGATTCATGATAAAGTGAGGTGTGACAAAGGTAAACAAACCACAGATAGGCCATTGCGCACTCCAATGTTCCCCCTTCAAGAGCGTTGTCATGAGGGATGCATAGGTATGGCGTTGCTTCACCTTCAAGATAAGGCTGCGGGTAGCCTGCTGGAAGACCTCAGAGTTCTGGCAGTAATATGCCGCCATGAGCATTTTCCATGTATCGTCGGGGGCCATGTCGGCAGCGACATAAAGCACGGTACTCTAAACCGGCCCAATCTCCTGCAGACATCCCTGGTCGAGAGCCATGGAGACAACACGAAGGATGACTTCTGAGGTTCTTGGCAGGTTTGCAGGAGGAGGGGTAATAGGTGTGCCGGTTTGGAGAATATTCATTATCTCGGACATAGCCAGTTGGTTCAAACCAACGACCTGCAGTGCATCCATATTAATGGGTGATGAGTGTGAAGCGTTGTTCTTATTTGGTGATGTTTGTGCTGAAAAACGAGCAACGAGGGTAGTTGGTTGATGGGCAACACTGAGGTGGTGAGGTGTCGATGGAGGAAGAATGTGGGAGGGTAGCAAGGGTGGGAGAGTAAAAGATTGGCCTGTTGACAAGGTCGACAAAAAAATCTTCATGTCTAGGCCAACCGCTCGTGGTCGCTCCTCAGATGGGCCAATGAGAGATGAGAGCGCAGTTGTAAAAGTAAACAAACCGTCTTGATAAAATCCCCTTGACGACGGTCAAAGGTTTGTGTGGGCTGCCTTTCCAAAGAACCTGGGGGGCACTGATTCTTCAACTTCACCTTTGAGACACCAGCCAATGAGCTATTAACATTTATTAGTGGAACCAAGCCACTCGGTGGCTGTAAAGCGTGGAGGTCTATGATGTTGCTAACCATGGATGACTTCCCTCAGTCAAAACCACCCCACTCCTCCTCCCCCTCCTCCTCATCATCATCGTCCGAGCTCGCGCTCTTCTCACTCGACTCGTCCTCTTCCTCGCCATCATCCGCATCTTCTACGACCTCGTCATCTTTGTTGGTAGCCAATACTACAGGCTCCCCGGTACTCTTCAACACCGGCATCCCCGTGACATCCCTGATGATCTTTCCCTCGTCGTCACGAACATACGGCCCGTCATCGTCGACTACATCATCTCCGTCCCTCGCAAACGCGGCGACGAAGAACCCCATCACACCATGACCATCGCCTTTGTATGTGCGAATACACGCTTCGGCAATCGCCTTGTCCCCTCCGCATGCCTCTGGAAGTCCCCGGACAGGCCACTCTCTCATTCCGGTGACCTGCTTCTCCCTCAACAACACTCTCCACCCACGCTCCTTCGCAAGCTTGGACTCGAGCGCCTTCAGAACCACACCCTCGTTCTCTTCTGCGTGGATTGAGCAGGTGGAATACGTAATCCTCTTAGCAGCAGAAAACTTCATCGCGTGGAGAAGTAGCGTCAGCTGGAACCCGGCCAATGAGTTGAGTCGCTTCTGAAGCTCCTGCTCGGACTGAATCTCGACTGTGTTGCCGTCGTCGTCAATCATCATCTGCTTCGCTTCCTCATTCTCGTCTCGTTTGCGCTTTCGGTTATCGGGCTTCGCCGCGGGCTTCGCGCCCTTCGTCTTTCCTTTCGCACCGCCAGGGGCAGCGATCTCAGGTAAATGCAACTCTGGCATTGAATCACGTCCCACGATACCGCTCCCCGAGCAACTGGGATCAAGCAGCAGCGCGCCGACGTTCTTATACGCCTCGCCCTTGGGATCAACTTCCAAAAAGTCCTGCCCCAGCCCGATCTTCGTCATTCCCCTACTGCCCGCGATCCTGACCATCTTTTCCAACGTCTGCGCCCTCTTCGAGTCTCTCTCAAACGCGAATATGGTCCGCTTTTGCGCGCCTTGCTCCGGCTCATGCTTCTTCATCACAGCCGCAAGATGAGTCGTCTTATTCCCTGGCGCAGCGCACGAATCAATCACATCGCCGTCCTCGGGGCGGGGGTCCAGCAGATACGCCGGGAAACATGACGCCTTGTCCTGGAGAATGATGTCGCCGTTTTTGTAAGCCTGCGACTTGGTGACGTCCGTTCCGGGCGAAGCAGCCAACAGATTCGGAACGTGGGCATCGATGTAAATCGCCTTCCCCGTCGATTTGGTCACGTCCGCGATGGTCAAGACCCTCTCGAACCCCTTGAACGTCGTCCCCAGCTGCGTCTCGACGTCGCTCTTGAGCGCGTTCACCCGGATCCACCGCGGATGCCTGCCCTCCGGATCGGCGTTTGCGTTGACGTCTGCTCTAAGCTCATCCACTGAGGGCATTTTGCGCCTCAGGCGCGCTCGCGTGAATTCGGATGTGAGGCGCGCCTTGTGTCGTTCAATGGTCTGCCTCAAGCCGTGAGACTGCGGTAGCGCAATGCCACTTTTCGCTAACAGGAAGTCGTGGGTCAGGAGTAATGCCAGGATTGGTGTGAGCTGTGGTGGTGGTAAGTGAGCGTCCTTGAAAACTCCAGCGTTTGCTCACCTTGCGCTCATGGCGCAGCAGATCCGCCGCCTCGACGACCTCCTTCAACACGCCGCTCCACTTGGCCGTCTCAAACGCGAGCGCGTACACCTGCGCGGGAGGTGACTTGAGTCCCTTCTTGCGGAACACGCGACTTTTGAGACTGCCGCCGTGATCGGGGCTGGCTGAGAGGATCTCGGCCGTCTCGTGGTACAGCGACATTGCTCCTCCAGCTCACCACTCAGTACAGAATGAGGTTGTTGGGGATTTAGACTTTGTGGTTGAAGGCGCAATACAGTGATCGGTGTCGCGCGTGGTTCGTCTCCGTTCCTCTCCCCAAGTTTTTCGGGACGCGGTCGGGTTGTGGAGAAATTGTTCGGGTGATGTTGAAGAGAATTTGCCGTTCGGCGATTTTTTTATGGCGGGGAGTGGGTACGTTCAGTCGCCGGAAAAGCGGGTCCCTCACTGGGCGAGCGCCGAAGACCTCGAGACACGGGGTGAGGTATCACTCAAGCAAATTCCAGACAGTTTCGAGATTACCAGTCATCAAAGACATAAGTCACGGAGATCTATGAAAATACGAGAATGGCAATCAACTTTGAAGTTCAGTGTTTCAGGTTCTGTTGGCTCCGATTCTGTCGACCGGCTGTTTACCATGCTTCTATGGTTTGACAGCATAAATCTTGAAAGATCCTGGACATCTTAGCTGCTAATATTCTCGACAATTTGGAAAACAAGATCAACTTACCTGCCCACTCGTTCAAATCAGCGATCCCAAGCGGCGCGACACCCTCCCCCGGAGCACCACCCGAGCAACAAGAAGTCATCCCCTCACCGGCCGCCGTGTAATAAACATTCAAGTCACTCTTGCTGTCCACAATAACCACATCTACCGATTTCAGAAGTCAGCCCCGTTCACTCTCACCAACGGACACTTCATCATTGTCATTATCATGATCACCGAAAAAACTCACCCTGAAACCCCGCCCTCCCAAGAAACTCCTCATACTCCCCCACCAGACTCGCACCGGCCACACACCCGACATACAGCGCGACGTCCCCCCTCATCTCCGCCGTGAGCTCCCTCCGCGCGAGGATGTCGCTGACCGCGACGCGGCCGCCGGGCTTCAGGATGCGGAACATCTCGAGGAACGCGAGCTGCTTCTCGGCGGCCGGCACGAGGTTGATGACGCAGTTGCTGATCACGCAGTCGGCGCTGGAGGAGGGAAGCGGGACGGACGTGATGCTGCCCTTGACGAAGGCGGTGTGCGGGGACGAGGGTGTTTTTGATTTGATAGCGTTGGCTTTGGCGAGCATTTCCTACGATTCGTCAGTATTTATTCGGAGCGGATCGTGGTATCGGCTCACGTCGTTCATGTCGATTCCGATCGCGCGCCCCTTCAGGCCGACTTTGTCCGCGGCGGCGAAGACGTCGAAGCCGGCGCCGGAGCCGAGATCGACGACCGTTTCTCCCTTGCTTTGGTTAACCAGCAACACCACCGGGGAAAACCCGCACACACCTCTCTCAGATTAGCGAGCGCGATCGGGTTCCCGCAGCTCACGCCCAGATTCGCGCCCTCGGGAACGCGGGCGAGCTCCTCTTCGGAATACCCGAACGCCCTGGCGACCGTCTGCTCGTACTCTCCAGCGGTGCTGCTCTTGGCGACGGAGCCGTAGCGTTCGTTGACTTTGTCGTAGATCTCGCTTGGTTCCATCGTTCGGCGGCGGTGATTTCGTTATAAGCTGGTTTGCTTTGGAGACGTTGTCGAATTTGTGTTCGATGAGGTTAACGTATGGCCTCAGATCCAATGCTGACGGCGGGTGCTCTGCTACTGATCCATGATGTCGAAGCGCTGGGTCGAGAAATGTTGAGACGATATGTCACGGCGCAAACCCGATCATCCCGCCCGTCATGCGCCCGAGTATCCCGAGCTGGAAACAAAAGTGAAAAGATGCATCCAATCAGGAAGAATTTGGAGCACGTTGGCCTCCATGGCAAACATGCTATTGACTGAGGCAATCGACATGTCACCTTGTTCCATTGCCCTTGTGTCCAGATGGGACCCCCTCACTGCCGATCATCATGTCGATATCTCATCTAGCGAGGTCAACCTCGATGTGGCCCCAATCAGATGGATCCCAATTCTGGGTTCGCGATCGGAAGAGATGCCCCCATCCCAGTTGTGGACTGCCCGGAATGTCGTGCGTGCCTGGTCGAAATGAGGTTGTTTCTTCCCGATAACCTTAATTCGACCGCTGGTGGGTCAAAGTAGGATGTCACCCAGCGGCAGTATTCATCTTTCAGCAAAGTTACTCGGCATATTGAAGTGATGCGCATTGTTGATGGAGATCGTGTCTGGTTGATTTTGTCTACCGACTACCATATCCATTTATCCCTTTCAAAAACCCTTCCCAAATGCGGCGCATGTGAGCGCCGTTACAAGAATCAAAGTGTATATGTGTACCCTGTGTGAGGTGTGTATGTAAGTGTGTTTCATCAACTTCGTCAAAGGCAACACGAAATTCAAAAACCGAGAAGCCTCCTCCGAAAGAAAGCTCTTTTTGTCCCAAAGCCCGACCGAAATCCCACCCAAATGTCCCGTCGCTGGTATACTTTCTGAAAACTCCACTTGGCACAGGCCCTAAAATGTCTAATGAAGAGAAGAGTTTGATACATGCGCAAAAGAAGCGCGCGCAAAGGTACAGCTTCTAGCTGTCACCGTTGTTGTTCAATCTTGGTGGCTGCGGTGACGGCGCACGTGCTCGTGGACGTGGCGGCGGGCCTTGTAGTTGTCGTTGTTGGCGGGAGCAGCAGCAGGGGTGGCTTGGGTCGCTTCGCTCAGGGTACCGGTGACGGTGACGGTCTGGTAGACAGTCCTGGTCTTGCGAAGGCAGGAAGTCTTGGGGTTGCTGCCGTTGTCGTTGCCCAGAGGGTTCGTGACAACAGCAGCAGGGCTCGACGGCTGGGCGGCCTTGGATGGGACAGCCTGGCTGGCAGCCGGCTGCTCGGGGGCTTGCTGAACGGGAGCGACGTCTTCCTTCTGAACCGCGCCACTGGTGGCCGCAGGTTGGGCAGAGGCAGACTTGACGGGGGTGGCCTTCGCAGAGCCGCTGGCGGAAGCAGAAGCGCCACCAGAAGAGGGCTTGAGAATGTTACCAAGGCCGCTTCCACCGATGATGTTGCCAAAAGACCAGCCACCGAGAGGGTTGCTACCGGGAAGGTTGTCGAGGATACCATCGGTCTTCTCATCGATGGGGGAGGGAATGGTGCAGTCCTGGTTGGTGTTCAGGCCCTTCAGCAGACCAGGGCACTTATCCATACCACTGGAACCGGCGTTGCAGTTGTCGATGATCTGCTGGAGAACATCGGTATCCCAAGCAGCAATGAAATCGCCGTGAGAGCTGTAGCCAGAAACATCACCGTTGGAGAGGACAAAGGGCTGGGTGCCCTGACCAGGAGTCCAGCGGTCGGAAAATTTGGGGGTGTTCCAGTAAACCTCGAAGAACATGTGAGGAACGTGAATGTGGCCGGGAGGGCAATTGGCGCGGCGCTTGTCAGTGGAGTCCTTGTTGGTGGGCCAGGACATGCTGTTCTCGTAGTCGTCGAGAGCCTTGCTGGGGTCGTAGCAGGAGGGCATGTGGACATCGGCGCGGAGAGGAGAACCGTAACCATCGCAGTTCTGGTCGGGGAAACCAACACCAGCACCGGAGTTGTTGGGGTCGACGATACCGGCAGTAGACCCATCAGAGTTCGCGGGGTAGGAGGCGGGGTTGTAGTTGGATCTGGGGCAAGTCCACTGGACCGGCTGGACCGGGCCATCAGCAGGCTCGAGGTTCTGCTTTCCACCCGAAGAGGGAACAACTCGCGTAGAGGCGTTACCACTGACAATCTGAAGACCCTTGGGGAAGGCCTTGATCTCGTCATCGGTGCCCTCGAAGCTGTAAAAAAGGTAAGCCAAGTTCATGTCGGTGGAATGACGTCCTTTACTCACAAGTAGTAGACATTGACATAGAAGAGCTCGACAGGCTCGAACTTCTTGGTCTTGGGGTCCTGGAAGTAGAGCCAAGGGAACCAGTAGGCACTGTTGTCACCGGCAATCATGGCGTTGGAGCACTTGGACTGAGCCAAGGTGTCACCAGTGGCGGAAAGACCAAAGTTGCTTCCTCCCATGACACCGTGGACGTGGGTGGCAGGCTGTCCCGGGGACACGATGGGGTCGACACGGGTACGGACGAGCTGTTCGCCGTTGAATCGGAGGACGGCGAAGGTTCTATCGCTGGACTTGGATCCGGCAGAGGCGGCGCCGATGAGGGTGGCCAGCGTGGCGGCGGCGGCGGAGAACTTCATCGTTGCGGTTGATGTAAATCAGTTGGTGATGAAGTCTTGAAATTGGAGAGAAGAGGTGGTCGTCGTTTTGTTTGCTGGGAGCTGGGTAGAGACTGTGGATGCTGATACCGGAGCACCTTCCAAAAGTATGGGTTGTCGTTTGGACGTGGTCGTGACTCGGGGTGAGTGACGAGAAAATGTGTAAGACACAGTGAGAGAGAGAGTGAATGAATCAGACAGGTCAAAGACGCTGTCAGGATATTGTAATGAGAGGACGTGCTAAGCAAGCTCAGCTTTGTGGAAAGGAATGTTGAAAGGAGAGAGAGAAGAAATGCCCAGCAAAACCCAACAGGGAAAGGTAATGGAATGGATAGGTGAGGTCGGGGTCGGAGATTTGGTGGAGGGAGCGGGAAGTATTATAACCAGACGGCATCTGGGCAGGCGGGAGGAAGGAACATGGGCAGGGCCAATGGCAGTTGGCAGGCTACGTCGAGGTATCCAAACCCTAGGTAACCTCAGTTTACAGCTCACTTCTCATTACCTAGGCGGAGGAGGAGGAGGAGGCCCAGGGGCAGGAAGACGCTAGGCACAGGCCAAGCGAATTCAGCCGTGACGCCATGGAGTGCTGCGGTAGTGGACTTTGCAAAAATTGGCGATGGATGCCCGCTTAAGCACCCAGGGCGAGAAGGAGAGCACGGAGAACAGCGTGATGGTGTGGGCGTGGGTGTAAGTCTGCTGGGGTCGAGGGTCGGGGGCCGGGGGAATGCATCTTGGCGGGAGACCAGCGAGTTGGGATGACCTTTGGGTTCAACCGGGCTGAGTACCGTGTGCTAAGGGACCTTGCTTGCCGGGACTTAGGAATATGGGATGAACGACAGGGACGGGCCCTCGGGTTGCTGACTTGGTCTAGGTTCTCAGCTTCTGAATAGCTATTTTCGAGTACATGTTGCTCTGCTTATCCTGCCATTATCCACAACCAAGAAGCCATGTCTGCATTAGTGCATCAACATTCAAGGAAAAAACAACGGGGAAACAACGTCTAGACGAATTGGTTGAGGTGGCTTTCACACCACCAGAGAAACGGGCGGGAGAGAAGAAACAAACGCGGCAACCGACCCCGCTCGTCTGCCCGGTCGTCTCTTCGCAACGGCACGCACTTACAAACAAACGCCAACGCAGTGGAAAGGAGGCGGGAATGCACAAAAAGACAAGGTGGTGTGATGCAAGACTTGTACCTGCATAATGCATATAAACAGCGGTCTCTCATTGGCCAGATGGATGCCCAGACACCATTTTTGTGCAGGTCGCTGCGCGGATTGTCGTCCAGTGTGACGCCGGACCATGTTTAGCAGCATGACTCGCCCCTGAGTCTGACTTCTTTTCTTGCTAGCGCTGTGCCGCGCCGAGGTGGCGGCCAGTCAGCTTCGAAGCGACTGGCCATCTCAGCTTCCAGTCTTGACTGACCTGAACGTCAGGCCGGGCGCGCGGCAAGCTCACGGGTTTGGCAACAAGCAGGGAGACGAATACCCGTTAGTGGCGCCGACGGTTGAGATTGAAGGTAGAAGCGCCCGTCCGTCTGGAAAAAACTAAGCAAGGAGTCTTCCAAGTGTGTTGCCGAGGCCGCACGGCAACGACGAAGTTATTGATCCTCCTGGCTGGTTTGGTGGATTGTTCCATGGTGGCAGAATCTGGCTTATTTCAGGGGCAATGGGAGCCGAGCAGGCGTCGAAAATGACGTCCTGGCAGGTTGTCAAAGTGCCCCATTTCATCTGCCATGTTTTTCTTCCTGTCCAAAAAGCCGGCGGATTTGATGATGTGGGAATTGCGATTCGGTCATTATCGAGGATGACGAGGCCTCGATACGGATGATGCGGGTGTTGGATGACCAGTGGTGAAAATAGGGTAGTCGGACGTTTCCTATTTTCTTCAGCCAGCTGAGACGGAACAAAGAGACTGTGTTCACTCAATTGTCTGTCGAATATGGCAATTGATGACAGCCTCCCTCGACTCAGATGGCGAAAAGCATAACAGCAAGAAGGGAATAAGATAGCCTGTCAAGATGGTTGGATCGAAGGCAGGAGCAAACGGGGAAGAGATGGAAGGGCTGGTTTCTTCGCTAACCTTATCTGGCTAAGCGGTTACTTATCCGGTGGATCCACTTGCGCAGGGGGGTCTTCCCCGTGTCAGAACAGCCAGGGATTTTGGGAAAGAACAATCGAGGCCGACGTTGGACGCAATTGCTGAACACCGAGACAACTTTTGCTCACCTCGGTCACTCGCAAGACAATAGCCTCTTTTCAGCATCGTTTACCCTCCAAGTCTGGCAACACCAACCCAATCCAGCTCAGCCAGCCAGATGGAACTCAAACAATCCCTTTCTTACCTTCGCGAGGAATCCAAATGTCTCGGCTGCTCTTGATCCGGAAAAGACTTTTCTAGCTGCATCTCACTCTCACGGTCCTGTCTGCTCCCCCGCTTCCATGACGTCTGCTTTGGTCGCACAACTCTCAATCGGGACCGAATTTCAGTGAAGCAGGCCGATTCATTCCTGCAGGTGGACTATTCGTACACCGAAAGATTGATCCTCACGCTCCTGTCGAATCTTACGACCTCGAAGAACGCCCCGAAGAGCACCCATGGATTCACTCTCGTATGGTCCAGGCCTTCGCCGGCATCCGGTCCAGAGGCTAGAGCCTGGGGGATCTGACTTGAACCCTGTCATGACAGATTGAACAGGCCCTTTACCCTCAGGGAATCGGACGGGCCAGCCGCCGGTGGGGTTTCCAGAGCGCCCACGTTTACGAGAAAACACCACGGCCACTCCGGCGAATCATGATCCTCCCAGCAAACGGCCTTCCGTCCGTCAAGTCCACCGGGGACGTCGACGTCTGCCGCCGTTGCTCCTTGTCAATTGCACCGGACCTTCCTGCCACTAATTACAGCGCCAATTCACCAGATTCTGCGAGACGGAAAGTTGACGGTACTTGAAACGCGCCACCACCCATAACTTGCAGAGGCGTAGCCATGGTGGCAGCCCGCCCGAAAATCTCCAATCTGCTACCTCAGGTTAACGATTCTCTAGGCAACATGACTGTCGCTTACTGGCTCAGAGCATTGGAGCCATACGCAAGCCTACGCGGTCTCCCGTTAGCTGTTAAAACAGGTCGGTTTGCGTCTTCGAATCTTCGGAAAGTGTTTGGTGGCTGCGGAAACGTCGCTCCCTTGCCGACTTGCTCGGCTGAAGCCACACGAGAATGAGAACGAGTCTGCCTGTCGCTAGACAACAGAGTACACACCTGCGATTTCAATCCATCGAGATTACGTACGTCTTTTACGCCGCTTGACGTCAAACGAGAACCTATTGGATCTTCAGTCACCACTCCAAATAACAAAATCGGCAAGCGTGTTTCTCTCAGCATTCTTCTCGTCTGCACCGGCATGCCGGTTTCCCTTTGTTCGGATCTGCATCGTTTCGCAACGGTCATTCCAACGCTCGCCAATCCTTGCTATTCGTACTCCAATTCCAAGGGACTGTTCTTGTCGTCTCTTTCCAGTACGAAACCCGATCAGAGACAGTTCCACTGTTCCGGAACAAGACCTGGCTTCACAGGAAAAGAGAGGCACAACTGCGAATCGCTGTGGACGTCACCGAAAATGAACGAATTCGCCCACCTCGTCGTTTCCTGAACACTGCCACCACTTCTTTATTTCTGGCTTGTCCACCCTCCGTTTGCCAAGTCTGCACTGGGGCTCGTGAGCGCCACAGTGGCCCTCAGAGCTCCTTCATATTGCCAAGAAACCAAATGACCTGGTTCCCATGAGTAAGGCCAAGTGACACGCGAGATGACTTGGGATTGGACACGACGAGCGGTCCTAGCCATACAGGCCATATGGAAAGTGCCGGTTTCCAAGAATTCGTGCTCTACTGAGGGTGCCACCCTGATCCTCCGTTCAGTCGGGTACCCATTGACTGGCGCGCGCTTCAGAAACGCTCGGTAGACAATCATGATCCGCCCAATCAAACAATCGATAAATGTCAACCAGTATTCGGAAACATTTCTGCGAACATGAAACACATTGTTTTCGCGATACCGCAAGAATCGATGGAATTATTTCGGGCACCTAACTTTTTCTGCCAACCCTGAATAGAAGAAAGCAAACAACCATGCTTGCTTTTGCTTACATTGATATGCGCCAGGCACCTCGGCAGACGGCAGTTTTCATGTAAATTCGCCGAACTTTCTTCTTCCTGTCAGAACATGCGACGATCCTTCCGCGAAAGCAACGGCAAAGTCATCTCAATATGGTTGTCTGATTACTGTCCGCCTCGACTTGCCCTTCCCGCACGGATGGATCGACGCGCCGCGCACGATACCAAGCTCTGAAGGCCGACGACGCCATCCAATCTCGAGCCATGTGTCGCTTCCCCACCGTCTAGAACCCAATGTCTGAGCGGATGCGGCCGATCATGTCAACGCGGTTTGTTGATCCGGGGGCGCGCCGCGGGTGCTTATCACAGCCCAGCATGCCGGCAGATATCTTCCGTGCTGCTCATTCACGTTACGCAGAGGGATCTCACGGCTGTGTTTCCCCCCACCAGACGAGTCAATGTCCCTGCATAAGTGCCACCCGTTAACTTTGGACTAGTTGCCTTCCCTTTTTCACCCACTTCCGCGGTATGTCATCATGGCCCTGGCAATGTACTACGTAGGCTTCCTCGGGCGCTGTATGCCCAGTGTGCGTGTCCAGGTACCCGAGCTTGTGGTTGACATGTCCGCGCGGGTGTTATTCGATGACGGTTGCGTGCTTATCGTCCCAAGACTCATGAGTGACCACGGCCTCCGAACGTCTCAGGGCCGGTGATGCCGGGAGTCTCAATATTCTTCCACGAGACAAGACACAAGGTGTCTTAATATTCCTCGAAGCTGAAGTAGATTACGCTCATGTGTTTCCCCCCGTGTCTTGCTGCGATGGGCCAATGAAGATCCCAAGCGATATCGTCAGGCTCCGATGTGTTACACGTTAATATAATTGCTGAGGAATTGTGATGGTCACGGCGGGGTTGGCAAATGGGAGACCACGGGTGTATACGTATGGCGGTGAAGTACTCGTAACTCGCCTCGTTGACATCACAAACAACACGATTTGTTGCTGCCAGAACTTGACGTATTTCTTAGGCCTCTGGGTCTTTGCGAATGACTATTCTCGCACTGACGAAAAGCTATATTCGCTTTCGAGGCAAAGAGCAAGAGCTTCTATACTTTTGGGGTATCATGACTATAGAGTGTTTCCGATGCGCTTCTCGACCTCCCTCATAATCTCTACAGCTTCCAGCGCCGCCTTGCGGGCCTCCTCGCCGATGACAGACTCCTCCTTGCCCAGCTTCTCGAGCCTCTCGATCCAGAAACTCCATCGTCGGAGGCACACGGTGCTTGGTCCGTGGTAGAGAGAGCCTCCCCTCAGGTACACCGGCGTGCTGTCCCTTGGAACGTCGGCGTGGTCGGGGTTCTTCAGCGCCCATCGGAGGAGAGCTACTCCGGCGTGCTTGATCCACGAACACGCGACGAGCATCCTGCACTCCGCGAAGCCCGGCTTGGTGCTCGGCTCCTCCTCCAGCGCCGCCTTGAGGGCGTACATGGCTTGGTCGTAGGCGCCGGCGAGACCTGCGCCCATGAGTCGCGCGGCGAAGGAGCTGATGTGTCGCCAGTTTTGTGACGACTCGGGGGTGACTTCCTTTGCTTCCCACGCCATGGTCGGGTCTGTTCAAGATGATGAGGTCAGACATGTTTTTCGCAGTTCTTCGGAGTTTGAAACGTACCTGCGGAGAAGTAGGGCTCGAAAGAGATGGGGAGCACAGGCAGATCTCTCCACAGACGCCTCTCCTTCTAAGAAAAGCAGTCAGTTGTCAGGACACAATACAGTGCACCTGGATGAAGATTGCTTACCCCCCAGACTTTCACGTTCCCTTTGGCACATTGGGCCAAGTTTTCTAGGATGCAGATGAGACGTTCGCGGATCTCCTCTGACGCGTCCGCGCTCGCCGCGACGTCTATCATCACCATCCAGGTCGTGTACAGCCAATTGTTGACTTCTTCGGTCTGGCTCGGGGCAGGACAGAGCTTGTCGAGCATGCGAGCGGCCTCGGCTGCTGCTCCTGAGGTTGCTGGAGACATGCCGTGGGCGAATGCGTCGAGGGCGGCGAGCTCCTGCTCGGAGATTTCGTCTGGTTCGATCAGCTCCAGTCTTGAGAGTATGTTCTCGGTCCGCGATGGGTTGCTGTGTGGTTCGGCTGTGGGTCGAGCTGTGATCTCGACTTTCGGGGTCTCTGTGGGCGGCTCAGGACAAGACGTGATGATGATTTCAGGCGGGATTTGTGTTGCGGGATGAGATTTTGTCTTTGCTGTCGCAAGTGAGGCAGCTTTCTTTGGAAGAGTTTGAACCAGTGAAGTGATGCTTGTGGACGTGTTCAAAGATTCCGTCGTTGACTCTGTAGACGTCTCCGTTCTCGGCGCAATTCCAGGGGGCTCTTGCGTAGCAACCTCGCCATTGGGAATGGGAGGTGTCGGCTTGAACATGCGTTCCATCCTCTCCTTGAACGCGGAGTCTATCTCGACAATCGAGGTTGGTTCGATCGTGACTTTCATCAATTCTACGTTCGTCTCTGGCTCCACGGTGGGCGCTCTTGCAGGTTCGGTGGTGGGCTTCGTCATGCTAGCCGATATAGGCTCCGTCGTAGTGTGTTCTGAATCGTTTGACAAGTTTTCGTTTGTAGAGTTGGCGTTCTCCTTGATCTTGGTTGTTTCCATCGCATCCTTCGCGGATTCGAGATTCTGCTCCGCCATTGTGTTTGCGGGGTGAAGTTGTGCGGGATGAAGTTGTACGTTTAGCAGAGGTTTGTGAACGAATCGCGTTGGGAGAATTTTGTGAGAAGAATTTTTTGGAAGCGAGTATGATTTTAAGAGGATTGAGAGGTTGGAGAAGAAAAGTTGGTGAATTCAATATTCCAAATGTGAGGTGAGAGGGTGAAGTGAAGTAACCAGATCGACCACCTGCCCCGCTTCTTGAGATGGCGGTTTGCCTCACACCTCTTGAGCCACGTGACTCAGACGGACTTCACATTCACCACTGAGCGGCAAACGAGGCTTCTATGGACAGCCTGAGGTAGGTATCCAAGATCGTCTCAGGTTTAGGAAGCGTTGTCCGGAGCCACTCACCAGCTTCAGTGACCTGGCCCGGGCAACGTATGTAGTGTTGACTTACACGGCATTGAATGTCATAGAGGGCGCGATTGCCTTTGGATGAAGACTCAAATCGAGAATAAATGCCATATTTTGCTTCGGAACGGGTATATAACGCTCTCACTCACCGTCCTAGTCTATTCGATGTGTACATTGTGTCGAGGTGAATCCGACCTGGGTGTTTCAGGGGGTGCGACGAATTCATGAGTACCGCCGACTAGACTGGATATCTAATGTTTCCAGACTCTCAGTATTACAGTCACCTTGAGGTAAAGTGTGAGATGAAACTTCGATTCTAGTGAATCTCAAGCGTATGGGGCCAGCAACCCCGCGACAGCTGGAAAATGAAGGAAGGTGAGGTGAGGACTGAAGTTCAGGGAACACAATAAATTCGGCAATCCCCCATATCAACAGATTTCTTCCTAAAGAATAACTACCGATACTGAAGTTCCCTTCACAACGTCATCACCGCTTCTTCCGTTACGCCCCGGTGTTGTACGTCCTACGCCAAGTCTCAACTCCTTCATCTATCCATCTCTACGAATCCGTCCTTCTTGGGTTTCTCACTTTCAATTATCCTTTGAATCGTCAGGATGGACCTTCAACCTTCTTATAGACACCACTACAGACGTAGTACTGACCCATTCATGGAGTCGCAGACGCAAACAAGAGTCAGAAGGACCCGAATCCAGACCCAATCGTTTATAGACGTTGAGCATCAGCGCGCTGTTTTCGAACGCACTTCCACCTCTGGCGACATTCAAGATGAGGCCTGCTTGGATGAAAATGATCCGGAGAACGGCGACGTCAGCCCGACGCCTTCCCACGTAAGTATCTAGCTCGAACAATCTCTCACATTGGAGCTTACCATCTGACCGTCTCCCAATCAGTACGAGACCGACTTGAAAGAGCCCGAGTACCAGTACCTGCTCGCGTCGGACGTCAGACGCCAGGTCCGCCAAGCCCCGGCTTACGAGAAGCCCCCTCGCGGCAAGCGGCCCCCGGGCGTGCCCCCAAAGTCCGGCTACCCTCACGAGTTCTTCAACGACGAGGAACTGCCTCTCAGGACCGAGAGACCTCGTAGCGAGTTCCCCATACTCCCCAGTTCCGGTCCCGGCCGACCTGCGAGCAACTTCCGACCCGGAATGGAGGCGGGACGAGTTCGAGCCTTCTACAATGAGGACGACCGCAGCGTCTTCGATGTTGGATACCACCGGGAAAGCACCACTGATTCGGGACTGAGAAACGACACAAACTCCGTGAATACTCCCTTCAAGCTTGCAACGTACCGTCCGGCATCGTACTCCAGTGATACGGGAGAGAAGCGCAGGTTCTGAGCCCATGTCTGGCTACGAAGCGACACAGTATATTCAGTGCCATTTCTCCATCTCTCAATGCCTTGATTCTTGGCCATAGATGGATGCCAATAAGTGGCGGCAAACATGGCCGAATAGGCGATCCATCGGCATATATACAACAATGACTTACCTTCTCTCTCATGATGACAGACTGAGGGATCAGGGGCAGTCATATTCATGGCTGAGCGGGGTTGTTCTATGAGCAAAGTCAGTGTACGGTGAGCAACAAAACCCCCTTTGGATGTGGACAGGGACTAACATTTGCAGAACTTCGAGAACTCTGTTCTTGGTCGGTATTCAAGTATTCAAAGGGGGATAAGACATTGACAAAGACCAACAGAGGAGCTACGTCTAAAGAGTTGCAAGTCAATTCATTATGGTGATAAGTGCACACCCAGCCGCAAGATTCATGCCTGGCCACGAATCATCATAACATGGGCACTCGTCCACAGCATCGGCTTGGTTTTCGGAATTCTGGCGCGAACCAAGTCAGCAAGGGGCTTTTATACATTGCATATGGAGTTAAGGCCATGAAGGGCATCTTGTACTTTCTTTGAGATACCCTGGACGTCCTGGCTGGTGTCTCTGCATGGCATGATGTTTAGCAAAGGTTTAGAAGACAGAAGTTACATGGATTGGTACTGGAGTCGGCGTTGACATTGGCAGAAAGCCTTTTTAAATATGTATTTGGGCCTTGATAATGATATGGAGGTAGCAACAGGTTTCCGAACTGTATACTGCTTGCGCCCGGAATGAATCAACGCACAGTTTTGTCACACATGAAATTGTCCTTCTTTGTTGAGCACAGTCTAAAAAAAACAAAGGGGCATGTTTGGCGTTTCTATCTGGTCTTCCGGCTCAGACAATCACTCTGAAGCAGACCAGCATCCAGGGCAGGCTTCTTCTTTGACTGCAACCACAATCCACCAACAAGAAAGCCATCCAGTTTGGTGGTTTAACGTATGATGTTGCGCTTCCCGGGTAAATCTGGCAGGAAATTACAGACCAGCCTTACTTCAGACATCTGGAATTACACAATAATTTCAGTGAAAACGAACACTTTTCTTACAGCATGACAGCCTCCTCTACTGAGTATCATGCTCCTGCGGCCAGCAAGCAGCGACCTCAATCTCTCCATCCTTGCCCTGCTCAAAGCTCAGAGCCACGGTGCCGCCGAACTCGAGCGGGCTGCCCTCCCAGATAACAATATCCTTGGTTCTTTCCAGACCCAGGATGTCCTCGACGTTGCTCGAGACGAGGCGAACAGTTTCTTTGTCGCCAAGGTTGGCATACTTGGCAGCCCAGGCGGCCTCGAGGGCGAGGTCGTGGATGCGGTAGTCGGCTGGCATCACTTTTGAGCAGAGGTGTTAGTATTGATAACATGATAGAGACAAGACGATGACACTTACCTTCAGAAACGACGGCAATGGCGAAGTAGACGCCCGCTTCGCTTAGAAGACGAGCAACACTGGGCGTCAGGGGTGGGCCTACGACGGCGTCTCGGTGCCGGAATTGAGCGGGTGCAGGGCGAGTCTCAGTGAGGATGAGAGGAATCTGGGCTTTGGCGAGCTCCAAAGCGACCTGGATGACTTGTTAACCTAGGACCGATATCAAGTGTCGTGGTGCTCACCAATGGGGCCTCAGCGCCACCCTGAATTACAATGTTGACGTCAGGGAAATCCGCCTTGATGTTGATGATCTGCTGGAGATCCCACTGCAAACCCGTTAGCTCTCAGAGTCACATAAAAAGACCTGAAAGGACTCACGTGGTTGTTGGCCTTGATGATGAGCGGCAGCTTGCCCCTTACAACCTCGCCAAACGTCGTCTCATTGTGTTTTCCCTTTCCGTCTGTGAGGATCTTGCGCAGCTTCTTGACAGCGTTGCTGATCGTCCCAACACTCGCCTTCGCGCCGTCATCGATTGTGACATGGAGAGCGACCTCGGGCTTGAAAACGCCGCCGTCGAGGAGCGTGCGATCGCGGCGGGTGAGAATGCCCACGCTGACACCGTTGACAAAACCGGCCTCGCTGACCGGCGGCGAAATAGCGCGGGTGATGCCGCCGAGACGGGCGCGCGCGAAGGCCTTGCCCTCGAGCTGGACGCCGTACTTGGCGAAGTCGAGGTTCTCCGGGTCGTTTCCGTCGCGCTTGAAGTCGCCGTAGCCGTCGCCGGTGTCCGGCTCCGTGGCGATCTCGACCATGCCGAGGGAGGATGTCAGGGCGGTCAGGCCGGGGAGGACGTGGCCGTTGGAGAGATCAAGGGTTGTGACCTCGCCTTCGGCGGAAGCTTGGGTGATGGCCGATGCACAGTTCTTGGATGTGTTCAGGCACGCGATTCCGCCCTTGTTGATTACGAGGGTCAAGTTCTCGCCGCTCACATCGTGGAAGGTGGAGGGCACCTGCGGGTGGTTCTCCAGGAAGGTTGTTGTGATGCCGTTAATGACGAAGGTAGCAGGTTTCTTGGTCTTGGAGCAGAACGCCTCCCTCTTCTCCGGCTCAAGTTCTGTCCTCATCTTAGGAGTTACGGGCTGAGTGTCTTTGGTGCCTGCCTCGTTAAATGTCGTGCCCATACTCTCCTGGACGATCTGATGCTTCAGCTGAGGGTTGCCGTCGATGTATACTTGGAGAGGAGTCGCGCCGATGGAGAGGGGATGGGCGTCCCAGACGACCAGGTCAGCATCGTATCCCGGGCGTGCGTAGCCGACTCGGTAGGCCAAGTCAATGGCCTTTGCGGGGATCGAAGTGACAGACTGAAGAGCCTTCTCCTCCGGCAAGTGAAAAGAGTGACCAACGCCCGCTTGGTACATGATGTATTTGGCATTGGTCTCTGGCGCGGTATGATCAGATTTGTAGGCCACGGGAATGCCGTGCTCATTAAGAATCTTGCCGGCAGACAGACTAGGAGCGTAGGCCTCCCACTTGTACAGACTGAACTCGGCAAAAGTGGCGATAGTGACGTTCCTGACTCTGTTAGTCCACGATGTTTAACTTGGGAGGACAATATATTGCAACTCACTCTCCATAATTCTTCAGCATTTCGGGAACCTGCCAGGCCTCAATCGCATGATGGAAAGCCCGAACTCTGACACCAAACTCACCGGTGACACGCAGCATGGTCTCGAAATCCTCAGGCAAGTAGCAGTGGTTCTGCATAGCAACTCGGCCGCGCAGCATGCCTACGGTCGACTCAAGCTTCAGCTCGCTGGGGAAATTGCCCAGCTGCTCAATGAAACGGCGCTTCTCCTCGGCCGAGGCGGTCGACACCACCGCAGCAGCCTCGCAGTATTCGTCCTGCTTCTGCAACAGGTCCTTGGCCTTTGCGAACTGCTCACGGAGAATCCAAGCATCGGCCATACGGGTGTGATCGTACACCCGCTTCGGATTTTCGCCACAGGCCAGCTTCATGTAACGGTGGCGCTCCTCGATTGGAATTCCGTGCTCGAGGAGGAGCTCTTCGACAATGTACTCGCCCAGCTCTCCCGAGTTGTGAACGTTCTTAATCACGGTTCCTTCGCCGCCCATGACATTGGCCGAGCCGGGCAGGATGAGCGACGAGGTGATGCCGCCGGACATAATGATACGTGTGCCCTCATCGTATGCCTTCATGGAGTCAATGGCGCGTACAAATGGCGTAAGCGGTCCGTAGGCCTTGTTGACTTCGTTTGTATCGTCGTTGGCAGAGATGGCGGGCCAGAGACTGATAGAGTGATGCGAATGCATGTCTACCAAGCCTGGCGTAACGAACCGACCGTGCAGGTCATGCTCGATAGCTCCGTCAGAGCTAATTGACTTGGAGGCTGTCGTCGCAACCTCGGTGTACAAGCCCTTTTCAAACTTGATATCCATTGGCTCCTTAGCAATCGTCTCGCCGTCGAAGAACGTGGCATTGCGCAGCACGATAGGCTTCTCTTGCCCGCGGACCTTGTTCCATCGCGGGTTCGCCTTGCGAGTCTTCGGGTCGGGACTTTGGGGGAACGTCTTGAGAGAAGCGCAGTGCTGGAGCGACTCCTCGAAGCGACTCAGACGCGCGGAAGAGGACGCATGTTGGGCAACGTGGTCGAGCTTCGTCTCACGATCGAGGAGGAGGCATAGCCAGGTGATCACGCCGATAAGAAAGACGGCAAAGAGCACGCGGACAGAGACGAGACGCCGTGCGAGGGTACGTCGGGACCGAATGCGGGGATAAGCGGCGGCTTCATACGGGGGAGGTGTCTGGAAGGTGAAGAGATCGGCCTCTTTCGAGGACTTGATTGAAGGGTGTGCTGGAGACATCGTGGAACGATGCTCAGGGTCCAGAGCTCTCTGTTTGATGGGGAAGCAAACAATCACAGCACCTCTCTCTGGGGGATTTCAGGAGCATGCAGAAGGAGGGACGTCAGAGCATTTATCAATTGAGCAGTCCAGGTGCATGAGATTGGCCGGAAGACTCATGCCGGGGTAGCTATGGTCTGACAATACGACTTTTCGCATCTATCGACAGAAGACTTGGACAAGTTGGGAAGGTCGATTGAGTGTTGCTGGAGCTGCTGGAAAGCTTGGGTCTGGAGCGGGGAAGCGGAGTAAGTAACCTTTGCGATAAGACATATCTATTGTTAGTGATGCTGCCTTATTAATGTGTGGTGTCTATCAGATGATCTCCAAAGCCCCCAAAGATACTTGGTCTCCACTGAAGCTTTTATCGTCATCCAGGAGCTTCGCTGCAGGGGAACCGAAGAAGGGGAACACACCTCGCGCGTCTCATCCTGGAAGTGACGCAACCCGGAGGTGGCATCGTCGGCGCGTCTAGCTTGATTGCAGGCGCGTTATCGGTCATGTCGAAATGATGCCTCGTAATGGGCTGCGTAGCTTGGTGACGATGTTGGGTGATGAATGCCTGGCTGGTTGACAGTCTAAGTTGATAAGAGTTGTTTCCTGGAGCAACCAAATGCAGGCTGAGTTACTGACTGACAAAGTTTCCCGTTTTATCAGTCGGAGAAGACTACGGAGTCATACCTGTAGACAGACACATCGTCCCAACTTGCAGCTGAGGAAGCCTCATTACAGCTAGCGACAGATGTTGGATTCAGCTCTTCATCAACAGAAAAATGCCAATGAATAGAACTGCTTTTGAATGAACAAGACAACGGAAAGAACAGACGAAAGATCCTGGACGCGGGGAGCACACTTGGCACTTGGAAAATGCAGCGGTTCTGCACATCAGTCCCATCTCCCGCCCACTGACTTTCGTCTCGTCTTTCCCCGGTTGGCTTGGGCCGCCGACGGTGCCTCCTCGCAGTGGATCTCAGTCCCCAAAACGGCATCTGCCACAGTGGGCCCGTTTTGCTTCTGTTTTGGAATGTTTGACCCTTGCTGCAGCTCCCTTCTCAAGCTGGTCTCTTCACCAAACATCGTCTTCTGTCAATGTCTTTCTTCAAATTCCATATTTCTTCTCACATCTCGTACTCAGATTGAATTGTTTCTTCGATCGATACCCAAAATCATTTGGTGCTTTTTTCTCGTGTTCATCAGAGACGTCTCTGAATCATATTAATACTCGTTCGCCGGTCCCCATCTCCCTACTTACCCGTAATTCCTTTTCGAATTCCCCGACACTCGGCGTCTTCAGCGCGCTTCGTCAATCTGCGTCCATCTTTTCGCGATCGACATCATAGAAAATCATCACACTTCACCACGATGCCGGCATCGAAGTTGGAAGAGGCGGTTCAGCCCCGTCGTCCGCAATCCACAGGTCGCCTGGTGGAAAGAGTCTGCCAGCTTATCTTCGTCTACGCCATTTCCTTCGCTGCCATGTTCATGCTGGTCACCAAGATTTCGCCCGGAAAATGGCCCTTGACAGAACCGTCACTGAGCAAACCTAGGCTCAAATTGGGTGCCACGAACCGCGACTTTCGCATCGGCATCTTTTCCGATTTGCATTTCGGAGAGGTGGAATTTGCTTGGGGCATCGATCAAGACATCAATTCGACTCGAGTCATGAAAAATGTCATGAACAGCGAACACCCAGACCTTGTCGTGCTTAACGGCGATCTCATCACGGGAGAAGACACTCACAAGGAGAATTCGACCGAGTACATCAACCAGATCGTGAGGCCGATGATTCAGTCCAGCCAAAAGTGGGCATCAATCTATGGAAACCACGATTCCAAGCATAATCTGGATCGTGAACAACTCTTCCGCGCCGAGAAGGGCTACGACCTGTGCTACACCACGTCCATGGGCGACAAGCTTCCGGGCATTACCAACTACTACTTGCCCATCTTTGACGGCGACGCAAAGGAGCCAATTGCTCTGCTGTGGTTCTTCGACAGCCGTGGCGGCACCAGCTACCAAACAGATTCCGACAACATGGACGACATCCCGAATTGGGTCGCGCCTGAGACCGCCGAATGGTTCGAGAAGACCTACGACGAGTTGAAGGAGCAGTACGGCCGAGTCATTCCCAGCGTTGCCTTTGTGCACATCCCGCCTCACGTCTTCCTCGAAGCTCAGCAATCGAACCTTGATCCGAGCAAATTCCCAGGTATGAACGCCGATGTCCCGTTGTCCATTCAGGGCAAGGGCCAAGAAGACACACCGTTCATGGAGGCGTTGCTGGAGGCCGAAGGTCTCCACAGTGTCTACGTCGGTCATGACCACGGCAACTCTTGGTGCTCCACTTGGCCGGGCCACGAAGGCGGCCTCGGCGCCGAAGCTCCATTCCTCTGCTTCGCAAAACATACGGGATATGGTGGCTATGGCGACGGATGGGGCCATGGTGCGCGCATGGTGAGCCTTTCATTCTCCGAGGGCGATAATCCCCAAATGTCCGTCGAAACCTGGGTGCGTATGGAAAACAACCAAATGATAACAAAGGTCTCCCTCAACGAAACTTACGGCATGGATTCTTATCCCCCTTACAATGGACAATGAGCAAGCGGGTATCTTCTTTCAACAACTTACAAGCCGCATTGTGATGCGCGCAGATGGATTGATGGGTGCCTGGACGGATTTCTATTGCTGCAACCCAAGATGCAGGATAGGCTATTTGCAGCCGACCAAATCAACCAAGGAAGCATGATTTCCCGCCTTGGTTTGTTTCGGCCGCATGAACTGGTCTTCGGCCAAGACATTCGTGGCACATTCTCCCTCCGGAGGATGCCGTGCCCCATCACTACATTCCTTTAACCATCCCTCTAAACTCCGACGGAAATTGCTCCCTTCACCCTGCGGTCAGCTGCCGTCAGCACCCACCACACTTGGCTTTCGTGCGACACTTCGTGGCGAACTAGAGGGCGCCAAAAGGCGCCTTGAACCATCTGTGCGATGCAGCCATAATACCATTGTCCCCTTCCTTCGTTCGTCGGGTTCCTGGCGCCATCGATCTCACCTTTCCTCCAACTCTCTTCGCAGGAGCGTCTCGGCCGATCACCATGGACAGGAACCCGACCTCAAGTGAACGACTACCGCCTAGGTATACGGCTTCCAAGGCGGTTGACATGTCTCGACAACCTCTGCGATACTCTAGGCGCCCAATTTACATTCTAATTGTATACCTCTTCTTCTTGCTTATTCCGTGGATCATCGTATGTGTCGTCAATCGACAAATAACGTCCCGCGCTTGGGACATTTTCATGCAAGATGATCTCGACAGGTACGAACGATGGATGCGCGTGGCGCCGTTCTTTAGCACCGTGACAGCTGTCATTGCTTTGCCATGCGTTGCGGCTCTTTTGGCTCACGGTGTCGTCGTGTACTCTCAACGACGATCCCATCAACAGTCCCTCAGCCTCCGACAGGTCCTCGCCCTCGCCGACAACAAATGGACGGCCTCACTCTCACGAGGGGATACTTCACCGTACCTCCTGTTCGCAACTGGTCTTCTGCTACTTGGTAAGTGTCCCGTTCATGGTTTGCTTGGCCACCTCTGACCGAGCTCAAGCTGCGGTACAGCTGCCTCTTCAATCCCTTCTGATGCCGGTGTCCGCTCGCATGGTATACCCATGTGAAAGCTCGAAACCATTGACGAAGTGGGATCGTACTTGCGATGGAGACAGGCATCAGGCAAAGAGAATCGGCAAAGAGCCGGAGCCCGCTCTGCTCAAGGCTCCAACCGACGTACCCAACATCATGGGTGTTCTGAGATCCAACATGATCAACATCACATCGGCCAGCGTCCAGCAGAACCTTTGGCGAGATGGAGACAACCACCGAAGCTTTGTGACAGGCCCCGAGCAGAAGTATGACGAGGCTTTCTGGGTATCAGCTATGCCGGCAGGCACCACGACTGGCCCCCTCAGACAGCACTCCGTTAGGCTCAGCTCGACCGCCGACTGCCTGGTGGTGGCTAGTGATGAATTCCCATCGAAATGCGACGGCTTCTCGACCGCTCTCGAAGGCTTTGGGGTCGGGATCAGAATTTGCATGCCGGACAACTACAAGCACGCCGAAGTCGAGCGGGTGTTGCCGCCTCCACGGCAGCAAAAGGACATTGAGGAATTCTTGTTTATCGACGCGCAAATCAGCAGCGAGGCATCGCAAGCTCACGACTTCATCTCGGATTCTGCTGAAAATGTAACGATCATGTGCACAGCCAAGACAACTCGTGCGTTCTTCGAATTGGGCAATTTCTACACCAAGCTTCGCCCGTCTGGGATCGTTGGACTATGGCCAACAGATGCGGAAATGAGAGAGGAGTTCCACGATTACGACTGGCTGGGCAATCTCATAACCGCACAGTAAGTTCAGCCTCCAAAAAGAAAGAAGCAAGCTGACACCTCTCAGGCCTGATGAAGAATGGAACCGCGATGTGTACGGTGGGTGGGCGTCGTCTCAAGGTCCTTTGAGACCCACCGTCGAGTCTCTGTTCGGCGAAGGCTCATACCCGCGATCTGTGCTTGATTTCTTGAACCAGACGTTTCCCGATGGCCAGATACCCGAGAACTTTACCGCCTCTGACGACGCTACTCGCAAAACCCAAAATAAGGGATGCGCCCTGGAACCGCCACTGCGTGATTGGCAGTTGCCGTACAACTCCAACAACGACGAATACGACTCCTGGTACCCTTCCATCTACAACGGATGCACGCTGCCGAAGCTTCCGAAATCGATCTTCAGGATGACCCAAGGCCTGCGCCACTCGACGGTCGTGCAGAGCACTCTGGGCGTCGGCATGTACCTGTCCAACGTCGCTGTGCTGCAAGACGCGGCATCCAACGATGCGGCGAGGACGATTTACAACCTCACCGGCACCGAGTTCGTCGCACCGCGATACAGCCTCGGCGCCACCGTTGGGCTCAGCGCACTCATCAGCATCCAGGCAATCTGCCTCACCCTCCTTGTATGGTACATCTGTCGCCTACCAACGTGGACCGAGACCCTGGATTCATTCGCCATGATGAGAATCGGGGCTCAGCTGAAGGATACTACAAATCTCCCCCCTCTGGGCCGCGCTAGTCGCGATGACTTGTACAAGCTGGGCGAAGTAGACGGGCTGATCGGCGTCGTCCCCGGCCCCGGCACAACAACAGAAGACGACCTCGAGATGCGCACCATGTCCACCCGGCCCCTTCGTAACGTAAACGCTTCGCACCAGTACGAGGTGGTAAGGCCGGCATCGCGAGCCAGCTCGGTCAGCTCGATCTCAACCATGGACCTGCCGGCAGTGCCTCCGCAGACGCGCCAGTTCGCACGAGACAACATCCCAGGAATGTCCGCAAGCGACCTCAGCTCGTATCTGCAAGGAGGGGGCCTGGCGTCTCCGTCGGTGTCTTCGGTGTCCTCTGTGGCGTCCTTCAGGAGCCCGTCTCCGCCGCCGCCTTATCTGCCGGCGACGTCTTCCACGAGGGATCAGCGGGCTGGGTTGCCGTATGAGTTGGGCCTGGGCGCCCCGGGGCTGATTACGAAAGCTTTGTGGAAGAGGAATGAGGAGAAGTAGCGAGCGGTGAACCGCGGACATCATAGATTTCCTTGTGTAATTTTGACAAATTTGTAATGATACCCAGAAAAGTAATAAGACTCAAACCATATTCCAACTGCGTCGATTGCACCATGCTCCTTGACAAAAACGCAACAACCTCGGTTCAACGCCAATGATTCGACGACGTACTATGATAACCCCCTAACAAATCTTCCCACATGCCTCCTTTCCAACTCTTCTCCAAGCACCCTCACCATAACCTCAAATCGCCCAGCCGCCCACCAAGGCACCCCGTCCCCCATAATCAACATGGACGTCCGATAGAAGTGATACAGCACGAGCACCGCACGCGCGTCCCCGGCGCCAATCATGTCCAGAAACGTGCCCACGCAGAACAGGGGAAACGAGAAGACGTAGCGCTCAATGTCCGATCTCTCCGGCGGCGTCGCGTTCGCGTCCTTGTACTCGCAGAGCGCCAGGATGACGGAGAGTCTTGAGACGATCGCGCGGTAGGCCTCTCGATCTACCACAGACGCCTGCTCCGGGACCGGCACGGGAGGTGAGGGCTTCGGTGCCCCTATCGCGTCGTACCGCTCCATGAAAGCCTGCACGATGGCGTCGCTGTCCATGCCTTGGGCCTCGACGATGTTCTCGAGGGCGCTGCATTGGGATATGGAGGACATGTTGGCGAAGATGCTGGACGGGCCTTGGGCTCGGGTCTTGTGGAGGAAGACTCTTACGCCGGAGCTGAGGAGGAAGAGTTGATCTCTTCTTAGATCTGGCCCCTGACTATCGTCTTCTTCCGTCTGGCTCTCCAAGAAGTCCAGGTTGCACCAGGTGAGGTAGTGTATCAGCATCGCAGTGAAGAACAGCGCATCGTGCTTCTCACCCCCGTCCTGCGCATCTAGTGCCGCGCTGAAGGAGGCGCAGGCGCGGGACAGCAGCGCCATGGCCGCTTCAGAATACACGGCGTTCTCGGGCTGTAGGATGCTGAGATGGCGGGCGGATGTGGCTAACATTGCGGTCATGAGGTACTCCTTCTATCGTCCCTCTTCGTGAATCCATGGTTCTGAGGGCAGGAGAAGGTCAAGCAAGTCTCACCTTGAACGCGATGGAGATGGCGGGGCCCCATACTTCAGCGAAGCAGAGCGTAGGTGCGGTCTGATGCTGGAAGTGGTGGAAGAGTTCCATGTGTAAGAGGTTGACTGGCCCGGACGGATCGAACGGGCGTGGTGGTGCGGGAGGCGTCGCTTCCTTGCCGGGTGACGACGAAGTATGGGGTGGTTGGCATGTCTCGTTCCGCCGGAGGCAGTTAGTACATGGTGTCTTCTCGTCGCACTAGCGTTCTTATCAGATTCGAGAGGTTTGTGTATATATATCCCTCAGGGCCGACTCACTTTCACTTTCCTCTTCTTGCATGCCACACACCCTCCTCGGCTCTTTTTATGAGATTTCTTCTTCTTGGGCTCTGCTTGACCGGAATCGACGAATCGCAGAAGCAGATGCGTTTCTTTACCCGTGGTAGGAGAAGATGCCGACATGATGGGGTCTGTGAAGTGAGTAGAGAGGAGAAGATGACCCTGTTCGACCCTTGGTCCGGGGTGCTCCTTGGCGACTTAGGGTGATTGGGGTAACGAGGTGACTTGGCGGGCTAGACACTTAATGTAAGCCCATCAGCTTAGAATGCGCAAATTCTAGAAACCCCTCATCTTCTAATTGAGAGATGAATAATTTGATCGTGGGATAAGGGGTTCACAGTCGATTTCTGAAGTCGATATGTCAGATGCCAGATCTCGTTTTATTTCCTAATTGGGAATATGCGGCATCTTTTGGTCTAGTCCGTAAAAGGCCTAGCGTTGGCTGCGGTTAGACTCGTCAAGGTTCTGGGGTAGGCAGCGACCTCCCACCCTTTCCTCACTACCTAAGGTACTCTAGTATTAGGGAACCTGCCCAGTTTGTTGCTGTGTTGTAAACCCACGATAGACATCTTCCTTTTCTGCTTGCAGCCAAATATTCATATATATCTCAGCAAAAGACAGTTAAAATAAGTCAGCTGAATTGCCTGCTTGCTATGACGTCATTTCAGGGTCCTTTCCCCAGTGTTAGTGTCGTGGAGTACCTCCATCGTCACCTTCTCACTATTATCATGGACAACGGATGTCAAAGATGGCCGCTCACAAAGTTGTCGATGCATAGCGCATCAAGAGTAGCGACTGCGAAGTTAGTTACCGATAATATTGTCATTAAGGTCAACGTACCTTATCCCACCGATTCCCAATTGACGCCAGAACAACCATCCCCGTCTAGATATTGGGCCAATCAGCAAGGTTGCTTCTTTTGGAGTAAGACTGATGGGACAGGAGTTAGTTGGAACTCAACCGCTTATAGATGACGAACACATATTGAGAACATCATTCACATCACAAGCATCAACTGGAACAAGAAAAGTTTTTGAAAGCCTTATATTCCACGTCCCCACTGCCCTCGTTAAACCTCCACCTCATGTGGCAGGAAGAGTGACAGTGTTTTCAGGACTCGGCTTGTATACAAGAAGAAAGAAAACAGGCCCAAAAAACACCAAACAAAAATGGTATCCAAAACCGTTGTCCAAACCAATCAACAAGATACATGAACCAAATACAATACAACGCATCATCTCAGACCATCTCTCTTCTCTCTCTCCTTTTTTTTGTTTGTTTGTTTGTGGTGGTGTGAATCAGAAAACAACTGGTGCAGGGTATTGGAAGGCTCCCATGGGGGTTTGATTGTTCCAAGGCAAGCTCTGATAAGAAGGTGCTGGGAGGGTTTGGTGATAGGGGGAGAGTCTTGCTTTTCTCGATTTGTGGAAGTCGATGTGGTTGGTCTCTTCGATGGCCAGGAGGTGCTCGGGGATCTCGTATTCCTTCATAAGGACGGGAATCTCTGCTGGCATCGCTTTCGGGTTCTTGCAAATGCGTGTTCGCCAGGCGAGGTCGTCGACGACTTCGTTGCCCTCGATGTTGGCGTGCCCGGGTACCCAATGAACGAGGACGCGGATGCCCTTCTTGTCGAGGTTGTGGGAGGCGTCCACTGCGCGTCGTACGAGAGGGTCGTTCCGGTTGCTTTCAGAGTCGGCCTTCATGAGTTTGCGGATCGCGTCCTGACAGTCGGAAAAGATCGACACTCGCTGCATCTTGGGTTGAAGGCGGCAGACGACGGTGGCAGTTTCGAGGGCGAGGACGAGCGCGTGAAGTTCGGCGACGCGGAAGTCTGTGCAACCGACAAGTTGAAAACTGCGCTTGTTATATTTCGTGTTGGCGATTCCAGGCCAACTCTTCCAAGCAATGGCCATGGATGCCGGGTTCTTGGGGGAGCTGATCCTGGGAGCCCCCTCCCAGGAATCCTTGCCGGGAAAAGAGGCGTCCGTGAAGAAGTTGAGGGCGTGCGGCGTGGGAGGTTCGAAGGAGGCACGCTGCGGGAGGATGCCAGCTTGCTCCCTTGGGCGGATCACCAAGTCTCCTTGAAAGTTGTAGGGGCTCTGACCGGTGAAAAAGTTGCGAGGGATACCGATGAGTCTGATCTGTCCATTGGCGGCCATCCTAAAGGACATGGACTCGACCGCGTGCCTTGTGGAGTTGAAGTCCGCGCGGCGGGTTACGTCGACTTGGTAGTGATACGCTGTTGTTGAGACTTCTGACCGCTCGGCCTCGAAGCCAGCGTGACAGGTATCCATATAAGGCGCGGACATGTTGAAGAAGTAGGTGATTGGTTGAGGAGGTAGAAACAACAGAACGGAACGCTTGAAGATATCAGGAATGCAATGCGTGAAAGAAAAGAAACGGGAAGACAAACCTGTACCTGACGACAATGTCGGATGTTTGACTAGCCAAAAGGCGGGTAGGTGGTAGGTGATGTGTGTACGAAGCTCGAGGTGGTAGAGGAGAGAGAGGTAAGTTGAGTGATGTTGAGCGAAACACACGAAGAGCCTGCCAGGATATTTTCCAAAGAAGAATTGTCCCGGTCCCGGGAGCTGTTTATGTATATATAATATAAGGTATCGGCGAAAGGAAATCAGTAGTAACCTGGACGGCGCAACCAGACCGGGACAGCAGCAATTGAGTTCACGAGAATTCGGTTCAGGGTCAGGCACCCCCTTTGCCACATGGTGCTTATTTGGTCTTTAACCGTTGGGCTGGGTGGTTCCTGAAACTTAGAATGGCCGGGAGTGGTGGATGGAAGGCCGTGATCGTGGACGCCGACAAGAAGCACGGCAACAGTAACACGGAAGCAGACGAAAATGGATATAAGGGACAACGAAGAATAACACCTCTGAAGCGAGTATGAGAAATATGAGCATAGTGGTATTAAGAAGAATTCACAGGTGGTTGTTTTCCTATGTCTCGTACGGGCATCACCAGTTGTGGTTCAACCACCTCAGGTCATGAAGAATATCTCATCGAGTGCCAACTAACACCAAAAGATACGTATATGCGGGAGTAGGCCAATTCATTTGTTTGAGAGATTCCTTGATCCAATCAAAAAAAACACATCGAAAAGTCTGTTTCTGGTGGACATCTGGGGGTCTTTTTGGGGGGGAGGGGGGGTTGGTCGGCACTCGATGGGAGAGCACGAAGGCTCGGGGGAGACCGTGGGGGCTGTTGACACCTTGGCGACAGTTACTAAAGACGCTGAAAAGTATTTCGTGGCCAAAAGTGTAATGGAAGTTGAAAAAGGTTGTCTCCTGCGGACCAACTAACGGTATTGAAAAAGTGGTTACCTGCTGCCGTTCAAAAAACATGATGGGCAGCACGAGCCCGGTCAGAGTGAGTAGCAGATGTGCAGTATATTTGGATTTCTGTACATGGATCCTTCCAACTTCTGTATGTGAATGTACTCACAGGCCTCTTTTCTCAGCATCCTCCCCGACATCCCGATCGATACCAGCATTGACGAGACGCTCCGTCGCCGTGGCAGTCTTGTGGAACCTCCAGGGCTTGATTCCACGCTCGAACAATTCGTCGAGTTCTGCGGCGGACCGTCTGTTCATCACGGTTAGCTTGGTGTTAGTCATGGCGAATCGACGAGAAGACCAAACATACCCTTTGGTCTCGGGTATCAGGAACCACATAGCCACCACGAAGGGCAGTCCCACCCCGGTGTAAAACCAGGCCGTCTTGAGCTCCCAGTTCCAGCGGTTTCCATCGACCATGTAAGGGGTCAGGACGTTCATGACGACCCCGGCCACTGCTGTCGAGGCGGCACCAAAGCCGGCTGTGTAAGGGCGAAGTCTCTGGGACGAGATTTCTCCGATGAAGCCCCATCCTGTGGCGCCGTTGGCCGTCATGCCAATGTCTGGTTTCGAGAAAAGTTAGCTTGCTCCAGGTTTTATCAAGGGTAGAGAATCGCCGGGACACTCACTCCACAGGCACGCAAAGAAAACCAGCAGGATGAAAGTCGGTCCCCTCCTAGGCACCACCCCAAGGATCCCAATAGCCACACAAGCCACCCACGACAGAGTCGACCCGCTGCACGAGATCCATCTCCGACCAACCTTATCGGCAATAAGAATGAAGATCAAACCAGAGGCGATGTTGATGCCGGACGTGATGCAAGTCGCCTGGAACGGGTCCTCGATGCCGGCCTGCCTGAAGAAGTAACTCGCAAACGTCGAAAACAGCGTCAGCCCGACGAACTGCTGCGTCATGAGCGTCCACAGCGCCGTGACGGTCCTCTTCCCGTCGACGCCCTTGAAGATGGCGTACCACTTGACGTTGGCCTGCGACCGCGCCACCTCGACCTCGTGGTCGACGGCGATGACGAGGAGCTGGAGCTGCTGCTCGAGGTCGTAGTCCGCGACGCCCCGGTAGAGCCAGCGCAGGCTCTTCCGGGCCGCGTCGAGCTTCCCCCGCGTCACGCACCAGGCGGGCGACTCAGGGATGAAGGCGTAGATGATGATCATGAGGCCGATCTGGCTCCACTGCGTGTAGATGGGCGTCTTCCAGTCCTCGGGCGCATACTGGGACATGACCTGCAGCGCGACGGGGGCGAAGAACTGGCCTAGGGCGAACCAGAAGTTGTACGCCAGCAGGAGACTGCCGCGGATCCTGGTGGGGGCGACCTCGGCGATGTATGTCGGGACGGTGGACTGGAGGCAGCCGACGCCGATGCCCGCGAGGAGCTTGGCGACCAGCCAGACGGGCCACGTCCTGGCCAAAGACTCGCAGAGGATGCTCATGGACAGGATGAACCAGTACCAGTACATGGCGCCCTTGCGGCCGAAGCGGTCGGAGAGGAAGGGGACGGTCGTCATGCCGATGATCTGGCCGACGGACATGATGGAGCTCCAGGCGCTTAGGATGGGGGCTGCGAGGTTTGGTTGGCCGCGGGAAGTTGTCTCTGTGGCGAACTGGTTGATGAAGCCCGGGTTGGCGATGATGTTTCCATTGATTCTGGGTGTTCTATGTCAGTCTCATGAAAGCTCCATCCATCATCCTCATCTATTCCCGATGCCCAACTCTTTGAGTTGAGATGAATGTTTGCACGACAATGACTCACCCGATCTGATAACCATCCGTGGCTGCACTGAAGGCAACAGCAAAGCATGTCGCTGAGCAGACCTTGAAGGCCTTGAATGTCTCCCAGAGCGTCAAGGTCTCGTAACCCGACACGCCCTGGCCTTTAGCCGCGGCGTCGAGGGTCACATCTTTCGGGTTGGTATCCAGGTTCTCAAGAGCGACGTCGTCTGCGTGCTCAAGAGCAATGTCGGGCTTTTGCTCCTTTGAGTTCCTCATGTCCGCGGGTTTCTCACCTCACTACTGCTGATGAACGACTTCAACCAGAGGGATGGAACGTCGGAATAGCCGTTTTATAACATGAAGCATAGGATGCTGGGAGGGAGGCGGGAGAGCGGTTGAAAGCAAGGCCAGCATCGTAGACGTGTAATCCAAGACCCTAACAGTTCAAGGGGATGGGCTGTGTAGTCGTTTTTAGTTATGCCAAGCACCTTTCGTCCAAATCACGCGTGCCTTTTCATCAATGATACACCGAGGACAGGGAGGGAATCCCGGCGATCTGGGGAGACGTCTGGGGAAGTGGGACGTTGACGAACATCACCAAAGTCTGCGACGCCCGTTCGGTTTGCATTACCCCGGACTCGGTAAAGGGACTGCGATGGGAACTGTGGTCGGTAGTTCGAGCCAAGAAGGGGGAATGAGGGGAACCCCGCATCAGCAGTATCAACTGCTCCGACCTGGAAGTTTTAAACATTGATCGAACTCCACTTTATAGCTGGAATGGGATATCCTACGCTCAAGGTTTGCTCAGTTGTCATGACATGTCGACCCGGAAGGTCCAGCCAAGCCATGAGACAGGGGTGTTTGCCGACCCAAGGCCTCGGTAATGAGAAGGTGAGATTTTGAGCGAGTTCGTCTCAAGACTACTCAATGGGATCAATAAACCAAGACCAATTCGGAACAGAAGGTCCGACGGGTATGCTTTGAAGATGGCATTTGATTCCTTACCTAGGTAACGGAGACAATGGCTTAGTTCAGGAAAATATACCTTAGATCAACAATAGTTGGATCAACGCTTCAATCGTACATGCTTGTGCGCATTTGAGCAGACGCAACATATTGAACTTTGAATGCTTTTCAATTCTCTCATACGTGCACCTACGACTTGAATATGTCCTCTTCACCTTGATGCCGCCCTCATCTTTACGTGTACTCTCGATGTGCTCCTCGCCCTTATGTAGCCGCATGACGCTACGCAGGGCTGAGTAGCGACGCTTCCGTTTGCAGCGATGCGGTCAAAATCATTGGCCAAACCGTGCGTTATGCAACCAAACGTACACGATTTATACAGTTAGCCTCCCCACACGCCATCTTCGAATCACCTATCCTCACCCTTATCGTCTTTAATCCTACAAGTACTTCTTAGGCATGGAGTTCTTCTTCCTCTTGTACAAGACATAACCGACGGCGAGTACGATCTGAGAGCCGACAATGACCATGATGAGTTTGCCATGGCCAGGGGCGGCATTGACGATGTTGGAAGACAGGGTGGAGTGGTGTTCGCTCATGTAACCCTTGAGCGAGTGCTCCGTGTTCTTCATCTGCAGGTTCAAATCGGTGCGCATAGCACGGATTTCGCGCTCGAGGCCGCTGATGCGGCCGTCGATGTCGTTGATCTTCTGAAGGCTGCGGAGCTCCTGGCGGAGGGCATCAATAATCTGTGAAGTTTCGGCATGGCGGTTCTCGGCATGCTGGCCGTACTTGTTCACAGACTGGAAGATTTGGCCGATTTGATGGTTGACGGACTGCAGGCGGTTGTGTAGGTCAGCGAACTGGGCCTTGGACGACGTGATACTGTCGGCAGCGGAATCGGGAATAGCGTTGAGGTCGACGTAGTCATCGTTGCCGCTACGCGGGTTGTTGGGCTGGCCCTGGTTGGCCTTCTGCTCGTGGGCCTGCTGCTGCTGCTGCTGGCCCTGGTTCTGCTGCTGCTGCTGCTGGCCCTGGTTCTGCTGCTGGTTCTCGCTGGCGTGGAGCGAGTCGGACATGACGACCATCTTGAAGATCTCGAAAGAGTCCGGGTTGTCGGCGCTAGCAGCGGTGATACCAAAGGAGTAGCCAGGAGGGATCTTGACCTTGTCGGTCTCGAAGCAAAGGCGGCCGTCGATCTCAACCTTGAAGACGCTAGGGGTCTGGCGCAGCTTGATCTGGCTGGGGCGACCGAGGTTTCGGTAGTGGTACTGGCAATGGCCAAAGGCAAGGCCGCTGATATCACTCTGGGCCTTGTAGTCGGTCGAGCGGTCGTTCAAGAAGCCGCGCACCATGCCGCCAGTACCGCCGTGGCCATCGACGACAAGTACGAGACCGTCGAAGCGACCAGCGGTGTAGGCCGAGCTCATGCCGACGTCGTTGGAGCCGCCATTGGTGAGCCAAATGTTGAGGTTTCCACCAGCGCGCTCGCCGCCGTTGGCTCGGAAATCGATGTCGGCGATCCAGTTGCTGTGCTGCACCTTCTGGGTGCTCCAGATGGAGCCGCGCTGGTTCCCAGGGGCGACGGGTGTGAGGATAACCTTGTTGGAGAGGATCTCGGGGTGGTTCGGTTGTCCCTGGAGAACAAAGTTGGGAACGTGGCCATCGTTGTTGGGCGATATGCTGTTTGGAGTTGTGGTTAGCCGGAAGCTCTCTGAAGGCGCCTGATCTGCAAGATGGTCGGCGCGCAAAGAAGTTGCGGTTCAAGAAGCTTCTCACCTGCCAGTGTAGCCGAAACTGAGCTCGTTGATGAGGTACTGAGCTTGTGTCAAGCTCGCACCGAGCAAGAAGGCGAGCGTCGAGCTCAGGGGAGCTTGCGACACACGCATCGCGACTGAAGGCTGGGTAGCACGCGGGAGCTACCGTCTGGAGGTTGTGGAGATGAAGGGATGGGTATCAAGTAACGAAGCCGGCCGTACGCCCACAGGGTCGATCAATTGCTTATTAAAACACAAGAGCAAGCTCCTGGAACGAGGGTAGAATTGAAGAAAATAAATTGAAAAAGACGAAGGATCCAAAAGTGCGTGGGAGCAACAGAGATGGTTGGAAACCCGCCAAGTCGAGAATCTCCAAGCAGGGGTTGTTGGTGGTGGTGCGGCGTCTGTGGGTTGAGGACAGGTTGGCACAAAAAAGTGACAAAGGTGCTGCTGCTGCTGCTGGTAAAGCTCCTGGCCAGATGGATCACCCAGCACGTTTTTGGAAGGTTTCTGTCGGCGTTTATTTCCGAAAAGCGAATTGAGTTAAGCAGCAGCTGAAATAAAAAGGAATTGAGCAGATGACATCTCTTTACAGCCCAAGCCGATCTAGAAACGTCTAGTTGACTCCGAAGAGGCCGTGGAATCTCGTGATGATGGATTCTGAAGACGAAGCTTGGGTTCTGTTTCGCTGTCTTAGACGGAGCATGAGCCTTTGTTGGAGACCTTCACGAAATAAAGGGACCCCAGTCCACTCTGAGAACCTGGCGTCCTGGCCCGAGCTGGAATGGGAAAATCTGGAGACACCGCCGAGCTGGTTTTTGGCGCTGTTGTCTGCCCGGCGCTTGTCCCTGGATGGACGCGCCCGCGGTTCCTTGCATCGGAGACGAAGATAAAGTGAGGCGGCAAAATCAATTCAAACATGTGGCTTGAACACCCGGTAGAATGACATCAGCCACAATAGAAGGGGGAGCCCAGTGGAGGGGTCCAGATTGGCCCACTTCTAGAAAACCGAGTGCTGGTTTCACCGCGATTTCTGCACGGACCCTCATGTACCGGCCCCTGTCATTGAATGGAAGCTGCAGCTTTCCATTGAGAGCAGGACCCCTGACGAAAGTGAAGGTGGCCTGTGATTTTCCTCTTGCCCATCAAGCAGCTACAGCTTTCTGCCACCACGCTAAACTGAAGCTCTCACGGCACCGCCCAGTTCAATGCGGACAGTTTCCTGAGCAGTCTCGGAACGCGCCAAAATGGCCGAATCATACCCAACCCTCTCTCAATGCGCGCTCGTCGCAGGCGCTCTCAAGGTTCTCCTCTTCCCGGCCTAGTAAGTGGACCGCCGCCCGACTCCAAGAAGCCACCACCACCACCACCACCACCATAACTGACCTGTCGCGAAGTAAATCCACCGACTTCGAAGTCCACCGAAACTGGCTCGCCATCACGAACAGCCTTCCTTTCCCCCAATGGTACTACGAAAAGACGTCGGAATGGACCCTCGACTACCCTCCTTTCTTCGCCTACTTCGAATGGGCCATGTCCCAGGTCGCGAAGCTGGTCGACCCAGCCATGCTCAAGGTGTACAACTTGGAATACGATAGCTGGCAGACGGTCTACTTCCAGAGATGGACCGTCATCATTTCGGAGCTGGTTCTGGTCTATGCTCTGCAGCGGTGAGTGCATTTCAAGACCTTGCGCCGGCCGGCGATGCTAATGAAGTCTCAGTTACATCGACACCGCGACAGGCGCGACGAGACGAGCGGCTCAAGCGGCCGCTATTTCGATTCTGCTCTCTCCTGGTCTTCTCATCATCGATCACATCCACTTCCAGTACAACGGGGCCATGTACGGCGTTCTCATCTTGTCTCTGGTTCTCGCCCGGTCCAAGTCTGGGTTGTTAGGCAGCGGGCTGGTGTTCGCGGCATTGTTGTGCATGAAGCACATCTACTTGTACCTCGCCCCGGCATACTTCGTCTTTCTGCTTCGTGCCTACTGCCTTTCGCCCAAGTCCATCTTTAGAATCCAGTTTTTCAACTGCATCAAGCTGGGCGGCGGTATCGCAGCCATCTTCGGAGCTGCATTCGGACCATTCGCGGCGTTGGACCAGATCCCGCAGATCTTCAGTCGTCTGTTCCCGTTCTCGCGTGGTCTCTGCCATGCATACTGGGCCCCCAACATCTGGGCGTTGTACTCCTTCGCAGACCGTCTCCTGATCTATGGTAAGTGTTGGCCGTTCTGAGGGTTCCTTCACAAACTGACGAGGTTCCAGCGGCACCCAGACTCAATCTCCCTGTCAAGGCGGAGGCCATCAACAGCGTCACCAGAGGGCTCGTGGGTGATACGGCGTTTGCGGTGCTGCCGGAAATCAGCCCGCGAACCTGCTTCGCTTTGACGCTCTTCTTCCAGGTCTTGCCTCTCATCAAGCTCTTCTTCCAGGCACCGCCGACTTGGGATACCTTCATCGGAGCTGTGACGTTGTGTGGCTATGCCTCGTTCCTTTTCGGATGGCATGTGCATGAGAAGGCCATCCTGCTTGTCATCATTCCGTTCAGTCTCATCGCACTCAAGGATCGCCGCTACCTGAGCGCGTTCCGGCCTCTCGCCGTGGCTGGGCACGTATCCCTGTTCCCTCTTCTGTTCACTCCGGCGGAATTTCCGATCAAGACGGTCTATACTATCTTCTGGTTGATCCTGTTCTTATTGACGTTTGACCGGTTGGCACCGGCCTCAAGAAAGGCCAGGTTCTTCCTCCTTGACCGATTCAGCACTCTCTACATCGCAATCAGCATCCCCCTGATTCTTTACTGTTCGCTGCTTCACCAGATCGTTTTCGGAAAGCGGTACGAGTTCTTGCCCCTCATGTTCACCAGCTCCTACTGCGCGGTGGGGGTTGTCGGCAGCTGGGTGGGATTCATGGTGGTCTACTTTGCATCATAAAATGAAGATAAATGTCCGGCTGGAAGATGCCGCTACGATATTGAAGATATAAGAAATGCGAAAAACAAGACAAATGTCGTGTTCGTGGGCGAAACTTTTGCGTGCCAGTGATGACGGCCAGTTACCGGAAGTCTAAAAGAGACGCTTCGTCCCGTGGGGACCTGGTCTGTGGGAGCCAATCAAAATGCTCAGGCTCACGTGTCTGGAGGCTGACAGCAGCACTCAGATCCACTAGCAGCCATGTACCAGGCGAGAAACAACATTTTGGAGCTAACGGGCGAGCAGGGGGACCGGGGGTCGTGGGCCCCTTGGACACAACCCATTGTCTGCCTTCAGCAAACGAATGAACAGAACAAACGAATATCGAGCACAGTTTGGGCCATGCGGTATCAAAATTTACTTGATTAACTGCAGTAGGACGCATATCTGCGGAAATGACTTACACGGAGCTCAGAGACCCGGGATGGCCATATCGGAGGCTCCCGGCGTTGATATCGGGGCTGTTCTTGCGCGTCTTCTGTCGCAATAACACAAAAAAGACTTCAAATAAACCAAGAGTGTCAGACTTATGACTGAGGCATTTTAAAGCGAATTTCAAGGCGGTGTGGTGGTGAAACGGTGGTCCTCCGGTCGTAGCCCCGAGGAGGTGATTGACGAAAAATAGCCTACCCTTTCAGGCCGGATGGTGCAGCAGACATATCGAGAGATAATTCGATCAAACCGAAGCCTTTCCGGTTGGTTGAGTGCTCGTTCGATTGCTCCGGCGGCGGCGAGCTCAACGAGTACAAAATCGCGGGTGGCCGACGCGGGTGTGGAATTCCCGAGGTGGACGGAGTCGTGCGGGTGGAGGGGAGGCCTGGTGTGCAGCGCTCTGGGAGATGGGATGCGGGCGTGGGCCCGGGCCAAGCGGACCGCTTTTCACTGGCGCCCTTCTCTTTTCCCCAAGCTCACCACTTCCCTTTGCACCTTTTGTTTTTTTCCCCTCGACGTTTCACCCACGATTCGCAGGCTGCGCGTTTCCTCCATCAGCCCGCGACCTCAACCACATCCGTCGACATCGCCATTTATACCTTCATCTAGCCTCCCGACACGTCTCATTCGACCCGCACCGCGTCCGCCATACCGCGTGTAAGTGCACCGCCGAACCCGCCCTCCCCTGCCCGACACCGCGACCGCGCCTCCGCCCTCTCCGGCCGCGACCACAACAAACCGCCACGACCAGCACAACGCGCTCATATCGACCGGCAAATGTTTCTTGGGAGTCTCTAGTACCACTTATATCGGTATAAGAGCTGGCGGATCCAGCTCCGTCGCGCGTTTGGGCCTCGACTTTTGGAACATGCCATTGTAGTCCACCGCCACCATGGTACGGCCCTTTGACGCGCCGAGGGGATCGCGAACCACTGACTTGCTGTGCAGGTTCTTTTCAAGCGCAAACCGGTGCAGTTCTTGCCGCCCAAGGACATCAAGGACGACAATGCAGAGGTTCGAGAACTGGGTTTCGCGGACGATGCGCCGAATACTAATGTAAACCCTCAGGTCTGGCATATTCCACAGACCGGCGAAGTCTTTGCCCACTACGAAGACTATCTGATCAGGTGAGCCTCTCGTTTTCGCGACCTTGGAACTGTTCCGAGCTAACTCGGGGAAGAATGGATTTCTACAAACAGGTGCGTTTCTAGTTCGGGTGGGGCTATGGGCCAAGACTTGCTCACACCGCACAGCGACGATTCATTTGCCAGATCACAGGGCACTCAGGCCTAACATTTTTTGAAGCTCTCAAGAGCGAGGTGAGCCCACTCACGCTGTCCCCGCGCGAAGTCACTAACGCCCCGGCAGCTTGCTGGTGCCGAGGAAGTCGAACAGGCATTCCCCGAAGCTCTGAAGGGCCCGGTCCTGCGTCGCGTCCAATTCCAAACCGTCTCCCGAATCGATACGCTTGTTGATATGGTATTTGAAGAATTCAGGGCAGATTATTACCCTGGCGAGGCTGTGACGGTTAGCACCGCAGACGGTGAGAGGCTGCAGGGTGTTGTTAGAGAGAAGACCCGGTTTGGCGGTAAGGTTTTGCCCGACGGCACCCTGACTCCCCCGTACACGAGATACACCGTTAGTCTCGAGGAAAGGCCCGGCGCAGAAGCTGTCGTAGACGACGACCACATCTTCCGCGATCGTAAAATTTTCACCAAATCGGTGTTGCGTTCCTTCATCAAGAAGACGGTTACCCGCGAAGCTTGGAACGGAGCTCCATGGCTCGTGAAGCACGACTACGCTGCGCAATATCACATCGACTCGCGAATCCCTTCGCATTTGCGCTACGACACCAAGTTGATGGAGCGGAAGCAGATCCAGGCACAGAAGCGGGCCAACCAGCCGCATGGCCAGGAGGCAAACGTAGCAAACGGCAACGGTGTAAACGGAGCCATGCAAAACGGCCCGGCTAGGTTACCCGAACTGAAACCCGCGCCAAAGAACCAGAAGGGAAAGCTGCAGCACCAATCTCCAGACTTCCCGGGTGACGGCAAAGCCTCACCAGGCATGCTGGCAGGTTCTGACCATGGCATATTTCAGGCGCCTCCGCACAAAAATCCCTTCCAGCTTCCTCTCAACTTCAGGAATCAACAGCTGCCGCATTCCATGTCTGCTCCCGAACCTCCTCTGCCTCCGCCACCCCCGAAGTACCCCATCGAGGATTTGCAAGTTCCAATGAGAGACGGTGTCACCAGACCGACTTTGTCGTTCCTTTGCAATGATCCCCCGACCGATGTCGACGCCAGCTCCAATGGCAGCAGCAGCATGCAGGACAAGGTCTCGATGAAGTCTGTGGGTTCGTTCCTGGAGGCGTGGGACACCCTCAATGTCTACTGCGAGATCTTCAAGCTGGACTCATTCACCTTTGATGATTTCGTTGAGGCAATGTGCGTCGCGTCTGAGGAGACGAAGGTGCAACTGTTCGAGGAGATTCACTGCGCGGTTCTCAAGCAACTTGTCAGTGCGGAGGCGGACGGTGGTAAGGTCAACGTGCAATTACCCGAGTTGGATGAGGAAGAGGAGGATTCTGAGGAAGAAGAGGAAGAGGAAACCAAGGAACCTACTCCAGAAACTGATCGCCCGCCTGCGAGGGCTACTCGAAGCAGTCTCGCAAAAGCTGAAGCCGAGAGACTGCTTGCCGAAGCGAGAGCCGCCGAGAAGGAGAGCCAAAACGTGGAGCCCGAGATCAGGCACCGTGCAGAGGAGGTCCTTGAGGACTACGACTGGATCGAGGAACTGCGGAAGCGCAACTTCCAGAACGGAGGCTGGGAAAGGATCATCGTGGGTCTCTTGCATCAACTATCCAAAAACGAACGCCTTCAGGAACAGTGTGAGGACCTACTGGCACAGATCGTTCCGCCGGATGTGGAGGAGCCCACGCAGGATACCGTCAGGGAGCACTACGCCAAACTCGACGTGAACTACCGGATCCAGGCGCTGCAAGTCATTTGCCTGCTTACGACGCGAACGAAGGCTATGCGCACGTACATGGAGGAGTGCAGCGAACAGATGACCGCCTTCCGCAAGGAGAAGATTGATTGGCAACGGCAGAGAAAGCAAGCGTAAGTTCTGCTCCGATGTGTTTTTCGCGGTATGTCGCTAACACTTCACAGCTTGGAGGAACTGCGTGTCTTGAATGATCAGCGCAAGATCATGCTGCCTGATAACATGCCGCCCTCACCGCCTCCTGACGCTAAGCCGGACGAAGATGTCAAGATGACCGACGCAGACGACTCCATTGCAGATGCTGAGGATGAGGTTGCTGATTCAGACGAAGAGGGTGCTCCTCGCCGAAACATTCGTCGTGCCAACGACCGTGCCGCGGAAAGGCAGCGGAAGCGCAAAGAAGAGAAAGTGCGGAAGGAGAAGGCCGAAGCCGCCAAGGCACCGAAGCAGTCAAAGCAGTTCATCAAGGTCCTCAAGGACATTACGAAGAAGGAGGAGTTCATCAAGAAGTGCGAGGATGAGATTGCCGTCATCGACAACGACCTTCGCGAAGCAGACTGTGGACGCACAAGAGTCCTCGGCAAAGACCGATTCTGGAACAGGTACTACTGGTTTGAGCGAAATGGAATGCCTTATGGTGGACTTCCAGACAGCTCGACTGCCGCAGCCGAATATGCGAACGGATGCATATGGGTCCAAGGCCCTGACGACTTGGAACGTGAGGGTTACATCGACACGGACCCTGAGTACCAGGCTGAGTACAAGGCCAAGTTCGACATGACTGTCCCAGAACGCAAGAAACTGGAAGAGGGCGCAACCAGTGTTCACAACGCCGGCCAGTGGGGCTACTACAGCGAGCCGGAGCAGGTCGATGAGCTGCTCAAGTGGCTCGATCCGCGCGGCTTCAACGAATTGCGACTTAGGAAGGAGGTGGTGGCCTTCAGGGACAAGATCGTTAAGAACATGGAGAACCGGAAGAAGTACCTCGCCATTCCAGAGCCCGAGGAAGAAGAGAAGGAGAAAGAGGAGAAGAAGGACAAGAAGGACAAGAGGAGAGACTCTAAGCGCATGAGCACGAGAGGCCGTCATCATGAGCCGACGCCCGAACCGACGAATTACCGCTGCCTCTCGTGGGAGAACACCACGGCCATGGAGGAACTGGGCCACCTGCACTCCGAGCCCCCGCCGCCTCCGAGACCCAGGAAGCAGACGACCAAGAAGAGACAGGCCGTCGAGCCGTCTCCCGAACCCGCTCCGGCACCGAAGACGAGACGGCGCAAGTAAACGAAACCAGCACAAAGCACCCATGAGTTGATGGCTGTGCTTTTTTACGGCTCGGCGTCCACTGTAACTACTAGACCTGGCACATTACGATGCCACGGCACGGCGCCCGGCCTGAGTGGCACCTTCTTGCAAGAGTGGGATTTGAGCTCACCAACTTTGTTTCGCCAGCGAAAGATAGACATGGGGGTGTTATGGCAACTGAAAAGAAGAAAAATGACGAATTTCCACCATGACGGAGAAAAAGTCGAATTATTTGCAGCATGGCTGGCGGGTGAAGGGAACTTCCTTTTTTTTTTAGCATTGGGCTGGCGGTTTGGGAGGCGTGCGTGGTTTGCATTAGCTACCTACATGGGACTTGGGCTATAGACTCTCCAACAAAATTTACGGATCACTATTCTGGATTACGCGTGTCTCGATCTTGTTGCGTTGATCGTGTTGTGTTCTGCTCCTGGCCTTTTCATTTGAGTGCTGCCATCCTCGAGGGCCATTCACCTCACGACTGCCTTAGATTTAGTTCCCTCCTGCCGATTTGTTTCCTGCGTTGAACCTTCCCGAATGAGGTGCGAAGTTGAAGGCTCTTTCCGTAACCTAGGTATGGTGGTAGGAACACTGTAACCTACCCTCTTTCCGACTTGTCGACTCAACTCCTCCACTGTCCTTGTTGTCTAACTTATCCTCCGAAGAAAACTCCCCATCCGGCACACAACCTCCATCCAACATCTCCCAGCCGACACCTCTACGCCGACACCTCCACGGTGCAATTTGGGCCTATAGGCTGCTTCTTCTTGATAAGACCGGGAGTTTTCGCTGCAGACTCGCAGCGGGCAGTAACGCCATCTATCAGCAACAGTGCAAGGGCACTCACAACAACAATTCCATCACAACAACGATTGAATGCGAGACCGACAACAATGGATAGCAGCGGAAGTGATACTGAAAGCCGAAATTCAGCGGCACCCGACTGGTTCTCACTGCCTGCAGAGATCCGCCTGATGATCTTGGAATGCGCTCCCGAGGGCAGCTGGACCGCCTGCGCAACAGTCTGCAAGGAGTGGCAGGCGTTCATCGAACCGAGAAATTTTCAAAGCCTACATTTGCAGATTCCTTGCCTTGAGGAGTTCGAAGCTATCATCAGTCCCCGCATAAGGCCCATGGTCAGGAACATCTGGCTGAATATGGAGCTCCGGCCATACAGCTGCCGATGCTGCACACGCCCGGAATCATACTCCTGGACTTGCGGTAACAACAAAATGATGAGAGGTGCGATATCGAAGCTCTATATCATCCTGGCTGCTTGGAAGCCAGATGAAACCGTCCGCGGCGGTATCGATTTGGAGCTCAGCGCGCAATCTCCCAGTGACCGAGAGCACTGGTTCAAAAATTGGCACTTTTATCGCCCCGACGGGTTCGCAAACGGCAAACCCACATCAAACTCCGAACCACGAGAGCCAGAAATTCCTCTCCGTCCATACCACGACCCGTGCCATGGCTGGCAAAAAGGACAACGGGTGTCTAGCCCGAATCTTGGCGCTTTGGGGAGAGTTCACAAGGAAATCGATTTGAGCTTCAAGAGAGAGCCTCTCCCAAGCGTCGCCTCTGTCAAAAGGTTCAGAATACGTCGCCACTGTCGTCGCCAATTTTCCACGAGTACTTTGCAGCAACTGCTCGAAAAGCTCACTGGGCTGAAAGAGGTCGTCTACCAGCCATGGCTTGCCGACCATGATGGGCACCAAGCAATGGCCCTGTTGGATGGGAACTATGACGCAAATGGTACAGTTACATGACGATCATACCAATTCCACCGTTTCTTATTCCCCGTCCTATCTCTCGACTCTTTGCGACGGATTTGCACCGTTTTGCCGCTAACTCGCATGCTTAGGAACTGCGGCCTTCCTTGAGGGCCTACCTAAAAGAGTCGAGAAAATCAAGATGTTCGAACACGTCCACGAGTCTTTCGTGTTCGAGAACTCCATATTTTCTTCCCCCGCAGTGTGGTCAGGACTCATACCATCATGGGATCAGCTCAAAGAACAACCAGTCTTGAAGACGAGTAGAGCTTTGGCCAGACGCAGCCATGAGCTCAAATCAGTCTCTGTGGCTTTCATGGCCGACGCCCGCTACTTCTTTCGATCCTGTGGACCAACCTGCAAGTGGGAACGACTACGCTCTTTAACTCTGACATCGAAAGTCCTCACAGCCAAGAGTGACAGCATCAAAGTTTCCGAGTTATTACAAAGCGCGGGGACAGCTGCGCTTCGCATGCCCAAGCTAGAAGATATGGCTATTTGGAATGGCTCAAAAGGGAACGCTTGCGCTTTCACGTATCACCGACACTTGAAGGAGGATAGGTGTGAAATCGCCTGGCGTGGTACATGGGATATGGAATTCGAGCCACGCGTGATCGAGACTTGGCAGAAGGTGGCCTTGGAGGTCGCACCCCGGAGCAAATTCCGGGTTACCAAGCACCCAAAGATTCTGAAGATCGTACAGGGCCGCGGCGAAGCCATCATTCTCCTAGGGCTCCCCAGATCTGTCATCGACGGTTTTCCACTTTGGTGCATGGTGGATGAGCTAGCATCAGGCCGGCTCAAGAAATGATACGGACAGGAAGACAAATCCTGCTACGACTTATCACGAACTTGCTATTATTTTTACTGCCCGCAAACGAGCTGAGTGTATGAGGCAGGGGCCAAGTACCCTGTTATATTGGAGTGTATGACTTGTATACTCATCCATGGTTATTCTTTCCGTACAAGTACTCCTCACTACATCTGTGATTGTCTTTGCTGTTCTTCAGGAGCTCTGGTCTTACCCTTATTCGTTCATATTGCCATAGAATTCTACCAGGAATAATGGCGGCGGGAGTGGTGTAGGACAATACTTGTAACGAGGGATGCATAGAAGTGTAGCAATGACTACCTTCCGGTAATTACACGAATCGAGGCTATTAGAAACAAGTAATTAATACGCACTCTTGTTCCATTTACCTGGTGACGTAGGTTTGTCCGCACTCGATCTGCAACGCCACAACGTCCTCCGTCAGAGGACACGCTGAGTGAAAACTATGGATGTATAATGGGAACGGGAAGACTGTTGATAACCTTACTTGGACAGTGACGACAACGACGAGGAGGAGTGACTGTGACAAAACCATTCATGGCACCAGGGAATGACTGCAGCAACAGGGGTGACAGCTAGAAGAGAGCAGTGAAGACAGCCAGGCAACATAACAAGGAGGTCATGGCTGTAGACAGCATAAATTCTTGCAAAGGTCTTGAGTGGTATCCGGCCATTCGCCGATGCAGCTTCACGACACGGGTCGTTTCGGTCTGATATCTGTTGTACATGTATTTACTGTATGATTTACAGGACGTCGAGAGCATGTGAGTGATTTCTCACGCGTTCTATAGAACCTGCCCGTCGCTCCCAATGAGGTCAAAATCCATCGCGACAGCCCAGAAGCCATGCTTCCAGAACCGGCTGTTGCCGTCCAGGTTCGTCGTCTCCGGGCGGGGCTGCCGGCGGACGGTGGCGACGAGCTTCTTGGCGCCCTCCCAGTCGTGGCGGGCGGCGAGGGAGCGGAGCAGGGGCTCGAGCAGGGCGAGGCCGGGCCAGATACCCCAGTCGTCGAGGTCGTAGACGATCTCGAGGGCGGCGTCGAGCTCGCCGGCGCGGTGGTAGTGCTTGACGACGGTCTCCCAGAAGACGCGATCGGTGAGGGCGCGGGTGCGGGAGCGGCGGTCGGCGACGAGGGCGCGGATGGAGTCGAGGTCGGGGGCCGGGGAGCGGCTGACGAAGTACTCGACGAGGATGGTGCAGATCTCGGTGGAGGGCTGGACGTTGCGGGAGCGCATGTGGGAGAGGACGGCGGCGATGGAGGTGCGGGCGATGTCGCCCTCGGAGATGAGCGTGTGCAGCATCTTGGCGTACGTCTCCTGGTTCGGCTCGATGCCGCAGGCGGCCATTTCGTCGAAGACGTTGTTGATGGCGGCCTTCTGCTCCTGCGGCGATTGCGAGGCGAGGTTGTCGAAGACCGACTCGATGATGACGGTAAAGGTCGCGCCATTCGGGGTTATGCCGGCGTCCTTCATGCCGCTGAGAATCTTGTCTGCTTCTTTGGTCAATCCCTTTTTCAACATGTGGGAGAGCAGCATGTTGTATGTGTAGATGTCCGGGTCCAGCTCCCGCTCGCTAGCCCACACGAGCACCTTCTTGACATCGGCCATGCGACCCTGCGACAGCAGACCCGATATTGCTGCATTTACGTTGGCAATACCCGGCTGCACGGCTGTCGCCTGGGTGTTTTCTGCGACTGCTTTTTGCCAAGCTCTGTCCATCTGTGTCAGGGCTCTGAGGCCATCCGACGGCTTTCCCAGCTTGCCGAGTGCAGATATCCTACAGGACCAGATGTGCCTATCCAGCATGATGCCAGCTGCGGTCATGGACTGCCACAGGGCCTCGATGGGCTCGATGCGTTTGGCCAGCTTCCAGCCCTCCATCATGGAAGTGTACGTTCGGATTGTCGGTTCCAGGCCGAGGCTCTTCATGTAACGCAGGACCTCCGAAATCACCTGGTGGTAAATGGCCTGCTCAAAACGGGACTTGTGACAGGAAATGTGCAGAATATAGTCAAAGAGCTCGGGACAGTCACGCAGTATGTCCGCAATGCTCTTGTCCTTGGCCAAATGGACGAGGTCCCTCCATGCCTGCTGCACGGCTGCGTGATCGTTTCCGCGGTATGCGATGTTGAACCGTTTGTGCCACAGGGCGTAGGGGAACTGCTTTTTTACCGGTCTTGGGGTTGGGCCTCCGGCAGAAGGGGCGGTCGACTCTTTTAAGGCCTTGGAAGCCGCCTGAATCACCCGCCAATTCGCCCTGGGCTCGACGTATTTCCACAGCTCCGGATGATTCTCAAAAAGGGGCTGTAGTTTCTGGCGGTCGAACCGCTTGACGATGGGCTCCAGAGCCTCAAGTAAAGGTGTTGCCTCCCGCCTCGCTTTCGTCTGCTCGTGAGCAGGATCGGTCAGGAGAACGTAGGTGGTCACCAACGCCGGGGCTACACCGACCGACTCGTTGGGTATAAAGGCTGGAAGCAGCATCCAAAACAGTCTGGCTGGATCATCTATTGTTCTCAAGTCCGGTCTCGAGTTCAGCCAGAATCTCGTCTCGTAGCGCACGCCGCTCTTTGTGCGCTTTAGTCCCGAAAGATGTTTCCAAAACTCAACGACGTCGTCCAAGGACCGTTCTCGAGCTCTAAGTTTCTCCTCCGTAGTCGATTCGTCCATACGGTCCGATACAATAGCTTCGAGAAAGCGATTGATAAGCTGCAGTCGCATCGGCGGTTTGACCCGGCCGATGTCGGCGTTCAACTTGCAAATTTCCGACAAACTCGGGAGTTCCGCATCCTTAATCGCAGCAAGTTTGATCTCCGCTATTTGTCGAAGAGCATCGCCGGCCTTGGAGCTGAGGACCTGTGACAATCCACTCCCAGCCCTGGCGCGGGGCATGACTTCTTTCACCATCAGAGCAAAGCACGCCGATGCGCCCTCATGCTTTAGGACCTTTGCGATCTCACTGGCGAGTTGGTGCATCTTGTTGATGTCCTGGATCGCCATGGGCGCGGGTTGCTGCTCTGCACTGCGCTCTTCATTTTGCTTGATGGAGCTCTCGAACAGGTCCATCAGCTCCCTCGATTTCCCATCATCGCCGCCTTTGTTCTTGTGTTTCCGTTTACTTGGTCTCGGGTTCGCGTTCGGGGAATGAGCCTGTTGCGGCTGTGATGTCGTCGAGGCAGGCTCGGCCGCAACGGACGGGAAGCTTGCAGTCGAGTTCGGGCGGGCGGTGACGATTGTTGCGGCGACGGTAGCAAGAAGCCTATGGCGGCATCGCGCGCATACTGTTCTCGAGGACAACATGGTCTGCTCGACAGATGGCGGTCGCCGCGTTGGGCGAGATTCGTGGGTTGCGGTCTGAGTTCGATGTCGAATTGCCAGGGAAAAATTGGCGGTTGAAGCCGCCGTCAGAAAGTTGCCGGCCCGCGGTAGGATGCACGCCGATTTGGCGGCCGAGCATCCCTGTCTGTCGGCCCCGGCAGCTGCCCGTGAGAGCTTGGGCCATGCCAATAAACCGCCAAACTGCCACAAGCACTCATCGATCCAGGAACAAGGCAATGTCAGCTAGAGTAACAGTCTTCTTATGGTTGCTTATTTTTTGAATTCATTATTTGGCAAGATCCAAGAGCTATCTGTCACACTCCAATCTGAAAGCAATACAAAGTGGTATATATCCCCCCAGCCGTCACCAAGTTCCCAATCCCTTGCGTCACAGTCCCAACAAATCAATTACATCTTCGAAATCGTTGGCTCAAACTTGCCGTCGATTTCGCGAATCTTTTGAGCGGACCGCTCGTAACCAGGCTCCTTCTTGAGTCGCTCAATGTACTCAAAGACCCTCGGGTGAGCCTTCTTGGCCGAGCCACCTGGCCAGTTTCCGAAGGAGTCCAATCTGTCCTCAGCCGCAATGAGCGCGAAGCTGAGGAGGATATCGGCAGCTGTGAGGTTGGGACCGCAGATGTACTTGTTGCCGCCTCCAGGGGCGGTCTCAAGCTGCTGCTCCAGCATGGCGAGGTGCTTCTTGGCATTGGGGAAGACCATCATGCTGAAGATCCTGTTCGCAACCACCGAGGTGATGGGTCGAACGATGAATGGAACGTTGTTCGACTTGAGGGCTGTAGTATGCGTTAGTAACGTCGCAATGAGCGCGAGGGAGTGAATCGCAGACTTACCACTAACGACAAGAGACAACGTGAGGACGGGCAGGAGACTTCCCTCGATGTAGTGCAGGAAGTACTGACATCGCATCCACTCCTCGGTCTCGCCCCCGATCTTGCCCTCCTGGCCGTCCTTCCACTTCTTGGGGATGAGTGTGGTGTCCTGGCCGAAGTGCTCGCACAGGTACTGGGTCATGAAGCCACTCTCGGCCAGCTTGATCGACTCCCCAGAACCGGTCGGGAAGATTTCGATGACTGGCGATTTGCCCAGGGGATGGATCTTTGACAGTTCCGGGGGCGCAAGCATGGTCTGCTTGTTGCGGTGGAACACTTCTACCTCATAGTCGATCTTGAGCTCTTCGAGAAGCCAGAGGATGTTCTGAGCTCTGGACTGCTCCAGCCTGCGATTGTATGAGCTTCATCAAGTCCGACGGTCTCATATGCTCGGACTTACCAGTAAAGCTTGACCTTGGGCTTCTGTTCTTCGGTCGACATTTTGCTGGTGCTCTCGCTTATTCTGATGGGTTGTGTATGTGCGATGTGACACCCTCGTAGCTGCGACGATGCAAATCTCAATTCACTTCACGCGTGTAACACCAATATGAAGCTGTTGATCAGGTGAGGTCTTCACAACGGCCCTGTCCCTCATTTTATACGTCACTAGTCCATCGGAAAGTTAAGAGTCCGGGCCCCACCGAACTCACCTTCAGGTGTGCATCCCAAACAAAATGACACTTGGACCGTCAATCGTCGCATTCGCAGCAGAAGTTGCACAAAGACCGGACGACCCCCATATTTTAGGCTTGCCTCGGCATCCACGCCTCGGTTGGAGTCACCCAAGTCTTGAGAGTCGGGGGGATTGACCACCCAATCGGGCAAACTATTCGCTCCGACTCGCAAGGCCATTTAGTCGATGACTTCATACAGAATAGTTACAAATATTGAAGTTATTTGAGATCGAGGAACTGGCTTTGTTCAATCTTTGGTTGAAAGATAGCGCGCGTATGTGATTTATTTAACTCAGTGTTCAACGTTATTAGGAAAGTTACTAGTTAAGAGAGTGCGCACGTTGCAGGCGCGGTACGAAAGCAGAAACATCGGACGGTGGGTGGTGAGAACTTCAGAAGTCAGCCTGACTGACGCTCAAATGACAGAGGGAAAAAATGCAAAAAGGTAAATACGTCAACGACAAGATTCGAACTTGCGCGACCGAAGCCACTGCCTGTGTTGTCAGTCACAGCCGAAACTGTTCCTTGATAGCAGGGCAGCCCATTAACCACTCTGGCACGTTGACTTGGGTTGCTTATGTAAACCGAGGCAGATTGAGAGTACACCAAGCGTTGCCAGCAATTGCGTGGTCTGAGGAAGCGAATGCGATTTCAATTCGAACTGTGCAGACGTGGGAAAAAAGGCGTGTTGTGCACAGTGTTGCAGTGTGCGTGTCTCTGGCTAATGCAGCACCGCTGATTGGCTGATGCCTAACCCATGAGGCACAACATCCGCATTACCTAAGCAGCCAACTCCCGCGCAGCGCTGCGCCGTGCCATCACGAAGCCTCAAGTCGCACCTTGACGAGAGGCCGCTGATCGACCCCGGAAACCCACACTCCTCGTCGCCCCGACCGACCCAATCCACACCCCGGAAGCAAACCGAGCACCGCTCTGACATTCTTCAAGATGGCAGGCGGCGTTGAACACCACAGTAAGCCGAATCCTCCCTCCGGGCACAAGCCGACATCCTGAAAGACATCGCTAACTCCTCTCGACAGAGCTGGCCCTTGACCCGGCCTTGGTCAAGCTGGGACGTACGTCGAATTCTTTTCCTTACTTTGCTGCGACAGAATGAACCACGAAAACCCGATCACGGTCGCATGCCGAAAGCCAATTGGGGGAGGCATGGGCGGGAGGAGGGAAGGAAATGACGTGAAGAGCTGACCCGAAGAAACGCCCTACAGACATGCAGAGCAACAGACACATCTACTTCCGCTGGACGCCGAGAACAGCCCGCATCTCCTTCATCTACATCGCCGTTGTCCCCGCCATCATCGGATACATCGGATACAAGAGCGACGTGAGCCTCCCATTCATCCCCGGACAGTGCGACGACAAGAAATACGGACAAACACTCAGAAGGGACGTTTATGCTAACTGGTGTCTTCTTCAGGGTCTCTTCGACCTCCGTGCGAAGCGCAAGGGCGACCTGGTCTACGAGCGGTAGAGGAATTACCTATGGCATGAAGGGGATGCCGTCATGTATAAGCTTAGGAATTCTGGCAATAGAAGAAATGGAAGAATAAGCTCAATTTCTCTGTTACGCGAGGCAGATTTGAGAATACGAAATTACTGAACGTAGGTTACGGCAATCAGACGCCGCTGATTGAACCGTTGTGATGTTTTGGTATACCATTAACGCCATGCAAATTCAACGCCTTCTTATGCAAATGTCTCCCTTCGGTACGATGCTCAGTCACTACCGTCTTTTCCCATGACTCCGGCTGAGGTCGACTGCATCGACCACTCGATTCAAGTCCTTTTTGATGCCCAGCAGCCTTGCTGAACTCAGTCTCTGGATATATCCATCTCGTATCGCATCCTCTTCGCCCCCAAGCAACCGACGAGGTTGCTGAGAGGAGCATGATCTCCCCGCAGAGAGACTCGATTGGGTTGATCTTGCCTTCCTCCTCTTAAACTCCATATAGCTGATGCTTCCAGCACCTTTGTCCCTAGCAACCTTGGCTGGCACCCTGAACACTCGAGTGATGACGAATCGACGAGAGACCAAAACATTGCCTTTTGAACCACGGCGCCTCTGTTGTGAAAACGGCTGATGGAGCGCCCCACGGCTGTCCTCAGCCCATGGTTCGGGCGCATAGTAAGCTTCCAAAAGCTGATCCCCAGCAATCTCTTAGTCTCCGGCGACCGCCAGTCCCAATCAAAGTGCCAGTGAACCATAGACCAGAGACTCATTCCCAATCATGCCCCCAACGACGGAAGTCGATCCCAGGCCAGCGCGGCGAGTGCGTGTTCGAACCTCGGTGAGATCGATCATCCGTTTCGGTGTTCCGAGGTATCACCACCGGTCTCTCCTGCCCCTCCCCCGAGACCGATCAGGGCCATCATCGGGAAGTCGTTCGCCCCTCCTCCACTCGCCCTCCGGAAACCCTCCGTCCCCGGGCCCAGAGCGTCGCCGCTCCCAGTCTCGTCCCTGACGTCCTCCAAACCCCGCGTCTCGTCGCACGTTATGCGGCGGCTGTCCAGGAGCCGGCCCCCTCGGCCCCGCCGGCCTGTCATTCCTCGCCGTCATCGCCGGCGCCACGGAACCATCAGGCAGCGGCGGCAGGATGGCGCACGAAACGTAGTCCCCGACCACGAACTTGGCCTCCCCGAGCGTCTTGTCCGTCGTCGACGTGTCCGCAGCCGGAAACGCCGCGGTCCCCGACATGTCGACGTCCTCCCCCTCCCCTTCCTCGCCGTTGGCCACGGCGAGCATCGCGGCCTCTCCGCCTAGTACCACGCTCCCTAGATCTCTCACCATGAATCGAGGTTGTATCTGATGGGCGGCGGCCGCACCGGTTGTGCTCCGGCGGTCGGGGTAGATCAGTCGGAAAGCAAGCCTCGTGCCGACGGACGGGCTGGGCAGCAGCGACGGATCTTCAGCGGCGATCTGCTCGGCCAGCTCGGTCAGGGTAGAATTCGGCCATGCGTACAGCGGAAGTGACGGCGGGAGGCTTCGCGAGGCGAACTCGTCGGGCCTGAAGGGGGTGAACATCACATGTTAGCTTCAAGTCGAGGAACGGACGTCGGAGAGAGGTCCCACTTTACCTATGGAAAGACCCATTCTTGTGGAAGAGCCGAAGCAAAAACGGCGTCGTCTCCGCCCGATCGAGTGAGGCCATCGCGGGCCCTCTATCCGTACTCGTCTGCTGGTGTAATGTGTACACTTGAACAGGTGCCACGAAACGACCGACCACCATACAACACACCCCAGATGACGAGACGTCGTCAGAAACGCCCCCAGTACGTATATACAGACAGCAGGAAATCGGTGGAGCAAAAAAGCTTGACAAGCTCCCCTTGCGACGAACAGGTACAAAGACACGTTTTTTTTTTCCTGCTTCGAAAGGAGGAGGGGGGTGGCCAGCAAAAGACGGGAACTAGTTTGTGTTGCGCGCGCGGCCTGTTGGTGTGTGTGTGAGTGTGTGTGTGTTTGACTGGAGTCAAGGTGGTAGGCGAGTGAGGCTGTGCAAGTTAAGCGCGATCTTCCAGAGCTTCCATGCATGGATCGTCCACCACAACTTTTTGCACTGCCTCCCCCAAAGTGTGGGGGATTTACCCGTTGACAAAAAAAACGTAAAAAAAGTAAGAGTACGACTAAGCCCTTTTTTTGCGGGAAACGTTTTATCCGATTTTTCTCTCTAATCCAGTCTGTTCATTCCAACGACATCCCATCGAGAAGGCGGCAACCACACATCGCGACGCCAACATTTGGAGACGAGACACCTCCCCCGACTGGACGGACCCACCTGTAGAGCACCTGCCAAGCGACGGCCGACTCTGCGGTACTCGATTGCCGCACCCCCGACCGATTGCCCGACCGATAGAACGACGAGCACAACGACGATGGATTTCGCCGCGTTGATGTCAAAGGAGCTGGATAAATCCAAGGGGTCCAGCTCCTCGTCTTCCTCTTCGAAATTCATCAAGCGCGCCGACGTCGAAGCGAAGCGGAAGGAGGAGTACCTCGCAGAGCAGGCACGCATAGAAAAGGAGCGCGAGGCCAAGGCCGCCGCGAAGCGCAAGCGCGAAGACGAGGCCGCGGAGGAGAACAAAATCCGCGAGGAGAAGAGACAAAGGCTGGCAGAAGAGTCACGGATACGGCGCGAGCAGCAAGAGGCGGAGGAGGAGCGCGCGCGGCGGCGCAGGCTGGGCCTCCCGGACCTCGTCAAGGCCAGCAGCGAGGACGTCACGGAGCTCGAGGACGGGATGGAGGACGTGCCGGACGAGGAGCTGGTCGAGAAGCTGCGCGGCATGGGCGAGCCGGCGACGCTGTTCGGGGAGAGCCACGCGGCGAGGCTGAGGAGGTACAGGAGGCTCACGACGGTGGTGACCAAGGGCCCGATCCCGACGACGCTGCAGCTGGTGGAGGAGAAGGACATGAAGGTCGAGAGCGCGGTGCCCAAGGACAAGGAGGGCAGGAGGTGGCTGTTCCGACAGCTGGCGTCGTACTTCACCATGGTCCTCACGGAGTACGAGAAGGCGATGGAGCAAGAGCGCCGGGACACGACGGCCAGCAAGACGGCGTACAGCGCCATGGTGCAGAGCCGCGAGAACCTGAAGCCGGTACGTCTGACGATGCCCCCCCAGCAGCTACTACAACCCTCATTCCAAGAAAAAAAAAAAGCTAACACGTTCGTCGCCCCCAGCTCTTCCGCAAGTTCGAAAAGTACGACCTGGACGACGACCTCCTCGCGCCCATCGTCGAGATCGTCCAGGCCGCCCAGGAACGCCGCTACGTCGACGCCAACGACGGCTACCTCCGCCTCTCCATCGGCAAGGCCGCGTGGCCCATCGGCGTGACCATGGTCGGAATCCACGAGCGCAGCGCGCGCGAGAAGCTCCACGACGGCGAGCGCGGGCACGTCATGGGCGACGAGGTCACCCGCAAGTACCTGCAGAGCATCAAGCGCCTGCTCACCTTTGCGCAGGTCCGCTGGCCGCCCACCGACGTGCGGCAATTGATGGGATGATCGGGAGACGACGGCGACGTATCATGCGAAATTTCACGACTCAGGTGTCTATCCCTCTTCGCCGCAATCATCAAGGATCTTGCGACGGGCGACGCAAATCGAGAGTTCCGGGCGAGCGATGTGGATTATTTCCTCCTTCCCGGGACCACCAACCTGCAGCAGAGGGCCACCACATTTGCCCACACACCCTTCCATCCCCTTACTCCTGCTTCCGCGGGAATCTTTCTATCACCACCACTACCACCACCACCAGGAACGGGTGTTTTGTAATATCTTGCTCATACTTTTAGCGGGTGCATTTTAGTCCCGGATGTGGACAGACGGGACCAGCCCATTTAGAAAAACGGTAAATGAAGGCAAAAGCGAGGTCCAGAAGGCTGGAATATGGAGTTTGATGGATACCAACCGTTTGTTATTTCCTTCCCGCCCCTCATCGTTGCAACGGGTTTTTGTGTGGGCAGGAACATCGGACTTCCTGATGCAGGCTAGGAAACGAACGCCCCTCCCCTCATCCATCCTCCAAGGGTACGGTTGGAGCCATGCCTCCGAATTTGCATCTCCCTGCATCCTTGAAATATGTCTCTCACCCTTGAGCCCCCCTCTGGTGAGATGCTGCCCCATCTCGTAGACTCACCGGCTTTTATTTGCGGAAGATGGCGACGGGGAAACAAGGGCCAAAATGGCACGCTGTCTCGGTGTGATTTTATCGCCCCCGGTAATGCGAAATGGAGCATCGCGCCCACTTGGGGAGGAGCAGTGACCATCAGGCGTCTTTTTTTCCCAACACCCCTACCTATGGACCACGGTCCCTTGGGGGGATGGGGATTCAGGTGCCTCCTCCGTTAAGCGAGGAAAGCGAGGGACTTGACAGCACTGTGCAATTGCGGGCATGTCGAGATGGTGGCACATCCAGCACACCATCATGAACCGCTAGGCCGTTACAAGAGGGAGGGAAGACACCGGCTATCGTCCTTGAATCCCGTCGACAGGGTAAGCTTAACTTCGCATTAGACAAAAGAAGCAATAGAATCACGGATAAACATTGTTCGGTCGAGTAGGAATCACGTAGCGTCGCATAAAATACGGGCATCGATTAATTCCCGGTTATTCCCTGGGGGGCCTTCGATCTTGTTCTCTTGACACATCCATATGCCTGCTGCGTAAGCCTCAATCTATCGGCCCCGGGGATCCCGCGATCAACAACACCAACTGTTCCTTTAGCCGCTCCACCGTTCAGCTGCGTGAGCCCCATGCCATGACTTCCCGATTCCATTCCAGTGCTGATTGGGTTGTGTCTGGCGCAAAAGTGCCATGACGTCTAAATGATCCCACGGAATTGCTGAGATGTTGGCGCGCGTACGTATGCTTCTGTCAGGGGAACCAATGATCCAACGCCAATCCGCCCGTTCTGCATTGGCAGTCGAGCAGCCAAATTTTTAGGGTTTCCGACTAGGGTGCCCGAGTGGATCGTCAAAAGTGCCCCGTTTCTCAGCAGCATTCTTAGCTTGCCGATCCGCGTCCGACATGCGGAGAACTACTCCAACACTCACCCGGCCGATAGCCAACTTTCTGGGTAAAGTCCCGAAGTTGCTCAGCTCAAATCGCTGCTTGGGCCGCCGGCCGCAACAGGCCGGTTCTGGTCATGCCAGAGCTCGTCGATGCCGCTGTGAGCATTTGCTCCCTTCCGGGGATTCTTGACTTCCATGTCCGCAGCGATGATGCTCATGCGCCGGATCCGCTCCAGGGCGTCCCGCTCGTAGCCATCAATCGTTTCAAGGACCAACTTTTGCAAGTTGGCTCGGGGGTTCGGAGAGACGGCGACCAGAGTCTGACAATTGGCCTGTGCGTTAGCACCGTGCGATTTCACTTCGGCGTTCGACTCCGGGGGCCGCGGACTCACCTTGTCAATGGTATTGATTCGGGCATGTAAAACGCCGCCCTTGATCATGGTAACGAGCTCATCAACGAGCGACCGATCTGGCACCGCAAATGCGTCTTCCAGGCTGCTGAGGGTGACGCAGGAAAACGGGATGAAGTACTGCACAATGCACTTGCTCCGGATCTGAGAGTAGAGCGCGGGAATGTGCTTCTGGAGATATATGTCGAGGAGATAGTCGGCCCGGTACGCCTCCAGAATCGCAAGACATGCCGAGTATCGACCGTTGACGAAAAGGGAGATGGCTTTACGGATATGGGGTTCCAGCTCAAGAAAGGTCCTGTAGTTTTGGTTGTCGAGGACACGAGTCTGGAGGTCCTTCCGATCCATGGTGGCCAGAGCCAGGAGACCGCCATACACTGCCACGTCGTTGGGGCTCGCGATATTGCTGTAGTCCACTCCCTCTTTGCCGGCATCCGTTTGCAGGAAGCTTTTGGCGGCGTCCTCAAACTTCTCCAGACCCATGAGCGCAATCCCCTGGACGATCTTCACGTAGGGTTGAAGCCCCTTTTCCTCGTCGCCATTCTGGACTCCGGTGATCTTGCTCAGGTTGGCAATGACCATGGGCCACTCGCGGCGCTGCAGCGATACGTTGACGAGGTGCTTGCCAACGTCGATGATGTGCTTCGATGTGCTCACGTCGGGCCGCATGCGGCTGTAGGCCTCACCAGCCGAGCCCAGGTCGCCGATGCTCTCGAAGTGACGGCCCAAGTCCTCATTGCCCATCTGTTGCGATGTGTTAGTCTGGGAGGTTGCCGAGATATTGTCATTGGGCATAGACTAACCCGGATGCTCTCCTTGATGAGGTTCATCTTATAACCCTTCAGCTCGTTTTCGAGGTTCTGAGTCTTGGTCCTGTTGGCCCTCTCCGTTTCCTCCACCCATTGCGTGTCATAGGTGGCCTCCGGCTCGGAGGGTGCGGCGATGTGAAGGCACTCGAAGGCATCACGATATCTCTGAACATCTTGACCCTGCTTAGCTTCGGCGACAGCAGCTTTCAGGGCATCAACACAGAGCGGCACGCAAGTCCGTCCGATGAGGAAGAGTCGTTCAAAGCGGGTACGACCTGCGGCAGGTGAGTGAATGTCCCCAGGAGACAGCGGAGTCTTGGCAGGCGGGGGGAGGAGGGCGGAGGCGCGGACGGAGGCTGAGCGTGCGAGGGCCAGCAGCGAGGCGCAGTTTACGAGAAACAAGGTTGAGACGAGCTGGGGTGGTTATGGCGTACCTGTGTAATTCTGGATGTACAGATCTAGATCGAGCTTGGGAACATCTAGAGATTGACAGCGGGTTAGCAGGCCACGCGTCTTGGCATTGATTTCCTATTTGAGACGTGCCAGGCTGGCGTGGCTCGGTGAAGGAGAAGGGGGCACGGTGAGGTGAGCGGTTCAGGTTCAGCTCGGACAAGAGCTAAGCTCAGACGACGCACCTCTGACAATGACACCACCCTGATCGTCCATCTGAGAAAAGAAGGCCAACAAGGCGTTGGAGTTGGCGTTGGTGTCGGCGGTAGCCATGATGGAAATTGTGCTATCGTCAGTACCAAGGGCCCGCTGAAATCTGCCTGGATGACGGTTAGCAGGCCGGCCGGTAGCGACTGAGAACAACGTGTGTATCGGTGACACTGACGAAGGGACGGGAAGGTATGGTGCGGTAGCGTAGTCAGGTACAACGTTGCTGTACGGGGGGTGTGCAGCAAGGTACTGGACCTACGCAGTAGAGTACCTCAGGTGAACTGGAAGGATAGAGGTGCGGTGGCCGATGGCACCGATAGCGGTTTAGAGTTGGGCTGGGAAAGGGATGGGAGAAGTGGATGGATAGTGGAATGAGTGCAAGATTGAAATGAGGGGCTCCTTCAGGTCTGTCTGGTTTCCATGTCAGGGTTGGGTTGGAGACATGACCTGGAGTCGATGGTCTGGCCGGTTGGACAGGGACGCTGACAGTTGGGGGAGAGGGGCCGGCTGACAAGGCAGGAGAGACGAGGCTAAGGTTGAAGGAAGGAAGCCCAAGACCTTTCTTGGACAAGTACAAGGTCCAGTGGGAGTGGAAGCTCGGAGAAAGTAAGGTAGACGGCTTCACTGACCTCTGGTCGATTGCCGTATCGTGGATTTTGCCGCTGCTGGCCCGCCTCTGTGTTTGTGACTGCGACTCGGCAGGCTGCAGAAGGACCACCGTAAGAAAAAAGGAAAAGAGACGGCTGTCGTCGGTGTTGCACTGAGCAATAGATGAGGCAAGGACGAATGAATGGATGAGTGTGTATCCGTAATGTGATGGCACGATGGTAGAGTCTGACGGAAAGGAACCGCAAGGCAGAGAGCAGCAGGCAGGAGGTTGGTGGCGTGCTGCAGCGAATGAGAGAGTGAGAGAATGAGACCAGACGCTGCCGCCTGGCGGGTGGCAGCCCAGCTTTTTTGCGGGGTAATTGAATAAGAAGGGGGTCTTGAAGTAAGGCAATAATACCGTGTCTAAGTACATCTTGATTTGTACCTCTCTACCTTCAATACAGAGCATTGCGATGGGCATCTGTCCGTCTCATTATCGCGTGCAAAGAGCGAAAGAAAAGTGGCACTTCGACTGGAACTGCATCGTAGCAGGCAGAAGCGACATGAGAGAAGAATGTGCATCTCAAAAATGACAACGGCGATCTCATTGCGTGTCGCCGAGCCGATGATTGGCGACAAGATGCGGCAGTCGGTAGATCACCAGGAATAAGGCACATCGCCTTGGCGGCGATAGGCCAGATTAGGTAAATCTCCAGGGAAGCACAGAGCCTGCGTTACTCACCAACCACATTTCGTTCAGATAAACGTTGCTCAACTTCGAGTCGACTTATTCTTTTCTGGTACACGGTTTATACACACAATTTGGCAATTTGACAAACCGTAATACTGGATTATACATGGATGATCAGCCAATCGGCTTGGGTATATGGCTAGTGCAGATTGCGGTTGTGTTTGGGGGATAAGTCCCTCGTGCTCTGCATCCCAAACGCCTTTACAACGACAACTCCCTCACTAGAGACTCAGACGAAAGAAATAATTGCAACAGCCGTAGGCCCAGCTGCAAAGTTTACATCAACTAGAAACCCGTACGGCGCCAGGCTCACCTTGTCTGATGTGCCAGTTCAGGTTTAGGTGTTCCGCGGAAGCAGGAGCCGCGCCCTGCCTGTTTTTCGTTCGTACCCTTGGCCTGTTCGTGCACTGATTCGTTTGATGACCGAGCGGGAGGAGGGTTGATGGATGGAGGAAGGGCCGTGATGGACCGGTAAGGCAGCATCGGGATTGGAGCAGTCCTCAACATCGACCAGGGCCGGGACCAGCGTCGGGGCTGCCACTGTAACTGGGTTTGGGACTGTAACTGGGACCCAATCCAGCTTGCTACCTAACGTGACTATTCAGAGCCAGCAGAATGCAGGCAGAGGGAAAAGGTCAAGTTTTGGTGGTGGTGGTGGTGGTGGTGGTAAGGCCAGGTTCGGTACGTACCTTTAATGATGTTGAGGTTTATCTGAGATGATCACAGACATCAGCACACGACAAGACGGTAGTTGACCGAGGGCCTGTTATTTGCAAACAGCTCAAACCCAAAAGACTGGCCGAATTTTCAATTGCAGGTGGTGTGTGCATCTCTGGGCGACGGGCTCGTTGTATGTCATCAAGCATGGTGTGCAGCGGCGCTTCTTGGCTTGCACGTATTACGCGGCCAAATTCCATGGCAGCGCAGGTCGTATGTACTAAGGGCGGCGTCTGGCATCTCTTGGTTTGATGCTTTGCTGATGCCCTCCCACGTCGAGCGGGACGTGATCTAATGCGAACGCCCAGCTAAAGGGCACTGGTGCCGATTGACGGGTTTTGGGGAAAGCAAAGAATCCTTGCTGGCCAGTCTCAGATTCAGCTCGAGTTTCCAGTCTATGATTTTGTTGACATCGCTCCTGATTTGCTGCGCCCTAGAAAGTGTAGCCGTCGGGCAAAGGTTGATAGACCGAGGAACTCGCTTTCAGGCTGCGACAACGGCACAGAATGATCTCAGTGTGCTGGGAAAGTAGAGTCCCAGGAGGCTTTGGTCCAGGTCCAGGTCCAGGTCGAGGTCCAGAGGAGCAGGGCCAAGGGCAGGGTCCCGGAGTACTTTAGGTGCAGGTGACTGGTTCCAACAGCGTAGCGGCGTTGATCCGGGCAAATTGAGGAATTATTGTAGGTACTCGGCGAGAGTTCCGATAATGATAGTCCTGACTTTGGTCCTGGCGGAATGGCTGATGGATGGAATGACTGCGCCTGGTCAGGGGCACCTGCTCAGATGGGCTGAGGCAATATCGTGGTGATGTGGTTGGTGCTGCGGATGGTATCGTCAACAACCTGACCTGTCGCTGTTGCGTCCAGGTTCAGGTAGGAGGCTTTCGCTCAGTGGATAGCTCGCGAGTTCGGTAAGAAGCATTCAGCGTTGCGGTCGGGTGGCCCCTGTTTTGCGGTACGAGCTGTGTGAGTGTGAGTGTGAGTGGTTTGGAAAGGTACCTCTCCTTGCCTCGCTGGGGTCCAGGATGGCAGACGAGAAGAAAAGGTAGGTAAGGTACGTACCGGTTAGCGACGTCGTTTCTCCCCAAGGCCGCTGAATCTCACACTGTACGATGGGGTACCCCAAGTACAGTGTCAACAATGGCGGCCCTGCTAGTGGCTGACACATGCATTAAGTCTTTGGCTCTTTCCCTCTCTTTGATTGAACTTTTTGCGGAAATAACCAAGGCGGGCGCGAGGAGGGCGAGGGCGAGCGAGGCGAGGACACCAAGGTAACGTGGCCGGTAGGTTCCTTGATTTTTTTTATCGTTATTTGTTTTCAGGATTTTCTGACATGCGGACACACCTCAGGGGGTGCGAGTGCGAGTGCTTGGGGCGACCGAGGCACTTCTGGGCAGTTTTTGCAGCAAAAAACAACGAGAAAAAAACGGCAAATTCGCAGCATGTCGTCGTCTTTTGATATATCGGCTGAGGCTCTTCAAATATCGATGTATGTTGTCAAGACAAGCGCAAGCGCGTAGGGGCGGGGTGGAAGTCTTGGCAAAGAGGAAAATCGAGCGTGCCAAGACTCAAGACCAGGAAGCTCTTGCGTTTTCTGGCCCCCCGCTCTTGGGCTGACGCGGTGGTGGGAGTGGGAGTGGGAGCGGTGGACTCCCCAAGACTCACCTCACCCTTCACCCTTCACCTCACAGGCCACAAGACATCCTGATGGAAGACGACGTCGCGGCATTGGCGTTGCCGTTGGCTGATGCCCGGACTGTGGTCCGTTCGTTGTCCACCATCTGCTGCACCTGCCGTCACTTTCTTTTCCTCGGCATCTACCGTGTACAAGACATTACACCGAAAGAATATAGCAAGAGAAAGTACCTCCCACCGGAAACGCAAGCGCAGAGAGACGGGAGAGGTGTGTGGTCACTGGTGGCACTTCCTTCCTTCCCTCCAAACGGTACAAACGGTAAGTACCCTCCTTCCCTGCCAGGTAGGTGCTTTGCCTTACGACTCACCCCCCGCCCTAAGCACCCGAGCCATGGCACCCCCCAAAAAAAAATCAGACCCAGGGCTCAGGTCTCGCACTCAATCACGCCAATCTGACGGCTCCTCTCCCGCGAAAAGAGAAAATTGACGGCTTGAACTCGCAATAGAGTCGACCCCAATGACGGATGCCAAGACTTCAGAACCTCACCTTCCCTCAGCCCTGGGCCCTGTTGTTCTGTAGGGCGGTCCATTTGACAACGTCCCGTCAACCATGCGACGGTAATCCACCAAATCGAAGCCTTTTCGAATATTCCATGCGCCTTCTATTCCCACAAAGCTTGCATACGACGGGAAGACGAGAATCTCGCGATGGCCATGCCAGATGCGCATCCGCTGCCGCTGCCGCTGCCGCTGCCGCTGCGAGCAAGCTATTTCGAGAGGGGCTGCCCCTTCCCTTCCACTTCAAGCCCCCTCCGCCGACCCAGATTTCAGGGGTGCCGAACCACTTACCTGCCCGCACAACTCGCACCTTCACACACACTGGACACTCACACAACACACAACATCCAAGAGAACATCGGCGACCTTGGTTCATGCCACGACAACGGCGGCGGTTGGGCTGCGTCGTCGTCGTCAGTCTTCTTTTCTTGTCTTGCAATTTGGCTCTTGGCCAGTGGCACCCTCCTGTCGCCCTAGCTCGTCTCCCTGTCCCTGCTCGGGGTACCCAGCCGTGTGTACCGTACCTGTTGATCGACTCGGCTGCTCTGGTCTGCCGTGCCGTGCCTATCGTCTCTCTTTCTCTCTCCACAATGGCGACACAATCAACATACGCACTGGACCCTCGATCCCAACCTCGGAGCAATTCCTGTCTCCATCATTCATCATCAAGGGATGTGGGTGGATGCCGAGAGAGGGGAACAGTCGCAGGTGCGAAAAGGCAATCGCAGATGAGGCACCGTTTGATATCGTCGACATGCTCATGACTGGGAATGGCCGATGACAGAGACACATCCTCATGCGATACTTGGGATGGACCGATGGTCCAAATGGTACACGGGCGCAGGTGCTGGCGCGGGCGCGGGCCCAGACTCCCCCAGCAGCATCACAGACCGTTTGAGCCAGCAGGCCCCGTCCTTACACTTTGGAAACTGGGCCTGCCACGGCATCGCGTCGCCTCTTGCTAGCCTAGTCCAAGGTCAACTCAACTCTTGCTCAACTGCTCTAGCCCCTAGCCCCGCCAATTCAACTCGGAGACCGAGGGTCATTTGGCTACCGCTACCCTGCCTCTCTCGGGACCGAACCACGTCAAGGTCTAGGGATGGACAGTATCTCCCTCATACTGCGCTACCGACAGGTCAGACCAGTCTTTTGACGCTGATTACGATTTCACCTCTGTTAGCTTTTTTCTCGTTTTCATTTTGGCTTTACGCTCGACAGATTGCAGCTGGAACTGCCTTGCATGAGGAAGGGCCCCTTGTCGAATCGAAAACGGGGAAACTCCTGGAAGTCAACTCCGATCCAATTGGATGCCTTCAGCGGAGGGTCTGATGCATAGCAGATGGGATAGTCAGCGTTGACTGAGGCCCTTGCTGGATTGAATCCATCCCGTCCTGCTGACCTTGGTTGCAAATGCAAGGCAAGACAAAGCGCCATCCATTGATCCATTGCTCTGCTCTATTCGTGGACATGAGCGAATTCGCCAATTACCTCTTTTTAGCGCTGGTGGGCCTTGATGCCAGACCAGGTCTTTGCTCTACTGGCGGCTGGAGGGCTACTCCGGATACAATAGATGGCATACTGGATGGAGCTTACCGGACGAGGCCGGGCGGGACGGGCATTCCGTGGCGGTCTGCTGAGGCCAGTCGCCAGTCGCCAGTCGCCAGTCGCCAGTCGCGCAGTGTGCAGACTGAGGTACCTTACACCACGTTGCCATGCGGTAAGGTACCGAATGGCGTGGAATTCGAGGCAGCGGTTGGCTTCAATCAAGATTCGCAAAAGACACAAACATCAGAAAAGGGTAAAAAGGCATACGTACCCCCGGCTCCACCATGCATCCAAACGCATGCACGAACATCGTCGGCGCTGCATGTTCTCAACCCACAAGATGCAGAGCAGAGGTCCGGCATGACTGATGATGTTGGACTGAGCCCGTTGACTGACATTGGGGCAGGGTTCTTACGCAGTATTGCAAAAGTACGGAATCGTATCCTTCACGGCCAATTCAACGTTGCGCTTGTTCACAAATGGATCGATTTATCAACAGTCTCCATCAAACAAAAATGGGCTGCATCCATTCCCGAAAAATCTCCGCTTTTTCGCTTCCTTTTCGAGTCAAATCAGCCGGGGCCCCCAAAGATGCCCGTCCGGTCGCTACGTGCTCGACTCGCTCACTTCTTTTTTGCCGCTATTATTCATCCCATACTGCGTCAAGGGATGCCCACTCTACTACCTACCCAGAGCGAGCCAGTCTGAGTGTGTTCCGAGAGAATGTGTGGTCTTCCCGCGCGGTATTTCCCAGAACGCAGAGGCGACAAATTCGCATCGCCGGCCTTGAGACGAGGCACTCCTTACAACCCTCAAGCAGAAAGAAAGGGAAGAAGAAAAAAAAAAATTGAAGAGCGTACGGAAACAGCACACGTACCACTTGCGCCTCCAAACGCCGTGTTGCGGCTGGCACTGACAGCCACCGTCAATTGTCAATGGAACGAACAAACCCCAATTATCGTCATTACCTTGCTTTAACGCAAGGGAGCAACTCTGCGGGCTAAAAACCCCCAATCTAATTCAGTTACTTCGTCCTCGCTCTTTCGCCGTTTGGCGTATCCGTACTTGCAAAAGACCCTTCCGTTCGTTCAGATTACCCGCACCACCTGCGGCACTACTTCTGCCTACTTTAACTCGACATTGCCTAGCTCGAGTTCTCAAGATAGAAGCTCCAACTACTCCAATCTCGTCATTGTTCTGACGCCCTCCACTTGCAAGGGCGCTTTTAACACGGGAACAAGCATACCCCCTCGAGTCCGGAGCCAATCTCACCACCGACCACCGAGCCGGAGTTGAGAGTCTTTCCATTCCTCTACACAACCTTTTGCTGCTGTCCTGGCCCATCCCAGCATTGGTTTTCTGCGTCGTCTCCTGCTGTCGGGATGAGTCCCCTTTGTTCAGATTTGGAGAGTCCTAGCACCGGCAGGTGTCAGGGCCAGGGGCGCGCGCCTTTTTCACTTCTGAGCTTCTTCTTCGTCCGTTTTGTTTTGTCTTGGCTTTTCACGGAATCACCACACAATTCCCGTTCCTCCCACTCCTCCCAGCGGAAAGGTACAGTGTGACTCGGAGGCGGCAATGACAGGCATAAGGTCGTGTATGCGTACAAGACGATGTTTTCTGCGCTCTTGGAGGTACTTGCGCACATATACGGTACTGCGATATGCATGGCATACAACATGGAAAAATCGGACTGGCCAACAGCTGCTTCAGCTCATTGTCCGTTATTACTCACCTACAGTACCGTCGTTCCGCGGATTTAATTTCTTCGCGCATCTTGCTGCCGCCATCTGTCACAGACCAATGGCTACTGCGTATCTCTCACCGCGGTCGCCTCGACCGAGCTTCCACCACCCTACCTCCATCTCCAATGCAATACGCCCCCCTCCCGGGGCCCCCTCACCCTCACCCTTGGGCGGGCCTTTTCTTGTCTTGGTGTTTGCTGGGGGAGGTGCGGTACATGCCATTGTGTTGTGATACTTGCTACGGGGGACGGGACTCTCAGTCATCGAACAGATTTGTCCCTCTGTCTTGTCTGCGCTCTCGCCGAGGAGCGCCACGATAGGTCGTCTCGTTGCTTTACTCGCCTTACCTTAATCCATCTTGGCTTGCTGTACTTGTTGCTATTTAGTAGTCTGCCTTACGCCTCCCCTGTTTCTTCACTCTGTCTGCCCCTCCCTCGACACACCTTTCGTCGACAAGTTCAACACAACTCCCCTCATCTCTAGCCCCCTCCCCTCCACTCCCACTCACACTCACACACTCAACTCACACTCTCCAGAGGCCGTGACCCTCGTACCGATCCCTATCGCCTTTTCGTCTTAGCTTCTCCATCCCCTTTTGCGACGGTTTCGTATTGTCTCCGTTCCCTCTTGTCCCTATCCGCTACTCTACTGCTGGTGACTACAACACAACACAATACACACCCCATATCCGCAATAATAGACAGGCAAGGGCTAAGGAAGTGACTTGGGGACAGGTCGTCTCCAGCACCCATCCCGCTGCGCGCGCCAGATCGCGTCCAGCGTCCTGAGCCCTTCCCTCCCCTACCCTGCCAACTGCCCTCCCCTACCTTTCTTTGCCTACCTTACCTGGGCACCTTACACTCCACTCGCAGTCAGTCCCGGTAGCGCGGTGTCTGCACCGTGCGGACCCAGAATCCCCATACCCTCGAGTCGTGTACTCTCTTGTCTCAACCAACCCCGGCCGAGACGCTACCTACCGCTACGTAATCCATCTTTGCGCTCAGCTTCCGCGCGACTTACACACACCTCACGCCCATCTCTTACTCTGTGCTTCTGGCCTGCACCGCACCATCGCACCCGCACCGCACCCGCACCCTGCTCGGCCTTAAACAAGGGCCTTCCACCCCCCCAGCTGCCCAGACGAGCCAGCAAAGAGGCAAAAGATCCCCCGGCTCCTCTCTGGTCTCCCGTTTTGTTTAAACTTATCTTCCTTCTATCCCCCGCGAAGTCTTGGCACACGTTTCGTTCTTCTTCAAATGTTCAAGACTGGTCAGTCCGAAAGCCGTTCCTAGCACTTGGGTTGGCTTATCGGACAACTACCCTTGTACACACACACAAATATGCAAAGAGCTCGACCACCATAACTGCACTTACACCGAGGATCGTGAACTCGACTCCAATCGAGCCGTCACCACCACCACCAACACCACACATTACCTCAATTACTCCAAATCTTGGCACTCTTGTTGTTGGTTCTCTCGACACCACCAGCAATGAGTCCTCCATCACGCCCTGTCAAGACTGACAACAACTCTCCCCCGGATTCGCAAGCTTCTGGAGTCTCTCCCAACATGTCGGACAACGAATCTGCAGCTCCCTCTGCTGGGTGGCCCGTCAAGGAGCCTCCCTCCCCCAGCGGCAGTCAGTCTGGTTCCGAGGACGAGAAAATGGGAGGAGATGCCCCCAACGTTCCTGTACAAAAGCGTCGACGTGTTACGCGAGCTTGCGACGAGTGCAGGCGTAAGAAAATCAAGTGCGATGGCAAGCAGCCTTGCACTCATTGCTCCGTCTACAGCTACGGTTAGAAACCCCAACGCCCAATTTCCCACCTTCTGCGCTGACCACCTTCCCAGAGTGCACATATGACAAGCCTTCAAACCGCCGCAGAAACCCTGCTCCTCAGTACATTGAGGCATTGGAGAGCCGTCTGCAACGCGCCGAAACTCTTCTGCGCAAGTTCATTCCCGACGTTGACTTGGCTGATCCGACACTGGACCCTGCGGTACAGCAAGAGTTCCGCAGCAGAGAGCACGCACGAAGCCAAGCAGCCAAGCTGAGGCACGAACCTTTTGTTACTAACGAGAAGGAAGACGCGCAGCTTCTGTCCATGATCGAGTCCATCGGTCAACTGGACTTGGACGAGAAGGGCGGATGGGACTTCCACGGTGTCTCGTCCGGCGCCGTCTTCTTGCGGCGGATGAAGGAGCACTTCCGGGGCATGATGGGACCCGTCACCAAAGTGCCGTTCCTCCCACGGCCAGAACGGCCGGCAGGCCTCATCAACTTGGATTCTCCAATTTCGGCCGCCAGCTCTCCTTTCGACTCCACCATATCAACTCCCCCTGAGCTGCCTCCCAAGGAGGTTGCCAGGAGACTATGTTACTACTCGCTGAATTGCGCCACATGTCTGATCCGTGTGGTCCATGTTCCTACTTTTTACGAATTATTTGATCGCATTTACGAAAAGTCTCACGAAGATTACACCAAGGAAGAGCACCGTTTTGTGGGTTTGCTCTTTGCAGTCATGGCTCTAGGCTGCATGTACGCCAATTTGGACGAGACTGCACCTCCCAGGGCTTACAAGGACTCTGTGGAAGAAGGGTGCGTCACCACAATCCCCATCCATCGAACCCGTGCTGACAACCGCTGCAGAATGAAGTACTACGATGCCGCCAGGCGTATCCTACAAGACATCACGGAATGCCGTGATCTAACGTCACTTCAAGCACTGCTTTTTATGATTCTGTTCCTGCAAGCAACCTCGAACTTGAGCGGCTGTTATGCATTCGTAGGCATTGCCCTTCGGTCAGCCCTGCGTATGGGCCTGCACAGGTTCTTGAAGCACGAGCAGATTTCCATCATTGAGCAGGAAGTGAGGAAGCGGGTGTTTTGGGTTATACGACAGATGGATATCTACGTCTCTGCTATGCTCGGATTTCCATTGCTACTCAACGCGGACGATATCGACCAGCCGTACCCCACCGAAATCGACGACGAGTACATCACGAACGACGGCATCCTAACACCGCCGCCGGGCGTATTTTCTTTCTTTGAGGCCTTTAACGCCCACAGTCGCCTCATGGAGATTTTGGCCAAGATCCTCAAATTCGTCTACCCCTTGAAGGGCCTGGGGCAAAGCGTTATGAAGGGAGACAAGCCAGGCACGACGTACCTCATCAGCTACGCCAACATCAAGCGGATAGAGACCGAGTTGCAGGAGTGGTACGAGGTACTTCCTGCGCAGTGGCGACCCAGCCCGGAGGGTCCTATTGAGGTGATTCGGTAAGTCATCTGGGAAAGGAGGATGTTGGTGTGTTGTGCGAGTCGAATTCCAGCTAACCATTCTAAAGCGTGCGCCACTTGTTGCGGTTCGCTTACGCACATGTGCAGCTCGTCCTTTACCGGCCGTTCCTGCACTACGTATCGCCTCGACTGAGCATGGACAAGAACATCGATGAACTTTCGTATGCTTGCGCTGCAGCCTGTATCAGTGTATCACGCAACATTGTGCATATTGGTATCGAAATCCGCAAGCAAAACGTCCTTGCCGGGCCTTATTGGTTTATGCTCTTCACCGAGTTCTTCGCCATCCTTTCTCTCGTCTTCTATGCGATCGAGAACCCCGAAAAGCTTGGCTCCGCGGAGGTGTTGGAGGATGCCGTGGCAGGAAGAGACATGGTCGCAAAACTACAGAACAAGAGCCAAGCCGCCGACAGGGTCACCGAGGCGCTCAATGTAAGTGCTTACCCCAATCCGGCCTCGGCAACACGCACTAACATTGGCAGGTCTTGTTCGAACAGCTGCCCGAGAGGCTCCGTCAAGCCAAGGCTCAGCCGATCCCGACGAAGAAGCGGCCTGCGCATGGGCCAAAGGCGAGCTCGATGCCTATCCACGGACACCCTGGCATGCACCCGGGTGTCGGCCACCGCCGATCCGAAGAACTAAGCCGATCACCGAGTGTGTCCCTCGCCAACGGGCGGATGTCGCAAGGCCCGATGCGCGGCTCTTTCGACGGGGTGCCCATTTCCGAGGCGGCGTTCCAGGACCCCAACCTCGCAATGCAGGACCTGCTATCCATGGACATGGCGTCGCGGGCCACTCCGGACTCGGTGAGCACGTCGGCAAGCTCGACTCGGCCGCAAGGATTCCCGCCACCGCACGTCAACAACATGAACCACATCAGCAAGCTCGACTCGCTGATGTTCCCGTCAGAGGATCCGTTCGCCTACCCGAACCAGCCGATGGTGGAGTTGGGCTACCAGAAGGGACCCGGGCCGAACAACGTCAGCGGTCCGCAGGATACGTCCTCATTCATGATGCCTGGGGCATTCGACGAAATCGACACACAACTACTCGGCCAGTCACCCGCGTACTTCCTGCACCAAGGACAGGGACAGCAGCAACAACAACATCACCAGCCAGGATTCGACATGCCCAGTATGTATCAGCACTCGGGGTACACGGGCATGACGGACTCTGCGAGGGTAGAACAGGCCAGGCGAGCACACATGCAGCAACAGCAGCAAAGGCCGGGAGATATCGACAGGATGCTCGCGGAGTCTGGTTACCAAAGCAACTGGGCGGCTGGATTGCTCGCCAGGAACGGATATCAGGGCCTCTAGGCACATTTCGCTTCAAATGATACCCAGCATTATTTTGGAGCCCTGCAAGTTCAGGGTGCGATACTTTTTCTCAAGGGGGTTCAGAGGATGGGGAAGAGGGACACGAGCATATCGGTTCTCAGGCGTTCCGGTGTACTTGACAACCTTTTTTTGATCAAGTTTGCATGGCAGGAAGCGGGAAGCTTTGTCGATCCGAGACGAGGACGATGACGAAGCGATTTTGGATGGGAAAGGGTTTTCGGGCACCATCATCTTTACGGCCTCCCGATGATTTGATACGGGGTCGTGTGGGATGCTGTGACCATGCGACCCCGAAGCACGTACGAACAGGTGCTTTGTACGTAGTTGACACAGCAGCTAGCACACAATTGGATATAGACAATCTGTATCAATCCGACCTATCAGGCTCACAAGACGGAGTGATGACTGCACAAGTGACCAAAGGGGAGCGGGACAAAAGTGCGCAGGCAGGGACCGTAAGCCGTCGACGCCCACTTGCAACACAAACGACCCCGAGATGCAGCATCAGCAGGCATCGAATGGAGTGCAGACTCGGCGTGCATTGCAGCGCATCGCATTGCATGGCAGCGGCAGGGCGCTACCAAGACAGGCCCGGGGGGCCGAGGTACGAATACCTACCTACCACTTCGCTACTGTATCCGTACGTCCTCATTCAGCAAAGCTAGCCTGCTGAGAAATGATTACAGACAGACGTCGCGGGGTGGAGAAGAGCTGGTAGTATCGGTAAGGCATGGCGCGATGTTGCTGAGCCAGGGTTGCCCTCCCTGTCCTGCCCTGTCCTGTCCGTTGGGAACTCGAGGTCTTGGCTTTTGGGGCGAGAGACGATCCATACAATTGGGGGCCACGATTACCTACGACTACGGATACAGTGCTGAGCGAACGACGGGGCTGATGCGAGATGGATTGATGTTTTTCTGGACGGCGGCAGTGGTGTGTACGTTATTGAAACGATCTGCCTCTCCTCTTCCAAGGACTGACAGACAGACATTGTACAGTATATCTCCGACGAGCACAGTGAGCCGGGGGTGAGCAGTAGGTGGAAGCTGTCGAACGGTACCTTTCCACCCACACGCCTCTTGGTGAACACTACTGCGACAGGGGTAAATAGGATTCAGGGGACCGGGGATGAGGAGGAAGAGGAGAGAGGAGGGGCACGTGCCGTAACCATATGAGGCACTCGAAGCAAGCCGTGATTGGAGCGCTGCGTTATTCAATTGCGAGCACTCTGTATTACATCCACAGTGAAGGCGACTTGGTGTCATCTGTATCTCCGTTATTTCCTTATCAGAATCCATCGATCCTTAGTGGCCGTTTCGGCACCGGAGTGGCTTCTCTTGCAGTGTTCTACATAGTACACAAATGGAAGCCGGGAAAAGCCACCGATGATAGGTACGGCGCGGAGGATGGAGGTCTCGCGCGCCGAGTGAACCGAGCTACCACCGGACGGGCACCACAGCACTAAATTAGCTAGCAACACCTACCGATCGCGGATACGCAGGTCCCTACGGATAAAACCACCTTGCTTAGGTACACAGCAACAACACAACCACGACGCAACGCCAACCCGCTCTCGTCGACTCACCGGCCTATCACGAGAAATTCGTTTGTCATACGCCGTGAGCCACTTTTCCCCCTTCGTCTCTTTCTCTTTCGTCTCTAGTGCACCGTCCAAAGAAAACGGCTTGCTCCGTAATCCCGTTGACCCAGGCCGAAGACGACACCCCCCGTCCGTATCCGTACCTTACCTTACGGTGCCCAAACCCGCCCTTTCGGAGGCACCGAAGAGCGGAACCTTGCGCCAACGCAGTACGACGGGTCCCCCGGCCACCCAAAACCGACAACCTGCGAACACGGAACCGCGCGCTGGCTTCCATTCTCTCTCTCACACACTCAGACAGCGTCATTCAACCCCGCCGATTCGGCCCCTCCTTCCAATCGACGACGACTCCATCATCCATCTTGCTTTTGATCCGCGCGCCCACCAAACAAACGAAAAGAAACACGATCCATCCTGAACCCCCCCCCCCTCCCCGGATTCGCGGCTCTTGTCCGAACAAGAAGTCTCGATTCTCAAACTGTCAAGTCTTGTCTTGGCCCTGCGCGAGAAAGCCCGCAACGCCACGTAAACGCCACCCCCATTTCCAAGAAACGAGCCGCATCGCCATTGGGCTCAGGGCTGAACCGGGAGCCGCTGGCGTGACATCCGCCAACCTTGAACCTAGCGTCGCCGCGCTGGATCGTCCGCCTTAACCTGCCTTTGGTCTCCATCGCGAGACACCCTACCACTCACTTGCCTTGTGGTACCTACATACAACACGCCGGCAGAGACGCAGTCACTTTGAGGAGCCCCATTGTGGTCGTCGTCGTCGTCAGACCGCCTTCACCGAACCACCAACCCACCAAAATCCACACCGCACCGCACCACACACCATACCACATCGCACACACGCCCCCTTCCCTTGCATCGGGCCAACTACGGGCTGGAAGCCAACGACGTCTTCTCCTTCGATTAAGCTCAACCTCTTTTACCCCGCCGCCAAAGAAACGCAAGACTCCGAATGACGATGGAGCCCGCCGTCGAGCACGATGTCGTCGCGGTGGATGAGTTCGATGCCTTGTAGGTGGAGATGCATTGCGCGTTCACTTCCATCTCTGTCTGACCGGACCGTCTTGGCGATGGCCGGATGGCGGTCGAGACCTTCGCCCTTCCCGATGCCGATGACCCTGGTGTTTTCCTTGGACCTTGGAACCTACGGTCTACCCCTCTCCGTCTTCTCACACAGTACATGCTCGACTTTGCGGATCATGATGGCTAATTTGTGCGTGTTCTTCGGTGAAGGGCTATCGAGGTGAAGACCTTACAACCGATTGACAGATCTTTCAGAGATTACCCGGCGATCCCGGACAGGTATCCCGGTATGCTGAACTCATGTCTTGTCTTTGCTGCTTGTGTATCGTGATGCTGTTGTATGAGCCTCTAGGGGCTCGTGATACTTGAATGAATGTTAAATAGCGTCTGATGAGAATCAAAAATGCTAACACGTAAAAGCCAAGCTCCATGCCCGCAAGGTCGCAGCAGAGCTCAAGGCCAAGGGCGAAAGCCTCATCTTCCTTGAAGGCGAGCCCAGCCGGACCTTTGAGGACTCAGACATGGGCCCGACCTTTAGACAACGGCGATAGTAACGAACCCCCTCCTCACCCATCACCAGCGCGCTCGCACTAACACCGCAACGCAGCTTCTACTACCTGAGCGGCGCAAACTTCGCAGACTGCGCCGTAACCTACGAGGTCGCCCGGGACCGCCTCATCCTCTGGATCCCCTACGTCGAACCCCGCCAGGTCCTCTGGTTCGGCCACACCCCGGGCATCGCCGAATGTCTCCGGAAGTTCGACGTCGACGACGTCCGCTACACCAACCAGCTCGACAGATTCGTCTATGACCACCTTCCGGAGAAATCGACCCTCTATGTCATCCACAGGAATCAGACGCCCGATTCGGCCAAACTGAGGCACGAGCTGGGCGACACCTACGTCGACTGGACCTCCCTCCAGCCGGCCATCGACCAGGCCCGCGTGATCAAGACCGACTACGAGGTCGACATGATCCGCAAGGCCAACGCCGTCTCCGCCGCCGCCCACCGCCGCGTCGCCGAGCGCCTCCTCTCCCTCGAAAACGAGGCCCAGATCGACGCCATCTTCCAGGCCTACTGCACCGCCGCCGGCGCGAAGGACCAGGCATACGCCATCATCGCCGGCAGCGGGCCCAACGCGGGAACGCTCCACTACGACGCCAACAACGAGGACCTCTACGAGCGCGACGTCGTCGTCCTCGACGCCGGCTGCGAGTGGCACTGCTACGCCAGCGACATCACCCGCACCCTGCCCATCCCGGGCCGCTTCTCCGACGAGGCCGGTGCGATTCACGCCGTCGTCCAGAGGATGCAGGACGAGTGCATCGAGATGATCCGCCCCGGAACCCTCTTCTTCGACCTGCACATCCACGCCAGCCGCGTCGCGCAGGAGGGCCTCATGAGGCTGGGCGTGCTCAGCGGCGACCCCGAGGCCATCTGGGAGGCCGGCACCGTCGCGGCCTTCTTCCCGCACGGGCTGGGACACCACGTCGGGCTGGAGGTGCACGACGTCACGGGCCGCGAGAGGCTGCTGCTCTTCAACGAGGTCAGGGGCGGGAGGAACGTGGCCAAGAGGGAGATGGTCACGGCCGAGATGATGTCCGTCATGGCCGTCCTGACGCCCACCGCGCGGGCCGCGGCCTCGGTGCCGCCGCCGTACAAGGGCCGGCAGCACCTGCAGAAGAACATGATCGTGACCGTCGAGCCGGGCGTGTAAGTCCATCTGTCTTTAATGGTTTCGGGCTTTGCTGACGTTGGGGGATAGGTACTTCTGCAAGGAGTATATCGAGGGGTATTTCCTCAACAACCCGAGGCACGCCAAGTTCATCAGCAAGTCCGCGTTGGAGAAGTATTACCGCGTCGGCGGCGTGCGTATCGAGGATGACATCCTCGTCACGGACGACGGGTATGAGAACCTTTCGTCCGGGGCGCCCAAGGGGGAGGAGTTGTTGAAGGTTATCAATGGCGAGGCCTGAGTTTCTATTTGTGTGAATGGGGGGGTGAATTAACTTGCCTGCGAGTGATTATCGGTTATCCTCAGATATGTTGTTGTAGGTTTCGGTGTGTTGTCGGTTTTGACCGGTTTAGTCAGACCTACCTGTTCACAAGTTGTCACTCCCTAATGAAGGTACCGTCAAGGTTATTTGACTGAAGATTTTAATGAGCTGAGAGAACCGATTTACATCCCTTCCATCCCCTGTGATCCTGGGACGTTCAAAGTGAAGCCATCGCTAATGAACTATTGTCCAGCAAAGACCAGTAAAGCGTCTCAGTTACGGTTCCACTCAATATGATTAACGAGAACTGGTGCTAGCTAGGACATCCTTGTATTGTAGCTTGATTATGGCTTTACTGTCCGCCGTATGTGTTCACTGCGCAAGCTCAGATCAAGCAGCTTACGATATGTTCTGTCATTCAAGTAAACAGTTCATGCGCTTTTGTGGAGTCTCTTTTTCATATCTCCGGGGAAGTGTATCCGGGGTCCTCAATTGTTCGATTCGAGGTTGTTCTTTGAGAGATGGTTCAAGAGTGTGTGTTTTCTACACCCTGAGAAGTTCAGACTTGGTTTTGAAGAGTAAGTGCCGCTGCTATTCGATTCAGTGTAGAAGGTTTGAGTATACTGATGAAATTTGACATCGTCTATGTGGCAGTATGGCTTGTTGCGTGCGGTCTCTCAGTCCATGCCTCGGGCCGATATCAGGTACATCGCTTCTCCCGCTTCACGGTGACGGCGACGGCAGGAGTGGTAACAAGGGCGGTGGTGGCAGAGGGAGCAAAAGCAAGAAGAGGTACTTAGGCGATTGACGGTATTGTAAATTCTCGGAGACTTCTAGATAATCTTGATCTGCTTCCTGGGCAACGTTTTGACCCAGGCTTCAAGCGCCGCGATCCGACGGAAAGAGCACCGGAGCGACCCGATCCGCTTGTAGGTGCTGTCTTCAATATGACGCAACGCTAGACCCTGGAGCATCGGGCTATGAAAGTCATGAGCGCGTCTTGCTTCGTTGATTATTAAAACCAAAACCTTTCCTCGGTCATCTTCCATTGTGTCGAAGCTCACAAATCCGCTAGATGGGCCAGGACTTGACCAATGAACCACATGTTGAATCCCCTGCACGCTGTCCTCGCCTGCGTTCCAGCTGACCAGGTCTCGATAGTTGTGACTTTCGTCTTTAGGCGGTCGCAGTTCGAAAGTAATCATCGGGCCCTCTAGTACAATGCTTCCGCCAGTAACTTCCCCGGTGTCTATGCCGCCCTCGACAGTCTCAGTTTCCGCACGAATAACAGAACAGATCTGAGTGCGAGTGTAATGCAATCTCGCGTACTCCAGTACATCTAGTGCCCCTGGCTTCGCATCAAGACTCGCCCAAGACCAAGAGGGTGCTCGGTACTGTTCTGGCCTTTCTGCCGGTTTCAAGACCATCCACGTAAGGGAATTGGCAAGCTCTGCTTCCCAGAGGCCTGCCAGGTACTTGTGTTCTCCACATTGCAGGCTTTCAAGCTTTACTCTCAAGTCATTAGCCAAGCCAGAGAGAGCGACCAACTTATCACTAGGCTTGGTCAGTTTGCAGCCCGCATAGATATCGACAACTGAATTCCAGTCGGTGTAAACCTGCTCCAGCGAATTCTTGCGCGGGGATACTCCCGGGAAACCCAGCAATCCCTTCCAGAGAGAAGCATCGGGATGCTGCACGACATCATCAACATTGAGGATATCGAGTCCCTCGGGGTGGGTTTCGCAACACCGTGCTTGACGGCACTCCCAGAATAACTGCTTGGATCCGAAATGTAGAACCCGAGGGGCGAGCAACCTTTCCTGGAGGATCCAACCCCTTTCCAGCAGTGGCTCATTCTCAAAGGAACGACGCCAGCAATCATCCATTTCTCCAAAAGGTACGAATCGCCTTGGATTGCTGTCAACGTTCAACTTGATGTCCACTACACTGGGAATAACTGCTGCCGGCTCTCGATCAAAGAAACATCCTTCTTCGCTATTACTTGCTCCCAGTGCGGAAATGCTGATGAACCCGTTTTTATAGACGTGCTGCATCGACGAGGCCTCCATTTGCCAGTCGTCATCTGAGTCTTGGTATATGCAGAGCCGGTCGATCCACAGGTATTTGATGCCGAACCGCTCACAAATTGTTATTGCATCTCTGAAAGTCTTTGGCAGAATTTCGACGGACTGTTGTTGTGAAAGGTACCGCACAGTTGAGTTGAGCAGCTTGAGCGACTGCTTTGCGGTCTCCTTTCCCCAACAGTGGCTTAAAGTAATGTATCGTGAGCCTGCTGGGCATTTTGGTCCACTAACGAGACGGAAGAAGTGGCCATGAGCGGAATGAGTGAGCTCGAGAACTCTAGTTGGCATGTAACGATTTGAGGCTGGGAGTTGTTGGCACTTGTCGTGTGAGCTGGTGCAGGTTTCAACCCATCGTTTGACGATAGACCATGCTTGGTCAGACTCGGTTGACGCGCTGATGTCGAGATTGAGGCGACGATAATGACAAGAGTCTATATCTTCCTTAGCAAGTCTTGAAGCCACAATATCGAAAGACTGCCTCCTTACCATCACCTCCGACCGGTACAAACCATACCGGGTAGCCAACGTCATTGACATGGCCTGTAACCCACCGGATTTCCAGTTCCCACAAACTTCTAATTCCAAAACCATCGCGTATAACATAAAACACGATAAGATATCCTAGACTCCTGTGGTTTAAGTCCTCACCGCACCCATTTTCCTCGAAGTAAGTCTTGCAAATAAGGCAACCCTCTAGAATAGAACGCGAAAGCGAGTCTACGTCTTTGTGGTGGCCATAGATGTAGTTCTCGACTTCATGTAAATCTTCCTTTGGATTGTCCGTCTTGAAACGATCGAGTACCTCTGTAAATGGTAAGCACATGTTTACGTCAAGTTGGGAGATAGGTTTGTCAAGTCAACCTACGGGAATATTCAATCCATTCGTCTTCGCTAAGATACTCGTCAATCCGGGCGAGTCGATTTTCCGGCCGTCACATTCCTTCTAGAGCATCGCGACAGACTTGACAGAGCATGATGTTTGATGCGTCCGTTGATGGGCGTAGTTTCGGCTCGTGAGGCGGAACACATGTTTCTGCAGGATTACGAGCGGGGTTTCGATTCGAGTGAGATTGGGTCACCGAAAGGCCAAGTCCCCTGATTGTACTCCTCAAGCCTATTGGAAGGCTTGGGACCAACGAGACGCAGGCGCTTACGAGCTCAGTTAGAACGCAGCATTACCAGGCTTTGGATTGGTTGGTTCAGTTTCCGCAGCCTGCTCCTGCTGTACGTCATGTAGCCGTGTTATGCGTGGCTTCCAAAGACGAAAATGGGTCTTGGTAAGTGTGAAAGTTTGCTCTTAACTTATCAAGCCATAGGCTTCATCTAAATGGACTCGATGAATTTGCGCGCTTCAATGCGCACCGTTTGCGCCCTGTTGAGTGGGACGGCATCAGGGGCAGATAACCAGCTCATGGGCTCCGGTCCGGAGTCCTCCTATAACGGGCACTAATCGACAACGACAACAAGGACCACAACAAGCAGAAGGAAGATAACAATAAATTCAGCGACGAGGATAATACTGATAGCAACAAATAGCAGCCATGACGATGAGTGTGAATTTACTCCGGCGGGGATGTGATTTAGTCCCTCTTCATCTTCTCTGATTCTTGATATTGGAATTTGTCTGCAGCCAGACCGCAATGTATGCCTTAAGTTCCTATTCAATGGCTTTCCTATTCAACGGCTTTGAGGACATACTTGATGCCTTCCCAATGCTCCTTTACCGTAGGCCAGATAAATTCCGGGGGCAACACAAACCCTCCATCACCATTGGTCTTAGGCCTCAACTCAACGCTCCAAGAGTACGTCGCATTAAGAGCTCCGTGATGGAAGTCTCTCGCAGAACCAGTGGAGTAGTACAGAATCTCACACGAAGGTCCGACAAGATATTCCTCACCACTTGTCGCGTTGATGGTGGCCGCGTACCCTCCGCCAACGTCCCGCTGCGCCTGCAGATTCTTAGGCAGCACGTCAGGTTCGCAAGAGAAGCCCCAGGGGAGAAGGATGAGTTGCGAGTAACTGTGCCAGTCGATGAAGAGGCGGATGCCACCGGGAGTGGCTGCCAGCTTTCGGGAGAGAGCGGAGAGCACTACGTTCTCGGGAGTGTCGCCGGGACTGAGACCGCGGAAGGTCTGGCCGCAGGGGTCCGCGGAAACGCTGCCGTCCTCGAGAGGGTAGTCCCATTGGAAGTTCCAGTTGCGGTTGCCGTCAGTGCCGACGCAGGTTGTGTTGGAGCGCGGTTGACGGTTCTTGCGCCAGAGACGGTCTGTGGTCTGGGAATAGACGAAGCCTTCATGTGGTTAGCGAGATAACACAGCACGTAATCAACGGATATGTGAGCTTACCGTCCGGGTTGTGGAAGGGAACGATGTAAAAGTCATACGCGTCGAAGAATGCAGTGACGTTCTTGTCTCCAGACTTGTAGCCGTCGATGAGCTGGTAGGTCAAGTACTCGACTGTCTTCATAATTTGTCAGTCATTATGATTTTCACCAGCTCGTCGTGTCAACTAACCATCGTCGTGATCCATTCTCTGGCGTGAACAGTGCCGTGCCAAAGAACAATCGGCTTGTTCTCGGCCTTCTTTCCTCCCCAGAGTTTCAACCCAAAAATGTTGCGGCCCTCATGCGAAGCACCGATATCAAGCCATTCAGAGTTATTAGGAAACGCGGCGTGAAGTTCCTTCCAGTATTGAACGTGGTCATCATACGAGTGGTAAGAATCGAACCATGCCAGAGCCGGCAAGTCGCCTCTCTTGGTAAGGGGCACAGCTCGCTTGACCAGAGACTCTGCCTGGATTTGCTTGCCGAGATCCTTGCTAAGGAGTTTTGTCTCCAGACCCAACGCCTCAAAGCTGCCGACCTCGTTCGGCGGAACGGCTACCTCCATGGAGTCGCGCAGGTCAATGGAAGGGTAAGAAACCAGGCGAGACTCTAGATCGCTGGGGGCATTGGCCGTGGATACTCGATAGACGTGGTAGCCATCGTAGTTGACCTTTGAGTCTCGAGATGCAACGTTCGGGGTGGCCTGCAGGACCGAAGCCGCGGCCAACGGCGACAAAAGGCCGAGGACGATGTTGAGCTTCATCGCGAACTGCCACCGTGATGATCGTGCTGATAACGACGCCGAAGATGAACTTCTCAGCCAGTCCGGGGAAAAGATTCGGAGTGTGCCACTTTATATTAGGATGACCTCCTGATGCCCGGCGTCTTGTTTTCGACAGAAGCGGGTCAGGCAAAGACGTTGAACCCTCATCCCGACGATAAACTCAACGGGGTTAAAATGAGGGGTCAACTGTTGATAGACATGCACGCCAAGCCCGCGAAGCTTGGATGACGTCCCTGACTTCCGGAGGTAAGGGCAGCACTCGACAACAGTAATGAAATCGCATGGTTCGGCGTGTTGAAAGCGGCTTGGTGAGGCGATCGCGACGTCGTATGGAGATGCAGAGCTACTCCCAGAATAGTAGGTGCGAAGCACCTCGGGTTACTAAATGATTTCGACCCCTCGCAGTGTGAGTCTTGGCTGCGAGGATAACCGATCACGTAACAAATGTTGAATGACTTGGATAACCTTGAATCGCATTCTTAGAGAAAAGGTTAAAAGAACAGGGGTCAGATAGAAGAAGTGTTTGTCAGAGAGTAAAATATCATCAGCACACTTGTCTCGTCAATTATTGATGACTCAAGTGGTCTCTCCTGCTGATCAATCTCTCATCGTGATAGACTTGGACGTCAACTCTAAGACTTCATGCACGACAAGCCAACTCCAGTATTTGCAGCCGCTTTTAGTAAGGGTTCCTATATTTCTTGCATTTATGAGGAATGGCAAGACAAGCTGTTTGCTCTCTGTTCTCTCTTAGATGATTTTTTTTTGGGTCTTCAATCCAGTTTTACTTGAACATATTTTGGAGTTATCGTCCAGTCCAACTTGGTGCAGTGCCCTCGTTAGGTTATCTCGTAAATGAGCGACGCTCCTTTCCCATGAATCGCAGCGTAGTATTGATGTGAACGATGGAACCAATGCATGTTTGTGATATCCAATTGGAATCTTTGCCTGAGCCCCGACTATGCCTTCACCAGGTATCTCGACAGCCTCGTTAGAGCTTCCCGGAAGCATTGTCGAATTCACTTAATCCAGCGGCGGGACGGCCCCGGATCGGCCCCGGATGAACGGCCCCACTCTCTCGGCATCCGTTCCGTACCACAGTGCCGAAGCAGAATGACGAATGTTCTTCACTCTACACAATTGAACTTGGCCAATAATATTGATTTGTTCTTCGTCTTGAGTACCTTATTGAAGGGAAATACCAACCCGCTAGTACCGGTAACTGCTCACCATCAGAATTTATGTCCTAAAGGTTTTGCTTGATACACCTCAGCATCCGTATGTTATTTCTTTCATGGCACTGCCATTATTGCAGTTATTCGGTTCGTCTGAACAATAAAACTCTTCTCGATTTAGGTAACGCCATTGTGAGTAGGTAGGTTGGAGCTGGGCCGTACGTTGGAAGCCAACTCCGGTCGTGCGGCCGCTAAAACCCCCCACTAAGGTGCTCAGCGTCAAATACCTACCTAGCCACCCGCCAATTGGAATTCGTCCCCAGGCCTGTCATGTCAGTGCCCATACCAGAATGTCCCTTGAAGCTCAGCTATGGTCAGACGTCACAAGCACCTGTGACGGCCGCCACCTTTCCAGAATTTTTTTCTTCTCCAACGTCGACGCGTCTTGCATTTTCATCCGTAGTATTATTACCCGACAAAAAAAAATCGAATTCCTCGCGCCAAACACTTGCATCACGAATTCCTGACTACACACCTGTCGCAAAAGCTTGCCACGGCGGAGATGGGCTGAGGAACCCATTCGAACCTTTCGATACGGCTACCGAACAACGCGATGGCAGCGACCGAGAGCTCCAAACCCTCCTCGCGCGACGAGTCTTCGGACTCTGGCAGCGGCAGCGACAGCGAAAATGACACCCCAACGACAGTCGAATGGCTTGCTACCGGCCGTGCAAAGCGCTCCACTGCCGGTAACCGAATGAAATCGATGCTCGCCAACGAAGAACCCGATTCCGACCTCGAACTGTTGTTTGCCGAAGACGATAATGACGAAGGCTTCACCGATGTCGACGATGGCGGCTCCGACGTACAGATGGACTCGTCGTCCGACGACGAAGATGAGCAGAATCAGGGCGACGAGATGGAGGGAGAAAAGGAGCTTGAGAAGCAGGCCAGGGAGAAGAAGGCTGCAGCGCGAAAGCGCAAGGCACAGGACGCCATCCCGGCCAAGTTCAGGAAGAAGGTCCGCATCGACGCGAACCAGAACGTTGCACCAGCCCCGCGACCCAAGAAGAAATCCGAACGAACGAGTTGGCTGCCATCGCCTGCCGACATGCCCGTCCGTGCCTCACTCCGACAGACGACGGTGCTCAGTAAGGAGCAGTTGCACCTGCAGATGAAAGAGCGTGAAGCCAAGCGGTTGAAGCAGGTGGCCATCATGGAGAAGAAGGCCAAGAAGCTGGCAGAATCAAAGAAACCACCGATGACGCAAGCGGAGCGTCTCGCCGAGGCAGCCATCGTGGAGAAACGAAACTCGAAGTCACTGAACAGATGGGAAATCGCGGAGAAGGCCCGCGAGGAAGAACGGCTGGCCAAGCTAGCGGCGCTGAACAACCGCACACTCAAGGGTCCTGTTGTCACGTACTGGAGTGGCATAGGCGAGTGGGAACACCACCTGAAGCACGTGGGCAGGGTCGCCGAGGAAGAGAAACCAGTTCGCAAGAAGAGGGAGAAGAAGGAAAAACCAGACAAGGGCAAAGGCAAGGAGAAGGAGATGGAGAAGAAGGAGATGGAGAAGAAGGAAGGCGACTCGGCTGCGGCGACAGCTTCCACACCTGGACCTACGCCGTCAAAGACGCCTGATGGGCAGACAGACGCGAAAGCAAATGCCCCATCAATGCCGCCAGCTTCACTGGGCGCCGAGGCTTCTGAGCCGAATGCTACTCCCAAGGCGACTTCGCCAGTGACGCCGTCTCCGGCACCCACAGAGGCGACACCGATCGTGAAGACCGAAGACCGACCAAGCGCTACAGCACCACCTCCAATACCACCACCGCCGACCCTCTCGCCTGTGCCCCCTAAATCTGACGATAAGCCCAGACTGATGGCACCGCCGTCAATACCACCGCCTCCATTAATGGGCTCTTCAATGATGGCTCCTCCACCTATACCACCACCTCCAAAGCCTTCCGTCTTGGCAGCTCCTGTGCTCGCACCACCGGTCCTCGCTCCGCCATTGGGAGGTATACACCTTGGACAGCACAACTCGCTGCCCAAGTCCAACGTTCTCGCACCTCCCAATACCTCTCAGCATCAATCCCCTCTCTCCATGCCTGCTCCTCAGCCACCGGCATCAGCAAGACCGCCACCGCCTCCACAAGCACCTCTTCAACCAACTCAACCACGAGCTTCTCCCAAGATAGTACCTGCGGCAGCGATTTACTCCCAGTCTCCACCACCACCAGTGAAGCCTCCCGTGCTAGCGAAACCTCCTGTATCAACAAAGCCTACCGCCCTGGTAGTCCCGCCCGTCCCGGCAGACCCTCTCGCATCAGCCAAAGATCCCTCCGCACCCAAAGAGCCTCCCCCAAGCGAGGTTGCCCGCAACGCATTTATCCTTCGCAACTTCGATGAGGACCTCATCAAAGACAAGACAACTCAAACGCAGGTCCTCTTCGGACGACGTATGGACCGCATGGCGAAGCCAGCTCCCCGCCCTATCTGCGTCATCACAGCCCATCCGGCCCGCTACCGCGACCCTGCGACTGGTCTACCTTATTATGACGTTCGTGCTTACCGCGAAATCCAACGCCTCCGCCGCGGCGAATACAAATGGAGTAGTCTCCTCGGCGCATGGGTCGGCAGTTGCACTTATGCAGCCCGTGGGGTGCCGGAGAGATTCCTCAAAGGCGACGGCAAACCCAAGAACAAGCCTAAAGAAAAGGAGGTCAACAACGTCACCGACGTCACCAACGGGGAATCCGCCGAAAAGACTATCGAGAAACAGGAACCACAAGACGACAAGGTCACCTCGTCTCCGCAGAATCCGCAAGAAGGGAAAGATCAACCGGAAACGGTGACAGGAAAGCAAACGGTGGCAACTCCGTCGCCGTCTGCGCAACAGCCGCCGCAAGCGCCGCAGGCTCAGGTTCAGACGCCAGGCCAGACCCAGACTCAGGAAGCGAAACCGGCAGAGGCCGAACCTTCGCCGGCGCCGGTGGCCGCCTCGGTCGCGACGACGGCTTGAGTAATGGCACGCTCTGGTGGGTGTGCGCGCCTGAATAATGAAGGGCGGGAAAACGCTTAAAAACCTCAGACGCCCCGTATATAGGCTCCGACCGATCAGATCGGAACAAGACGCCGAAACAGGAACGGAGGTGAGGGACGGCGGAGTGGTGGGATTGGTGTGGATGGCGGGCCTTCGCATGAGGAAGCTTGTCCCGCCTGTTAACGCCTGTGATGAACCATTCTGGTCTGTACTTTTAGCTATACTATCGTATGTAACAATACCCCCGGGCACTCTTTGGAGTCAGGTCCCTGAAGTCTCGAGAATGACCTCGAACAACACACATTCTGCTTCAACTTTGGCCGCCGCATCCTCAGTATTGTGTGATCTCCAACGTGTCACATAAAGACGCCAAACATCAAAACACCAGTTTACCAGCTTCACGAACCGCTCTCATACATCCACACAACAACCTTAAAGGCCCCGTCGGAGCACTTTTGGGCCCAAAAGTGAGAGTGATGGTGGGCTGGCCGCGCAAAAGCTAGACGGTCCTCCGGCCGGAGATGTGTCGGGCCCGGAGACATGCTGTAAGGAGACCATTCATGACCTCTCGTCTATAACATAACGAGTATTAAGGGGGTGACGAAGCCAAACCGGGAGTCGTAAGAGAGTCAGAAGAAGGGGCAGACGAGGGACGCGACTGACAAGTCGGGGAGCCCAGCATGAAAAACGTTAAAAATTGAATTGTCTTGGAATCGGTAGTTGAGGGTGTGGTGTACCTTACTTACAAGTGGTTTAGTCTTTCTCTCCCAGGAGAGAGGAAGAATGGGGTTGGACGGTCCTTCTCATGTGATGGGACGGTTTCCGATTCTTCAGGCCAGGCACGAAGTTTGTTTTTTCCCTGGGCTGGCTGGTCGCCTCGTTGTCGGTTTCCATTGCCCTGTATCCATCCCCTTCTTCTTTTTCGTCTCGACTTTCCGTCCACACACACTTACACACTTACACACTCAGTCAACACGCAGGTCAAGAGTCTGTTTGTCTGCTCCATTACTCGTGTATACCGACTCTATCCCGGGTAAGCATAGTCAGGCACGGGAAGATCAGGAGGGTGGAGGGCACAGGCAGCATCAACTTTGGGAAGAGGTAAAGTTCTTCCACACACCATCTTCTCTGTCGACATTGATGTTACGTACGCACACCGCGTGCGCGCTCCTCTGCTTCGGTGTACACGGACGCATGGACACAACTCTAACCTCGTCCTCCATCAAAGCACCACACTTACACCACACATACATACCTACCGCATAGCAACACACGCAGGCACACCCGTGACCTGAACCCATGACACCACTTCATCTCTAAAAATCTCTCCATCCCAAGCTTTCGGGTTCGATATCGGATTCCCGTCCTCCCCCTACCATCCGTCCTTCTCGACCACTCGTCCGTCTACACTAGAAGACACCCACCCGCTTCCATCGGACGACTTCATCAACACCAGAAGCGGAAAGGCGCGAGGCTTACCTCTCAGTCCATCCAATCCTCTTCCTGTTCCTGTTTGTTTTCGCCCAGGGCGAACTTGCGAGCCATTTACCCGTCTTGGCGGGGCATCCTCTCACTCAACCAGAGAGAGGGACAGACAGACAGCCCCGAGAAGCAAGACCGGACGAAGAGAAGATTGAAGCAGCACGATTGGCTTGTCTATCTAGTAAACTCGCAGGACCGCTGTAATGCTCGCGGACGAATTTCGAACCATCTTCCCCCCTTCCCCCATCTCTCGGCCGTGAGTTATGCTGCCTTTCGTAGCTTTCCATTCGAGAGGCCGGCCGGCCGACACAAAACACACACAAAGTACAGCACTTATGTCCTCGCGAATAAGAGATCATGTCGTCACCAACCTGTAACCCGGCCGAGAAAACGTACGAGAGAGAACCCTCCACGAGGCCTTCATGTTCCAATAACGCCATTCCTGTTATGCCTCCCTTTCCCCTCCCCCCTTTCAATTCCATCTGCCGCGAACCCCGCGCCTCACGATGAGCGCACTAATGCAATGCATGTCGACGACTCGCGGGCGTAAGAGAGGGGGGATTGTGGGTGAAATCCGGTTATTCGAAGCATCGCGAAGGTTGGAATGTGATGTGAACAATTCACTCCGATTTGCTGAAATGCTCCTTTTCCATGCCACCGAGTAATGGGCAAAACCCACGACGACCTCCCCTGACTTCCTCCTCCTCCTCCTTTCGGCGACCTCCCACTGAGAGTAAAGTACGCGTGCCAAAATCCTAAACAATCCCACCTTACTACGTTAAAAGAAACTAAACTTTTCCATCATCTCGATCTCTCGTCCGCATGAACAAGTAATTCTGCCTCTTCAGCCGCCCAGCCCACCTCTTACACAACTGCCCGCCGCCCGGTTCCTGACTAAGGAAAGGGCCGTGTGGATGCGGCGGGTGATGGCTAAGCTTCTTTCACGGTTTGATGTTCCTCCAACACTAACAGCCGACGCGGGGAAAACCCGTATGTAAGGTTAAGACAAGAGTGAGGGTGTACCACCTTAGGTATGTATGGGGGACTCGAACACCGCCGAGCCTCATGTTCGCCCGTGCAGACAACCCACAAGTCTTGCCCGTGAAACCTGTTTGTGAGGAAAAAAAGCGTCTTGGCCTCTTCTTTCTTGTCTGTCTGTCTGTTTCGTCGCAAGACGAGAACGGCAGCATCTATTTTCGAAAGAGGAAGCGCTTTGAAGCCAAGTTTTTTTCTGACGAGAGGCTGTGTTGCTACCCCTGAGAAACCTTGGCGTATTGGCAAAACACGTGCGCACGAGAACATACGTGTGTGTGTGTTGTTGAAGATGTCACGAGGAGAGATCACGATGGTTTGGAAAAGTGAAGTTTTCTTGAGTCATTGCAGATGTTTCATTGGGTCATCTAACGAATAATACGTCGTTCCAAATGGCACATCTCCGCCAAGTTCCATCGCCAAGGGCTTCGTACGGCTACTTTTCCAGTCAACAGTCCCAGCTTGCCTGAAAGCCGCAACAGAAGATGTTCGACCAGATACTCCAAACACCATATGCCGTGTCGTGACCAACTTTTTGCGCCCAAATCCACCAGCCCCAGGTACGTTTCCTGTGAACTCTCCATCCCATTTTCCCCGATATCGCTCAAAATGTCCACTCCGTAAAGCGCCGTCGGCGTGATAGCCGTCCCCGTGAGTGGTAGTTGTAAAAGGGGGATTTGAAAATGGGTATATCTCTTTCCGGAACTCCGTTTCAAAATTCATGTCCGCCGTCTGTTTCCGTGCTAGCGACGTGATGGCGCTGCTTGAGAGATGCTCAACGCCCCATCTCGATGGATGGGCGGAGCAGGTGCGAAATGCAACCTAGTTGTGAACTGTAATAGCTTTGTCTATATGACCTTGCTGTAGTTGAAGTATTGTCTGTAGTGATCCATATGTCGGACCACTCGAGGTGCCTGTACTCAGACACCTTTTCCTCGGATGATGTCGACCATCCAGCCCATCTCATTGACCAAGTCATCAAGCTGGTTGTCGACAGGTGCGGACACTACAGTAGTGACACCAGGGTGATTTTTGATACCGGGTGCGCGGGGCAAGCTGTAGTTCTGCTCCAAAGATGGCTTTCTTGATCCAGGGAGCGACAGTGGCTGGACATAGTTGGCGTCGCTCTCGTTCGAGTAGCGATCATCGTCGGTGGAGTCGTAGAATGAAGGTGCCTCATCCTCAGGGGATATGGGCTCCACGGAAGAGGCGATGCTCGAGTCGGATGAGAAAGAAAACCGGGAAGCTGGAGGAATTTCCGCGAGTTCCTTGACAGGCAAGGGAGGGAGAGGCGAGTATTTCTTCTCGCGTGTGAGGACCTTGGCATTGCTGACTGCGGGCATGCTGCTGTCGGAGTGGCAGCGCTTGAAGGGTGGCGGCGAAAGGCTGGTGGTGTAGTGGTTGATCTCAGACAGGGCTGAAGAGGCGAAGTTCTCGTCGTCCTCATTCTCCTCGACGATATCGTCCGGGATAAGGATAGTAGGCCTGTCCTCGTTGCTCCTGGCGAATGGATTGTCATCTGAGAGAAAGCGACGCAAGCTCTCGGGGGAGAGGTCGCGGGTGCGGCTGCCGTCCGAAGACGAGTCGCTCCTATAGTCGTCGAACTGAGAGGACGAGTAGGGAGATACTGGGCGCTCGTCGTCATCATCCATCTGTCGACCTCTGTCGGTGCTGCGGCTTGTGGTTGGCTTCCTTGAGAAAAGGCGGCGCCAAGTTGGTGGTGGTGATGTGGAGCCAGACCGTGGGAGAGCTCTCGAGGGTGTCGCAGCAGGAGCAGAGCCAAGTCGCTGGTGAGGGCTTCCGGGAATTGGTGGTGGAGGTCGCGGGGTGATGAACTTGTCTTCCGGGCTCATGGTCCTGTACTCGCTGTGGTAGAGGGAACCAAGCGAGGCGCTTCGCTGGCGCTCGGCCATCTCGTATGGTACATCCAGGGTGTTCACTGTTTGTCCAGGGAGGTAAGGACACTGAGTAGTTGCTGGTTGCGCCGGGTTGTAAGTCTCGTGGTTGCCATCGACCTCGTACTAAAGAGGATTAGCAAACCCAACCGCCCAATTGCTCCCAGTTACTACTCACGTAGTAGTAGTAGGTGTTGCCCATCTTCAAACCACCGTTACGCTTCTTGTCCCTTGCGCTGAACTCGTCGTCAATGGTGATGTCGTTGAAGGTGTGGCATCCGCGCCATTGGCCGCGGTCTCGTCGAATGTCTCTCTCCATTGTGTACGGTTTGCTGAAATTGTCCCAGGAACCAACCAAGTGTACTGATCTTACGGTCGGGTGGGTTTGGCTGTAAGTCGCTTGCATTAGCGTGATGTAGACGTGGGGATGCTAGATCATTATATATCAAGAGCTCTGGAAGGTGTTGACGGTGTTTTGAGACCGTGTAAGCCGCCAGCCACTAGGCTTACGCCGAGCAACAGACTTGGGTCCCTGTCCTTGGCATCCCCCGTAAGCGGACGAGGTGCCGACCGACCAAGCTCGGCGATACTTTTGGCTTTGGCAGACGTTTGACGGAGTCCTCGGGAGGTTGCCGTTGGGCTCATGATGGAGGGTGGAAAGATGAGGAACGGGCGCAAGCCAGGGCCGGGGAGGCAGGGCATAGCATAGTCCAATATAAACTTTTCCATCCGACAATGTTCGAAACATGAGCCCAAGCAGTTGGTTAAGCACAGCCAAACAAACTTCGGCGGCGGTCCCCGAATGCCCTCCCCGACTCTTTGGGGAAGGTGAAGAGACTATGAAATGCTAAATGAGGAGAGGCGACGAACTTTCGCCAACCTGGTACACGCTGCGACGGAGGGATTGGGCGAGGCGTAGTGGTACAGGGCGATGGGACGAGGGGTGAAGCTGTTACTGTGACCATACACACAATTATGCGAGTTCGAATGAAGGTACGTAGATTGTCGATTAAGGTCTGTCGCGAAAGCGACGGCGAGTAATTCGACCAGCGAACGGAAGACAGAAACGAAAGCGAACGATATGAATGACCAATGGCCCTGATGAAAAAACTCACAGCATGAAGGTGAAGAGAGTCGTGGTAGGGTCCATGGCTGGAATGGGTTGGGCAGAGCCCAAGTAGAAGAATGCGGGAGTATGTCTCAATTAATGGAAAAGCTGCAGGCAGCGCCGCACCGCAGTAGGTATGTTGTTGGTCTGGTCGAAAGGCTTGGTATTTCCACCTCTGGCGTGTTGGTCCGGCCGGTACGGTGTAAGTCGACTTGGCCGGCGTTGGTTGGAATACCAGAGTCGGATTTGATATCAGTGAAACACCAGGAGCATTCCCATTCTGTCCGAATAAACGCAGAGCAGGTCCCGTTCGAGGGTAGGCAAGGCAGATTTGAAATTGACGGGGTGGGTTATCAACCAATGGAGAGGAGGGGATGTGCGTGGAAGCGCCGTGACGGCCGTCTGGATGGGCGAGGTCGATCGTTGACTGGTGAGCGCTTAGAGAAACAAGCGGGCGGGCCTTGGGTGTGCCGCAAGAGGCAGGACGGCAACGCAGGTACGGTTCTAGGTTTGGAAACAGGCGAGGTAACGGAGGAATTGATGTTTTCGAGAAGCGTGTTAGAGGTTGAGATGTAAGTCAGGTACCCGTCGAGACTGGATTGGTCGTCGGGGATGTCTTGGTTTTGGTGGTTTGGGCTCGGTGTCCGGAGGGTGGGTGGGAGGTGAGGAGAGTTTCCTCCAAGTCGCTCTCTAATATATGTGAACCTCGGACGGGACTGGGGAACGTCTCGAGAACCTTGAAGTAAATGGAACGGAGGGCTGTATTGTTTTTGAGGTACCGTGAGCTGAAGCAGTAGCGCGGGTGAGAGAATAATTGGACGGTGGTAACAGAAACGTGCCCCGGTAGCCAGTCAAGGCAGCTGAAGACGAAGGCAGAACCAGGGTCTCCCAGACTATTTGAATGGCCTTCTCTGGCGCTAGCATGAGGTAAACCAGATCAAGAACGGGTGGACTCGGTGGATTCTGTGGGTTTTGGCTGCTCTTTTCTTGCATCTGGCGGCGTTGAGCCACCGAAAGCCCCTCCAGCAATTCCGCGAGACCCGTCGACCCTGGTTGAGGAGGCGTTGGATGGTGAAGCCAAGCGGCATCAAAATCGGCCAAGTCGGGCATGGGTCCGGACCAGATTGGGGGCAAGCTGGAGTCTTAGCCGGGATGGGTTGGTGGCTTCGAGCTGACAGAGACGGCCAAGATGCAGAGGCCTTTGGGTCTTTAAGGGGAGCAGGCGACCTTTCCTGACGCAGCTCGGTAGCGGACGAAGCAAATGCGTCTTCTTGTTGTTGGCGACAGTTCTGAAAGGAGCATCAGGTCGCGGCAGTGTGCAGATTGATGGTACTCGTACGCAGTGAGAGTACTCCCGTCCGTACCTTGGTTCATGCAACGCGCTAATATGGCCAGGGCTAGCGAAGCCTCGTCAGGCCATGTGGGTGTCCTTGTTCGAGGTTGAGTGCCGGGTGCAGCAGCAGGGGGATGCTGCCGTGTGGGCGAATCGATTGGGTGACGATTCTTTAATTAAGGTCCATCGATGTAAGGTACCGCAGAATAGGGATTGGCCAGAGGGCAGAGTGGACTGTGGTCCTCAGTGACGGAGGATTGTTGTAATGTTGACATTGTTGGTGCAGGGCAACAGCAGCTGTTGTTGGGTGACGGTGAGGGACCGCTTCGTCACTCCTGAGCCTGAATTATTCCTTGCGCCATGGCCATGGGTCAGGGGAATAATCTGAGCGGGAGGGCGTAGTCAGAGGGCTGAAGCGTGAGATCGTATGAGAGAATGGACGGCCGAGGGTAAAAGGAAGGATGATGAAGCAGAAGAAAAGAGCATAGCAGCAGATTACTGCAAGGTAATTGTCAACCCAGGAGGAAATCGAGTATCTGATTGGACATTAATTGACAACCTCTTCACTTTACTTGCATCGTACTGAAGTGCCTGCCTGCACTGACAGAGGGCTTAGGCGCGACATGCGCGTACCTTTACCTTCCTGCCAGACGGAAGGAACTATTCCTGCCTCAGCTGCAGGCGCACCTGCCTGCACTGGACCTGCCTGCACCAACAACCAACACCGTCTGCCATATTTGGAAGCATCCAGCATCAAGCACCGCCTTCCCGCATCAGAAAATTGTCTGCCTGTTGACCGCAGTGCATGCAGGCCAGGCAGTAACAAACTGAAGGTCCCTAGGATGAAGTTCCTGCGTCTTACATCTTACCTCAGCCAAAACGACAAACGACGCAACTGTGAGTACGGGCCACCCCCGGTCGGAATGCATGCGGGACGGAAAACGGTGGTTGGCGTGAACTTACGCGAACTTCAAACTTGCGAGTAGGAAGGTGCACCACGAAGACGAAGACGAAGGCATCAGGGTTTGAGAATTCGAGTGTACCTGCCCTAATTCCTCTCAACAACATCTTGAGCACTTGGCGAGCCGTGACAGCCCAGGCTCGATCAATCTCGGTGCGGCCAAGACGTGGAGTCCCGCGCCGAACCCGTCCCCGTCTCCAGTCGTCCGCTTCTTTCGTAGGAAGTACCTGGCTTCAGCGCCAGTGCTTCCCGTCCGTCCCCGATCACACTTTGGACGACAAAGCTACGACACCTTCAAACAAGCAACGGCACGGCACCTTCTCCACCATTCCAAACTGCTCGGCTTCAGCACGCAACATCTGTGCTGTGCTTGAGCATGAAAAACCGACCTCACATTTCCAATTCATCCGTACTGCTTACTTCATGACGTCCTCTGCCGGATTGACGGCAGTGGCAGCTCTTGGCTTTGGGATCGTTCCATCTGTCATGTCGTGGCCTCTCTGTTATGGTGAGTCCTTGAACGGCCGTTGATGTTGTGGTCCAGACTAACAAGAGTCAGTTCCATCAATGCCACCTACCGACCCTCAATCCATACAACCCATCATGACCCGGCAGAAGCAGGACAACCACATTGTCCGTTGCGCCGATGAAAGGTGCCATTCGGCCTTCAACCTCGATTGCCGTCCGTTGCATTGTTGCATCGCTGTACCCAACACCATGGTCTGCTGACTTTCGCCATTACGATCCTGCCTTCGACCGGCCATGTCTCACTCTCCAACATGGCATCTTGTGAGCTACTGCCCAACCACTGTCACCGGCCCCTGTCGCTCCCGTCGCATTTGGGCTGCTCACGGACGATGCTGTCATCAGCCCTCAGCCATCGAGACGCATTAGGAGCCGCCAGTCTAGATCGGACCTGCGCCGAACTGGAATCCGTCGACGGGGGACTTGAGCTTCAGAACCACACTACGGTCCGGATCTTGACAGGCGTTCAGACCAATCCTGCCCTACATCTCCGCTGTGGAGCCGAACCTGCAGCCACATCATCGCACCGCGCTAAAGACCTGCAAGGCCACCTGCAGAACCCTGCATGTCTTTGTGCTGTTCGCAATTCGCATCCGGAACAACGGCCAGTCATCGTCATCTTTCCATTCTGATGCCATTCTGGCCACTGCATGGCTTCACTCTAGTTGCCTTCTAACACTGCTCTAGCGCCGTCTTGGTCACACTGGTAGAGCAACCGCTGAATACCGATCTAGACTGCCAACTGCCGACTGGATGCCAGCACAAAGCCACGGTGGCATCGCCGACTTCAACGCTGATTGCTGCAGGCGGCGATTGTACTGGTCTCAACGAGGATCAAAACGATGCCACATCATCTCACCTACGCTGGCCATCGCGATGCCTCCGCGAAATGCCCCTTCCAATGCGCTCTCCGTTTGCGTCTCAGCACAGACGCGAGGCGCTCAATATTTGTTGATATGATTGCCGAAAGCGATGTCAAATTTCCCCAGACCTCACGATGCTCCATGCTCGAGGCCGAATTCGTCAACGTGATGCCTGCAAGGCACGTACGCCCGTATCTCTTCTTCATGCGACCTGCCGCCCGGCCGAGATCTCGTGATTGAGGACTCGCAGACCGCTGCCGACCGTCGACTATGAAGTCGGCGATACCTCAAACACATCTGAGCTGCCCAATCATGCTCGAGTCACATCTCCGACAGAATCATCTCAAGCCCGTCACCCTGGTCTCAGAGCTTAACTCTAATCTCAGACAGAACAATAATACAGCTCGTTATCGGCGTTAGGCTGTAGAGCACTCGGCCGGGCTGATCAGTTCCACGCCCGTTCCGTTTCTTGCCAATGCTTATCATTTACACCTTACGGCCGACTCGATATTCGTCTCGACTTGACTCGAGGGCAGCGTTTACCTTTTTGACGATTTCTCAAACAGGCTGAAGAAGGCGATAGCGCCGCACGACTGCCTCTGTGCTCCTTGCGCCAACAACTTGGGGTTCGACTTGACTCGGCTTCAGTCTCTCCACGTCGCAGGAAACATACCTGTCGCGTCTTCAGTTCGTCCCTACTGCCGCTTCTTGCACTTCACCCCACGCGCGGTGTGTTCCCGTCTGAGCCGTCCCCGACTTTCCGAGGTCCCCGGATTGATTGGATCGCCGGATTCCCCCTGTCAGCGTAAGGCGAAGCTTAGCGAACTCGGGGGCCGTCGGCTGCCGACCATTCATTGGCTGTCGCGTCGCCAGTTCGAGAAACAGCACACCATCACGACGCCCAGGGTCCGTTCTTATTGGAATGAACCCCTGTTTACAACCAATCTCCCGGTTCTCCTGAATCAGTCCCTACGAGACATGAAAATTCACGATGCTTTCCAGTACGACGATTAAATGTCTCAAGAAAAAGCAATGCCGGCCTATTACAGTCCTACAACTTCAAGACACTGGACAAACAAATTTCCTGCGCGTCGTCTTGGCCAATAACGTTGCGACGAGCTCCGAGCGCTGCGAAGCTTGGTTGACTTTATACTGCTCGTGTGTTGCTGTCGACAAGACGTGTTTGTCGCATGGAGAACACGAGAGCGGATGATCTCCAAGGCCCCTGAGCTTACTCGGTAGCTGATACTCCGTTATTTCCGTCAAGTCCTAAGGGAGGCTTTCGAGTGCGAGTTGATGGTAACACATCTACCGCTAAGTGCAACATTGTTCAGAGTCCGGTATGGACGATTTGATGTCCGAAAAGGGCGGAGGAATGAGAATGTCTCACTTCATATTGGACGTCGATCTTTCTCAGCTACCTCCTGTCAATAGTGTCCTCCCCGACTCCCCGAACACGTCAACCCACGGTCGCGGCGACCCAAACGCCAGAGACTCCAGACGTAAATGCCCTCCTCCACCCCGTGGTGCGATTCCTGCCTGAACAGGGGCACGGAAGCCGCTGCGATCATGTCGCGCCCTCCAACGCGCGCCACATCTCGGGCGCTTCCTCTGCCGTTTCGTGGCACGGTCGTTGGGGGAGGAACAGTTCGATGAATGAGCACCGCGACAGGTCACAACGAACGGGGCACTGCGCCGTGCTGCGTCCTCACATGTCCCCTTTCCCCTGCGTGCATTGTGTCCTGCTGGTGTTACACCAAAACACTCGGACAAAATGAAGAAGATCACCAAGCAGGAGCGGCCGCACCAGCAATAATACATGCAGAGAAAATGAAAGCAACCCAGGCCAACAAACTGTAAACTTCGTCGTCGGATGATCACCCCTTTCCTGCCTTCCAACTAAGGCAGCGACGGGACTGCAACAGAACATCTCAAACGCGCATATCCTTCCTTACGTTCTCCATTGGGGGCCTGCCTGTCAAATCAGAACCTCGACGCGGGAATTGGCGATGACAGGTCCCCCAGACAGGCCAGACAGATAGATGCCCCAAGCGTTCGGACGGCCGAAGAGGCCGAACCCCCTCCTCCCCCGTCCCCTCGGAAGTTACGACTCCCAACTCCGACGTGGTCGCATTCATGATTTGTCGTTGGCTCATATCCATTGCCGGAGGCCGACGAGTTATTCCTCCTTTTTATTTCCATCCCTGCCCTAGCGTCAATGAGCCAAGCACCGAAACAACTCAGGAGGCAAAGTCTTGAATGAATTATTATCGTCCATTAGGTGTGATGTAATAAACCGGGTCTGGGGGAGCGATGACCTCGTGTCTCCCGAAACCCCCAGTGACTACGTTCCGCAAACAAAGGCGGCGCGGTTTGTGTTTTCTTACAGGAATGCCTCCTCCCGGCCCCTGGCATCTCGAAGGATGCGGGCCGCGACGAGAGATGCATAAAAGCGATGAAAGAGAGGCCTCTCGGATGCATCTCACGAGCATAGAACTCCGTCTCTCTCTCTCTCCCTCTTGCTGACCACCGTCCAAATATATCCAATACAGAAGCCCGGAGGTCCTAGTCTTCTTTCCCATCTCTTCTTCTGCTCGTGGGTCACAATACTCTCTTAACAAAAAAATGATAAGAACCAAAACACAAATCGACCTTGCTTCCCCACCCGCCATCGTTGCCTTGTGTTGTTGTTGTCGTCACATGAAAAGTAAAAAGAACGCCCGATCCCAATGCTTATCCCTAGTTTGATTGGTTTGTAATGGTAAAAAGTTGTGTTGTTTTTTGGTGTGCCTGCCTCTTTTTTGGGTCCCCGGATGATCCAAACCAGTGATCTCGACTTTCGCGTTTTAATAAGTGAGGGCGCGCGGCGGTTGTACAAGAGAATCGAAGTGAAGCAAAAAAGATTGACGTTGCACGGCTTGATTATAGGTTTGTTTCGTCGTCGAAAACATATGGTTTGGTCGGTCGTTCGGTCCGGGGGTTTTTTCTATCGCCTCTCCGTCGATTCGCGGGTAGGGTGGGGGGATATCAATGATTTTTTCCGTTTGTTATGCTCTTGCGCCTCCCTCTCTCTCTCATTCGGACTTAGCCTCCACTGCCTTGTGCTGCTTCTGCGCTTCCTCTACGCGGTTTTTCCTGCCGCCCTTGTACCTCGTGTCGAGGATGCGGTCCCAGAAGATGAAGAACGGCTGGGAGAAGTTGGTCTTGATGCCCCACGTCTGGTGGTGGATGTCGTGGTAGGCGGCGTTGTTGCTCGAGATGTGCTGGAGGGGGTCCCAGGGCAGGGAGTAGCCGCAGTGGTCGTCGACCGTCTTTATCGTCGAGAAGCAGAAGAAGACGAGGCCCTGGCGGGCGTTCATGCCGGTGAAAAGGAAGGCGAGGCCGGCGCCGAGGGTGTCGAGGAGGAAGCCCTCGAACGGGTGGTTGTAGAGGGCGCCGTAGGCGTAGGGGACGTAGAGGCGGTGGTGTCGCGAGTGGAAGGTGGCTGTTTGGGTCGTTTGTCAGTCTTCTGAGGCTCTTCCGGCGATCCCGGGGCGCGAGAGGGGTTTGCGCCGAGGGGCGAAAGGGGTGGAAAACTCACTGTACATCCACTTGTTGACGTGCATGAGGCGGTGGAGGAAGTACTGCCATGTGTCGAGGACGGAGACGGCAGCGAAGAGCTGGAATCCGGGGATGGCGAGCCAGTAGATGGCCTTGGCGACGAAGAGCTCCCAGGCGGCGAAGGCGGGGACGACGGAGTGCGATCCGTCGAGCAGCTCGGTGGTGAGGAAGGGGTAGTGGCCGCCAGCGAGAGCGCCGGCGAGCAAGGGGTGGCCGGAGGCGGACATGTTCTTTGAGATGGAGGCGGCGTTGAGGCCGAGCAGGCCGAGAAGGGTGGGCAGGGCGCGCTGGGCGAGGCGGACGCGGGTGGCCCAGACGGCGACGTCGTGGTCCTCGCGGCCGACGGTCTGCTCGTCGTCGATGAACTCGAGGAAGACGGACATGACGATCTGGATCAGCTGCTGGATCAGGACGTCGCGGGCGACCTCGTAGCGGGAGACGTGGTTGCGCTTGGAGATCTCCTCGGGGGTGTGCAGGCGGTACTGCGGCCAGATGTCGTAGACGTCGATGAAGTGGAAGAACATGGACAGGCACCAGTAGACGACGATCGGGAGGAGGACGTTGAGGTAGCTGTCGGGAATCCCGGGGATGAGGTCCGGCTTGGGCCTCAGCGTGTAGGCCGGAAGGGGCGGGAGGTCGGCCGCGGCCGACGTGAAGTTGAGCGCCATCGTGGGAGGGACTGTTTCGTTCACCATGGCCGGTGCGATTTTGGCAGTGTGATTAGGTTGGGCAATTGGCGATCGGGTTGGAGTCGTTTGCCGTGTAAGAGGGAGGGAGTTTAAAGGAGGGTGTTGTTGCTTTTGGAGGTGAGGTTGGCTGACAGCGGTTCGGTCGGTCGGTCGATCGGGTTTAGGATGGGAGCGAATTAAGAAGGGAGGGCGGGGAGGAGGGGGGGCGAATGGCACGTTCGTGGGTTTAAAGGAGCGGATGGGATGAATATATGAAAATGCCAATCTTCTGGGGTGCAAATGCAAACAGGGCTGAGACGAAGAAGTCGGCAGACTGGTGGCGAGTTGGCTCGAGGTTTCACTAGCTTTGTGACTAGCTTAGTCCTTGTTCGCAATGCGCAGGAGGGAGAAAAAAAATATTACCACTACAACAACATGCGCGCGCGCGATGAGTAAGATCAGCAACAACAGACAACAGCAGCTAGCCGTTTTTTTCCCAACCTTTGGACTGGAGTGGCCGCTCGGCGCTTTTTAATGAAAAGATCGATAGGCAACGGTCTTAGCGGCGACGGCGGAAGCGCGGGCGGGCAATTTTTTCCCCTTCTCGGAGGACGGGCTCCTCTCTCAAGGCGCTGGGCGCTGGCCGCTGGAGCCATCGCCCCAACCCCAAGAATGATGCGCTTTATCAATCTCGCTTGTGATCAGGCGCGGGCCTCTCGCCTTTCGACCGTCTCCCGGTTTTGCCACGGATCGAACCACCAAATGCCGTTGCGTTGGTTTGTCCGAGGGGGCGATCAGCTGAATGGGCTTTCAAAGGGTGATTTCCGTGGGTCGACTGGTCTGAAATGCCGACACGATGCTATTCTACAATTGCTTTGCTCTGGTTTCTCTTGTTGTTCTTCTGTTTCCGCATCTTCTGTTGCCTGTGACTTACACTGCGATGACGAACACGCACCCACGAGTCTACTCGCGTAATAATACGCGGCGGGCATGCCATGTTGTCATAACTCTATTACCCTGCGCGGCTTGCTACGCTGCCGTGTCAGGCCACCGGGCTCCCCCCTGTCGCTGCCGTGGATACGCGGACGACTCGGCGGCTTAAGTAAGCCCGATTCACCGCGATTCGTATTTCTGAGTGGTCAGGCCGTAATTGTATTGGTGTCGACATGAGTGGGCTTAAGTAAGCTCCATCCAGCGCATCGTGATGATGCGTCCACTTCATCCGCTCAAGAAGGCCTCTTTCGGTGAGACCGTGAAATGAAGCCGGCAAAAGAGTGCATGTTCTTCCATTCTTCATTCTTGAGAACGATGGCTTGATATTGAAATTCGCTGGACTGGATGAATTCTCCTTCTGTGAGGCACTAGGCGCCGTCACAGCTCCATCGTTCTACTTCTAGAAAGACGGTCCACAATGTCAAACCCAAGACCAGACGACAGTCCAGGTTCATGTGACACGCAGAAGACCGGCAGATCAAAGATCGGGCTGGACTCACCGCTGTCAGAAGCCCGCTGTGCGCAAATGAGGATATCCCAGCTTCAAACGTGGGACACACAGTGGATATCGCCCCGGCCTTCAGCGGCTGCGGCGCCGTCGCCTCGTCCACCACCGCTGCTTGTTAGGTAACATGCATCTGAATCCGATGCTGCTGTTGCAGTCGCTCTCTATGTGCTAAACACCATAAGAAGACGCAGTTAGTGCCAATCGCCGGAACAACAGTAGATGAGCCTCACTAGAGGCAAACACTAAGCTGGGATTTCGTCAGGTTGATATCTAAGGTACGGATACATTCCAGCAGATCAGGCTCGCCCGCATCTGTGAATGAGTGAGTTCCTTGGGTCCTGCTGGACCCACGTCTTGTCCGCACGTTCTCGCCCTTCGGGGTGGCCGCCGCTCCGTTAGCCATCTCCCAGCATCTCCCGCGAATTCCTTAACGCACATCCGTCTGGATATCGATGCTAGTCCGGAACCGGCTTAGCGCTGAAAACCCCACCAAACACAGTCCTCCCACTTGCCAAATTTGCGAACACTTTTCGCCCTTCAAAAGCGACCCCCCCTCATCCTCCTCTTCTCTAGACCCAGGCAACGAATTTCCGTTTCGCAGTCTCGTTCATCCTTTTTTTACCGACCTTCTCAGACAAACCGCCAAGATGATTATCTACAAGGTACGACATTCCCTTCTGGTTTTCACGATGACACTTCTCTCAGGCCTGCGATGCTTGCTCTTCGCACCGCTGTCTTTTACCCCGCCATTGGGTCGGGGAGAAAACAAAAGACGAAAAATTGTGTTCCAGATAGAAGTTCCATGCTGACGAGAACCGCACCGAATAGGACATCCTTACCGGAGACGAGATCATCTCGGACTCCTACGACCTCAAGGAGGTCGGTGGCGCTGTCTACGAGGCTGACTGCGCCATGATCACCGAGGGCGCCGTCAACGTCGGTTCGTGATACCCCTCTCCAGCCCCTGGGCGCTTACCCCGCGCGCAGTCTCCAGGCTGTAGCGAAGCGAACGCAGTTTCTGACGAGGACGCCTATAGACACTGGTGCCAACGCTTCCGCTGAGGAGGCTGAGGAGGGTACCGAGGACGCCGAGGTCAAGGTCAACAACATCGTTCACTCTTTCCGTCTCCAGTCCACCTCCTTCGACAAGAAGGGCTACTTGGCCTACCTCAAGGGTGCGTTGAACAATACCCTGTCTTTATACAGAAGCTAATGCCCACCGCAGGCTACATGAAGGCTGTCAAGACTAAGCTCCAGGAGAAGGGTGCCGATGAGGCCAAGATCAAGGAGTTCGAGACCGGCGCCTCCAAGTACGTCAAGGAACATCTCCTGCCCAACTTCAAGGACTTCGAGTTCTACACCGGCGAGTCCATGGACCCCGACGGAATGTAAGTTTTTAGTCACTCCAACTGCCCGAGGCCCGCATGCTGACAGCCGTTAAGGGTCGTCCTTCTCAACTACCGCGAGGACGGTACCACCCCCTACATCGTCGCCTGGAAGCACGGTCTTGAGGAGATGAAGGTTTAAAAATCTCGATGTGGATGTCCTGCTTTTAAGGTTTTTGTCGGTGCTGGGCCCATTTTTACGTCTAGACACCCTGCTACAGCGTCCATCTGCTTTGGCATATATCCCTTCAGATCCTTAGCAAGCAAAAAAGTAAAAAAAGAACACCCGGTACTGGCCGTAATCCTTGAACGACCGCTTGATGCTTCAATGAACTTCGAAATGCTGCTTGGCCTTATTCAATTCCCGAATAGTTTATTCACAGGCTATACCCCGCAGAGTGGCCTGACTGACCATAACAAAACGCCACGAATGCATGTCTTATGTAATGATACCCCGCCTCTGTTGAACACACGGCCGTACAATCTACTAAGTACTCAAAAAGTTGGTTTGGTTGCCAGGGGAATCGGAGGTGGTTCGTCGTCGTCGCCCGCGCTGGACGCCGACGTTTGAGGTGCACCGCCAAACTGAGGCTTCTTCTTCGGCGGGGGAGGCGGAGGCGGCTTCTTCTTGCCCAGAGCGTTCACCAACGCTGGCGGGGGAGACAACGGGTTCGAGGGAGGATTGGTGGTTCCTGTTTGCTGGTGTTCGCCGGCCTGTCCGCCAGCCTGCCCGGCGTATTTCCCTACCTTGTCGGCGATACCGTACTTCTGGTTGAGATTGTTCGCGCTCTTGACACCCGCAGCGACCTGTTCTCCGTGTCGTTGACGGAAGTTGTTAAATGTAGATGCGGCGGAACGCGCGTCCTTCATGGATACAGAGGACGGGTCCTTGTGAAAATTCGACGCCGTGCGGAGTGCCGCCTGCTTCTGCTCCATCGTAGTACCCTCAGTCGGCGGCGGCGGCGGGCTAGCCGATTGCCCTGAAGACTTGCCCAACTTCGAGAAGCGATTCTGCAGCTCGCTCATCTGGCCTGCGCTAGGCGGCGAAAAGGCCCCTGATCTCGGGGGCGGCGCGGGGCTGCCGGCATTGGAGCGGGTCGGAGGCTCGGGGGCGGATTTTCCGATTCCTAGCGACGGCACCGATATACCGGCCGCTCCTAGCCTGTTCATCGCGCTCTGGTTGAGATATCCGCCGCCGCTGGATGTCGGGGGCGGTGCGGGAGCAGACGATAAAGTAGCTGTGGATGTTGCGGAGGGCGTTCGGGGTGGGAGTCTCGGGGGCAGTTTTGGCGGTGGCCGAACGGCCCCTTGGTCTGGTGCCGGTGACCTTCCATCGGCACCATCTTTCCGTCCCGGCGGCGGGGGTAGATGGGCGGTCGATAGGCCGGTCGTATTAACGCGGAAGGGCTGCGGCGGCGGCGCCTCTTCCTCCTCTTGCTGTTGCTGAGAATAGCCACTCGCGGCGTCGTACGGCGGAGGCGGCACACCAGGTGAGGTTGCGTTGGATCGCGGAGGCGGAGGGAGGGGCTGGCCCGGCACTCGTCTCGGCGGCGGTGCGAATGTCGAAGGATCTTGGAGGGACGACAGCGGCCGGGCGACGCGCTCTTCCCGTTCTTTTTCCTTGTTCCTGCCCAGAAGCCCGTTCTGTATCACTCGTCAGTTCACCCATCGCGTAGTCTCTCTTCCCAATCCGTCGGCAAAACGCACCACCTGGCCCTTGAGCGTGGTTCCCTCCTTCTCGGGATGCCAGCCATTTTTCATAAAGTTACCGAATCCGGAAGACATATTGTCGGGCTGTTTACCTCGAACGCGGAAACTTGGATAATCAACGGAACACCCGATGAGGAAAACGACAGATTTGAACCGGGCCTGGGCGGTGATGAAAAGGAGAGACAGGCTTGTCGGGTTGTGCAATTAATGTAAAAGCGTCCGGTGGAGGTTAAAGCGGTCCATTGCTCTTCGTCAGCGCTCAATCCTGGTTCGTTGCGTGACGTCGCCTTGAAATGCACTACGGGCAGGTGTGCCCCACCCTAGTCACTATTGGGCCGCTATAGGCTCGGGCGGTCGGGCGGCTGCCAGGCCGGGAACGGGCAGATAAACGTGCTGGACGCCTTGCGATTCAGGCGCGAAGAACGCCCCTCCCTACTGCCCTGGCTGAGGTGTAACACCGAACCTGCCTGGACCAAATATTGACTTTCGTCGCGTCAGTCGCGTCTTCTGATTGCTGCTGACTGCGAACATCCCCACCGATTGACAACATCACCACGGTCTACAATGGCCCAACCCAACATTATCGATGTTGAGCTATTGACGGAACATCTCGGATACGCGCCCATTGTAAGTTGACACCATCGAGCGTTCGTCGCATTATTTGATGGATGTGAGACTAATCAGACGGCAGTCGCTCCTCGACAGTATTATCAACAATGTGAATGCGGTAGCCGACAAGACGCTCGATCGCGTCGAGCAAGGTCTTTCAAATGCCTCACCAAAGTCTCTGGGCTTCGAAAAAGCACTGAAGCAGAAGAAGAAAGCGAACCCGCACGCAGAACTACCCAGCATCGAAGAGACTTCAAAGCTCGAAATTATGGATGGCGTCCACAAGCTCGAGACCCTGCTATGCGCCGCCATCGACAAGAATTTCGACAAATACGAGTTGTATGTGATGAAGAACATCCTGGGTATCCAACCCGTTCAACGCAATTGGATGCGCCTAGCACACCACCACGGTCTAGACTTCACGGCAGGTGCGCACGAGGATGCACCTACGAGAGAGGGCGTGGACGCTCTGAGGCGGAAGCTGCAGGCTAGCCAACGGCTGAATGTAATGCTTCAGTCAGAACAGGCGAAGAACGCAGCGCTCTTAGCAAAGCTCAAAGATGTCGTCGGCGGTAAGCCCGCTGGTGCCAGGACATCGCTGGGAGCCGTAGAGATCAAGGTGGAAGCAGCAGACGACAAGGCACCGTTCCAGTTCTTGCATAATAAGGGCGATTTGACGGAGGGCGATGCGAAAACGCCGATAACTACGACAACGGCTTTTAACTTGTCGCAGCTGCAGGCGCTGCGAGCCCTGTCGACTTCCTTACGAAACATCATGCCCGATCTCAAGGATCCATCGAGTACCGAGGACGGCCCGGAAAACAATAAGAGCTGGAGAAGGGAGAGACTCGAGTATGTCGAAGGCGAGACAAGGAAACATCTCGAGAACGTCAGGGGTCTTGAGCTAGGCAAAGATGGAGAAGTGCGAGATGGTGAATGGCAAGGCGAGGGCAGAAAGTTTGCCAAGGGTGAGGTCGAAGGGTTGGAAAGCGTGGTCGCTGCTCTCGGGGGAGCCTCTGGGGAAAATGCTGCACAAGATTCTGACGCCATGGATGAATCATGATCCATTCGGGTCTTGTTTGAGCTACGAGTAGCTCGGTATACCATTGACACGACGGATATCGCGGCAGTGACTTCGTCTCGCAATCACGGATCCCAAAAGGCCAAAGAGGAGCCGAGATCTACTCCCCAGGCTTACCTGCGACCGACGCTCAGATCCAGCATCAGCGGTTCAGACATATTAAACGGCTGTCGTCAACTGTCACCAACGCAAAGGGCAGTACCGGAATTGGCAAATTGCTGCAGTCAGCGGGCCAAGCATACGAGCGGGACGACCGTAGCGTTGTATCGAGTAATCTTGGAAGCCGCCTCAGGTACGAGATGCATCATCAACACATACACGGGCCGCCCAGGTCCAGTCACGCGACGCTGGGGAGCATTGAGTTACCGAGGCCGATTCGGCAAAATCTTCGAGGAGACGAGTACACAGCACGTCGCGAGTTTGAGGTTGAGACACCACAATTAGAACGTAGGAGATCGAGCCAGGATCGCCGCGGGATGAGGAAGACGTAACGAGCCGAGTTACAAAGAACCAATTAGCGAGAGGTCCAAAACTTCTCGGAGGAAACAAAGGCGCAGGTTGTTCACAGTGTTAGATAGATCCAGTCTCTTGAAGTGGCGGCTTGAGGACGAAGAGGACATACGTCCATTAAGCGAGCAAGAATATATGTAGCGTTCAATGCATTTGAAGTTGGACTTTCTAAAGAAGTACTGTGACACGAAATATTGTACGCCTGGTCAGTCCTCCACCAGTCGGAGGCTGATCCGGAGTTTATTCCGTAGTCGTGTCAGCTCCATCCAAAGTGTTTATGTGAAAACCATCTCCATAAACACAAAAAGATGTACGTCGAGCCTTCCCGATACTCGAATTAGCCATCGCTGCAAGCGTCGCAGAATAATTTCCACTGGGCATGATACTGGAGTCGGCGATCTCAGTCCACGGCAGAGTACCTGGTCCGCACGACCCTGGGCACATGAGCATCGAAGGCCTCCCAAAACCCCAAAGTCTTTGAAATAGTATTGAGACAATATCATTAGACTGCGGGGGTTTGTCGTCAACGTCGAATAGGGAGTAAAGCCCAAAAAGGGTTCTCACCAACGACATTGCAACAAAAAGGGGGGGATACTAGATATGAGAAGAACAAAAAAACAAAACAAAGCTCGAGTCAAGCGTTCCAACAATGGTTCGAACCCTCGACTTTAAGAAACACCCCTTCACTTGAAGGCGTGAGATTTCATACCGAGTTCACACTAACGGACCAGGGCGTTATACCTCTAGACCACCGGGGGTCCTTCATCGGGCTCGGTTGGGGGAGAGGGAGGGTATGGGAAGTCTAGGTAGGGTGGCGGAGATTTCGGATGGGAGTGAAAGAAAATAAAGTGTGAGGGCGAGGTACCTAAGGTGTTGTCCACGGTTGAGGAAGGCGCGATCCGGATGTGAGGAAGGAAGGTGCGAAGGGTTGGGTGGGTTGGAGAGGTGCCTTCCCTTTCAGGCTCTGGTGGACGAGACCGGGACGGGACGTCACCAGCAGGATATGATATTCCGCTACCTTGGTAGCCAAAGTGAGCTTATTGCTGTTTTCTAAACGACCTTTGGCAGTCGTAATGACTTGATACGAACACTGGGATTGGCATTGCGTCTCGGCCCCCGGAGAACCTACAGTACGAACAAGGTCGACTTTTAGCATCGAACGAGTGCATCTCGAAGAGGGATTCGCTAGGAGTTAGACCAGAAGGTTTACGAAGATAAATTGGTGGCTATAACATTTCACCGTGTCTTTCCTGAGTTCTGATCTGCTGCTGTTATGATTTCCTGCCCGGAAGGTACGTCTATCAACCTGACCCATACAGCTCTCGTATATCGATGCCCTTAGTCTAGCCTACCAGTGAAAGTACTTCTGTCGTTGGTCGTACCGCTTTTGTCTTATTGGGAATTATTGGAGAGTTGAATGCCACTAGCATAAAAGAATGAGGATGAATTGCGTGAACTGTCATAGCTTCTCTAGAGCCTACGGTACCAGCTCGCATTCGGAATTCAGAAAGTGAGGCTTCAACAAGCCCTTGTCTGGTAGTGTTCTGCCTCAGATCAACAAGAAGAGGCTGGAAGACGATCGATGTTGACATACCCTTCGAGTTCGTGGCGAGGACAAAGCACATCGAGTTTGGAATGCACGAGAAATAGTCGAGTCATCTCGTAGTCGTGGATTTGTAGCTGGCGTGAGCCAGCCTATGTACCTAATTCTCAATTTCAAAACGCCGCACCGTAGTTATAGCTATTATGCATCCGTACCCAGGCCTGTACCTATGAACACCAAATAATGTAACGAAAAAAACAATCTGTGTAACACCCAAACCTCAAATCTCCTCGCTCAAGCCGTCTGACTGACGATCCCACTTCTTACACCATCCAAACCAGTACCTCTTCCGGCACTCGGGCTCTCCGGGCGCCTTCGTTGGATCCGCAGTGGGAGTTGCACTCGGCGCCGCAGGTGCTGAAGTGATGGGGTGGGCGGTGGTCGCGGCAGGAACAGAGGCCGTGGTGGTAGACGTGGCGTCCCTACATCCCCAGAACTTTCCGGGTGTCATACAAGTAGTCGTAGAGGTTGTGGTAGTCGTGGTCGAAGTCGTGGTCGTAGTAGTCGTTGTCGTCTTATCATTGCATCCAAACCATCCAGGCGTCTTACAAGTTGACGTCGTGGACGTTGAAGTCGAAGTAGTGGGACCAGGGGTGGTGGTCGTCTCGTCCAAACAACCCCACCAACCGGGCGTCTGGCAAGTGGCTGTGCGAGTGCGCGTCATCGTTGTAGTCGTAGACCTCGAAGTGGTGGTAGTCTCTGTGCCATTGCTCTCGTACATCTTCCAGTTGACGCAGTCGCGGCACTCAGGGGTGGCCTTGCACACTGGGACGTCGTCGTACTTCATGATCACGTCGTGGATCACCGACCGAATCTTATGCGTTCCAATGCCGACTCGCCAGCCCTTATCCGCAACGACGTCGTAAACACACTCAACACCAGAGTGACACTGGGATTCCATCGCGTATCCAGCAAAGGAACAGGTTGCTGTAGCCCCATTGCATGTGCCGATGTAGATCGGATCCGCAGTGTGGCCGAAGTGGAAAGCACCGGTATTCTCGCGGGCCTGGTGGACCATCTGCTCTGCTCCTGGGGGCACAGGCAAACCGAGCCTTCCGGCAGCCATCGCCTCCGGTACGGCTTCGAAAGTGACAACAGGGACGCCGTAAGTGAGTCCAAGGAGGGAGCTAACCGCACCACCAAGAGAGTGTCCAGAGAGCCAGATATTCGCGTCAGGGAATATTTCGGTAACGTTGGAATATAGCTCCTTGGCCGCAGTGTAGTATCGGTGCTCATCCCGGAGCGCTTGAACGACGCAAGTGTTGTTGCATGAATAGGTGGACGTGGCGCAGTCGCAAACTTGATGCCAGGTCCACTGGCCCTGCTGAGCACAGCAACAGCTGAAGAAGAGATTGTCGTTGACCTTGTCGTTGGTGGTGGTGCCATCTCCGTCGAATACGGCCGGGGACGTGCCCTTCAGTCCGATAACAACGGTCGAGTTCGTCGCATCTGCCCAGATGTGTCCGCGCAAACCGTCGGTTTCCCATCCAAAGTCCGCGCTCCTGTTGTACGGACCACCGACCTCTTCCCAGTCCGCCTGTCCCTCCTCTTCGACGTATGCGTTTGCAGCCATGAGTGCAAGACTCAGAACGGTTGCCTTGTTTGTAACGTCCGGTCCGGGGACTTCGTCGAGCGTCCACATCGATGGCGACATGATGTTTACGTAGCCGCGCTGTCGAGCTTCGGTGACCATGGGGTCTACAACGGAGGGTCGGCGGTCGACAAGTCGTTCGATCTTCATAGGCGAGCTTCGAGCCTTCAAAGGCATGACCTTCTCCTTCTCGTAACCATCCTCCGCCGCCAACCAGACTTGGCTGTCAGCGTCTCCGGCGTGGTGGACATCCTTCCGTCGGTGTAGCTGAGGGTGGCGATACGTGCCGTGATGGAAAATGTGTCGTAATGTAAAGAGATGATCGTCTTGGACGGGCTGTGGAGTGCTGGGTGGAAGCAGCGGCCCAGGCGGGAGGACTGCTTGTTCGTTGTGGGAAGCTTCCCCAACGGATGCCAAGGTTGGCGATACCGCGAGGAACGATAAGAGCAGCTGGGCCGTGACTCTGCCAGCAGAGGTGCATTCGCCCGGTTTCCCTAGTTTTAGCCGCATGTTTGCTTGGTTGTTTGCAGGTTGGGGAGAAGTGAAGCTGGATAATTAAAGAGTGTGGGGGAGTGTGCGGTGTGGCAGATATGAGTGTTGGGGAGGGAGGGCGAAACGGAATCAATGATGCCGACGTTGAGATGCGAAGATTCGCGTGCCCATGTCCCGTTACCGATGACAGCATCAGGTGGGCGGCTGGGTGTTTACGTTGCGTTGCCTCCGAGTCGCGGAGAGAGCACAGACCATGTCTCATAACCCACTTCAGAGTCCGATAGGTCTCCGCCTCCAGATTATGTTAAGATTTAATATTAAAGTAGCATATTATTTCTTAACTTTTTCCCTGATCAAGTACCCGCAACCTCATATCTGCTGATAAGGCGCAATCAGGGACACCCAAACCAGCATGTGACCAAGACAGTGCATGCCTTCTGTATTTAGGCCAGTCGGGTGCCTAAGATCCACTCTACTACGCCACTTCGGGGAATCAAGGTGGTGGTCTTCAGCGGACGTTCGGCTACTAGACGATCCCGTTGCGATCCCGTCGCACTCCTGCTCCGCGGCCATGGATACCGACTTTTGACGTCCCGAGGCAATGGAAATTCATGCTGTGGAGGCCTTCAAACGGGATTCAACGTTTCTTGAGCGTCCAGTGGCTTTGCTGCAAATATACTGCTGTAGTACTCACTGGCTTTTTGGGAGTGTGGAGACAGCTCTAGTACCTAGGCAATGCTCTGTTCTTGTTCTTGTTCTGGCTGTAAGTTTGTTTAAGAGCAGAATAAATCAAAAGTCCCGAGGCAAGTCAACACCTCGCTCACCTTCCGTCGCTATTGTCGTTGCAGCTGTTTGTTGATGACGTTGTCGTTGTCGTCCTATCGTTAGGAGGAATGCCATCGTAGGTATAATATAGGGGAACTACATACCTTGGGTTTTTCGACAAGAAGAAAACGATATAGTCAACAAGGCCTTCAGATAGAACACACAAAGCCCAGACTTCTGGAATTTAATCTGATAATCAGAACGCATTTACAGCCATCTACATGTCAAACTGTCCAGGCACCGCATTCAAGACAGGAGGCTCAATGGCCACGCGGTAAGGTAGCCTAAGAGCGCCACCGCGCCTTCCCAAAATGATCGCCCTTGTCATGCTTAGCCCCAGCACATGCATGCACTGAAGGTCGGATCCGTCTACAGATGACACCTTCCAATAAGACATGAGCGGGGACGAGAGCTACCTGCTATCCGTTGCTTGCGTTACCTCGACCTTACCTCACCTACAAGCTTTCGTTCTCCAAACCCAGCGACATCAACCCGTTGCTTTTGCTTCTTTGCGCGGGCACCAACCGTGCTATCATCAGAAAGCGCTGACATCACTCTGTTAGAGATGCGAATAGAAACACCATAGCTGGCCACCCATCCTACGAACCGAGCCATCATCCCTGCTCTCGTCGCTCCATTTATGGCATAAATCCGCCTCGCACGCGACTCAACCATCCAGCGTCCATGTCAGGGATCTATTTCCTCTGATATCGGGTTTCAAGACTTATCCAATACTTAATGCCGCCTTGACGACGACAACAGGTATGCATCTCCTGTGCCCGAGACATTGCCTTGTCTTTCGTCCTCGCAAGTTACATGTTTGACAAAATGGCTTTTAGTACCGTCGAAACCCTCATGGCGTCCACCGGCCCCTCCAAATCCTCAGGCGCGCGGCCGAACACGATACGAGCGCCCTCGTTCACCCGCCAGAGCGAAGATAGCGATCCTCTCAGAGTGCCGAAACGAGCTCAAACATTTCAGAATGGTGCTGCCTCCGACGCGTTGGCTACGCCGGCCGTCTCCAGCAAGTCGAAACCCGTAGACGAAACCGAAGCCCCAGATGCCTTCGAAACAAGACCATCGACAGACAACGACGATGGATTCGACGGTCGAGGATCTGTGGATTTGGGAGAGCTCCCGATTGAGCTGGTCAGTCTGACCGACAGGTAAGGTGACCCGGCGGCATTGGGACAAATAGCGTGCATCTAACAATACTCAGCTTCGTAGAGACTTTGACCACAAAGCACCACCCCACGCCGTTGAACATCGACAATGTCTCGCAGCTATTCCAAGACTTCTACCAAGTTGCATCGACACACATCAACACGCACATATCAGCTTTGGTTTCGCGGCATAACCGGGATGCATCGCCCGCCCCGTCCGCGTCATCAAAGGTCTCCACAGCCAGCAGGCTTCGAGCCAAGGCGGCGTCACTCGGAAACAAGGACAAGCCAAAAGTCCTCCCTAAAACGGAGCCAGAGCAGCAAATGATCACTGCCGAAGAGCTTGCCAATAAGAAGAAGGCCCGGAAAGCGATCGAAGCTAAGCGCGGGATCATCGAGGAGGCCGTTGAGCGTAGGCTATGCGAGGGCATTTACGACAAGATCTATCGCCACAAGAGTACCCAAGACGAAGCCCAAGACTCCAAGCTGCGATCCAAGACAGCAGCCCTAGCGCTTGTCGGCATCGGCCCTCACGACCTTGGTATCGATCTCGGGGATGACAAGTCACAATCTCCCGAGGCGGCTGCCGAGAAGGCTGAGGATATCAAGAAGTGGCTTGAGCAGGCCAGACGGGATCTCATTATGATGAATGAAAAGAGATATCCTCTTGGGAAGCTGCATCACCTGAAGGCAGCTCACAAGAGTATCGTCGAGACATTGGCGCATTTCCACCCGTCTGCTTCCGCAGATGAGATCATGCCAATGCTCATCTTCACGCTCATCACCCTACCCCCTGAGAACTTGAACGTTATTAGCGACTTGCACTTCATCCAATACTTCAGGTGGGACACGAAATTGACAGGGGAGGCTGCGTACTGCTTGACAAATTTGGAGGCAGCCATTAGCTTCCTCGAGACGGTCGATCTATCCACGCTAAGAGCGGATGAGCTACCCCAGGGACCTGCCAGAGGCCCGAGCCAGCCGGGAACGCCCCGCGCTGACACTTTCCCTCCGGCGTTCCCGCCCGGGTTGACGGTAACGGCGGACACCACGGTGGAGACTAACACTGGTAATGCCACCCCAACGAGACCGCCGGCGTCGCCGTCGGCTTCGTCTGGGCTTCGTGCTGCAGTCCAAGCTCGGAATAGAAGACTGAGCGAACTCGTCAACACGCCTGCTCAGGCCATCGGGGCCGCCAGTGACGCTGTGCTCAATACTGCCGATCAGCACATTAAGACCATTTCCACGAGCTTGGGTGACAGTTACAAGTTTCTCGTTGGCAAGTTGCGAGAGTCTCAAGGCTCGCCGACGGAATCTGGCGAGAGACTTGTTGTCCCCAAAACACTCGACGATGCCAGAAAACTCGTCAGTACGCCACCCCCCGAAGAGGAGGGTTCGGTCAGTGGCGCCAGCTCCATCCATGGCGCGGAGGAGGGCGAGTCAACACGTCGTGCTCCTCTGCGAGAGGACAAGGTGTTGAATCTCATTGGCGGACGGAAAGCCAGCAGAGATCACAGTGTCGATAGTTCTCGCAGCGTGAGCAGTTCCAAGAAAGCTACGCCTCTCAAAGAGAGTGGCGATAAGGACCTCCCTACGCCGTCCCCAGCTTCGCAAGCGACGAACCCTCTGGACTCAGTCCGCAACTTCGGCAACTCGTTTTCCAGGTTTTCTGGGATGAATATGATTCGCGGTCTTAGCCGGACCGCGTCTACACCCGTCGTCGCCAAAGAAATCACACCAAGGGACGGCCCGGCCAAGGGAGCCGAGGGCGTCGATCTCGCCACGGTACGTTGTGACACACGCGACGTTCGAATCCCGGAATCTGACAGTCATGTGCAGGCCTTCCCAGATATCGCGGCAGCTCTGCCGCCCAAGCAGACGCCCCAGATCAAACCGCCAAACAAGAGGTTCATGGAGCTCCAGAACGCGGGCGACCTGAAGCTTAACGAGGTCCTGGAGCTTCTGCGCGACTACAGGAGACTCGCCACCGCTTTGAAGGACATGGGGGCTTTTGAGGGACAGAAGTGATCCTGAGAGGTTGCGTAATGCCTTGGACAGGCTTATGGTCTTTTGATTTTGTTTGACCTGCGAGGATAAGGGTAGCATATCGGACATTGGCGTTTTGATACTTGTAAGAAGCTCCGTCTGCCATCCTGGCTGTAGATGAAGGTCCTCAATCCCTGAGAGGGCACGCAAAGACGAATACACGCACACTGAGAGAAGAGACGCGAAGTAGATAGGGCACTATACAAGGAAGGTCGTGTGGTATTAACTAGAGATAAGGCTTTCTACAGAGCAAATTCGAAAGAATGAAGGGGAAAAACAAAGGAATGACCGTCATATGCTCGACCGCTAGTGGTAAAGGCAACTCGAACAGGAAGAGATAATAAAAGAAAGGCTCCAACGTGGTTTTCTTTTTTTTGTTATATGTACCTGACAAGAACGACACGGAGAAAAACAAAAGGAGACAGAATATATCCATTTCGCTCCCTGCGACGAAGACTCGCTCGCGCCAATAACACCCAACCAATGCTTTGGAAACGATGCTTGAATGCCCCCGCCCGCCTGTGCCGCCCCCGGTTCTCTTTTCTCCCCCAGACCGCCGGTGGGGAAATATGCTTCAGGGAACTTCGCCCATGGATATACGGATGTTGGTGTTGTTGTGGTGGTGGTGTTGATGATGGTGGTCGTGTTTTATGTACCCATGATTTTTATTTGTGGTGTTTCTCTTTTTTTTCTCTTTCGGTTCTTGGACATGGGAAAGGAAAACCCCCGACGAGGAAGAATTTGCCTGCCCCAAAGCCCCCGCCTCACCCTGTCCATTTTCTATGAATGTTTTGTTTTCTTTTTGGGTGGACTTCTCTAGGCTGTCCTAGTGGTTACCATTCAACTTGGAGTCCTTGGGCGGCACAGCGCTCGCGCGGTTCGTGCGCTCCTGGAGCACGCCGCTGGGCACGGTGCCGGCCTCCTTCTCGTCGCTGATGAGCTTCTCCATGAAGGCGATGTAGTCGTACTGGGGCATGCCGCGGTCCTCCGAGGTGTCGGGTCCGTTGTGCGCGGGGATGATTTCAATGAGCTTATCAATGACCTCGTCCGGCACGAGGGAGTGGCGCAGGTCCATCTCCGTGACGTAGGGCTTGCCGTCCGCGACCTCGCGGAAGGACTGGAAGACCTGCTCGGCGGTGTTCTGGTCCTCGGTGACGTCGACCATGAAGCGGATGAACTGTTCAAAGGTGACGTGGTCGCGGCCCTTTGAGGTGTCCATAAAGTAGTCGTGCATCTCGTCCTCGGAGAAGACGAGGCCGAGGGAGGCGAGAGCGGCGCTGAATTCGAGTTCCTGCAGGGAGTTGGTGTCATCGCGGTCGAAGTGGCGGAAGACGGACTCGAACTCCTCCAGTTGGATGGGGGTAAGGTTTGTCATGTTGCGAGCTACCATCTGGTTGTCGAGGAAAGCGAGCTTCTTCTGCACTGATGACTTGACCAGCCCATGTTCGTAGACCAGTTCGTCGTAAGTGTAGGTTGTGAAGTCGTTCTCCTCGATGTTGGCCTCTTGGCACTTGGCGTCCACGGCGGCGATTGTCTCAAGGTACTTGTCTAGAGGAGGAAGGTTATCACTGAGCTTGCGAACGTGGTGGAGTTGGTCCTCGACATCGCCGTCCAGGCCCGAGATCGCCAGTTGCATCGTGTTCAGCGCCATGGCGAAGTCGTTGGCCTTGTCGGCGAAGGATTTGCGGAGCGCGTTCTTGATGCTGTTATGAGTTAGCATGGGGACATTCGGATTCAGGATCTCTCAGCACTCACTCTCTGATGGTCTCGTTGATCAGCTGCGCTCTCTTCATTTCCGTCTGCGCCAAGCCGGTCCACTCCTTCTCCATCGTCTCCAGCGACAACTCTGGTGGAGGGTCATACGGCCGCAGCCTGTATGTGCCCAATTTCGTCTTGATATTGCCCAACAAAGTCGCGAGCTCACTCTTCTCCGCGACCCAGTCCCTCTTCTTCCCCCTCTTGAACGCGGCAAACTCGTTGGCTTGAGCCTTGGCGTCGGCGTAAGTCCCTTGGAACGTCGCCTGCTGCCACTTCTCACCCTGCTCTCTGATCTGCCTCAGCAACTCCCTCATCCGCCTCTCGTACGCGCTCTGCATCTCCCAAGCACCAGCCATGTTGTTCACGAACTTCTCCACGCGACGTCCTGCATTTTCGACCTTCTCCATCTGAGAGAAGGCGTGGAACCAGTACGCGATATACGTCATGAGCGACCTCTCATCAGGCTTGGCGACATCGCACACGTCCTCGACATCCAACAGCTTAGGAATACCGATCTCCTTGTGCGCAATATCGAAAGCCATCTGCATGTTCCCACGGTGGTCTGACTTGTCCAATGCGTCGTAGTCAATCAAATCTGGCCTGTGGATGTCGAGCAGGGCACAAAAGGCGAGACCGTCGTTCCAGCTGCCGCTGAAGTCACGAACCTCCACCTCATCGTAGCACGCCGTCTTTCTTTGACACCACAGCAGAAGACCCTCCTTGGCTGTCATACCCTCCTCGTTGATATCACTGATCGTAAATCGAAGAATGAGCGTCCAAATCAGACCGAGAATGATCTTCCGGTTCCCGTCAACGACATCTTCGGCACCAATGTTGGTCATCTGGATGCCCCTGGACTTAATGAAGTCCAGACCGGTGTTGACATTTTCGAATCGTTGCACGCGAAGCTTCGGCTTGGCCGCGTAGCGTCCGAGGGTGTCGTTGGAGAGGCATTCTAACAGGTGGATGAGGATAACCTATGATTGCAATTTCTCGTTAGCCAAGAGTACCCCGCAAATTTTGGGAATAGGGGCTTCCAACTTACACCATCGCTTAGATCAAGCACGAGATCCTTGACTTCGAGTGAACGAGCCTCCAACTTGGTGTTCAGCCTGCCGAGAGCTCACGTCAGTACACGATCGTGATCACCGTAAAAAAGAGCTAGGGTCTTTTTCTCGGGGTGGGGTCCGGCTCGTACCATTTGGTAAAGGTCTTCTGCTGGACCGTGATCCATTTCTGCTGTTCAGCAAACGCCATCCTCGTCAAGCCCTGGTCATGCGGCGGCTCAACGGCGGCGAGAGCGTCGGCGGGCGAGGATCCGGTGGCAGATCGGAATCGGTTCTTCTTTGAGGTGCTCTCCTTGCGTGCTAAGGCGACACTGCTGCTGCCCGATCTCTGCAGCCGCTGTGCGTGCAACTCCTTTTTGTCTCGTCTGGTTCGCGGGCTCGGGGAGCTGCTGGCGGTGCTGTGTGTGCGGACACGCGATATGGGGGAGGACTTGTCTGGGGACGAATGCGAATGCTCGGTGTTGGTCGGTGTGGTCGGGGTGGTGGAGGCTGGAGAAGATGTAGAAGTGTGGCTTCCGGCGGTGGACTGGTTGCCAGCCGAGTGGTCGTGTAAACAAAACTCGGGGAATTCCTCGTTGCACTGGACGTTGCCAGGCAGACTTGAGCCTGACAGTGGGCGCGGCCCCTGAGCGCCATCCGCGGTGGACGTCATTTCGGGCGATTTTAGTGGCTCGCTAAGTCGATTGGCAACGCTCGACCGCTGCAGGCGCCGGGATTCGATGCTGGATTGGCTTATCGATAACGGTTCAACTGCCGGATTGCCAGGATGGAGGGAGTAAACGTTTCTTCTGGATGTCTTCTTTTTGTACCTTGTTGCTAATACGCTACTAGCTGGGAGCTTTTGGGGGGAAACAAAACAAGTTCCTCAACACGGCAACGACAAGAAAGAACACGAGAGGGTCTGGCCACCTTCGAAATATGAAATAGGGGAGAGTCTCGACGGTTTATACCATCCCTCCACGCCAGTCTCGCGGTCAGTCTCTTCTCAACAACAGACGAAAGACGTCGCGCGGCACCAACAGAGCGAGGTCTCTCCCAGGCGCAACATCCCTTCTGAAACGAGAGCCTGTCTCCCGTCCCTCCACTCCACGATCAGGATCGTACCCCTTTCTCTTGGAAGTCCCCAGGACCCCGTTGATCTCGCCGCCAAATCGGTCTTCTCGAGTCGTCACTGTCGCCTTCGCCATCGTCGCCCCCGGCGTCGACGGGCCCGCACCCCTCGTTCCACCGTCGAGGCCACTCATGCATGCAATAATGCTTGAAGCTGATCAGCAGGGGTCCCCAAGGATGCCATGGTGGCCGTGACTTCCAAATGCGGTCGTCGCGAAGACTCGTCGTCGTCGCGGATAAGGCAGTTGCAAGAGATAGGGGGAGGCTTGCTCTGCTTGTCTTATGCTATTCGCCGGGACGTCTTAGTTGACCATCCTTGAACAATGGTCTTGTTCTGGCTTCCGTCTGGCTTCTTGGAACATTCTCTCCTTCAGCCACGCTGACTGGTGGGGGGGTTTTGGTCAAGCGGCAAACCAGTCCAAACGGGGATTGAATTCCTGATGATCTCTATCCACGACGTCGTCTATTCCGTGCCGCCGCCTCCCGCTGTTAGTCTCCGAAGACCCCTCTTGTGTGGAGGAAACGGTCGAGAACGCATGAATACAGCACGGTAACTCTAACGAGGATCGCGTCAAAGACATCAGACGGAGATTAGAAAGGACAGTCGGCCCAGATCCCAAGTATTTCGGTTTCATAGGCCTGGGCCTTTGGTAATAGGTGAGCGCTGGTGCTGGCCCAACGTCTCGTGGCCTCAAGGCTTGGAAGGGCACGAGGACGATTCGTCAAGCAGGAGATTCATATTGCGACACGTCCCGCCCGTACCCGAGACAAAAATTGAGATGAAGAATGTTGAGGTCAGACTTGGTCTGAAGAATGAGAAAAGGCGTGCAGCCCGAAGCCGAGGCCGGATCTGTCAGTGCGGCACGGCGTAATCTAGCTCATCGGACACTTCAGATTTCATCTCACGTTCGCCTCACCGGCTTTTCAGCCTCTTGTTCCCATTTAATGCTCTCACTTGGCGCGTATTTTTATTTGGCAATCGCGTAAGTGACCAACTCACTACTGGATGAATTTCAGTAGTGTCAATGATTGAGGACGTTGTCGTTTATATGAATGTAAAGCTGTACGCTCAAGTGGGCAACCAGTGACCAACTCACACCCACGTGCTCTTCCATTTTGAAAAGTTACAAAAAAGGAATCCAGAAATCGGGCTATGGCGGAAACAACCAAGGCAAACAAGACAACCTGAGTATGAGAACGTTTTGCGTCACAAAGTAGAACATCCTGAATCCCTCTGCGGCGGTTTTTGAACCTCTCTGCGGCGTGTCGAGTTTGAACTGCGCCTCTCTCTTGGACCGCCCACTCAGTTGTCAAATACCTGAGAGGGCGAATGATGACTAAGAAAGTGTTATAATACGTCTTGAGAAAGTTAACATCACGTGCCCTTTCAGCTTCAGCCAAATCGATAAGATATCAAGCGTCTATCTTGTTTTTGGATGAATCTTCGGATAGAATGAAGCTCCGGAGAAAATTCGGTTTGTCTTACGGAGGAAGAATCGTTGAACAGGTTTGCTGTGCTTCAATTCAAATGTCACAACCACCTACCTCGGCAAAAATGAAAATCTTGCCGACGGGGAAAAGTAACGATTTCGCCGAATGGGTTGCCCGGGACTGCTGTACCGAATTGCCTGCCCCGTAGCGGACGGGAGCTACTGAACTTTGCGCAACACCACGGCTTTCCAGCGGGCTTTGACGCCATCGGGTTGGCAATTCCGCCCCATTGACTGGTTCGTCATACAGGGGTTTAGTGCTTAAAGCCGAAGTCGGGGCCAACCTCAACTAAATCTCGAACCTCTCGCAACTTTTTTGATCTCAGTCTTTCAATCAAGTTTCCAGACACACGAGGAGAAAGGTCCAAAGCCCGGTCTGATAGTGTTCTGCGCACCGTCCACTTTCCTTGTGTCTAAGCCTCCGTCAGAATGGCCTCAAGAGGAAGAATCCAGCCCCTCCTCCGGACAGCGGCCCGGAGGCAGACGCTGCTGACCACCGGCAGCCGGCACGCCATGCGGCAGATCTCGGCCCCGGCCGTAGTCGCCGCCGCCGCCCGGTGCCTCTCGACCACGGCCGTGAGACCCTCAAAGGACCTAAAGGAGATCAAGCTCACCGCCAACGCCTACCCGGACATCAAGCGGGACTCGCGCTTCGCCCAGGTCACCGACGCCCACGTCGCCTGGTTCAAGGACCTGCTGGGCCCCTCCGGCCTCGTCGACGGCGTGACCACGAACGCGGCCGACGACCTGGCGGCTTTCAACGAGGACTGGCTGCGCAAGTACCGCGGCCAGTCTCAGCTCGTCCTCAAGCCCGCGTCCACGGAAGAGGTCAGCAAGATCCTCAAGTACTGCAACGAGCACAAGCTCGCCGTCGTGCCCCAGGGAGGCAACACGGGTCTCGTAGGCGGCTCCGTCCCCGTCTTTGACGAGATCGTCATCAACATGAGCCGCATGAACCAGATCCGCTCATTCGACGACGTCAGCGGTACTCTCGTCGTCGACGCCGGCGTCATTCTCGAGGTTGCTGACAAGTACCTCGCCGAGCACGGCTACATCTTCCCCCTCGACCTCGGAGCCAAGGGCTCCTGCCACGTCGGCGGCAATGTCGCCACAAACGCCGGCGGACTGCGTCTGCTGCGTTACGGCAGCCTCCACGGCAACGTCCTCGGTCTCGAGGCCGTCCTGCCCGACGGCACCATCGTCGACGATCTCTGCACCCTGCGCAAGAACAACACGGGCTACGACCTCAAGCAGCTCTTCATCGGCGGCGAGGGCACCATCGGCATCATCACCAAGGTCTCCATCATCTGCCCGCAGCGCTCCCAGGCCGTCAACGTCGCCTTCTTCGGCCTCGAGTCGTACGACAAGGCCCAGCAGGCGTTCAAGGCCGCCAAGGGCCAGCTCGGCGAGATCCTCTCCGCCTTCGAGCTCATGGACGGCCGCAGCCAGGACCTCGTCCACGCCGTCAGGGGCAACAAGCGCCCGCTCGAGGGCGACCACCCGTTCTACTGCCTGGTCGAGACGAGCGGCTCCAACGGCGACCACGACTACGAGAAGCTCGAGAAGTTCCTCGAGGACGTCATGTCCAACGAGATCGTCGAGGACGGCGTGCTCGCGCAGGACGAGACGCAGAGCAAGGCGCTCTGGGGCTGGCGCGAGGGCATCCCCGAGTGCCTGGGCCACTGGGGCGGCACGTACAAGTACGACGTGTCCATCCCGCTCAAGGAGCTCTACCAGCTCGTCGACGACACCAAGGCCAGGATGGAGGAGGCCGGGCTCGTCGGCAACACGGACGACTTCCCCGCGGTGGGTGTCGTCGGCTACGGCCACATGGGCGACTCGAACCTTCACCTCAACGTCGCCGTCAGACGATACGACCCCCGCATCGAGAAGGTCCTGGAGCCGTTCGTCTACGAGTGGATCCAGGAGCGCAATGGCAGCATCAGCGCCGAGCACGGCTTGGGCGTGGCGAAGAAGAAGTTCATCGGCTACAGCCGAAACGAGAGCATGGTTGGTCTGATGAAGCAGATCAAGAATCTCTATGACCCGGTAAGCCACTCGTCTATGTTTCCCCCCCTCCCCCGGGGTGCGCTCCGTCGCTTCTGTGTTCCTTCGTATCCTTGCCAACTCTGGCTCCCTCTTCCTCGCCAACATCTGACATCCCCCGCCATCATCCCCCATGTTCTGCCCCCCACATACTGGCCCTCCCCTCCGTCCCGCTTAACAATCAACCATGACGCCAGCCGCGTGTGAAAGGAATGCTGACGTCAAGCCAATTAGAACGGCATCATGAACCCTTACAAATACGTCTGAGGAAGCGCCAAGAAACGATACCCCCCAACAATGAGCGGAGAAAGAGGTTCATGGCTGCACCCAGCCCTCGGGCCTGAGTCCTGGAAACGGGTTTGTCGAAGTCGGGCTGTGTTGACCGGCTGGATTCCCAACCAACCACTGGGACCCCTCCAACGGAATTAAGGCAGCGGGCTTGTAAAAGGCAACCTGGAACCCGGGAAACGAACAGTGTGCGTGTGAGTATGCCGTAGATGCGTGTGCCGCGTGCGCGGCTGCGCGTGTGCGTGACTGCCACTCGGTGTAGAAGACATGATTCCCAATCGGGACATATTTTGAAATCTGTCTTACAAGAGGAGGGGAGGAATTAGAAAAAGCCTCGGCAGGCGGTAATTTAGTAGGATATCACACACCGCATGTATCCTAGGATATCATCATCACATCGACCACAACCACACACAAAAAAAAAGAAGAAAAAGCACAGCCATTGTTTCCCTTGTTGATCAGATCAGATCGCTCATCCCCGGCATCGGGCGCCCCATCCCCCCTTCCTCCACCCCGGCATCGGGGCGCCGAACCGCGACACGGAGTGGTCTTGACTTACATCGGACATGTCTGAGATCGGAGCGTTGACGAAAAGTGATGCCATGCATTCCCCCCTCTCCAATCCCCTCTTAACCTGCCAAAGGTCCTCCTCCTTCCCAGCCTCAACCGCAGCGGCTCCATCTTGGGTGCTTGGGTTCCGAGGTCAGGTCTCAGCCCTGGGTGACTCGAACGTTCCTGGAGAAGACCGTAAGCCGCGTCCATTGGCTGCGGTACGGCCGCCCCCAATGTAAGCGAGAAACACCAATGACAATCGCGCCGTCGCCGACACCCGAGCCCCGGCGCTGGTGTGATCGTCCCTTGTCGCTCCCTCTCACCCTCCGTCCGTCCTGTCCCCCTCACTCTCACTCACACATCTCTCTCTCTCTCTCTCTCTCTCTCTTGTCCCCCTTGTCTTTGACGTGCCTGACCCCGTCCGGGCTTTCCGCGCCGTCTGGCTGACAGGTCCCCCGGCAGAATCCTACCACAGTACTTCTTCTCAGCTCCCATTTGCCCCTTTACTGCGCGCAGCTCATGTCAGCCTCCGAGGAGCCAATCCGGGGCCGTGGCCCGTATGTCTCGTGGGGCCTCCGAGCCGTTCACCCCTGTCGTCGGTCTGTGACGGCATGCAGCCCTACGGAGCCCAGTTATGGGTAATTGGAACGTGCGCCAACCACACCGTCCGTCCGGGGCCAGATATGAGGTCGTTTACACTTTTTTGTCTTGATTGTTCTGGTTCTTGGGGACTTGTGGTCTCAGTCTCCTCTGTCAAAGTCTCGGGTTGCACTGCAATAAGCAGTCTTCACCGGTTTATCATGTCCCGTGCATACGTAGCGTGAGAAAATGTTTTCCCCCTCCACATATGATTCCAGACGGATAGACATGCATCCCTCGGTACAATCTCTTTCCCCATTCAAAAGTGAAAATACGGACTTGTCCGTTGATTTTCGATCGGTTCAGGAACGCCATGTTTGATAGCCCCGATGCCAAACTATGCAAGGAATCCAAAAAGGAACATGATGCTCCCGCTCGTCGACCGCATCGTGCCTGCGTGCCTCGGCCGCACAACCGCGAGACCCCATCTACCCGCACCCTGCCTCCGAATCTAACCAAAGGGAGGCATATATTTGATCCGTCTCGGGGCGGCCTGGCTTGCATACGCAGCCGCAGGAATCTTATTCGTCTGAGCCGTCCCAAACGTTCAGTTCCCTTGCCGTTGTTTGTCCCGTACACCGTCATGATCCACCCTCGGTAGGGCTGCAGCACACCATCAACCAGGTTTCCCGCGAACCATTTGGCTTGCCTGACGCGGTCCCACAAGACGTTCGGCACTCGCCCAACGTAAGAACCTCCTTCGTCCACCATCCTGTTGAAGAGAGAGGCCGCTTGACGTCCCACTTTCCAGGTGCTTGGTATATGATATATATCCGCTCGTGCCCTTTCCGTGTTCCATCGTCATCTCGGAGAAGGCTAGGCCAGCTATGGGCATTGCGCATCTTTCCACGTTCAAGTTCGAGATTCTGATTTGTCACCATGGTTGGAGTCCGTGGTAAGTATAAGGGGTGCGAGACATGCAGGGCTCGGAGAGTTAAGGTAAGCTGAAGAGCCCCTCCCGTGGACCGCCCGCCTCTTGGGAGAGACAACAGCTGACGGCCTTAGTGCGACAACGAACGACCGTACTGTCGGAAATGCATCGACAGCGGCCGAGAATGCGCGGGGTACGAGCGCGAAATGGTCTTCATCACCGCAACCATCGACGACGGCGGCCGATGCTCGTCCCACCCTCCGCGCCAGGTTAACCCACCGAGGAGATCCCCAAAGCCCAAGGTCGAAGAGGAAACTGTACCTCGCCCCGTACCGACGGAGCCACTAGCCCCCGCCTGGGATGACTTGGTCTCCGTTTCCAATAACGGCGTCGTGTATTCGGTGCAGATCGCGGCTTTGCATACCAAGCTTCAGAGCATCATGCGGGGCGGTGAAGACCAAAGTCAGTTTGGGTTTCGAGTTGCCTTACCGCCCTACTCGTTGGTCGACTTAGAAACTTGGGAAAATGGCGGCGAGATGAATGTGGCTGCGCAGACAATGCTCAGTCTTCTGCCTGCTGGGAATGGGGTTGGCCAGCCGGAGGGCCTCTGTGCTTTCCTGTTTGAGGTTGGTTCGGTGTACTCTCCCTGCAGGCTGGCCATTAACACAGAACAGCAAACCCCTTCACTTCTTATGACGAATACTGTGACCCCGTGGGGAGCCCCTCAGGAGCACCAGGATGCCGTGAAGAGTTTTGGCCCAGAATACTTCAAACAATTCCCATCTCACCACTTCTTCGTCAGGGTATACAGATGTAGTGCTGTAAGAGTACATCCTGAAACTTTGCAGACGGGTCAGCGAGCTAATTCGTTGCGCAAGATTACCCTCGCCCTCTTCCAGAGGAAACCGACGTTTCTGGCCTCTTTCGACTGGTGCACCATCCCCTGGGAGATGCACCCCAAGTCTATGTTCGATAGACTGTTCGATATCATTGTCCACGTCCCCGGTATCCTTGCGAAAGTGGATCGAACAATACCTTATGCTGCAACTTTACAGCGGCGACTGAAGGCCCAGGAGTTGTTGAGCAACTGTTTGCAGGTTGAGCAGCAGCTCGATGAATGGGATTCCTTCGCCCGCTCCCCTACTCTTGAGCATCCATACGCTTACTGGATCGAAGAAGCGGACGACCAAGAGTTGCCGCAGGGTCCCTTCGCCGATCCCTTCGCCGATAGCCTTGCCTTCAAGGACGGCGTAACTGCCGTCATGTTCCTGTACTATTGGATGACTCTGCTCATCCTCCATCGGTGCGTCGAAAGCCTGCATCACGTCATCTTCCAACCCGTGATCGAGGACTTCCCAAATATGTATCCCGACTTGCCGCCCCATTTACAAATCAACCTTGCGAGGTATCAACAGCGACGAGATTTTGCTGCGAGAATTTGTCGCGCCCTGGACTTCGCCGTGAGTACAACTGTCCAGCCCGATTTGCTGGTGGCACCTCTTGCCGCGGCGTTGGAATTCTACAGAGAACTGAATGCGTCCTCGAGGGACGGGGAGCTGGAGATCATGTGGTGCGAAAACTTCAAGTTAAGATTGGTCTCCAAAGGACAAGACATCGCCAACGTCCTTCAGAGTCGACAATGGGCCGACATTGGAGGATTTTGAAGGAGCAGGCTCCTACTTGCGCTTTCTTTGGACTTTGCTGGTTAGACATCGTTGATAAAAGCTACCCGGGAGTCGGTAGTGGAGGGGGCATCGGATATCAGGAGCACACGGATTGCTTTTCGGCTTTTGCTCATTTTGGTAGTATTTTGAGAATACCGGGTCTTTTGTTGATCCTGGCGATTGGATGGCTCTCGTTATTGCGCGATCAATGGCCTGGCTGCCGTCGCGGGGAAGTATTGTTGCCATGTATGTCTTGGGCGGCGTCTACCGCCGCTGTTTGGATGTTGTTGTGTTGAACAACAACACGAAGCCGTTGTATAACATGAATATAACTTAAAGAATAATAGAATTTATTCCATAAGTTTGGCGCAATTCGAACATTGAAAATCGGCGAGGACAGCCCGACCAACGTGTTTGTTGAATGAAGAAGTCTTCTTGCTAAGTTCCGGTAAGGAAGCTGCCAGCAAGTGGGTGTCATCGTGCACGGACCAGACAAGTCGACTGGACCATGCCACCCGAGCTCCCCTCACTGAAAGGTCCATTACCCGGACTTTCCCCGGGAGCGCAGGAGCTCCTGGAGCTTTTCAGCCTTCCATGCCTGCCAGCAGGTACCGAAGCTTCGTCAGACCTGCAGCCTGCCTCTACCTCACCTATTGCTCCATCCATCCTCCACCGACCGCACCCTTTCTATCAACAGCAATTGTCCCGCAATAACGAACACCTCGCGAGACTCAACAACAACAATACCCAAATTCTCTTCGACTCGACCATCACACAGCAAAGATGGCTTCAGGATACGACAGAGCGTTGTCTGGTACGTTGCCCTTCTTGCCCGCGATTGCACCGCTCTAAGCTAACCCGCCGCGAACAGTCTTCAGGTTCGTCACCACCCCGCCCCCTCGAATTCCCCTCAGCTTCCCCGTCTAACTGTTGCAGTCCCGATGGACACGTTTTCCAGGTCGAATATGCCGGTGAAGCCGTCAAGCGAGGTAATACTGCGCATCAGCCGCTTGCCAGGGCGAACCCCAGCTCACTGTTGGTACAGGAACGTGTGCGGTCGGTGTCAAGGGTACAGATGTCGTCGTTCTCGGATGCGAAAAGCGATCAGCCATGAAGCTGCAAGACACCCGAATTACCCCTTCCAAGATCCAGCTCCTCGACACCCACGTCTGCCTCGCCTTCGCGGGCTTGAACGCCGATGCCCGCATCCTTGTCGACAAGGCGCGGTTAGAGGCTCAGTCTCACAGACTCACGGTTGAGGACCCTGCCTCGATCGAGTACATGACCAAGTATGTTGCCGGTGTCCAGCAACGGTACACACAGAGTGGTGGTGTTCGCCCTTTCGGCATTAGCACCTTGATCGTCGGCTTCGACAGCGGCAGCAAGGTTCCCCGCTTGTACCAGACCGAGCCTTCTGGTATCTACTCAGCATGGTATGACCTACTCGTCGAAACTTTGCCAAAGCATGTAGCTGACCCCGCGATAGGAAAGCCAATGCCATCGGCCGTTCCAGCAAGACCGTTCGCGAGTTCCTCGAGCGCAACTACAAGGAGGACATGGACAGGGAGGCTACCATCCGTCTTGCCATCAAGTCGCTTCTCGAGGTTGTCCAGACCGGAGCCAAGAACATCGAGATTGCGCTGATGGCGCCCGGCAAGAACATCGAGATGCTCCCGGTGGAGGAGATCGAGAACTATGTCAAGAACATTGAGCAGGAGAAGCAGGAGGAGGCGGCCAAGAAGAAGACGGGCCGGACGCCAGGCACTGGAAGCGCGGCGATCCTCACGAGAGGCCCGGACGGCGGTGATGAGTAAAGGCATGAAACGGCGTTGGGATCGCGGATAGACGACACTGATGAGGGTATTCACCAAATACCATTGTATTACCACCTCTAGACATGCCGTGGGGAATCTACTAAAAAACGGTGTCCATGAAATTGCCTGCTACCGACCGTATTGTTGTCATTGTTTTGTTCGCCCTATTCGCCCACCTCAACCCAGCTTGTCCGCGTCGTCCAGGAGATCGAATATTGATCGTCCTTCCGGCTGCCTGACGCGCTCGTCCTTGATCATGCGGCTGTCCTTGCGCGCGTCCTCGCCCTCGACGGAGATGGCGGCCTTGGGGGTCTTGGCGTCAATGACGAAGTGGTTATCGCAGTGTGGGCAGTACTCGTCGCAGTCCTCAAACTCTTGGGCATCCTTGCGGAAGCACTTCTTGCACTTCTTGCAGGCGAAGGTCATCTCGAAGGTCTGGAGGAGGGGGTGCGTCTCCTGCTCCTGGTGGCACTCGGCGCAGTCGAACCATTTCTTGCCTGTTGGGTAGACGGTCAGATTGGGTGTTTCGTTGAGAGGATGGGTGTGTAGACATACAGCATGGCGAGCGGATGGCGACTTGCGCGTTAAGGATGTGTTTGCTGTCGCGTTCTGTTAGTTGGCGGTCAGGGTTTTTGGTAGAATGATGGGATGCTCACCACATTGTGTGTTTCTATCTCTCTCTTCGAGAGACAAGTGGTTGCTAATGCTCGTATACCAGTCTCTCCTTCTCGATGTTCGTATAACGAGGGCACGATCTTGGGGATGGTCGCGGCTTTTGGTTGTGGTCGTGAGGTGAAGGAAAGATCCACTAGAGATTTGGCGATTCCATGCTGATAAATTTGGCGGGGTCCTGGTTTGCCGCTCCCAGGCCTGCTTCCCGCTGCATACACCCCGCCGAATGGGCGGATGCCAAATCGTTGACGACGACTACCAAATCCCAGTAACGAATATTTATTAAATATCACTTGTAATTCTTTTCCTTAAGATGGATGCCCGGACTCAAATCATCTAATGTTTCTCTTTGATGATTTTTGAACCCATCTTAGGTATAAAACAGGCAGTTACTGGAGGCGTATCCTGAAATTGGAAGGCGCTCCCTCCTGTACCTGACTAATAAATAAGTCCCTCCTTAAGATAGACTGGGATAGAAAGCTCTTTCATTTCAGCTTCTTATCAAATCACCAAGGAAATTGGAATTCACCAATAAAAAGTGCACTCAAAGTTTCACAGAACACCCAAGCATCAACAAGACCAGACCAAGCCACACAGCAACAGCGCTGTGAACTTCCACAGAGCAAACTGGTTCAGTCTGTCACTGCACCATTCACTTGGGTCCCTGGCAGGTGGATCCCGCTAAAAGCTGCCTGCGAATTAACTTCGACCTGCTTGTCTGCAGCTGCTGCTTACCTTAGCAGCATTTGTAGGCAGCAGGCTACATCATTCGCCTCTTCACATCAACCATCCTGGACGCATCGACACCTCGACACCTCGACATCCCAGAATCCCTTTCACCACGATGCCACCGAAGAGGAAGGCTCAGGGGGCCGGCACCGGCAGCATCAAGGTTGGAAAGGGCTCTGCGGTTTCGACCCCAGGAGGAGCTACTCCGAGGAGCGCTGCTAGCGACAACGAGTCCTCGGCTGTGGATCCCGTCAGCGAACCCGAAGATGAGAACCTCGAGAAGAACGTCGACAAGTTCTCCGTCGAGGCCTACCTCGATCGACCGAAAGCGAACGGCCACGAGTCTATGTCAGCATTGTTTAAGAAGCGTCGCGACTTCTCGTACCTGCAACTTAAGCCCGATTACCAAAACCGCCCGCTCTGGATCGACCCAGCCAAGGGACGTATTTTCCTCGAGAGCTTCAATCCGCTTGCCGAGCAAGCGCAGGACTTCTTGATCACCATCGCCGAGCCGATATCGCGACCCTCGTTCGTCCACGAATATGCCCTCACCACACACAGCCTGTACGCTGCCGTCTCGGTGGGCTTGTCGCCCGGAGACATCATCAATACCCTCGACCGTTTTCTGAAGATGCCCCTACCCGAGAGTATCCGCAAATTCATCGAGGGATGCACACAGAGCTTTGGCAAGGTGAAGCTCGTCTTGAAGAACACAAAGTACTTCGTAGAAAGTACCGATCCAGTAATTCTGCAAAAGTTGTTGAAGGATCCTGTGATTGGACCTCTGCGAGTACACGGAAACGAGGAAATTACAACCACAGCCGCTCCGAAGCAAGGCCCTCTGGTCATTCCAGGCACGGCCAACGCTGCTGGAGTGAGACAGGCTGAAGAGCAGAAAGCCAAGGGACGCGAGGGCGACGCCAAGGAGAGCGAAGTTTACGCGGCACTGAACGACGACGATGACGACGATCAGGAAATCACCCACGCCTTTGAAATCTCGGATGACGCTGTCGAGACCGTGCAAAAGCGGTGTCTCGAATTGGAGTATCCCGTGCTTGAGGAGTACGATTTCAGAAGAGACGAAGCCAACCCGAACCTCGAAATCGATCTGCGGCCCGGCACTTTGATTCGACCGTACCAAGAAAAGAGTCTAAGCAAGATGTTTGGTAACGGTCGAGCCAAGAGTGGTCTGATCGTTCTTCCTTGCGGTGCTGGAAAGACGCTTGTCGGTATCACGGCAGCTTGCACCGTCAAGAAGGGTGTCATCGTACTTTGCACCAGTTCCATGTCCGTCGTTCAGTGGAGAAACGAGTTTCTCAAATGGTCCAACATCAAACCTGAGGATATCGAAGCATTCACTTCCGACAACAAAGGCAGAATCTTTCCGGGTAATACCGGTATCATCGTCACCACGTATTCCATGGTCACGCAGACCAGAGAGAGATCTCACGAAGCGAAGAAGATGATGGACTTCCTGCAGACTCGAGAGTGGGGTCTGATGCTTCTCGACGAAGTGCACGTCGTGCCTGCGAATATCTTCCGCAAGGTCACCTCCTCTATCAAGACTCACTCGAAGCTCGGTCTCACTGCCACTCTTCTTCGCGAAGATGACAAAATCTCCGATCTGAACTTCCTCATCGGACCCAAACTGTACGAGGCGAATTGGATGGAGCTTTCTGAACAAGGCCACATTGCCAAGGTTCAGTGCGCCGAAGTCTGGTGCCCCATGACGACGGAGTTCTACGACGAGTATCTTAAGGCCTCTGCACGGAAACGCGCTTTGCTTTACATCATGAATCCTCGCAAGTTCCAGGCCGCTCAGTACCTCATCAACTACCACGAGTCCCGAGGAGACAAGATCATCGTGTTTTCAGACAACGTGTACGCGCTGAAGACCTACGCCGAGAAGCTCGAAAAGGCCTACATTTACGGCGGTACGGGTCAAGCAGAACGCATGAACATTCTTCAGAACTTCCAGCACAACCCGCAGGTCAACACCCTATTCTTGTCCAAGATCGGAGACACGTCGCTGGACTTGCCCGAGGCGACGTGCCTCATCCAGATCTCATCGCACTACGGTTCTCGTCGTCAAGAGGCCCAGCGCCTCGGCCGTATCCTGCGAGCCAAGAGAAGAAACGACGAGGGCTTCAACGCCTTCTTCTACTCCCTCGTGTCCAAGGATACACAGGAGATGTACTACTCCTCCAAACGCCAGGCTTTCCTCGTCGACCAGGGCTACGCCTTCAAGGTCATCACCCAACTCGCCAACATCGAGAAGACGCCCGGTCTCGCCTACGCTGCCGCCAGTGAGAGGCGCGAACTGCTGCAGAAGGTGCTCATCGAGAACGAGGCCGGCGGCGAGGACGAAGTCATCGACGACTTGTTCCACAGCGGCAACATGGGTCGCGCGCCCGCCAGGGGCAAGAAGAAGGCCGCGGCGCGGAGGACGGCCGGTCTGCTCGGCGATTTGTCCGGCGGCCAGGACATGGCCTACATGGAGCAGAACAAGAGGGTGAGGCTGAAGAAGGCCAAGCCCGAGAGCAGCTCGTTCTTCAAGAAGATCCAAAGGGAAAAGGCCAAGCGGTAAGGGGACAGGGTTTGTATCATGAACAGGGTCAAGGCGTTTTTCTTTTGGTGGGGGGGATGGATGCTCCAGATCGACGGGCACAGCAAACGGCGATTTTGCGTGTTGTAGTATAGAACATACGGTATTAGGCAACTTTACTGGTAAATTGACACCGTGGATAGAAGATACACGATGATTTTCAATGAAATTAATTGGCATTAGTTTCCGGTGCTCGAGAGAAGACGAGAATTTCTTTATGCCCTCGCGATCCTCGCAGCTCCCGATGGCCCGATTGTCTGTCCACTTCCATCCAGTGCCGCACCACATGCGAACTTCTACTCCTGGCTTGACTTCAAGACCCATTTAACAGCAATTGGTATGCTTGATCTACCTTCGGAGGAGCCGATTCGTTTCGATGATACTGTCACCACTGACGAAGCGAGGGTCGCGGCATGATATCCATGCCAAACAAAGAGAACTTTCAGATCAAACGGCAAAAGGTTCTCTCATGGCGCCCGTTAAATTGCTTCGTAAGATATCACAGACATTTCCGGTGTGAATGGCCATGTCTATGTACGCAAATGCCCAATGACACTCGCGACAATCTTCGCTACACGAAGCGTATCCGTGGTAAGAAACCGTCCACAGCTGCGGTTTGCCGTTTACTCCTCAGTATGAGGCAAGCCGTCTCATTTGCAGGAGTAGTTGACATGTCTTTGGATAACGTTCCGGGCACTGTTTTCTGACAACCCGGTAACCCCAAGGATGCCGGACTTCTCTTTTTTGGGAAAACCAGTGATCAGTGACGGATGTCCCTGTGTCCGTTCCGTCCGTCCATCTAGTCGTATCTGCACCTCGTATGCCAATCGGCGGTCCCGCCAGCGAGAATTGTTGGTAAAGAAAAAGGGGGGCTCGATGGAAAATGTTCTCCGTTCCCTGTCGACAGAACCCTAGTCAGAGGCTCTGTTTACCAGGGGAGTTTTGGGCAAGGTGATCGACAAGCTCCCGTGGACGGATAACCGGGAACTAGCCGCCCGGCTGGAGCAATTAGCATTGGGTTTTTATTTAGTGTCCACTGCTGTCGTGTTTCTGTCAAAGACGTCCATGTTGCCTTGAAAACGTGGCTGTTTGGTCAGAATCAGTTGGGAGATGACAAACAGGCGCCGTTTGCGATTGCGGTCACGTACGGCGCTGTGAAAACGCTCCGAGATGGCCAAGACCGCGTTTCCCCCTTTCTGGGTGGTTTGTAGGTAGGTTGAGCAGGGGGTCCGGTAGGGGACTCGGCAGGGGATGAATGGATTGCGCCATGGGCCAGAATATCCTCGCTCCCATCCCCGATCGATGTTTCCTGAATAGTCGGTCTGGAAATCTACCAGTCGGCAGACGTTCCCCTTCACGTGGGCCCGGCTGGCGAACGAGTTGAACGGTGCAAAAGCAGGTGGTCTTGGCAGATACACGGGTTGGGATCGGGGCGAGCTGTGATTCTCCGCCGGCATCTTTCCCGTCTGTCCTATCTTGACGGTTGCTGCGCGTTCGAGGGTGCCAGGGAATTCTTGGCGGTTCGGGTTTGGGCATGAGCGTCGGTGAGCGGTGTGAAAGGTATGTCGGGGACGTCATTGGGGGGAGGCCTTCTGAGGTAGATATCAGCAATTTTCAAACGTCACCCGGGAGTTTATGTCAAGGCCGGCGTATCGCCAGATGCTATCCGTACGGGCTGGACCGACTCACTCTCGCCTGCCGGAGCGGCGGGACGAGGCCGTCGTCCGGCCCCACGAAGGGTTCTCTGTCGAGCTAGGAAGCCATTTCTCGCTTTGCAATGTGTCATGAATGGGGTTTTGTATTGAACGCAATGTATTCTACTAAAGGAAACTGAGTATCTTCTCGAGACCCTGCTTGTCGCCTTCCAACGTCTCAGCTTTGTCCTTGTCAACCCACCCAGGTGTGTAACTGCCTCCAAAGTCGATGATCCAGGCATTATCGCCCCTGTCAATTAAGATGTTCTCGGCTTTAGCGTCACCCCAGATGATGCCTTCGCGATGCAGCATTCCCAGTGATGTGGTGATCTGCTCCCTCCAACGTTGCCTCAAAGCGGACGAGCTTATCTCGGCTTCGGCTCTTGAGAGCACCCCGCGTGTGTCGATCCAGGAAAGCAGCATTCCCATCAACATGTTCCCATCTCGAACAACTCCATGCATGCGGCAGATCCATGCTTTTGGGGCGAGAGGTATCTGCGCCCTTGCGATTTTCTCCAGCGTCATTATCTCCCTCTTCACCTGGTCTGGATCTGAGCCGCTGCGAAACTCCTTGAAGTAGCACGTGACCATGTCCCCATTTCCTGCATCAACAACGACCTTGCTTGGTGGTTTTATCAAAACGTCCTTGGGTCGGTTGTAGAGTATGTCGACTTGGGACGGATCGTATGACCGAGTCCACTCGTCGAGGCCCCTAAGAAACTCATCCCCTACGCGTACACCCGGGCCGCACAAGCCGTTGCCCCGAGTCTTCTCATGGTATGGTCGTGCGACTTCTTCGGTAGCCGTCAGGTCGCAACTGAAGCCCTCAGGGAACAGGTACTGGGAGAGGTTCGGACGCCCATGCTCGGGGACCGGCGAGGGCGCCGGCGCCAGCTGGTTGATGAGAGGCGCGAACAGCTTCGACAGCCAGTCGCACGCCTCTTCGTCGTCGTAGAGATCGTATTCCTCACACTCGTCTCCAGACCGTAGCACCTCGATACACTTGAGGTATTTGTCGGTGAGCTTGGGCGAGTGAACAAATCGCGATGGGTCTATATCGCAGTAGAAGGCTCGTCCGTTGTTGGCTCGTATGATCAGTGTGCAGTCGTTTTCCGTCTCATGCACTATCCAACTAGCGACTTCGTAGTGTAGTAAATTTTCCATGATGACTGTTGTTTGCGGCGACGTTTGGGTTGAAAGGAGAGTAGATGAAGTCCGGTCGACTTTGAAGACTGTGGAAGAGATGGGTGTTTTGTGTCCCAGTCTGTTGGCATTTCTGACGGATACATGTACTGTTGGTGATGATGGCCCGTGCGGTGGGTTTTCTTTGTTGGCGGGCTTGAATGCCCAGCAGTCTTTTGGTCTCTCGCAACCAGTTGGCTGCCTGGGCGTTGCGTCGAGATATCAATCCTAGGAATAAAGGAATTGTTCAGAACTTGTGTGTGGAATTACTTCGAGTCCGTTTGAACTAAGCAACTGTTCAGAACTTATCTGTAGAAAGAGCTTGGTCCCACTTGAACCAAGGAGCTGTTCGGAACTTATACGTAGAAAGAGCTTTTCCACTTAAACCATGGAACTGTTCAGGACCTACGTGTAGCATGAGCTTGGTTCCGCCTCAACTAAGGAACTGTTCAGGACTTGTTCATAGCATGAGCTTGAGTCCACTTGAACCAGGCGACTATTCAGGACTTATATATAGGATGGAATGAGTCTGCTTGAGATCAGACTTCTACAGCTCTTTAGCAATCAACTTCATAACTACCTCTGTTATTACTTTCCAAACTCAAGTAAATAAAGCTCTATGACTCTTATAAAGATCTTAATCAGTCACTAACTAGTCTAGAGAAGCCACGATCTATTCGACTGTTTACGGGAAGACAACTTGACGTCACCAACCCCCAACCCACTACCAACACAACGAGCTGTAACACCTTTGGTCTTAGTAGAGCCGAAAATGTGTCATAGATATAAGACCGTCTATAGCTGCGGACACCTGTACGAACCGAAGCGGTGGACGCCTGAGACACCCGAAGAATGCTCCGTTGCTGTAGCTGCGAACCAGCGGACCCCGGGGGGGAAACTGAAGCGCTGTGCGAATGCGACAACCAGCACGTATGCAAACATAGCCGGGCATTGTGGCGGAAAGAGGTGCAAGGTCAAGGAGGAGCTCTTACCCGTCGGCTGGAAGTGTTGCAACTGTGGACATACAAGCCCCCCTGCCGCGCACCCGAAGCCCTGTCCAAATGTGGCTAATTTCATGGATGCTGACAATGACGGTAACTATCGCCGTGTGTGCAAGCATGAGCCTTGCGCGACTTGCGACCCTTGGCCACAATAGGCTCGACAATCAACTTGATATCACTGTCTCTTAGACTTCTAGATCCAAGCCAACACAGTTTGTTAGAGTAGATGTCGAACGTATCATAAATTCATAACATCATATCACTGCTTTAGGGTTACATCTGCCCTATTACGTCCACCTGCTAAAGTATGGTTTCTACTCGCGTCTGTCTGAACTGCTTTGTTGACTTCATCCTTTGATGCGTCTCATAAAACCCTCCTTTACTAGCTTCTATATATTCCAGATGTTTTCCTTATACAATATCAGGTTTCTGTATCATTTGGGGTTCAATTCCTTGGGGCCCCCCCCCCCAACAAAAAAGAAAAGGGGTGGTTGGTTGGGGGTGTCGCGTACAGCACGTTGCGTGCCTGACAAGACTGGCTGGAGTAGGGCTGCGATCTATCGGCTGAGGAGCAAACAGACCCGGCGGTGAAGCAGGGTGAGCGAGAGACAGAGAGAGCAACCTGCAAGTCACGTTGTGTTGGGATGGTGAGAGTGAAAAGCGACAAGATGGTTGTCGCCAGTTCCAGTTTGGCGATGTTCTCACTTCCCACCTCGGTGGGTAGTTGCTGTCAGTGGTCTGAACCCCAGGACCCGGCCGGCGGGATGGACGGAATAAGACGCCGGCAGCCCGGTCAGACAGGGTTGGAATTGGCAAAAAAATGACAGAAAATAGTTCGATGGAATCGCACAGTGTTCACTCTCGATGTTTCTATTTGAGAGGAGTTGTATTGGTTTCCGAAGTGGTGGCGCAGAGCACACGATTTGTTAAAGGCGATGTTGTTGAGATCATCGTTGGGCTGTGCTGTGCTATGCATGTATTTGTACAGCAGGTGGCTTTCTGAAAGCCTCCGGTGCATGAGATAAGGTGCGCCTAAAAAAGATCCAATGGGTTGCAGGATATCTGGGGAAGCCGACAGGTTTCACAAGTCTCCGTGGCTTGCGGGTGTTGTTTGATTCGGGGAAATGGAGGGTATTGTTTTTGTGGTCGAGGGACTGCGTCGTCTTGGCTAGGATGACCCGTTAAATACAGAGGCCATGCTGTTTCAATTTATAGGGGTCGAGAGGCATTTCTCTAACAGGTGTCGTGACCTCGAGAGAGTCATGCTGAAGACTTCTAGGTTCCCGACTAGTTTCTTGCTTAACATGAACCTGGCCGAGGCTTGCCTAGTGGATGAATAGGTTTAGCGGGATGCGCGGCGCCGTTGTAAATATACGGACGTATCTGACTTATTGGGTGCTGATCTTGGAAGTATGGAATGGGAACCCTACCTTGGAGGTGTCGGCACCGTGATTGCGTAGGTAGGTTGTGGCAGAGAAAGCACCTCAGCCAACATGAGATCATGTAAGGTAGTGTATGCGACGAAGGTGAAGGAGGGGAGATGCTTGGTATTCACATGTCAAGTGGTCATTTCAGTCAGGTACAGACACGCAAGATGGCAGGCAATAAGAGACAACGATCGGGAGGGTAGGGGTGTGGCACCTTCAGGTTTCCATTTCCAAGAGATGCTTCGAGATTGGAGAAGCAGAGTGAGATGCGTTGGCACAAATGACGTCGGGTAGCATACCTACCTAGTACCTGATGCCTGTCGTGGGTGCTGGTTTCTTGCTGCTTCGGGCGAGTGCAGCAGCTCTGCTGTGTTCTGCTTGGGTGAGAGGTTGCGACCCACCCAGAAAATAAAGTTACTTGGCACTCCGCCGGCTTGGTTGGGGGAACTCACAGCTCCAGCTGCACCTGCTACGCGGGAAATTTGGTAGTCTGGCGTCCACGGTCCACGGGCAGTGTCTTGGAGTCTCACGAGCTGCGACCAACGAGCTACATGTCAGCTAGAGTACCGCATATGAGGTTGAGCTAAGAACTAGGTGCTACCTTATTGAAGCCCAGCCGTGTGGTCTTGTTGAAGGACGCCGTTGCGTTGCGCAGGAGAGGAAAGTCTCCATGTTGCGCTGCATGGCATTCTGGACCGCCGAGCCAACAGCGCCCGTCACCACATAGCGTGTACTATCTAAATAGCAGGATGATTCGGGCCACACATGAATGATTTGCGCAGATGATTGGCGATCATTCCGACAAGTTTTCGAGATGCTTGATGCAGCCACCATCGGTCACAGGAGCACAGGGGGTCCTCGGCGAGCGGCGAGCGGCGAGGTCGGCCTTGCACCTTGCATAGGCGACTCGGGTGTGGTGTAAGCAAATGGTAAGTGATGTGACTGTCACTGCATCTGAGGCTAAGGAGTTGTTCGATGCGATGTTGCGCTGAGTCAATTGGACCAACTCACGATCACGCAACCTTCTGTTGAACGAGTAGTAGAAAATAGAGTCGCAATCGCCCCACGATATTCCGTGTTCTGGACCGTTACTCAGAGCAGGTTGTCCGGAGCGTTGGACTGTGAGTGAGGACTCTCCATCGATGGGGAGGGCTATTTCTGTTCCATTGGCAGTGGAGCAGTACTACTGCCAGACAAAGCTTAGCTTGTGTTATCCCCAGGCACAGTTCAGAAATGTCGTCCCGGTCGTTGCCACTGCCATTGCACCCCATCCAGGACCTTGTCAAAATGCATGGATGGCTGAAGATGTGGATATGCCGCAGCCATTGTGGACGTTGTCGTTGTGGTTAGGTACTCCACTGAACCCGTCCGAGACGCCCGCACGCCGGACGGAACAGCCATGCTCCCTTCTAATTAAAAAAACCGAGAAAAAAAAACTGGACAGGACGGAACGCCTCCTGTTGAGCTGAACCCCAATCGCACAATATCTAAAACACCTCCATCCTCCTCCCCCGGCCTGTCGCCGTCGCCGTCGCCGTCGCCTATCTCTTCTGCTTTGCTGTCGCTGCAGTCTTCAGTCGCTGAGCCAAGAGCCAAGAACCAGCGGCAGAGCCCTGGGACATTGGCGTTGGCGCGCCGGCAGTAGAAGTAGCAAGTGGCACCTGCAATCTGCAATCTGCAATCTACCTTACCCGTACCTAGCAGTTGCAGCCCGCAGCATCGGATGCCTCTTCTGTGTTCCACCTACGGATACTTCAGCACTGAACTCATCCGATCCGAATTCGACTCTTCTTTCCCATCCTGGTTTTTTCGTCGAATCTACCTGCCTGCCTACCGCACTTACCGGCCTACCTTACCTACCTACGCAGTATATACACGGACACCACCTGATGTCACGCTTACCACGACCGGCGACCACCACTTCGTCCACCTTCTCACGCACCAATCGATCGTCATGAATTCCAGCTCAGCCGTCATCCAATCCTTTGCTCGAGGACGGTTAGACTAGAAAGCTTCACAGCCACACTAGTGCCAAGACCTGGCCCCATACCCAGAACGCCCACTACACCAACCTACTCATACATATCCCCCAGCTGGCCGATGTCTCGACTCGCCTACTTCTGAACAAGAGGCCTTGTTTTTCCCCCTCCATTCCGTCCTGCTCGCCATCAAACCACCATCGCGATCCGAGAGAGATGCTCGACGACGCGCGTGGCTGGCTGCTCGCCCAGCTTCGGGCAGCCAAGCCTTCTTTTATATCAAAGAAGCCTCACTTCAACTTCATCTCGGCTCACTGTAAGTATCTTCCCTCGCTCGTCCCAACTGCCGTCGCATTCAATCGGCGCAAAACCCACAGCGCTAACCACTACCGCGACTTGACCTTAGACTTCTGGATCTGTGGCCTCACCATCCTGGGCTCCATTCTCATCTACGCCACTGCCGGTGGCCAGATGGCATACATCGACGCTCTGTTCTTCGCCAGCGGTGCCAACACGCAAGCCGGTCTCAACACCATTGACGTGAACTTGCTCAACACCTTCCAGCAAATATGCCTCTACTTCTTTACCATGACCTCCAACCCCATCACCATACACTCTTCTGTCGTCTTCCTCCGACTTTACTGGTTCGAGAAGCGATTCCAAACCGTCGTCCGCGAAGCTCGCCAGCGGAGAAACACCATATCTAAATCAATGTCCAGGGCCCGGGGCGAAGACTTGAATCAGGCTGAGCGAGGCCGCGGTTTAAGCGTGCGCAATATTAAGGTTATGCACCGCAATAACCAGAGGATCACCAACGACGGCATCGTGCTCGATATGAAGGACGACGAAGACGGTCGTGTATCCCCTGGCAGCAACGGCTTCGTTCCAATCCCCGGCACCCCAGCCCACCGTTCCTCGGGAGAGCAGACTCCCAGTACGGTTCCGGGGTCCCAACATGACAACCACGATGCGCATGACAACGACCCATCGCAGAACCGAATCACTTTTGCAAGCAATGTTTTCCGAAGCGATGGAACCGAGCCCGAGGTCAAGCTCCCGCCGCCCTCTTCTCCTGCGCACTTGGCCATTCTCGAGCGACAACGCAACGATCACCACGAAGAGACTCTGCGAATTCCCAACCCTAGAGATGCTGAGAGGGGCATGAAGCCGAAGCGTGTGGAGGACGGCGATGCTCCTGAGCCCGAGGACGACGAGGCCGCTCTCCATGCACACTCCGCTGCGAGCGGAGCGAACGGCATGGGTAACGAGGTCGGTAATGGCGGTCGTCGGCAGACGATCAAGATTGAAGAGCCTGAGCGGCCCAAGGACCAAGAACGGGCAAGAAAAGACGAGATCGCCGAGGAGGCCGAGGTTATCGGTAGGGCCATGTTCCCCTTCTCGTTTCGCCGTCACAGCAAGAAGGCATCGCAGAGTGAGGCAGGCTCCGAAAACCCTCTCACCAAGGTCCGAAGCCGCGTCGACACCTTCAGAACCGCGCTTTCTCGCGACAAGGAAGACGAAATGCCGTATCTCAGTTTCACGCCCACGCTAGGAAGAAACTCCGCTTTCCCGGGCTTAACACAGGATCAACGTGAGGAGTTGGGAGGAATCGAATATCGATCTTTGAGAACGCTTGCAGTCATTCTGCTGTGCTACTTCTGGGGTTTCTCGCTTTTTGCCATCGCATGCTTCCTCCCTTGGATCCATACCAGCTCCAATGACAAGTACGGCAACTACGTCGAGTCCGGCGGCGTCAGCAAGGCCTGGTGGGCCATCTTCACGGCGAATTCAGCCTTCAATGATCTCGGTCTCACCCTGACCCCCGACAGCATGAACTCTTTCAACGACGCGACGTTCATCCTCTTGATCATGTCGTTTCTCATCATCATTGGTAACACCGGCTTCCCCATTATGCTTCGGTTCATCATCTGGGTCTCGTCCAAGATCGTCCCAAATGGTGGCCTCCACCAGGAGCTGCGATTCCTGCTAGACCACCCCCGTCGTTGCTTCACCCTACTCTTCCCTGCAGGCGCGACCTGGTGGCTCTTCGCAATTCTCATGGGTCTCAACATACTCGATCTCTTATTCTTTGTCTTGCTTGACGTATGTATTCGCTACGCCCGCCAATGGAATCATGCTAACCTCCAACGACAGCTTCACGACAATGCCGTTAGTCATTTGCCTGTGGGTATTCGGATTGTCAACGGTCTGTTTCAAGCGTGTGCGACCAGAACCGCGGGTTTCTCCGTCGTCAACATATCGCTTCTGCATCCTGCAGTTCAGGTTTCGTACATGATCATGATGTACATTTCCGTATTCCCAATCGCTATCTCAATCCGTCGCACCAACGTGTACGAAGAGAAGTCACTTGGCGTGTACCACCATCCGGACGAAGACGTCGAGGGCACAAACGAAAACAACGCCATGTCCTATGTCGGAACCCATTTGCGTCGTCAACTCTCTTTCGACTTGTGGTATGTGTTCTTGGGTCTGTTCATTTTGGCCATCACAGAAGGAAACCGCATCCAGGCCAAGGACTTTGATGTTTTTTCGGTTCTGTTCGAAATAGTGAGTGCGTACGGCACTGTCGGTCTCAGTTTGGGTTATCCCAACGTCAACGCATCACTCTGCTCGCAGTTTAGCACGGGAGGCAAGCTCATCATCATTGCCATGCAAATCCGTGGACGACATCGCGGCCTACCATACGGCCTAGATCGCGCAGTTCTACTGCCGAGTGAGGCCAGGTTCGAGAAAGAAGCTGCTGAGGCCCCACTGCCTGTTCTGGTACGATCTGCTACTGGCGCATCGACCGGAACTGCCTTGAGCGCCAGTCGATCTCACCTGAGGTCGAGGAGACAGAGTACAAACAAGGGCAACCTGTTCAGCTCATTCCTCCATCCGGGTCCTCCCATGCTGTCGCTCGATGACAGTTTCGCAAGCAGACGCAGCAGATCATTTGATGTTGGCGAACATCATCTACCGATAGCTGAGGAGATGAGAAGACGGTCGACGACGCCTGCTGTTGTAGATGACGATTCTACATCTACCGACACCGAGGTGGTGCAGCCCCGGCGGGTGAATACCACGCGCTAGGGGCTGCCACAATCGGTTGTCCCGGAGAGGACGACGAGGGAGTAAAATAGGGAGCGAATATTGCACAGAGTTCTACATGATATCAACTCGGAAGCGGAGTTACTGGTGCGAAAACATTACATATTCGGTGCGGCAGTCCTCTTTTTTTTCAAAGATGGGTCGGACTAGACAGCTCAAGCTACGGACATACCTCGTGAACCGGCGTTGGGAGATTCCTGTACATTCTTAGTATGCTGTACACTATAATGAATGACGAACATGTCTTTTACTGTTACAGACTGGCGGCGAATAGCCACGTGTGGCCCATTGATTCCTCTCAGCAGAACTTCTGCTTTGCTTGGATCAAGAAGCCGTCCAGACAGAAACCACATGTCATTGATCTCAGAGACAAAGTCAACAGGTGTGCCCCCGAAAGTTTTCTCATCTTCTCCAAAGTGCTACAATTGGGCAGCAGAAATAACATCATATTACCGCTATAGCTTGGTCTAGCAAACACTACCACCCTGTAGCCACATGACATTCATGCATACTCATGTGACCATATAAGTATATCTCAGCCCTTCTTATCCCTTAAGGGAGCTTTATAGTAAGGGTCTTGGAGCTATGTACTTCTATAGTATGCGGTTCTCGGCCTGGTAGGCAAACCATAACTGGCAGGAAACTGGCTGCTGATGCCTCTCGGAAGGAACACCGAAGGTTGACGACGTAGGCTTCTTCTTTTCTCCCCTTGCTGGTCCTCTCCCAGCTGACCTCCAATATCGCGGTGGTCTTGGAAGTCCGGACTGGTATTGATGCCTTGAGCCGTGGGGAAAGAGATAGCCGAGGCTTGAACATCACGACAGACCAACCCGGCTGCGCAGGCCGGATGCCGGCAACTTCGACCAGAAACTCGTGGATAGGCGCACTGCCCCATGCATGGCAGTCGGAACGGACGCTGACGGCATCCTCTGCCCACGTCGTGAGGTTTTGCGCGATTTGCTCTCTCCAAATCGACCAGAACGAGTGGAAGTTCTTGTTGTATACCTCATCTCCTGCCGCTGCCAGAGCTCGGAGTGTGTAGAATGAGAAGGAGATGGACGTCGGGGTGAAGAGCCGCCGCGCGGAGATCGCCTCCGGAGCGACGTCTTGTGGCGCGGAAGTGTCGACCTGCGCCAGGCTTCGCTCCAGGATCGTCACCGCGAGCTCACCCGTCGCCACGCCGGCCAGCACCGCCCACACCTGGCTGTGTTGGCTGAACTCCTCGGCCGGGACGAGCTCGAGGGCAAGTCCGTCGGTGAAGAATTCGCCGTCGAAACAATGTGCGCGGACTGCTCTCACGATCGTTCCCGCCGCGTCCTCGTAACGACGCGATTCGGCACCTCGGCCGACCTTGTCGCAGAGCCATGCCAGCTTCTTCAGAGCAAATACAAAAAGACAGTTGGTGTACGTCGATACGCCAGTCCGCCGCAGCGCCGTCGGGATCCCCTGGGGCGCCCACCTGGTGGTCCAATCGGTGTACTCCCACAATGCGTTGTTGAAGGCGCGGACCAGGCCGAGCTCTGCGTCGATACGCGAAGAAAAGGTCTCGATGATGGCGTCGCTCACGCCGAGAAACCTGCGCGCGAACGCGGCATCTGCGTGGTGTTCGAAGTGGTCGACGACCATGCAGATCCAGTACAGCGAAAAGGCCGGGATGAACTGTCTCTGCATGACGGACGACACCGACCGAGACGACGTCAAGCCGACCGACGGCACGAAGCTGTCGTGAAGCTGAACGATGGCCTGGCGAGCCAGCCGGTCGTCACCTGAGGATAAGTAGGTGAAGAGCGCGGAGCTCCGAGTGTCCATGGGATACTGCATCTGCTCGTAGAACGGGCAGTCTTCGTAGCAGTCGTGCATGCAGTTCTGGAGAGTACGCAGGCTGACAGACCACAACTTCGACACCCAGTCATCGCCGGTGTCGAAGCTGGCTTTAGGAGCGAGTGGATAGCCGTATCCGACGACTTCGACCCCTTTGACGTGCACCTCGGCATCCTCGGGTACCTCGATGTCTATGGCGAGGTAGCGGAAAGTGCGATAGTGGAAAGGCTGGTACACCTCCTCCTCGGGCGCCATGGGGTGAAGGTCGAGACTCGTAGCCAAGCCCCCGAGAATATAGCTGTCCGAAGGTCCTACAATTTTCTTGGACTTGTCGGTGCGGTCACCCTTGCGTCGCGCGAAGGGTACGACGACCGGATCATCCTCGTAGCATTCGGAATACGTGATGGAAAGCTTACTCCCGGCCGAAGCTTCTTCAGACGCAAACCGGAGTGTGAGGAATGCCGTCGTATGGTTCTCAACGGCCAGTTCGACGTGATGCTTCGATCCAGACGGCAGACGGAGGCTTTGAGTTGGGTTCGCCGCGCACGAGCGCCGCAACAGCAAAGATTCCCACTCGGCCTGTCCAATAGGGCGCTGGACGTTGTTGACGGCGTTGAACTGGACGTCCTCCAGATTCATTGGTGGTATCATCCGGGCGCAGAGCCGCCACGGCAGCATCACACCCCAGTCTTCCTGGATATCCAGCCCCTTCGCAGATGTCCATGAGAGGTGCACATCATTGCGCCGGTCCACCTGCTCAAAGATGTGCAAGAAGAGGTCGAAAGGCTCGTCGCTCCTGAGGAGTGCCGAGACATCGACGGCGGTTTCCCACGTGTCGTCACCGTTCAGCTGGGCCTCGCTGGCTGGATCGATGGTTCTCACGTACAGGCCTCCAATCGGCATGCGCGGAAAAGATGTGGCGTACGTGGTGGCATAGAAGAACCGTAGAACATGGATGACGACTTGGTTCTGCCCCTGTTGAAGAAAGGGTCGGATGTCTATGGTGTCGTAGAACCACCGGTTCTCGTCTCCCTTGACAGGACCGGAGTGGACCAGTCGTTTGTTGATGTACAGCTTGTAGCGCGTGTCTGCCGTGAGATTGATGTAGACAGGCCGGCTCGGAACATCAGAGATGCTCAGAGTCTTACGAAAGTACAAGAATCCGCCAGCAGCGTCGGGCCTGTTGTCGATCCAGTCGGGGTGCCATATCCAGGCAGAGCCGTACTCTGTGAGGTCCATAGCGAATGAATGTGAAGTGCCGAGCTGGTCGCACTCAATTAGAACAACTTGAAGACAGTATTATCCTGTTTCCTAAAGGGCTCCGTCTACTCTATAAGACATTCATGACATACATCCGATCATGGCACGTCGTGCGGTACCGTTGTCTCTTCGCACATCATTCTGCGATCAGGCCATTCACTCAACCGAGCGGACCATTTCAGGCCGAGATCGAGGGGTTGGTCAACAGGAGGTATCTGTTATTAGCAAGTCGCTGCAATGAGAACCGAAGTGAGGCATTCAGAAGGAGGGTAAATGGTAAGAGAGAGGTTTTTCGTATTGAATGCGAAAATCCCCCCAAGCCTGTATCCCCCATCTTCGGGCCAGCGCGGCTTGCGGCTTTCCGCTTTTGGGTATCTCAAGCACCAGCTATAGATGCATTTGCCAGAATCTGGCGGTGCATATCGTACCGATCAAGTTTCAATGCCATCCTTAAGTTGCCTGCTAGACGCATGATCTCTCTCTCCCTATTGTCTTTGAAAGACTTTGTTGTTGAAGTTCACGCTCGGGTATTCTGTATTGGTTTTACATCTCAACAGGAACCTATTCTTGTCATCAGAGATACAGACATCTTTTCAACATGGCGAACACCGAGACGCTCCGTGGCGTGGACAGTTTGCTTGAGCAGCTCACGTTGGAGGAGAAGGTCAGCCTGCTCGCTGGCCAGGGCCGATGCAGAACAACTGGCGTTGCACGTCTAGGTATCCCGCCTTTGGATGTATGTTGGGACTCGGACGCAGTATATTCTATTTTCATACGCTGTTACTGATTCGTCCTTTGCAGACATCCGATGGTCCTCATGGACTGCGAGGATATCCGTTCTTCAATCCGGTAATGTCACCTCCTCGCCTACTCGAAATATCCCCGTATTGCAGTCTGCACCACGAGGGTAAACATTCGACCAGTACTGACCCGCTGCAGAATCAGGGCTGTCTGCTCCCTTGCGGCACTGCCATGGGTGCGACCTTTGACGTGAAGCTGATGGGAAAAGTCGGCCAACTGTTGGCCGGCGAGGCCCTTTGCAGGCACATTTCCATCATCTTGGCTCCAGTCGTCTGTATTCAAAGATCACCACTACTCGGCCGGGGCTTCGAGGCTTTTGGTGAAGACCCTGTTTTGAGCGGCCTGATGGGAGCAGCATACACTGCTGGTATTCAAAGCCGCGGTGTTGCATCTTGCATAAAGCACTTTGCAGCTCACGATCAGTCGTGGTCGAGCACGGAAGACAACGCCGTCATGTCAGAGAGGACCCTCCGAGAGATGCACACACTACCTTTTCAACTGGTCATGAAGGAATCCAAACCTTGGGCGGTCATGACATCGTACAACAAGATCAACGGTGTCCATGCCAGCGAAGACCCCAAGCTTCTCAGGGAGATCTTGCGACAGGACTGGGGCTACGATGGCCTGGTTCTCAGCGACTGGTGGGGCACGTACAGCACGACCGAGTCCATCAACGCAACGATGGACTTGGAAATGCCGGGTCCCACGTTGTGGCGTGGAGGGCTCTTGGTGAATGCCGTGGGCAGTCGGAAGGTCACGACGGCAAGGATCAACGAGTCCGCCAGAAGGGTCCTGGAGATTGTACAGAAAGTTCAGCCAGCGATATCAAAAGCCAAGTACGATGTCAGGGGCAACGACACGGAGGAAAACCGGCGCTTGATTCGGAAGGTTGCTGCTGAGTCGATTGTGTTGCTGAAGAACGACAACAAGTCCCTTCCCCTGAAGCCCGACGCGAAAACGATATACGGACTCATTGGGGACCACTTCACCAATGCCGCTTTCGCCGGCGGCGGTAGTTCTGAAGTCGATCCCTACTACGTCGTCCAGCCTCTCGATGCTTTTGTGGAAGATGTGGGCAAGGAGAACATCACGTTCGAGACTGGCTGCTATTGTATGTCGAACCCCCCTCAATCTTCGCGGGAGGTGTTTTCCCTTCTCTCTTCTTGTTTCTTCTTCTTCTTCTTCTTTTTGCTCAGACTGACTTATTCGAAGCTCATTCCTGGACGCCCCTTTTGTGGGACGAGCTTTACAACGAGGCCGCCGGGGAACCAGGACTGCACATTGAGTTTTTCCAAGACGACCCCGAAGTCAACCCCGATGCGGCAGTCATCCACACCGAGAAGACGCGGAAAAGTTTCATGATATTCGCAGACTGCCTCCCGCAGCCCTTTCCGGACGACTACTTTGTCAAAGTTAGGACCAAGTTCACATCGGCAAAGACCGCCCGGTACCGATTCGGCCTGAGCGCTGCTGGAAAAGCCAAGTTGGTCCTCGACGGCAAGACCATCATTGACCAATGGACAGACCATCCCGAGAAGAAAAAGACGGACATCACGCCTGGGTTCAACAACTTCACCATGGAAAGGTTTGCAGAGTTCGACGTCCAGGCCGGGCAACCGTTGAACTTTGAGATCTACCTGACCAACAAAAACTTGGGTACGCCCACCGGCATTGCACCGGCGGCCGGCGCCAGGCTCGGCGGTTGCGAGATCATTGACGAGGATAAGACGATTGCAGCCGCTGTCGAGCTCGCCAGCCGAGTGGACGTGGCCATTCTTATGACGGGTCTGTCCTCTGATTACGAACTTGAGAACTCTGACCGAAGCTCTCTTTCACTCCCGGGGCGCGTTGATGAACTGATTGAACGGGTCCTCAACGCCAACCCGAACACGGTATGTGTCGATCCGTCAGCGCACCAGTAGAAGAAGCAAGCTAACTAGACCTGTTTCATCGGCCACGTAGATCATCATCACGCAATCTGGAATGCCTATCCTGATGCCGTGGGCCGCAAAGGCCAGAACGCTGGCCCACGCGTGGCTGGGCGGCCAAGAAGCCGGTCATGGCATGTTAGACTTCCTCTTTGGAAGAATCAATCCATCAGCAAGAATGCCTTTGACCTTTCCCAAGCGGCTAGAAGACAACCCGGCATTCTTGACCTTTGGCAAGGCCGACCGGGACTTGCTCTATGGCGAAGGTGTCTTTGTAGGCCATCGGTATTACGAATACGCCAAGCTGGAGCCCGAATTCTACTTCGGGCATGGCCTCTCGTACACCGAGTTCTCATACTCCAACCTCGCCGTCCCCGCCGAGTTTGTGGCCAGTGCAGACCACAAGATGCAGGTCACCGTTGATGTAAAGAACACTGGCAGCTTGGGGGGCGCTGAAGTCGTGCAGTTGTATGTCGTCGATCCCGAGTCGACTTTCCAGCGACCCAGAAAGGAACTCAAGGCATTCCAAAAAGTTTGGCTTGAGCCCGGACAAGTAGAGACTGTGAAGTTGTCTCTGGACAAGTACGCCCTATCTTACTGGTCTCAAGAGCACGATCAGTGGATTGCAGAAAACGGGGAGTTCGTTGTCATCGTATCTCGGAGCGCCAATCCAAAGGATGAGCTCTTGAAGGCAAGTTTCCGGTTGCCCAAGACTTTCTTCTGGTCTGGTTTGTGATGTATATATGTATATATATACATATTTTAGATCCTTAGACGCATAGTAGCTTAGAAGTCGTTCGTTGCACTCGCACGGCTTAGACTTGAGAACAATGATAGCACACACCGTTCCAAAAGATAGTCGGAAGAAGACTTCGTATTGGTTACGCGCGTGACCATCACTTCCATCTCAGGAGGTTTAAACTGCTGGATACGTAGCAGTGGTGTGATTTGTTTTGATTTTTGCGTTCGATCATCTCGGTCACATCTCCTAGTCGTTGCTCTTGTTCAGGTCGTCTATGTCATCGTCCGTATAGAATACTGAGATTTACGAAAATAACTAGATGCGGAAGGTCGAGACGCATATCGTGGCACTTGACACTTAGCTTCCAAGAGAATGGAATGACCGCTTGTTGGGTACAGAATTTAGGCTAAAAATGCGTCCTCACGGGAAAGAAGTGGTAGGGGCTGATCGTATAGCCTCTCGCCAACGTTGGATCATGGCTAGACCAGCATGTCCAAATAGTCAACAATAAGCGCCGAACATACCACCGGAGATCTGCTGATGATTCGCGGGGGAGAGTGGGACGCCCGCCGTTTCCGCAGTCCGGGGAATATACCTACCTTGACCCCAGATTTACCAACAAACGGACCATAACCAGGCTCTACGGATACTCGCTGTATATAAGTCACCCGGAGATGCGCTGTTAATCAAGATTTTGGGCCCCTTCCCATCAATCTTTGGTACCACACCACTCATTATCTCGTACGCCTCCCTTCATTACAACAACCCCATCAAGCGCAACAGAGGTTTGTTCATACATGTCTAGGCCACGATGACTGCCGACTCTAAGACGACAGAGGAGCGGGCTAGAGAGTCGCCAGAGGCGGTGACCGCTGGCGATCAAAATGTCTTTCATGAGATCCTCGAGAAGCTACCGCCTTGGTATACGAATCCCAGACTGGTCAGACTCTATTTTTTCCTCGTCGCCCCCATCGTCACATCTGCGGCCCTTGGCTTCGACCTCAGCATGACGAACGGCCTCCAGTCCGTGAACATCTTCATGAACAACTTTGGAAACCCTAGCGGATCTACTCTTGGCTTTTATGGCGCCTCCATGTCAGTGGGCGGCTTCGTTGCCTGCCTCATCGCCGGCCCTCTCAACGAGCGGTTTGGTCGACGGCTCATTTGCTCCGTGGGCGCAGCCATTGTGATTGGAGCGACAATCATGCAAACGTTTGCCATAAACTTTGGCATGTTCACCGGCGGCAAAATGATCTTGGGCTTTGGATCCAATCTTCAGCTCCTGACCGCTCCTGTGCTGGTGACGGAGCTGGCCCATCCCATGAATCGCGTCTTCATCTCCTCCTTCTACAACACGAACATCTTCATCGGGCTCATCATCGGAGGCTGGGTGACCTTTGGTACCTACAGCATGAACTCTCACTGGGCGTGGAAGCTCCCCTGCATTCTCCAGGTCGTCATCCCCAGCTACCAGGTTTTCATGCTTTGGCTCTGTCCCGAAAGCCCGAGATGGCTCGTGACCAAAGGCCGCATCGCAGAGGCTAGGGAAATCCTCATCCGCTACCACAGCTCAATCCAGGGAGTCGAGGACGAGGTTGTCAAGACCGAGCTGCAGGAGATTGTCACCGGGATTGAGATGGACAAGACTCAGCTCAAGCTCAATAAGGATGGCTTCAAGAGTGTCCTACTCTCCAAGGGAAACAGACATCGTCTTTGGATCGGTTTCTGGACTGCCGTCGGATCCCAATGCGGTGGCGGCACATTCATTGCGTCCTACCTCCCCCAAATCATGGACCAGATCGGCATGACCAGCCAGCACGACAAGACGCTCATCAACGCCATCATGAGTATCTGTAACTGGGTCACGACTATCATCGGCATCATGATCATCCCGCACGTGAAGCGAAGGTCGATGTTCCTATACAGCACCATTACCATGACAATCGCCTTCATAGTCTGGACAGCGCTTGCGGCTACTTACATCAAGGACCCGCAGCGAGGTTACGGACTTGGGGTTCTCGCCATGATGTTCCTCTTCAACGCGTGTCAGACCGTCTGCTGGATTCCCTTGGTCGTGGCGTACCCTCTCGAGATTGTCACGACGAAGCAGAGAACCATCTTCTTTTCTTTCACCATGTTCTCCATGAATATGGCGTCCTTTATTGCCCAGTACATCAACCCGATCGGACTGGAAGCGCTGTCATGGCGATGGTACATTATTCAAATCGTCTTCAACTCATGTCTTACGGTTATCATCTACTTCACGTGGGTTGAGACCCGCGGCCTCACTCTTGAAGAAGTTGCCGTGATTTTCGACGGAACGGAATCGTTCGATGCTGCAAAGGCCGCCGCTGGGAAACGATTGGATGCCGAGGATGCAGATGTGGTTAAGGCTGACGACGAGAAGAATTCTGTGGTGACTCGTGTGAATGAGAAGGCCTAGGTCAGGACTGGTTGGCAGGGCCAGTTATTGCTGTGCGCACAGCAATGCTCATCAACGGGTTCGTCCATCCCAACCGGTCTCGAGCGAATCTTCATCGTTGCTTCGAAATCATTTGACGGAGGAAATTGATATAGGGCACATAAATATTTTATCATCAATAACTTTATTACTGAAATTGCGCTGTGCTTCTGTGAACTGAAAACCCTGGGGCTTCTGGTCTCGATGTAGCCGTTAGTAATGTACAATGTCCTGCTTAAGGGGTCCTACTAAGGAAAGTTCTCTCGTGCTGTCATGTAGTGAGGCGAGAATGATGATGTCTCGAGATCTGTCTTTGCCTTGGGGCTGGCCGCTGGACTTTGTGCCGAGAACGTGTCTCGACGCCAGTCCGAACTTTACACGCAGGTGCTACTGTTGTGGTCGCTCCAGCTCCGGCCAGGTCTACCAACCTGGAGGAAAGCGTTCATGGGTGTTACCCAAGACAACCGTGGCGAATACGCGTCTATATAGTGCTTATTATGGCTTGATCTGGCATGTCTTGGCTACTTCATGTCTTCGTCTGCTCCGTGGCGTCGCCTTGGATTTACGTGCTCGTTGGTAGCGGTCGGCGAAGGAATACTATATTTGGCAAGTAAAGGCACTGTTCAGTGCCAACCAAGACACCCGGGACTTCGGCAGACTTCGGCAGACCTCGTATTGCATACGGCGTTCGCCTAGATGTTGGAGACCTAACCATCTCGGTGGAATTCAATGACCGAGGTGCAGTAAGACGGTTAACTCCGTGTTATTGAGTCCAACTGTTCAAATACGGTGATGCTTTTGCTACTTACTTACCCCTTCAGCATCCTGATATTAGATGTTGTGAAGCTGCTGAATCATCTCGAGATATCCTTACAACGAACTATTCCCACAGCCATCATGTCCGTCCAAGAGAGATTGCGCGTTTGCCGCAGCAAGCCGAGAGTCTTCATCCTCACCGATATTACCAACGAACCAGATGATTCCGAGTCCCTCGTACGCTACCTGCTTTACAGCAACGAATTCGACACGAGGGGCATCGTGGCTTGCACGTCGACGCACATGAAGTCCCGCGTGGCGCCGGACGAGATTAGAAACATATTATCCGGCTACAAGGATGTCGTCGACAACCTGAACGCCCATGCGCACCCTGACAATCAATATCCGGACGTGCAAGCCCTTCTTGATATGACAAAGAGTGGTCCGGCGGTCTACGGCCAATTGGCTCTGCAGCAGCCGCTCAGTCAAGGGTCGAAACTCCTCATCGATCGTGTCGACGAGTCAACGGAGCCTCTGTGGGTTTTGTGCTGGGGTGGTGCGAATCCGCTTGCGCAGGCCGTTGCCCACATCGACAAGACCCGGAGCGCCGCGGACAGCTCTGAGTTCCGGTCGAGGCTCAGGGTGTACGCCATCTCCGATCAGGATGACAGCGGGCCCTGGCTTAGAGTAAGGTACCCTGAAATATTTTACATCTGCTCCGTTCACGGCTGGTGCCAGTACTCCTGCGCGGCGTGGACGGGCATCTCGGGGCATACTGATGTCGGTGGTTCTGACCCGACCCAATTTACCAGCGAGTGGCTCAAGAAGAACATTCAGATTGGCCCTCTGGGAAACAAGTACCCCGACGCCAAGTTCATAGTTGAGGGCGACACGCCCACCTTCTTGTATCTCATTCAAAACGGTCTCGGCTCTCCTGAGCACCCGCACTGGGGAAGCTGGGGCGGCCGATACATGTATTATGACCCATCCATGGCGGCGAAGCACTTTGCAGACGCGGTCGACACCGTCACTGGAAAGGACGGGAGGTCATACTCGACGAACTACGCCACCATATGGCGATGGCGAGAGGCTTTCCAGAACGATTTCGCGGCCCGTATGCAATGGAGCCTGACCGACAAACTCGGCGCGGCAAATCACGCTCCCGTTGCCATCGTCAATGACAGCACCGCCGGTCCGGAACCTCTCCTAGTAGAGATAGAAGCCGGGCAGAAGCTTGTTCTGGACGCTTCACGGAGTTATGATCCGGACGGCGATGCCATGACCTTCCGTTGGTTTCAGTACAGGGAGGTCACCGGTGTCACAGGTCTTCTGCCACCCATGATTCCGGACTTGGACATCGCCAATGTCGACAGCGAGGTTCCCGGGAAGCGAGTTGAGGTGCAGATACCACCTCCGCAGGTAAGCTGTCTCGAACAGCTCAGTGGAAAGCCAGTAGAAAACGGACATGAGTATCACATCATCCTGGAGTTGAAGGACAACGGAACACCTTGTCTGACGACGTACAAGAGAGTTGTCATCCAGACGAAGAACCCGCAGCTTCTTGGTGGAAGAGAAACCGTGGTGGAGACAAATGCAGAGTGGCTGCTCTTAGATGAGCGCTCTTTGAAATAACGCAGGATCAGAGTCTACACTTCAGGATAATGAAAACTTGATGTTTTTTGGTCTTACGAGTAAAAACTCGAAACTTGGAACAACACCCGTAATAAACCCCGTCCGTTCGAGTCTCACTCAGCCATAAACCATCCTAAGGTACCTACACACTTTTAAGGTTGTGTGAGCAACATCAGCGTCCAGCGTGCCTTACGGAACTTAATAAGACCGGTTCTGTGCCAGGTGACCTAGTTTGCGGTTGGAAACAGACCAAGCTAGCAAATCCGTAGACACCCGGTCTTTTCGGCGCAGGAAGATCGGCCGCTGCGGTGCGACCGACTACCGCACCGGCCCCGCCCCATTCTTCAACAGCCCCACCACGGCGGTCTCAGCCCGAGCCCCTCTGACGTGATTTTTTTTAGCGGCACTCAGGTTGTCGAACCCAATTGAGGGACCCCCCACCACGGGAGGGACCCCTGCTCACTCAGCTTAGAAAGCCGACCGCCGGAGGTTCTTCAACACAGAAACCGCCCACCATTCAATTCGCGACTCGACAGTTGCACACCACCCGGCCTAACGGAGGGCTTCTTCTGAGTTCGAATTTCTCTCTCTTCGAACAAGCAGACACCATGAATCGTCTCGGTGTGCGTCGCTTCGCGACGACGGCCGTCCGCGCCATCGACCCTCCCAGCGCCTACTCGCTCAACCTGTCCAAGGCGCAAGGCGTCGTCAAGGGCCTCACTGGCGGTACGGCCTCTCTATCTCTCTACTACTTGCCCCTTACTATGCCTCTCAATGGACTCCGAGCTAACGCTTCCGCTCCTCGCCAGCAATCGGCAACACCCCGCTCATCCGCCTGAATAAGCTCTCCGCCGAGACCGGCTGCGAAGTCCTCGGCAAGGCCGAGTTCATGAACCCGGGCGGCTCCGTGAAGGACCGCGCGGCCCTCTACGTCGTCAAGGACGCCGAGGAGCGCGGCCTTCTCAAGCCCGGCGGCACCGTCGTCGAGGGCACCGCCGGCAACACCGGCATCGGCCTCGCCCACGTCTGCCGCTCCCGCGGCTACAAGCTCGTCATCTACATGCCCAACACCCAGTCCCAGGGCAAGATTGACCTCCTGAGGCTCCTCGGCGCGGAGGTCTACCCCGTCCCCGCCGTCGCCTTCGAGAACCCCGAGAACTACAACCACCAGGCCCGCCGCCACGCCGAGCGCCTCGACAACGCCGTCTGGACCAACCAGTTCGACAACACGGCCAACCGCCGCGCCCACATCGAGACCACGGGCCCCGAGATCTGGGAGCAGACCGCCGGCAAGATCGACGCCTTCACCTGCGCCACGGGCACCGCCGGCACCCTCGCGGGCATCACCCGCTTCCTCAAGGACAAGAGCGGCGGCCGCGTCAAGTCCTTCCTGGCCGACCCGCCCGGCAGCGTGCTGCACTCGTACGTGAGCTCCGGCGGCAAGCTCGTGGAGCGCACGGGGTCCAGCATCACCGAGGGCATCGGCCAGGGCCGCATCACGGACAACCTGGCCCCGGACATCGGCCTCGTCGACGGCTCCATGACCATCGCCGACGAGAAGAGCATCGAGATGGTGTACCGCTGCCTCGACGAGGAGGGCCTGTACCTGGGCGCCAGCTCGGCGCTCAACGTCGTCGCGGCCAAGGAGGTCGCCGAGAAGCTCGGCAAGGGCAACACCGTCGTCACCATCCTGTGCGACGGCGCGTACCGCTACGCCGAGAGGTTGTTCTCGCGCAAGTGGCTGGGCGAGAAGAAGCTCCTGGGCGCGATACCCAAGCATTTGGAAAAGTACATTGTCTTGCCGTAGACCGGCTCATGTCGTTGAGTGTGTTGTCTTGATGCTTGTATACATAGATAATCTTACATATCAGCTGTACATAGCCCCGTCTGCCCCCTGGAGCGTCTGATTGTGTGGGTCTCTTTTTCTTCCCTCGCCGAACCTCTTACTATGATATCATTCCCACCTTTCACCGAAACCCTGCCCTTACACCGAGCCTCTTACTCGGTCTCGGCCTCGCCGGACTGGAAGAGGAGGTTGTAGGCATCCATGCCGCGCTGAGCAGGGACGCTGTTGTCGTTAACCGCCTCCATCACCTCGGTACCGAGGGTTTTCGAGATAGCCTTCAGCTGCTTCGCCGGACCACCCTGAACCACGCGGCCGGCCATGAGCAAACCGTGCAGAATAGGGCTGGCGATGGACAGATACGGCGTCCTCTCAGTCAGGTACTTGACACCGTTGACCTCGTTCTCGTACGCAGCGTCGTGGTACAATGTCTTCAGGCCCTTCTCGGAAGGCCACGTCTTGGTGAGCTTCTGGGCGTACAGCGCCACCTTTCCGTCCACATCCTTGCCATCGTTGTGCTTCACAGCCAGTACCGCCGACAGATGCAGCACCGCGCCGATAACCTGGGGGTCTCTGTGCAGCGGCCACGAGATCTCCTGTTGGGGCTCGACGGCCGGGTTGTGCTTGAACTGGTGCTTCTCGTCCTGGACCATCTCGAGCACCATCTCGGCCCATCGCAAGCTCTGCTCGGTCATCTCCTTGTCCCAGCCGCTGGCAGCCGCGCGCATCTGCACGTAGTGCATCACCATGCCGACCTTTTCGCGGGTGTCGAGCTTGAAGTACGTGTGGCGCACCTGGCGCGCCGCCTCGATGATGGAGTAGATCTGGCCCTTGGAGCCCGCGATCCGGATCATCTTGGCGAAGTCGACCGGGGTGTAGCGGCGTCCGGCGACGCTCATGCCGGCGAGCAGGCGGCCGAAGTTCTTCCAGTCCTCGGGGGACTCCATGGCGCGCAGGGCCTCCCAGGTGATGGCGCGGGAGGCGGGGATCGAGTGGGTGTCGATGTGGTCGAACCTGTGCTCGTAGCCGTCGACCTCGACGTAGACCGGGTTCGAGCGGAGACTGTGCTTCATCTTCTCGGAGAAGACGCGCTGGCGCTGGTGGACGGGGAGGTAGTAGGGGAGGATGATTGAGGATTGGATGCTTTCGAGGATCGGTGCTAGCTTTGCGTTCGAGGTTTTGTCAAAGATGACCTGGTTGTCTGTGCCGTGAACATGTCAGTCCCCTCTGCGCATTTGAGCAGGGCATCGTGACGAAGATCACGCGAGAACTTACCTTGATACACCGATGTCTGGGTGAAGCTCCGTTGCTGCTGCCCGATGCATCCTGCCGGCTGCTCCCATATCGACGGCTTTGCCCTCAAGGCCCTTCCTACTAAACTCCTTGACATGATTGTTGTATGTGACCAAGGGTGTGTGCAGAGGCCCAAGAACAATCTGCGAACCTCCAATATCAAAAAGCGGCAGGGTCTGCCCCAAAATTTTGGCAGAGCCGGGACCGCGGGACCCTCCGGCTCCGCATCATTGATGCACCGAGCCAATCAGACCGCGCAATTGGCACTCCGAACTTCGACTTTTCGATCTGACAGCGAAGCTAGCTCTCGGTCTGCTCGATCGACGACAACGCCTTCCCCGGACGAAATCGTTCATCACGACTCCAAAATGAACGCAAACTGTCTCCTCAGGCGGCCGGTCGGCTGTCTGAAGACGGCCCTCCGTCAGACCCGCCACCAGAGACTGCTCACCCGCACCATGGCCACCGCCGCCGAGCCGCTGGTATCAACACCACCCTCGACTCCCGCACCCTCGATCAAGCCCTCCATGTGTAAGCGACCCCTCTACCTCCCGCACCCTTGAAATCATTCATACTGACGTCGGTTTCCCCCTCCCAGTCGGCCCCAAACACAAGCCCACCTTCGCCGTCTACCCAGCCCTCCCCTCCATCCGCGAGACACACAAGAACCCGATGCCGGCGCTCGACGAGAAGCAGCGCGCCAAGTTGGACCCGACGGGGGCGCGGACGCGGCTGTTCGACCCGGAGCGCCCGGACGCGGCCAAGGTCGGCGACGTGCTGATGGTGACGACCAAGTCGGGCGAGCCCTTCTCGGGGGTGTGCATGAGCATCCGGCGCCGGGGCGTGGACACGGCGATCCTGCTCCGGTCGCAGCTGATGAAGGTCGGCGTCGAGATGTGGCACAAGATCTACTCGCCCACGGTCGTCGGTATCGACATCGTCTGGCGCAGGCCCAAGCGCGCGCGCCGCGCCCGCCTCACGTACATGCGCAAGCCCAAGCACGACATGGGCAACGTCGATCATCTCGTCTTTGCCTGGAAGAAGGAGAGGTACGGCATGCGCAGCAGGGGCAAGGGACAGATCGGTACGAGGTTCGAGAAGAAGTGAGGGGTTTGTGGGGCTGCTGGCGTGAGTTGATTTGGGCTGAGACGAGAGGATTGTGTGACTGGATTGGTGAAGTCACTGGGGAAGTTTGGCCCCCAGGTGCTGTACGATTAGAAAACCTGGCGAGTTGTACAACACGGGCCCATATAGAGTCGTGTACATGAAGAACAAAGATCTCTCATAATCATCTAACAGTCCTCAGAGTATGTGACTGCGCGGGAGTGGCTCTAAAAGTCATGATGGACCGTCGTTTGATCTGGACTATGATTAAGTGTGGAGAGCTCTGGTAAGGATCGCCTGGGGCCATTACCAATGTTGCTACCAATGTTGCTGCTGCTCATCAAAGGCATCGGTGCTGAATTACATTAAGATATATACTTGCTACTTATACACTGTTTTACAGAGGCAGATGCGCTCAGCTGCTGATCCAACCATTCGCCGGACAGAACCTTCATCCTTCAGCGTTTTGCTTGAGAAAGTGGACGATAGAGCGCGCAGTTCTTCATCTGACCACGGCCAGTATACCATCCCTCATCGACAAGTGCTCGCTCCTTGGCTTGCCATTCCTCGAACTTCCACTCTGCGTTTTTGCAGTCAAGATCAGCCAGCCTTGCCTCGAAAGAGCCTTCGACGACTCCACCCTTCTCCCCTTCCTGGTATCGTATAAAAAGAGAGCAGTCCCGTAGTGTCATGGCCATGCTGAACCCGGGGTCGTCTTTCTTCTGGCGGAGAGGGCCGCGAGAGTCCGCGCTGAGCTGGTTTTTCCTCAACATTGTCAAGGTAGGCAGTCGCTTGAGTCTTTCGTACACATCCGTGTGGTTCTTGTCGTTTTTGAATAGCCTCTTGATTGCTTCGCGCCGAATTTGCTCCTTGTCAGATGGTGTGACTCGCAAGGGGTCGAGCCAGAGAGGACAGGAATAGTCGTCAGGGCTGTACTTCTGGTCTTTGATTTTACTACCCTTAGGTGTGTTGGAGTCGTGGAACTTTTTAGCAGCGAGAGCGCAGCATCGACAGGTGTTGGCATCTTCGGGGGCCGAGGGAGATTGGATAAGCCACTTGGGCTTGATTTCAATGAGGTGCTGACGCAGGCCTGGTCTCGGGCGCATGTCTTCGACGAGCATGATGACGGTTTCGCGGCCGCAGTCCACAGTGTCGCCGACGAACTTAGCCGGCCGTCGCTTCGCTTCATCCATGGCCTTCAAGTGGTTGCGCATGCCTACGATGGTGTCTTGTGATACCTTGGCGACTGTGAATTTTGCAAATAGGTCGTCTTTATTATCGAAAAGCGGGAAGACCTTGCCGCGTATGTAGTTGTACTGATACCAAGCATCATGCAATCGCTTGGCGGGGTCTTTGGGCTTCTTTGGCACCCTCAAGAGGTATCCTGAATAGTGTCAATTCAAAATCTCTTAGAAGCGAACACTTCGTACGGGGTATGTCATCCTTACTTGTTCTATCGAGCTCAGCCGTCTTTTTGTTGGAAGGGGCCTGACGTGTTTCGAATACGACGTTGGCAGCACCCTCGCCGACATATTCAACGTGCGTCCAGGGCCCAATGTGAACAGAAGCGTCAACCACAGCCTTCTCGGATTGATGTGACGGGCGCTTCGGCAGGGGCTGCGCCATCTTGGAAGACCGGAAAGATTTGCTGAGCGGGGTATGGTTGGCCGAGTCTCAACTTCGATACCAGTAGGCCGGCCGAAACCCTTTTTTGTCAATCAAGTGTGATGGATGACGGTGCCTCGAGATGGCGATGAGTATTTGTGCAGTGCTTGACGAAGTGGAGCAGAAGTAGGCGACGCGGTTTGAGACCGTTCTACGAGACGACGGTGAGGTGGAATGTTTTGTCCAAGACGAAAGCAGCATCCATGGTGAATTCAGGCTCAAAAGTCGAAGTACGGCAAGTGTGGCTGCGCTAGTGGTGCTTGCTTCCTTCCCAGGTGAAATAAACCAAGACCAGGAGAGAGATGGTTTTACGAGCTTCCTGCTGCGACTTGATGAGCCCGACCTGGATGTTACTTTTCCGTTTGAGATATTGAGTTTCGTTCCCGCAGTCAACTCAAGCGCACCACACGTCTCCGAGATGTCAGCTGCTTCGCCTTGCTCGGCCCGATGCTGTGGACGGAGAGTACGAGATAGGACTGCGACTGCGACTGCAACGTGCCCGATCTTGCCTCCTGGGTTGATTCAACAGATGAGGGATATCGATCAGTCTCCATCTGATGTTTGTTGTTGCGTCGCAACGGGCAAGTGGTTGTTATGGCTTGTTGTTTTCTTCAAGAAGTCAGCGGTATCCCTGGATGACGACACACACTTTCCCTTCCGGGAGTGGAGCAGAAAGCTGGTTTAGTTTGCCGCGAGCTGAGTTGCTGTCGACACAACCGCTGCGCGCAGGCTATTCCTTGGTTGAGCAGCCGCTGACGGGGTGGCCAATGAATGACACCTTTCCACAGGGAAGCGTCGGCTTTGGCGTTGACGTTGACGTGCGTGTCATGCTGAGCGCGAACCAGACCTTGCAAGCGCTTGCGCGTGTGAGGCTACAATTTTTTTTTTAATTGGTAAAATTTACCTTACCCCAGAGTCGTGTGAGAGGTTGGTTCTGTCTGTGGACTGGATACCACGACGTCGTTGCAGACAGAGGGGCCGAAGGGGATAATTCATCCAATGACTGCGGTGTTCCGGCGTGCGGCGCGCCTCCACATGGGTTGCAGGAGTTCCAATTCCAATCCTGCTATGGACGAGCTGACGAGCTGACGAGCAGGACGTGGAACGATGGCTTACATAACGAAGCTCTCCCAGATAGGACTTGGAAACGGGGTTCATCAAGGAAAAAAGGCGCGCCAGGTCGGCCGGCCTCTGCCGGACGAGCACCGAAAGTGGCCTGTGCTGTGGGCGCTCGTGTCAGACTGTCATGGAGGACTCAGGACTCAGGACTCAGGCTCAGAGCCCACCAGCGGCCCAGCGGTCCAGAAGGCATTGCGACGTGTTTTTCTTTGCGGCGTTGCCCGTTGGCTCCCTTTTACCGACAAGCGGGTCATTGCGGAGAGGAGATCAAGGAACCAGGTAGGACCCCGGGACGAGGGGAATGTCCCGCGGAGAGGGGTAATTAGCGATCGTGATGGATGGCCGCCATTCCAAGGTTGATAGTCAGAAGAAGGTCGTAGGTTGTCGGTTCAAACTCAGGTGTCAGTGGAAGAAGCCTTCTTGACCGACAGAATGTCTTGACGGGATAAGAAAGCGCCAACCCGAGAGACGGGCAGTTGTACTTTGTACTGTCGTACTGGTCGATTCTTCGGGGTTAAAGAGGGTGACCGGGAAGTCGGACAGGAGACAGGCCCCGAGAGCGAATCAATGTGCGTGATTTCATCTCCTGATTCCTGGAAAAGCACCTCCCCTGCTTGACGTTGCCTTACTGTTATTGCAACTGTACAAAATACATCACGTCTGTAGGGAGGGGTTCAGAAACAGCAACGAACCACAATCTTGCTCTGCATGGTTGGGAACGGAGCGGTCAAGGTCATGGTGAAATTGGTTCTAGATTCAGCCTTCATGCAGATGCATCCGCCGGAAGCGGACAACGAATGTTCCCTGATTTTTGGCAATCTTTGGGAATCCTGCGAGGTCACCTCATGCTTGGGGCTTCGGGTGCTCTGATATCAGACCATAACGAACACACAGTCTTTCGACGTCGTCTGATGTTTGCTGACTATCTGCCACTCGTGATCGGCTCAAGACTGCAACGGCCACCAACAGGACGGATCATGTCATCTTCAACGGTTCCAGATGGGTGTTTGACAGATCTGAAGAGCTTCTGCGACCCCGTTTTCCCGTTCCGTTCCCCAGATTGTTCGCGCTTATCGAAATGATGCCCAACTCTAAATCGGGCGCCGTCTTTCATTCGCTTCCAGCCGTCCGTCGAGGTTTGGCGGATGCATCTGTTAGTGTCGTCTCCGTCGCAGTATCGCCATCCTTGGTATGCTTTTAAGGGTGCACCAGATGGCAGATGGCAGATGCTAGACTACCCACGGTCTCAGAAATAACCTCAGGTGACTCGCATGACGGTTAATCTTCTCAACAACTCATCAGTTCCTCCCACTTCTCACATGAAAATATACCTATTCAAATTAGGGCCAGCTCCAACACCGCCTTATCTAGGTGCTCTAGGCCTTCAAGTGGAAGACACAGGAAGCAGGTTGCAACCACTGTAAAAAGGTGGAGCCACCTCCCTACCGCGACTCCCTGAGCCCTGAGCCCAGAGCCCGTGGCTTAGGGGGCCCGTTGTGAAGTACCGCCGCCGCCGGTTCGCCCGCACTGGTTCAGAACGCTCCATCGTTCCACTAAGTGACTGGCAGCACCAGTCAACCCCCCCTTGCACGCGACACCTGCAGGAGTTCGCCCAGTCACAGTTGCAGTAAACCCAGTCGCCGACCTGGGAAAGTCTCAGAAAATTTGCGGTCAAGGGGAAAAGAAAAAAAAGAAGGCGCTAAGCCCGACAGCACACCCTTACCTCCGAGTATTCCCTTGCCTTCACAAACCGCCTCCCGAATACTTCAGTACACAGTCCACCCGACAGCGTCATTCGGGAAAACGACGCACACACGCACACCACCCACCACACGGATCTACATCCAGTCCAACTTCCTAGGCCTCCTTCGCCAAAATTCCCAACCCTCCTTCTCCTCTCGCCTACCCCATATTATTCCGCTGCTCTTCCCCGGACTCTCGTCTTCTAATTGTTTTGCAACTCATCGAGTCCGTCCTTTTCTTCGACATCATCCAAACCCGAACGGACCTCTCAGCGACAAAAAAACCCGATTGCCGATTACTTAGCGAGCCTCTACCCCGATCGACTTCTCCCTACAATCGCTTGGCCGAACGGCCCTCACCACTTCACCCTTCGATGGTTGGCCGCAGTTAACGCCATTTCAACATGGCCTTCAACTTCAACTGGTCGCCGCTGACGGCCGACGCCGAGTTCTACCAGCGCGCCCGAGAGATGCTCACCACGGCGCTGAACAAATCCCCGAAGCCCCCGATTATCGTCGATGACATCCTCGTTACCGAGCTCAACCTGGGCTCCGTGCCCCCCGAGCTGGAGATTCTCGAGATTGGCGACATTGCCGAAGACAGATTTCGTGGAATATTCAAGATGTGCTACTCCGGCGACGCCTTCTTGACGCTGAAGACCCGGGTTCAGGTAGGCCGAATTTTTTTCTCCCACCTTCCCTGCACGCGAAGCTTTGGAGGCGAAGCTCGGTGCCGCGGCTGCGGTAATGACTTCAGCATTGCCGCACTTCGACCACCAAGCACAAGCCCAACCCCGACACATTTTCTTCATTCTCTGCGCGGACTCTTTCTCGCAGAATACGTATTGTCGCGATGCCATTTCATGCCAGTGCTTGGAATGGCTGTGGCCCTCACCGCTACCGAGACACTCCGATGCAGCTCCGAATGCATCTTCGATTGGCTCATTCGCTTGACGTCAAGCCTCCAACCTGCCCTTCAGCATTTGAACCAATCACCCCGGTGTTTGTTTTTCCCTCATCAAACATTTTGTCTAAACCCGCGTCGTTGCATTGATCCTGAAATTGCCCTACCGGGATGCGCGTCCTTGACTGCCATCCGGATCTCACCAATTGGAACGTGCGTCATAGCAGTCGCTAATATATCAACAAATAGGCAAATCCAATGAATACCTACCTGTATTCCAAGCCAGCTTTCACATCCCCGCAACCGTTAGCGGCGGCGGCTGGCTTGACAATTCCGTTGTCAATAACGCTGTCCGAAATCAAGCTCTCGGCTTTCATCATCCTGGTCTTTTCTAGAACGAAAGGCCTCACCCTGGTCTTCCGAAATGACCCGCTCGAGTCGCTCAAGGTCTCTTCGACCTTTGATTCGATCCAGTTCGTGCGCGACTATCTCCAGCGTACGATCGAGGCTCAGCTCAGGAACTTGATGATGGACGAGCTCCCCGCCATCATTCACCGCCTTTCGCTTCGCTTGTGGTGCCCTGACGCTGTGCCCAAGGAAGAGGAGTCACCGAGAGAGAATGCCGATGAGCCCGTTGTGGATCCCTTGGCCAGCCCCCCACTAGACCCTGTCGATGCGAATGGTAACCTTCTCGACGCCAACGATGTGTCGTCATTGTCGCTTGAGGGTGGCCCAGAGGTTCAGTCATTATTCTCCCAGAAGAACTTGCTGAGGCTCGCCGCACTGAACGATTCTCACCGCACATGCTCTCTCTTCACGCCGGGTATCCGCGATGTCGTTTTCCGGGCTTGGACCAGACCTGCAGCGTCTGAACCAAGCAGCACTCCACCAACGGCAACCCCGAGCCTGTCTAAGACGAATTCCTTCCACGGCACTTCGACGACGTACACGTTCTCGGACACAGGTAGCGCCGCCCATGGCCATCTGCCTTCCCGGCCGTCCCTGGTCAGCCTTAACTCGGCTACCACTGGACTGTCACTCGGCGCTGGAATTAGATCGAAGTCGTATGCTGGCCGCAAGAAGAAGAACAGAGTTGTCAATCTCAGACGCTCCAAGAGCGAAGTCGGCACTCCAGAGGGAAGCGATACCTACTCGGATATGGCATCTGACTCTGCGTCCGTGGCCGGACCCTCAACCGAGCCTCTCATGTCTAGCTCTATTGCTGAAGATCCCGAAGAGGAAGAAGCGCTGGCCGAGTTGGCCAATTCTACACCGAGCAAGGTTCGCTTTAGTCACGTTGAGAGGCCGCACCTCACTTCGCGGCCTCCTCTGCAGCCAGACTTCTACACCGCTCCCACCGAGGAACCCACTGCGCCTATCATGCTTGACAGCGAGCACGATGTCGAGGTGACTCCCAAGGCCCAACCTCAGAATGCAGAGAACGCAAAGATGTTCCCCGCTGAGAAGGGCGCTGCCGCGGATAGCTCTAATGTCTACGAACAAGCTTGGATCGAGAAGATGGCTGGTGAAATTGCTCGCCGTGTCTACGATGAGAAGAACCGCCAGCAAAACGGCATCTGGGACGTGAGGGAAGACGTTCCCCCTCCGGCCTACGAAGCCTCAACATAACCAAAAACTGCCAACGGCAGGTGAACATACGTACCGACCGTACAAAGACCTTTATATATCCACTCAGATGGACATATCTTTTCCTTACCGTCTCATCCGTCAGCTTCTCTCCGCAAGGCGTTTCAGGGGACTCTCTCCAGGCTTGGAATTGCGGTAAAATAACGCTCTTCCATGACCTCTTTTCCTAGTGTTAATGTGCTCTTTTTTTTTTATCGCATGGCGTTCGAAAGGAGAAGGGGTTCATAAAAAAAAGAATGGGTTGGTCTTTTTCCACACGACGAGAAATGAAATTGCAGAACCACGGCTCCCCGTCGTCGGATTCTTTTTTCCTTTTTTTGGATTCATGGGTTGGGATTTGGGGGGCCACCAACCAACCACGCTGATGACACGATTTACGGCAGCCACTCGAGACACAAACAAACACACACACACATACACACACAAAACATATAACGGCTGCTACGACGCATCATCGGCCCTTAGCGACGCCCCTTTGAGGTGACTCGCACACATACCACTTTTAAAACACACAACTTCTCCTTTGTCAGAACAGTCTACGTCCCCGAGGGACGAATAGAGAGGATGTGGGACCTGGGAATTGGGCGGATTGATTGTTGGCATGCGATTGCATTCGAATCATGGCGAAGAGGCGGGAGAAGTGGTGACGGACGGAAATCTCATGGACAGTCATCAGTATCTATTTTTTTTGCGCAATGCCAGGGTCAGTAGAGATCCACGGCGATGGGACGTGTCGATTAGGCATGTCGGAAAAATCAACTCCCATCTTCTATGCAAACGCTTGTCTGACTCTGTTATTCTTGTTGTGATTCCTGCACAAGTTCTATTCTGCGGCTGCCTACAGTGACTCTGCCTTACTCGTGCTCCATTTTCACCTTGACGTGCGCATAATCATCATCCTCCAGCTTCACCTTCACGTCTGGGCTCACATTATCGTCCTGCTCCAATTTGATCCTCTTTGACGGCTCGCGGCGCGACCTCAACTGGCCAAACGTGTTGGACGGGCAGGCCGCATCCTTTGCGGGAAGCAGGGGCAAGTGGTTGTCTGTGGGTTCCTCCTTCTTTATGTCGTGATGACTGAGAGCTGCATCGTAGGCTGGCTTGGCGAGGGCGAGGTCCTCCCGTGATGATAAGATGTTTTCGCGGCGAGACGACTGTGATGCAACGTGTTCTTCGCCTCGGTGGCGGGCGATAGCCAGCGCGTACTAAACACCGTGCCGTAGATTCTCGATATAGGGGTACCCGGTTTCGTCACGGGCTTGACAGTCGATTGCGAACCTGTCGATTCTGTCCCATAAGAAACACTGGACATTAGCGCCCAGCTCGTCGTTGACCATAGCGTCGGGGTGGAGGTCGAGCAGATCAAGCGGAGGGATATCTGCCTGGTTGTCGATCGCGACGCACACGGACTGAATCTAAGAATCCACCAGCGTTTGGAGCTTCTTCATGACGGCATTCTTCCTCTCCTCAGCCTTGGCCTCGGCTTTGGCCTGGGCCTTTGCCTCGCCGGCGGTCGTCGATTTTCGAGCTGGCCTCTTCTGGTCCTTGCTGGGCGGCTTCTAGCCGCTCGCAGCAGCGGCTGAGTTCTCGGCCTTGAGGGAGGCGAGAAGAGCCTCTTTCTCCTTCAGAGCCTCGAGCTGCTTCTTGGCCATCTCCTTAACTTTGGTCTCGGCCTCCCCAAGCTTCTTGACCTCGATTTGCTCCGTCTCGAGACTGAAGGGCTGGCCGGGCTTGTTGACGGCGGGCAGCAGGGCGCTCCGCTCCCATGAGACCTGCACGTTGGACGTCTTCTCCGGCAAAGGGGGGATCGGCTTGTTCTTGCCCTTGCCGCCCTTGCCGACGGGGTGGCCCTTGGGGTGGGCGCCCGAGGTGAGTATCTCGTAGAAGGCGTCGTAGGGCTCGTTGAAGAGCTGGTCGTCGAAGGACCAAGCGCGGATCTCGCCGTCGTTCTGGCGGAGCATCTGTTCCTTCTCGGCGTCGGTCCGACCGTACGGGTGTAGGCGGAGAGGGTGGTAGAGGGTCTGGGGCTTCTCGCCGGACTCGGTTACGTAGTACATCTTAATTGTGATTTCGAACTCTCCCCAGCCCGTCTCGTGGATAATGAAAGGCTTCCCGGGCTCGCCGTCAATCACTGTTGGTCGGGGTTAGCGGGGGATCGAGGGATGTTGCGAGGATATTGTTAAAGAGACTGTTGACGTACTTCGCACGTGGTTGGGGATAGACTCGTGTAGCTTAAACTGGACTCTTCTCAACCAATAAGTGATATCCGTATCATCGATACCCTTGACGAAGACCTCCCATGAGTGGGTGTGGTCTTCTGGGACGCCCTCGGGCTTGGGGTTGTGTTCGGGGTCGAAGGGGCGGGCGGTGGTGCCGTAGACGAAGGGCCTTCTGACTTGGGTGCCTTTGACGCGCTTGCCGAGGCTGCTAGGCGGCGCCATTTTTGTGTCTTTCTATCGATGAGCGAATAGATGCGATGTGTGTCAGTTCGTTCGTATAAGATGAAGACGTGGGTAGTTGATGTTGAATGTTGTGTTGAGGAGAAAGAGAAGATGTTCATGGCGCAAAGTACAGACCTGGATGCGCCAACTTTAAAATGGGTCGATATCGACCAACCAATGGCGGGGCGTTTCCGTGCCTTCCATGTACGATGGATCCATTGCTTCCATAAACCTTTCCTGTCAAGCTCACATGTCTTACATAGGTAGTAGGTAGTCATCTAAGTATGTTTATTCTTGCCCAGAAATCGATGGAAGAAATTTCAAGAACAAAGTTTTTCTGATTTAGCAACATTGCGGCGGAAGATGGATGGAAGAAGTTACCTATATGAATGAGCCCACCGATATCCAGAGGACTGTATACCTATGACAAGGTGGAAGCCTACTTACCTACCTAGATATCAGCTTAATCTGCGGCTGGTTCTAGGCCTTACCGTACGCGCCTCAAATTCTGATCTAAAAATCCACATGTCTGTGATCTGGCTGTATCGATTTTCAGATGCGTTCCGTCGAAGATTCCATGGCCAGGCACAGCGGTACGCAGCCAATGCAAGACGACTTCAACCAATGAAATGTTTCAATTCACATGCCCACCCCTGCAAACGCATCTTAGTAGGTGTGCGTCAAGACCCTGGAAGATTTTACTGGGGAGCTGGGGGGAGCTCTGGCGGATGATGATTTCATGACTTTGCACCGCGTGCGGAACGACCATCGAACCATTTTCGGAAGAAATTGGCATGTGGTAATTAACGCCGAATTCGGGGTTCACATATTGATTGCACTGCCAATTGGATTCTCTTCAGCTCTTCATTCGCCCTTGTGAAATTCATCTCAGCCGCCGCTCAATTCCTGGAGCTCAATATTAATCTCATACCTGCGACCACCGGCATCATGTCTACCTCCGCTGTAACCAAGAAGCTGGTCGTCTGTGGAGGCAACGGCTTCCTCGGATCGAGGATCTGCAAATATGCCGTCGCCAGAGGTTGGGACGTCACATCCATCAGGTACGGCACTCCCCCAGGATTCACCACGCTCATCGCAGTGTCTAATACCTCACAACAGCCGCTCAGGCGAACCAAAATGGCAAGCCGTGACCTCATCACCAGCTCCTCCGCAGTGGGCGCATAAGGTCTCTTGGGAGCGCGCAGATATGCTCCGTCCCACAACATACGCTCCTCTGCTCAAGGGCGCCGACTTCGTCGTTCACAGCATGGGCATCCTCATGGAGGCTGACTACAAGGGCGTCGTCTCGGGCCAGGAGTCCCCCATCGCCGGCCTGCAAAAGGCCTTCGCCCCCGTCAAAGACCGCGGCGTCGATCCCCTCAAGGATCCCGAGGGCAGCGATCTGAAGCCCTCAAACCCCAAGGACCAGTTCTCCTACGAGGTTATGAATCGCGACAGCGCCATCGCCCTCGCGAAGCAGGCCAATGCCGAGAACGTCAAAGCCTTCGTCTACATCTCCGCCGCCGGAGGCGCGCCGGTCCTGCCCGCGAGGTACATCACCACCAAGCGTGAGGCAGAGAGCACGATCGCCAGCGAATTCCCCCGCATGCGTGGCATTTTCCCCAGGCCGCCTTTCATGTACGACAGCTCGAGGAAGTTCACGTTGCCCCTGGCCGCGATGACCGGTGCCGGTGCCCTATTCAATAGGCTGACTGGCGGGGTGCTGAGCGGGTTCATGGGTGCCAGCGGCGTGAAGCCCCTGCCCGTCGAGTCCGTGGCCGAGGCCGTGGTGGAAGCACTTGATGATACAAAGGTTCAGGGACCGATTGAAGTTCCCGAACTCGAGGAGCTGGCGAACAAGGGATGGAGGAAAACCATGCTGTAAAGCATGTGGTGTATTTGTAGAACCATCATAGACTGTACCATTCCCAACAAGCCAATGTTCCCTTATTAGAACGCCTCTATTCCCGAAAATCGTAATCCCGTTGCTAAATCATTGTTCCTCGCTCGAAACTGTCCCTGATCTCCGCAGTGTACTTATTGTAGAAGCGTGCCAGCTTCTGGTTGAACTGCTTGTTCTTCTCGTTGATGTATGTGACGTCGCCGTCGTCGCCGTTCTGCGCCATACGATCCTTCCTCTTCTTCAACCTGTTCTCCTCGGCTCTCCTGAGATCCTCCACAAGGCGGTCGACTGCAGCCTTATCCGGCTTGTTTTGTGTAAACGTCGTAGAGTCGGCCGTTGAGTAGAATGATCCGTCCTTGTCCACGGCAATAAGCTCTCCGTCTTCCGTCTCGACAATGTCCAGGCCACCAGACGCCGCCGCGCGTTCGATGGCGGCCATCTTGTCCTTCTCGTACTTCTCCATGTCGGGCGCGATATTCCTCAGCTGCCGCTTGTAGATCTTGTTGCTCTCGGCAGTGTAGTCCTGGAACGCGTTGTTGTCGCGATGCGCCTCCTTCTTCTTCACGCGCTTGTCCCATTTCTCGCTCTCGTCGATGGTCCAGTCCCACGCGCGCTTACGTTCAAAGTCGCCGCCCGCGTCCTCGACATCTGCCTTGAGCAGCTTGTGCGAGGCGATGGCCTGCTTGCGGTGGATTGCGGCCAGCTGGCTTGGGTCTGTGGCGAGACGCTGCGACTCGAGCGTCGCTTCTTTGAAATTTTGGTCGGATGAACTCTTAGCGCGGGCCTTCAGCGCCTTGAATCGCGCCATGCGATCTTGTGCTTTTGAGGCGGCATCGTTCGCTGATGATGCTGGGTGAGCTTCTGTCGTCTCTGTTGATGCGGCGGCTGCCTCTGTCGCTTCGGGTTCTTCAGTGGAGGCAGATTTTGTCGGTGGGCTTTGGTTGGCTTCCTCGTCGGCGGCAGCCTTGGACTCGGTCTTTCTCTTCTTGGCAGGGGGCATTTTGGATATCTAGCTTTGTTTGCGACGTTTGAAAAGGGGGGATATACTCGTATTGCTGAAAAATCGCGGCGGATGGGAATAGTAAGTAAATCGAATGGAAGTGGGACGTCACTGCTGCAGCGCCTGGGTTGATAAGGTGAGAGCCGGAGTTTCTCCGAGGTAGCCAGAGCCTCAAAGTGGCTGAGCTGATGAGTCACGTGCTGGACCCATCGATTGCTTCCATTCAAATTCCCCGCGGATCCATGCGGGTACCGGATCTTGCGAGAGAGCATCCGTGGCTGTGCGGCCGGGCCATCCCTGTCCTACCCCAATACCCCCTGCATCTAAACCGCCTTCAACGCGAACTGGGTAGTATGCGGCTCTCAGGATCGGACGATTTTGGCAGCGACATCGCATGGCCAAAGAAGCGTGCGAAAAACTGAACTGCGCTTGGAGCACTCAACAGGCTTCACACGCCAGCTATGCGACCTCTGAGCACTGCGAACGGCATCCGCAGCCTTTGCAAGACCCGGCTATCTCCCACGACGACCACTGCGGCTTGCTTTCATTCATCCACGCAACTTCGAGAAAGGACAAGACCACGGGTTCACACCAAGAAGAAGCCGGAGCCGCCAAAACCAGGTCCCTGGTGGAAACCTTTTGAGGTCACGAACGTAGTCTTGGATCTCGACAGCTATGAAAGCAGCTACACGCGACCTTACGATGAAGCCGAGGAAGAGGCTCAGTCTCAGAAGTGGGCTCTGAACCCTCGGAGAGAAGGCATGAAGCAGCGCATCGACGAATTCAATGTCGGTCGTGAAGCGGCAAAGGCGAGGTTCGACGAGGTTAGCCAGAAGGCGTGGCAGCCATGGCGTGTGTCGGATCTGGACATCATGACTGCCGCTCTCAGAGGCGCTCCGACACAATCGGTGCCCCAGACCGGGGTTGAGGGGTTTCAACAAAAAGTCGTGGAGAGAAACGGTATCCCGACGACTGTCTATCGGAATGACCAGCGGCTATTGGAATGGCTGATCCACCGCAAGCCCCAGACTCTGGCACTGCGAACGAACGCGGATGTGCTCACACGCCTGCTCGAGGAACAGACAACTTCGGAGGGCTTTCACGAGGTGCTATCAAGATTACTCACCTCGAAAGAGAGCGCCGAGTTCCTTTCCAACTACGCATTCATCATCGGAAAAGTCATATCAGATGCGCTTGACGACCGTCTTGCGCGACCTCTCGCGCTTTTGCCCCTTCTGAACAGTCTCTTGCTTCGCTGCGACGCGAAGAATTATGCCCTCGGCCCACAGCTTTGCACCGTCGGAATGAAGATGTCAGCGGAAGCCTTTCGTCTGAAGGCACTGAAGTTGTATCTTGATCACGTCTTTAAGCATCACCATGTCATCTCGCCAACGACTGTCATCGAAATACTGCGCCCCCTACATAAAGTCGTTGTTCAAGGACGATCAGAGGACAGCGGACAGCTTGCCGAGGATGCCGGAACGGATCGTTCTGCACAATCAATTAGAACGCCGGCCTTCGAACTGCTTCTTTTTCATCTTCTTGTGGGAAAGACTAAAAAGACCAATTCTTCGAAATCGTTCCCCTGCTTCAGGACAATCATCGAAAATGATCCGTCCGCTCCAGAGGAGTTGAGAATCATGTATCGGGAACTGGTGGACAAAGTCAGGCCGTCAGCTGAGAACATTGCGGAAAACATTGAGCCGGCACACGACGAAACAGAGCCTGCAAATCCATGAAGGGAAATGGCGACGAAGTGGTTCACACCTTTACCAAGACGCGAGGCGCCATGAGCGCAACCCGAGTTCCAGCTGGTCAGTTTGGCATCCAGTCCGGTCGAAATGGCTGAGAGAACTAAGCAACCGTCGACAAACGTTGCCTGTCAATGTTTGGTTTGAGCCATGCCCAGCTCTGCCGGGCCAACGATAAGACAGAAGGACGCCAGCCAAGAAGGGATAGATACTAAGGAGATCGGCGGAGTTCTCCGTTACATATCTCCCACCAACATTACTCGATATCAAATGGAAATTCCAACTCAAATTCGGTTTTCAACCTTTCGGCGGCGATCATCTATCGAAAGTGCTCTTGTAGACGTATTGCCTGTTTTTCTAACGTCCTCCATATTCTACCTTACACCCGTCTTCTTCTCCAAGACAACATGCGAAGCTGCGCCCCTCCTTCGACCCTTCCCGTCTCAGCCCTGCCATGCCTAATGCCGAATGCAGGGTTTAGCACCATGTGGCTGCACAAACTCCAACCCATCCGGCCTCTTAGCTCCAGCGAGCTGAACCGCGCCCCCGTCCAATTGGGCCTGGGACTTCCCATGACAAGCTTTAGCTTGAGCCGCCGCTTGTCCTAGACACAACGTCAACAGCCGGGTTCGTGTCAAACTCTCCGCGGGCTTCCCGTTCGTCTGATTTGCTATCAGCCTACATCTTGTCCTCCTGTTGTCTGCCAGGAGGCTGGTGCGGGTGAAAAGAAGCCACGAAATCCTTCCAGCCAACCTGCATATCCGCCATCTATCCAGCTGCTTCACCGCAAGTTGTCCCAAACGTTATCTTGTTGCTTTCTTCTCACGTGAGGCATTCTCACATCAAGCATCGCGTGGGTATTACTATGGATCCTGGAACTAGACCCGTCGAGGCCCACGATCCTCCACGGATCATCACGTTCCCAAGCTTCGTGGTGATCCCGTCCCGTCTCCAACACAGACCCGAGACTCAGGCTCAGTACACGACTAGAGAGAACCGAACGTGGCAAAACAAGCCATATCGATCGAGACGGTGGCGTCCCCAGCTAGAAAGCACAGCTTGCCTCGCCCGTTCACATCGGGTCCAGCCATCTGGCTGCAGCCCGAGCCGGCCGCCCGTCTGGATCCGGTCTGGCCCCACGCCGCTTGCTCGCGGGGTTGCGACTGACGCTCCTAGACTCGCCAAGCCTTCTCTGTCTTCTTGTTCGCACTTCGATTTCTTTGTTGCCGGGCTGGAATCATATCCCGCCTTCGAACCACCCCTTTCGTGATCCCGCGTCTGCGTCTTTCTGAAGAATCTTCTGAAGAGGTTGCTACCGCTGTTGTTCTCCTCCTTGCCTTCTTCATGTGTCCTTCCTGACAACTACTCTCCCTTGAACCACATTAATCTCCGCGCGAACATTCCACCGCTCAACTCGTACCAGACGATCTTTCCTGTTCAGTCGGCAAAAGCAACCGAAACACAGTAGCAGGACATCTTCGACACGCTGAGCAAATCACCCTCGCCCGAATACTCGGTTCTCTTCGATCTCCACATCTTCTTCCTCCATTTCCCGTGACGCACATTGTACTCCGAGTACCCCAGACCAAGGTGCCGATCGTCCACGCACATATCCACAATGGGCCCGTCCCCGGACCGGCTGGGATCGACACCCCGGCCAGGAGCACCCGGGCTCCGGTCGACGGCATCGCTGCTATGCATCTCCTCCATCCTGTCCATGCTCGTGGCCCCGGCAGTCGCGCAGCAAGACCCGGTCAACAACTTCTGCAGACGTTTCGGACACCAGACGGCCGTGGTCGACAACAAACTCTACATCGATGGCGGGATCATCAACTGGAACATGATCGAGTCCCCGAGTAACTATTCAAGTGAGTTGTCTCTCTCCCAACCGGCGTAACAAGAACCAGCAACCAAAAAGAACCTCACTAACACGCTCCAGACCCATACCTCCTCTACCAAGACCTCTCCGTATCGGCACCCAACGTGGGCATGCCCCCCCTCTACGCAAACCTCTCCAAGAACGGCACGATCCCCTACACCAACGGCGGCGCCCTCTGGTCCGACAGCGTCAACAAGCGCCTCTACCTCTTCGGCGGCGAGCACAACGGCGAGCCCCCGTCCCCCTTCAACCTCTGGTCCTACGACATCATCAACAACCAGTGGGACTCCTTCGGCACCCCGCGCTCCGGTGTCGGCATCTCCAAGGTCAGCTACGGCGCCGGCGTCTCGGTCGACGCGAGGGGGGAAGCCTACTACTACGGCGGCTGGCTCAGCAACGCCTCCGTCCAGAACTGGGGCGCCACGCCCCCGATCGCCACCAACGGCCTCGTGAAATACACCATGGACTCCAACAGCTGGTCCAACAACACGGGCCCGGACAGCGTCCGCAGGGCCGAGGGCAGCCTGCACTACATCCCGGCCGGGAGCGGCGGGATGCTGGTTTACTTTGGGGGTCTCCAGGATCCCGGGAACAACGGCACGATGCAGGGACAGCCGATGGACACCATTTTCCTTTACGACATCTTGAGCAGCAGGTGGTACACGCAGACGGCAACCGGTCAAATCCCCGAGATGAGGCGGCGTTTCTGCGCCGGGGCGACGTGGGCTGAGGATCAGTCGTCCTACAACATGTGAGCCCTCCTTCGTCTCTACCTTACCTGAGCGACTCTGACTAACACCTCAAAAGCTACATGTACGGCGGCGCAACGGTCCCCGGCGTCCTCGGCGCGGGCTACGACGACGTCTACGTCCTCTCCTTGCCAACCTTTACCTGGGTGAAGCAGTACCCCGCCACAAACGGCACGGGCTCGAACCCTCACCACTCACTCTCCTGCAACATCGTCCCCGGCCGCGCGCAAATGATCATCATCGGCGGCACGTTCCCGGCCTCGGACGAGTGCGACTACCCCGTGCAGTGGGGCACCCACAACGTCGACCTCGGGCGGCAGAACAAGAACAAGAGCATCTGGGAGCTGTACTCGCCCAACAAGACGTCGTACTCGGTCCCGGACGACATCATCGCCGTGGTCGGCGGCAATGGCAACGGCGGCGCGTCCAAGACCGCGCCGGCCAACGGGTGGAACCAGAACGACCTGGGTCTGATGATGGCCCAGACGGCGGATATCTCGGTCCGCACGCCGACGCGCATGGTCTCACCCGCTGCGACGTCCACCGGCCGCGTGGGGACCTTCGTGACCGGCGCCATCGTGGGCATCGCCATCGGCGCCGCGGCCGTCATCGTCCTCTTCGCCCTGGCCTGCTTCTGCCTCGTCCGCAGACGCCGCCGCATCAACCGGTACCACACCCCACGGGCACCGCGCCCGGGACACCCGTACCACACGCAGAGCATGTCGGAAGCGTGGTCGCCGCCGCCCATGACGCACATGAGCCCCGTGGCGTCGCCGTACTCCCCGCCGTACGGCCACTCCCCCTTCACGCCGCCCCCGCCTCCCATGTCCCCTCCGCCGCAGTCCGCGCAGACGGTGCCCCCGCACATGGGCCCGCCCGTCGAGCTCCCCTCCGAGTCGCCCGGCCCGCCGACGATATCGACGGTGACGCCGGCGCCGGCGCCCTCGGGCCACGTATCCTCGGGGGCCACGACGATGGCGGCGCCCTCGATGGCGCCGTCCTCGATGACGCAGACCTCGGGGGTGATGTACCCGCCGCAGCAGGCCTACTTCCCGGACCCGGCGACGCTCTCGAACCAGGTGCAGATCGACGCCAACGGCAACATGTGGGTGCCGCAGGTGAGCATGGTGCAGGTGGCGACGGGAGGGGGCAGCCAGCACGGGACGCCGCCGGTGTACACGCCGCCGATGGGGGACCGCAAGTCGCCGCTGCCGGGGAGGGACCAGCACCCGACGCCGCCCGTGGTGGAGGTGCAGCCGACGCCGCCGGCGGAGCTGCCGTCCTCGCCGCAGGAGCTGAGCGCGGAGGGGCCGGACGATCGGGGGGCGGACGGGCAGCGGGGGTCAAAACACCAGACGTTTTACAACAAGTGAGAGGATGGATGTGTTGTCGGGTATCATGTCACGAAAGCAATTTTCAAGTATCTTTTCTTCTCTCTATTTTTGTCATTTCATCATCTTTTTGAGATTCCCACTCGGAGTTTGGTAGCGTCGATGGGATAGGACGGGACCGTGTTGGACGGAGTTCGGCAGATGGAGATGGAGACGGAGATCAGTGAACCCATCCGGGTGTTTTTGAGGTCATCAGGGTCCAAGATGACGACGAGGTGACGGTGACAAGGGCCAGAAAAGCCAAGTCTTTTCTTATCTTTCGCGTTATCCCATGTTGGATGGCGTCAGTCAGACAGACAGACAGACAGTTGTGCGCCCCCGGTCGTCCGTGACACCGCCGGGGGAGACACGATCCGGAAGAAAAAAGAAGCTTCTCCTCACGACGGCAGCGTTGAATCTGAATCCGTGTCACAGGCAATGTAACGCAAGTCTCGGCGCAAGCAACACTAACGAGATGCACGACGTGTAGTCGTCGGGTCGATCTGAGAGTATATGACAAAAGATCACATCAACATCAGGCGAGGTCGCGTGACAAGCAACCGCCGGATGCGGTTTCGATTTGGAGGGTCCATTGTCTCGAGTTTCTCGTCGAGGGTTCCCTGCCTGCCTGCCGTCCTGCCTCATCGGGGGCGGAAGGGGAGGGAGGGAGAGGAAGAAGGATGACTGATGTCGTGCTCCCGCCGTTCGAGCTCGGGATGGCTCCACACCCGCTGATGCGAGCGCCGCGGCGCGTTGCGTCTTTCTACATAGTACCTCTTCTTCCCGAAGGGTCCAACCCCACGATTCGTCATTGCAGGGCAGCGTTGCGTAGACGATCCCGAGTCACGACAACTAGATCTAAATGACGAACGGCGGCCAGTGCCAGAGAAGACGGTGAAGACGAGGAACGAGACACCGCGCACGAAGTCCAAGGATTCGAATCACTTTGTCCGGATCAGCTTTTCCTCGGCGCCGACGATCTCCGTTACACGACGTCTATATCCCTTCACCATTCATGGCTGAGAAAGACACCGATATCGGTCGCCGGTCTTCGCAGCGCAGGGCGAGCGAGACCGGAAGTATGGCTGGGTGATGGACCAGATGGTTCTTGGCGAGAGTTCAGCTTACCTCAACGGCAACACCATTCCGGTGGTCCAGGCCCACGGTCTGCCACATGGGAAGCACAGATGTAGTCAACCGTTGCTCGGGAGGGCGCAAAAAGTTTCTGCAGCCAACGATGATGAGATGCCCACACCCACAGGGCGGCGGGATAACGAAGAGCAAAAAAATTTGCTTCGCTCGCTCGCCGCCGCCGACGACGTGAAGGAAAGAAAAATCGGCGAAAGGAGCCATCGCACCGAGCATGGGTTTTCTCTTCGTCGACATGCGGAATTACGTTTGCGAAAAAAGTCGCTGTCAAAGAGCTTGGACAATCAGGGTCCCCACGATTCCCACGATACGGATGGACCCCGGACGGGTTGAAAGAGGCATAGCGGGTGAGGATCGCTGCTTGTCACCCCATCGTCCCCGACAGGGGCGGGATGCGATGCGACGGCCGAGGACTTGATGCAGTTGGGTTCGTCCGCGCTTCCGTCCCGCGTTGCGTGCTCCATAGATAAGAGCTCTTTGAGCTCGATGGTCGCGAAAGCCACGCCATTGCCCACGCCGAGGACGTTCCGTACCATTCATTCAATGGCCCCAGTACCTGCAGACGGACCAGAAGGGTCCTCTCGAAAGGCCTCTTGTAGCAGTGCAGAGACGGGAAAGGTTCGGCCGGGAGCCTTGGAGCAGCGGCCGGGCGGACTGGTAGTTGCATTGCAGGTGGGATATCCCGACATCCGTGAAGTGTGGCAGCGTTGGTTGGTGGTCGACGTTTTCTTGTCCGAGTGGGTTTCCATATTCGACTGTCTTCATTTACGTGATGGATGGACAAGAGGCCATGGCGGGGTGAGCTTCTGAGACAGGCAGACACGGGTCGGAGGGGTGAGAGGCTCAAAATGTCGTTATCTTGCATGAGCGGCCTTACCAAAACCACGTTTAAAGGTGCCTGCTCGTGAAGGGGTGCCCACTTGAACATGGGCTGACCCGAAAGTATCCGATGCAGCTCTTGACCCCTAGGTCTTCGCGATGAGAGCGTGGGATGAGATTCGGAGGCGATTGGGCCGGTGGGAGATGAGATCCAGCACGTTCGTGATTTTCACTTTGCCTTCATGTCGGTGAAATAATTGCTTCGCCTACAGCCGTAAGTGGCGAGGCAACCGAGTTTCAACTTTCCCGTATACAGCAACTAGTGAACGAGTATCGGTCATCGACCATGTTAAGACTAGACCATGATCTCTCGGTGTCCTCCTGGCGTCCAGCCAGCTCTCAAGGTGACGCGCAAGGTGAGAATTATGAAGTCGTAGCCTCTTCGACGCTCACCTTGATGGTAGGCGCCTGCGTCGCATGCCCCAGAACGCAGCGAGCCACTGCAAGGAAAATGTGTGCTCGAGGCGCGGGATGGGCAAAGTATGGCGCGCATATAGCGAGACGCGCCATCGTGAACCAAAGGGGGGATACCGGACGGCATGTCGTTTGCGACGGGGTGTGCCGTTGTCAATCTTGCTCTTCGGACGGCAAAGAATGTGGGCTCTGCGTCCGGAATCCTTCGGGCTCCATGGGACGCATCGACGTAACCCTACCTTGCCGAGCTGGCGGAAGAAGCATCTCTGAATGCGTCGCTTTGATAACTCTGATAGTTGTGACGGGCGAAGACCCCCACGTTGGCAAATTGAGCGCGTATGCCCGGTCTTGTAGTTGAATCCCGAACATGCAACTCGCTGATCGCCGAGTCGTCCAGCCGGCGCCGGGAAAGGTTAAAGAGCACCGGGCAGAGACAAGTCGAGACACAATCGGCCCTCGACTATATTGCGTTCCCCTCACTTCTGAACAGTTATCGAACCAGTCGCGGGATTGCGGCAGTTTCGTTGGGCGGCTGGTTGGTGGTGTCGTCGATGCAGCTGGCTTGAATCGCACACTGCAGCAGCGAGGTCTGTTGTTGATTTGCACAACACAACGACAACGGTTCGTGTGGACTTGTGTTCCAGTCGGCGGTGGTTCAGAGACGTGGCGCCCGACGACAAGTCATTTCTAAACTCGGCCGAGCCGAAGGAGCGAGTCCACGCACGCCAGTGAAGCCTTTGACGCAGCAAGATAGGCGTCGGTGCATAGCGTCGTATCTGTTGTCTAGTTGAGGAGAAGACCAGAAGGTATTTTCCACGAGATGTGACGAGCCGGCGAGCTGCAATTGGACGCGGTTGAAGCATGAAGCATGGATAGAACGGCAGTTGCTTTGGATGACCCCGCATTGAAGAGTGAGATGTGCGCAACGTGAGGTGAGCAATTGATCAACAGAAAGCACAGTCCGTTCTGATGTCGCATCTGACGGTTGAATTATTCACACCGTCTGGAGCGCACGGATATTGGTCTTGGTCTGGGCCGGGGGATCGTCAACTAGCGGATTGGCGAGTGAGAAGCTGTACTGCTTGGCATCAACGGCGTTTGCTTGTGCATGAGCACGTTTCTCCTTCTCGCCGCTGTCTCCCCTCATATGCTGATGGGCAGGCAGTGAAGGTATCGGCGGAGATGGTTGCGGATTGGCGGTGACGGTTGCCGTTGCAGAGGGCCACATCCAAGAAGCAGCTGAAGCTGGTACTTTGATATCGACGGCCTCCATGCCCCTGTTGCTGCTCTCGGGGTCGTAATGTAATTAGTTGTCTCCAAAAGCAACGGCCGGGGGCCAGAGACGTCTCTCAGGAGAAGGAATAACGGGACCAGGAATCTTACGACGATCAGAACAGCAGCCCCGACGCGAGAGGTACCCCATGTGCTGGTTCCCGTGGTTCCTGGCCAAAAGATTCGAGGAGCTGCAGCTGGAGGTTGCAGCACCAAGGTGAAAATTTTCCGTCGGCAGGCGTCTCCGGATCCTGGAGACCTGGATCGCCCCGCCGGCTGGTGGATTGAAAGATGCTGACGAGAACTCTGAGAGAGGTAGAGAAACGAAACGCGCATTGATACTGTGTGTGATTGTAATGTGAGGTAACTGCAGTAAGAAAAATAAATGGTTCCTCTGGCCAGACGCGATGCCAACACGTGTGTTGTGACGGTAGGCATCGTCCATGTCGTTCCGTCTCAACGTGGATGGAGCGGCGTCTGTGGTAGGTGGTTCACCGTGTCGGAGGGAGGTACCTCGAGTACCTTGTTCAGTAAGGGAGGTACAACCTGACGGGACAAGGAAGTCGGCGGCCCTGGCAGAAACGGAACCGGAAGAGAAGGAAACAAGCGGGGGCCGCATTTTGGGGCTCCGGGCTGTGCTGTGTCATCCAGGCCTTCAGACTCTTTCCAACTGCCCACTTTCTGAATGGATTAACTTTTTCTCATTCGTCTCGACCTTGCATCCTGCTGCCCTTTTCCACAATTCATCTTTTTTTCTGCCCGTGCCCTGTTTGTCGTTGTCGGTGTTGTGGGTAAAGCCCAGTCGTTGCGTGTGTTGTTCCTGAGAAAAACGGAGCAGATGGCGGCGCATAACCGGAGAGGTCCACGGCAGCAAAAAAAACCAAAAAAAGGGGAAGGGATGGGGGATCTTCCAGAACTCCCGTCCCGTTTTAGTCAGAGAGTCTGGACGATGGGCGCCGGTCCGCTCAAGCTCGCAACGCCGTTCGGGAAGTATGACGCCTCCAAGGGACCCGGGGGCCATCCTCTTGGGTGTCTGGCGTGCTGGCTTGCTGGCTTCAGGGCATTCTCACCCCCAATTTAGTTGTGGAGTTCAACCTAAGCCTTTGACGACCGGGCTTCCGGTGGCTGTTCACAAGTCTGAGGTCGACTTTTGGACTCTGACACTTTTGGTTGCGTGGTTGCTTTAGAAAATCTGCTAGACAGAGGTCTAGTTCCCTCCCGTTGACCGACTTTTGTGGAGTTTGTTTTGAACTCTGTGCGGTTCCAGGTTTGCAAGCCAAGCCAAAGTCTGAACTCGCTGGACCGTGGACGGCGTCGGCGACACTGGACACTCACACTTGGCCCCAGTATTTCGTGATTCAGAGGGCATTCTCACATCACCTCATCCACTCCCGTGAGCACGTTTCCCTTCCGGACGGGCGTAGTGCGGTAGAAGTCTCTCTTACTCTTAGGTAAACGGTTACGCCCCTTCTCATGCCGCGGCCCGCACCAGCGGCGACACGGGAGACCCAGAAACCAAACACCGCTGGGTTCGGGGACACGATGCTGCGACCCGGACCCTCTCTTGGAGTTTCCTCTCGTCTGAGGTTCTCTCTGGGTCCTCGTTTGTACCTGCCCAGTTTCCACACACTCCTCCCTCTCTCTCTCTCTCTCCCAGGACCCTCGATCCGCTGACGAAGTGACGACAGAGTGACGGGGACCGTCTGTTGTATTCTTTGACGAGAATTGCAACATGCCATTGCAAGGGCACGTGCCGAAAAGAGAAAGTGTAAAAAAAACTGGAGTCGCGACACGGCTTCTTTTTTTCCCTTTCGCATTGCATCATGTTTTGAGTCTTTTCGAGTGAGATGATTCCATGTACCTATCTCGCCTTACATAATGAGGCCCAGTACCTGCGTGCGCGCAATGCTATGCTTTGAGGCAACCTAAGTGCTCACTCGTGGTGCCGTCCTATGCGGCTATTAGTTGCGACTCAGTCGTCTGTAAAAACTCAAGGCAGGAAAATCAAGGCATATGAGAGGCAGCCGGTTGGCTTAGCGTTAAATGCAAATACAAAGTGCCTCAAATACCGCAACAGCCAGTCCCGATCAAGCAGCTGGCGACAACTCGACGCCCGTCCTGCGCACTATGCGGTATATGCCTTGGCCTCGGCCTCGAGTTGAGACAATATGCACATTCAGGCAAGCGATGGAAAGGCAGAGAAAGAGAAGATGCTACCGTGCCGATGCAAGGTACCTTGCCTACCTCACATTTGATGTGTTGTTATTTTTCTGGTTCCCTTTATGCACCACGCGGGACGGCATTGCCTCTCTCCATAATACGGGGTACGGCGCGAGGCATACGAAGCCGACTGGCAGTCGTCTTTCTCCACCGCATCAAAGTGCTTGTTTCTCTCCCGCTCGATCGTACCATGAGATGTATTCTTTTTTCATCCCAGCCATTGGAAGTTTGGACGGAAGCCGTGATTCGGCGTTTGATGTACCGCTTGGCCCGTCGTCAGCCGGGCCGGGTATACGTACGACGACGTATCCGTAGGTAGTCAGGTAGTGTCTGAGGGAGCCGACAGCGAGGCCGTACAGGTTTCGACTTACATAAGACACCCGTGGACACCCACCTGAGCACCTCAGACCCAAACTTCTAGGTTGTCGCTACTTGCACATCTTAGCTAATAGGGTGTGCTTGGTGATGCAAGTCGCCGGCGTGTACTCCGAGCCGCCGGGGTAGCTGCGAGCTGGTGAGCTGGTGAGCTCCCTAGCTTTTCCCACGAGCTGTGATGAAGTGAGCTGATGACAGAATGGCGAAAATGATGCATCGCAACCTGTGCGCCGGGCTCGGGGTCCTTAGCTGCTCTTCCCACGCAGCTAAGTTCTCACTTGGTCAGTCACCTGGCCACACCTCATCTATTCACGTCTGCACTCTGCTGTCCAGACGGCCTCCAAAGGTAAAAGCCGTTGATCTCAGGACCCCTTTCGATTGCCCTGTCGGACTGGACTGGTAAGGACAAGGAAGCAGGGCGCTGTATCTGTACCCCGTCCTGCATCCTGCTGCATTCTGTACCTGACATTCTAGTTTCGATCATGTAATGATGGAGGGGTCGTAGCAAGATTCGTAATTGCAGGCTTGAATTCACCATTCACCGTTGACCGCCAGACCACACACAGTCTCAGTACGTATTCGGGACGAGGTACATCGCCTGGAGCTCGCTGTACCGTAACCTCCCCTAGACTCGTTCGGCGGCATCGTGCATCACGTCTGCTTCCCTTCTCGCTTCCCCATATTTTGGCACTATTAAAAGCCCTGCTTGGCCGTGGCCGTTCTGCCTTAGCAGTCGGTGCTAGTCTCGACCGTGGCCCGCCAATCCACTCCCATCTCCACCGTGAGAACACCAGACATTCACACCTTCACTCACCTTCACCACGTCGACAGGGGGGTCCGGATTACCCAACAGAGCCTTTCGAAAGACAGGCATCCCCCGTCTTTCTCGAGAGGTCGCAATTGCACCTGAGCTTCCTGCCCTTCCTATCCACCTCCAGAAGGGCCATTCCCCGTGACGACCTGAAGTTTTGGGGGCGGAGTGCGATATAAACCTCGGACCCCGATCTGGGAATCTCGAACTACAGGAGAGACAGGAGAAGAGAAAAAAAAAGTTCAGGGTGTCTTTTCGCTAGCGAGCCGCATTCTTCGACACGTCAATAAGTCGGTGAAGAGAAAATTTTATAAAACCAAAAAAGAGGATTCAAAGAATTCCCAACCAAATTAGCTCGCGTACGCAGAGAAGGAGACAAGCGCCCATCGCGTTTACCACACAGACGTCGTTGTATACAAAGAACACCCCCTTTGGCTAGACATTGTTCTCCCGGGTCTCACACAGAAAACCCTTCTGGCCAACTCATTCGTCGTCTTACCGCTTAGGAAGGAAACGAGACAGGTTAGAAACCCACAACGCACATACACAAATCGAGATTCCTTTGAGAAACAATTCAAAGCAGAATGGAAGAGGCTCATCAAGGTGTCTGTGGCCAAAATTGCGCGTTGCTACCGTAGTGCGTATTATCCCAGGCAAGAAACAGAGAGGATTTGCCTGCTGGGCTGTCATCGGCAAAGTTGAGACGACGGACGAATCGGCGGCGCTGAGCGATGTCGATTGGCTGGAGGCCCGTCCGCACCCCGACATCTCCGCTTTCGGCGAACCCACGACCCTGCTCCTGCTCCTGCTGTTGCTCCTGCTATTGTTCTTGCTCGTCCTTGCGTCAATCCGAGGTATTCTTGTACCTTTTCTGCGGGCCAAGTACCTTTTTCTCTCTCTTGCCTGGGTTCAAGGAATTGGACAGTAAGAAAAAAAAAAAAAAAGTCCATCTTCAAGGGAGCGCAAAGTAGCACGACAACGGGAAAGAGTCACACACCTTCAAGCGGCTCCATCCATCCCCAGAGACCCCGACGGAGTGAGAGAGAAAGAGAAAGCATCAGCGTTGATACAAATACATCCAATCCGCCTGCTGCACCCGTCCCGTTCCCAGAGCCTCTCTTTCGTGTTTTCTCGTATCAACTCGGGTCACTTGGACTATCTCAGTCATCATCCTCATTCTTCTCTCTTCTTCTTCTCTCACTCACTCACCCACATCACGTCACCCGTCTACCTGAACCAATACTCCGCTCACTTCAACTCCGACGACTTCTTCTTTCCTCCGCTTCCGCCGACCATTTGGCAACCCACCGCCGAAGACCACTCCGACTATCCGTACCAAACCAGACTTCAAAACTTCCCTAGCTACTCGCTACCTAGCCTTGGTCCCCGCACTCTTGATTGTGTCGTCATTGTGCTTCCAACCGGCGCATATTGGTATCTGCACCCGCTGTTCAATTTAAACAATAAACGAGGACAAGACCGGCGAGCATTACTGCAGCACCACCCGGTCATCAGCCATCCCTGAAGCCAGAAACAACCACGGTGCGACTTAGCGCTACAGACGCCCGCGCCCCCCCTGGCTTGCTTGCGACTTACACCAACACCACCACACCTCACCTAACGCGACCTTGTCAGTTGTGAATTGGGTCTTAGCCCGAGTTGCAGTGATCTTTGCAAGCGCCTACCGGATTACCTAGCACGGCAACGACAACCACCACCGCCGGCCGTCAGCAACGACACTGAACACGCCTCGCAGTCGACTTGGCCATCGCAAAAATAGAGCGCTCACACTCACCAGCCTTCCTTCGTTCGGGCTAGCACCACCACCGCTTCCCAGCACCTCATCCGCCTGGACCCCAAAGACCCGGACCGGGACATTGTCTGTGTCAGCGGCATCTCTCCGAATTGCTGTATGGTAGAAATCCATATCGTACCTCACCCGTCCAGTCACTTATCAGCTCGGCCAAATACCTACCTTACCAACTCGACATCCGTATCATTATCCACACCCCCAGGCAAACCCGCCGCTATCTATCAATCCATCACCAAGCCGCCTTAGCTATTGGAAATAAGGCACACCACATCAGGCGTCCCCTGCAACCTGCGGCTGCTCGAGACCTTCTTAACCCTCCCAGCACCCGCTCCGACCTGGCCTGCCTGCGGGGAATCTTGTTCGAGTCTCCAACGACGAAGAAAAAATCTCTTCAACGGTATCACGCAAAGAGTCCAGACTTTCGCCACCCGGAACGCCTGAGAGAGCAGGGTCCAATTTCCTTCCTGCATTCCTAGACAAGGCCACCAACAGCTTTCCGTATCACACATCAGACATCCGTCGCGAAAATTTTTCACGAGAGTCACCTACTTATTCCTTCAACTCCACGGGGTTTTTAAACTGGGTCTCGTGTCTCTGTTCACTGCCAAACCCGACGGCCGAGACAGGACGGGCAACCACTTCACACTTGTGTTGGTGTCAATCATCTCTGCTTGGGGGAATTGAACGGCGCTACCCCTCCACCAAATCGCCATCCCCGCTTATCTCTTCCCGCTCTTCACGGCCGATACAGGCTCTCCCACTGAAAGGGACGACGACATTGTGAGAACCGTCGACTACAAGAAAGAACCCTGCCAACATCGCATTGGCTTTTTTCCGACCTCACTTCTCATCCTCGTCTTTTACACACAACAAAACATACAAAATGCATCACAGTCGCAGAAAGTCGGGCAACACCTCCATGACGGAGAAGACCGTCACCGCAACTGATCCCACTCGCTACGGCAAGCGCCCGACAACACTCTCCAGACGCCAAACACCCGTTACTGCACAAAAGCTCGGCAAGAACCCCAGGGAACGCGAACGCGAATGGCAGGACTCGTGGGACGATGACCGGGAAAGCTTCCCTCAGTTCTGGTATGTTTACATCATTCGTCTTTGGTATTGCTTCAGCTCCTTCTCTTCTCCCCGGCTGCCGCAGGTGGCTGCTCGCGCCATGTTCTAGACTGGCCACCCCGCAACTCGTCCTCCAGCTACGCAATCGTCTTTCGTAGTACGTTGCAGATGGTTTCCCTTTTCGGGAGCACTGCCGTGTCACGATGGACGAGCAGCTCGGGGCGTCGCCTATCTCCCGATATCTCTTCAAACTATTGCGTGCCCGTTCATTACGACAAGCCCGCTGACTGGTTATGTTTTAGCATGACATGCGAGAAGCAATTCGTGCCCCAGGACGTCAAAACCCTGTACTGCTCAGAAGCGTATGCTACCCTCACTCAGATCTTGACGCACGTATGGCAGACAACTGACACAGCTCAGGTGCCGCCAACATGACCAGCAGAGCGTGTCAACAGCGAGCAGGAGTCACAGCCTGGCGCACGCGGGTCACTACCCCTTCTATGCTGCAAACAACCCCGAACCCAGAGACATTGTCCCTCGCGCGTCGCCATCGAGGCCCAACTCGATGCACTTCTCCCCGCCCACGACACCAGGTGCCACCAGCGGTGCTCAGTACTCCTCCGCCATCTCCGCCTTGAGGTCGCTCAGCATCCGCCCTCCCAGCCCGCCATCGCCCTCGACGTCTCACCCGGGCCTGTGGCCCTTCAACAAGAGCAGCGCCGCCAGCCCCAGCTCCTCCTACAACCGCAGTGGCAGTGGCTTCTTCCCCGCAACCTACGACGGCGGTTACGCTTCCACCGGGTACGCCTACAACTACAGCTCCAGCGGCATGGATCGGCCGCTGCCGACGCGGAGACCCACTGGCCCGGGTTACTCTAGGCCGAAAAGCATCGAGTTGGTGACCCCCATGGTCGGTCGCTAACAATCGACCGCACAACCAAGACTAGGAAGGCTGCACCACCCGACACATGGTGCGGCCAACCACTTGACGACGATATCGGGAAATTGGCTGGCATTTTCGACAATTCGCACTGACAATGGTGGGCGCTGCGGGGGCGATGCTGCTGCGAGACCCGCTGGAGCGTCTCGTACTCGCCTGTTACCCCAGCCTCAGAGCGCGGGGTTAGCGTCGATTCCAACACCGGGAAACGCGGGGGTTTAATTTACGGAGGCCACGCCGATAAGGGGCCAGTTCGATCCAACTCGACCTGCTCCTCCGCGTTTGCTTCGGATTGCCACTCTTCCGAATCATCCGCATACATTTCATCAGCCATGTCTTCCGTTCCAAGCACCCCCGTCTTACCCCACGAAAATGACGCCTTGACGCGCGGAAACTAGCTGCGAACTGTGTGGGGACTAATTTGCGCATTCACGGCGTCTTGCGAGCGCCACGGCATCGGTCATGTGAGGGGGAGGACAGACGGATCACACATCAAAAGTTGGGGCTGCATTGGCATAGGCGTAGGCATTGATGGATTGGCATTGGCACAGCGAGCTATCCGGGGTTTCCCGTCTTCAGTCGAACCGGCCGTTTGGTACGCCATACCCAACACATCACGGAGGGCCCAACAGATTCTCCGTGCGGGGGCCGTTTCGCGGCGGGGGATTCTTCTTTTTTCTTTACTGGCAGTTTGCTTCCGCATATTTGGCCAATCCATACATTTTCTAGCATTTAGAAAGGGCGAGCATCGGCATGGAAGGCATCTACGGGCTTCGGGTTTGGGCGCGTTCATCATCATACCTTTTCGGACAAGGAGGCATATGGCGGATACAGTACTCCCCCTCCTTTCAAACAAGGCATATTCTTCTGTATATCTTATCTCCACACATAATGCCACCTACCAGCATTTCACAACAAGATGTTTATCTATAGTGTAGCATAACCGGGGCCCTCAAAGGGCCACCGTGCCAAAAACATGGATCATTATCCCAACGCCTACGCACCGTCACGATTCAGGCTGTCTCGCGCCGTACGCGCGAAGGCGCGCGCCGGGTGTTTGATCGGCAAGCAGCAGACGCGCCTAGCATTGTCGGTATTTCGCAGTTGATGCGGATGGGGTTATCTATCAGGCACGGGGTCGAGAGGTCCAAAGGCAGTAAGAGATGGACCGACGACCCCGTCAACCCACACGCACCGTGCCATCTGAACCTGAGAACCACCCTCTTCTCCGCAAGATGCAGGTTGCCGATCTTTTTCGCGGTTGGTTTCTTTCTCCGGATAACGATTTAAAAAAGAAAGTGGCCGGCGGGTCTCGTCGCGATTTGTTGCGGAACCAAAGATTGACTGACTCGGGAGATGGACAGGAGTAAGACTCTTCCTACCTAGGTCGGTTTGGAATGATGTGTTGTGATTGTGGTGATTCGATTTGGTGTGCCCGGGGGAGGGTTTTAGGATATTAATTGGACACCACTGAGGAAATCCTTCCTTCTTGCTGGTTGGGGTCTCATAATTCCGGCGTGGGAGAAGGGTCTGGATCTCGAGGTTTGAGGTCACACAACCGCCGCCTGCTGCTTACGAGGTGCGTTGTGGTGGGATTGATTGGATGGGTTGGATTGGAGTTTGTGGGAGAGGGGGTATTGATGTGGGGGCGGTCTTTACTGTATCTAAGTATTGTGGTGGTTCAGACAATATGGCAGGATATCACGCATGAATACCATTGTTCCTTCTCACAGACGGCCCTTTTCTTTAATCACGACTACGTTGGAGCGGGATGGCCCTGGGAGAATGTTTCCTCTGCGGGCGCGGTTGAAGTTCGGGGTGGAGCGGGCTTATCAAGACGTCGTGGAGTCGGTTTTTTTTTCGGCGGCGGTCGTGAGTGTGGGGATTGATGATCACTTTTGTCGTTGATCTGGGGGTGGATTCTCACTTCTTGCTTCGCCTT